ACCACTACTATTTAAGCCTCCCCTTCCTTTTCCTTCCTCTTCCTCTTTTCCTCTCCCCACTACTCCAAGCTTCGTCTTTTCCACCACCTCATACACACATGGGAGCCACAACGTGTATCTCCAGTCTAGATTCGTCGAGAATCAACAAAAATTACCAATCGCCAGAAGAAAATGGCTTCGAATGATTCCTCGGCCGACTCAATCACCGAGGACTGAGTGAATACAGTTGAGGCTGATTTCAAGCAATCTTCAACCCTCTTGTCCCCGCCACGATGGACAGGGAAAATGGATTCTTCCAACGGATGACCTACGTCTGAGCGACTGGATGGCCTATGTTGCCTCGAGAAACCTGAGAAACAAAGAGCTCGTTCAGAGATGGAATACGATTTCGACACGAACGGCAACATGCGGTCGCCAAAGGATCGTCTGAATAAAGATCCGGCTCCAATGGAAAGGCAGCATAGCGGGCCTGGGTGATATTGTCACGAGGGACAGTCTCACTGTCCGGATGAACTCATGCGAGTTGGATGGCTACGCGCACTACAAAATCGGACAAGAATGTGGCATCAGCTACCTGTGCATACGCTTAGAGAAGAGTCGGACAGAAACGGAAGATTCTCCAGACTCCTGGGAAAGTCAGAAGTCTTTCAAAGCAGAAGGGGTTGGCATATTTATCCTATGCGTGACACTGATGGATGACACGTCCATTTGTGCGAACTTTCGATGGGCGGGCCTCGACCGCAAGAGCAGGAATAGGGGTGGTGAAGAACGGCTCTGTTTCGAAACCACTGTCACATTAGCAACCGTGGACAAACAAGGGGAGTATTCAGCGACAAAGGAAAATTGATCTGGATTGCAAGAGATGAGCCACTGGAAACTACGAGTCCTGCCGAAAACTTTTCTGGACAAGCAGGACACCATCATGGCCCCTCTCAAAAAAGGTGCCCTGACAGTATCGGACAGAAACTTTGTCACGCTTCTCGAAGTCGGAAACGACCTCAACGATCTGGGTGATGCGGTGATTGGCAGCAAGATCGGTGGAACCGGCGTTGACCTGGATGTAGTCGTTCAGGAAGTCAGAAGCCAGCTGACGGACTTCCTTGGGCCAAGTGGCGGACCACATGCAAGTCTGACGGTCAGGGCGAATCTAGCCAATGGTCTTGCGAATCTGGGGCTCGAAACCCATGTCCAACATACGGTCGGCCTCGCAGAAACTCAAGCTTCTTGATGGTAGAGTCAGCGCCCGACGCAACCCCCACCACTGAGACACCCTGCCTTGAACTCCCGGGAGAAGCTGGAGCCTTGTCAGTTTCGCAACTATCCTCTCCCCGCACATTCTCCCCAGCGATACCCCCAGCGATACCCCCAGCGTAACCGACTGCTTGTGATTGTTGAACCGCCTAAGCACTGGGAACGCTACTGCAAGGGGAACTGTATTCCCAAGGGGAGTGCTGTCTGGCCATGTCAGCATGCGCCTTTATCGCAGTGCCGGTGCAGTGCCAGTCCAGCAACAGTGAGCGCACCGCAAACCGCAGAGCTCTCCTACCAACGGACCTTGTGACGACGAAGTAGCTTATTCCGCGATCCGCTGTCGCTGGTTCACCAGCACCTGAACCCGCCAGCACACCCCAGCCAGCGTGCAACCAGAAAGGGTCCAGACAAGATGGTCTGAGATGTTACCAAAGGTCCTCGATTCTGAAATTCCTTAACGGGGCCGTAAGAAGTTTGAATGACTTTGTCCCAGAGCTGGGCTTGGGCGATCGTTTTGCTCGTTCACGATTCTCTGGGAAACCGCACTTCCGAGGAAAAACAATTACAGCTCACGTTGTGAATCGGGAGGCCATGAGAGGGGCCTTTGAAAGGCTCTCAAAACCCTTTGGGATCCTCTCTCGAGTAGTGGGAATAGGTCCATCAGCAAATATGGGAATAGACTTAGCTAGTCGAGGACGCCGAGTTAATGGGACATTGTGCCTATTCCTTACTGGCCACCAAGAATAGCATATTGTTTATTTTGAAACCTCTCATTCTATATCGCTTACACTGGTAAAGGGTGGATACGGGCAGCGGGTCCTGATCGCTTGTTGAGTGTCACGGTTCCACCTGGACAAACAGAGATCCGAGAATTTGTGGGCCATGGTTTGTTCCAGGCCTCAAATTACTCACTGTCACCTTTGAAGAGATCAAGTGAATAAATGGACTAAAATCTTTTGATTCAAGGGAGTATCCAAGTAGTCAGGGGTAGCCTGAGGAGAATGTACAAGGTGGGTTCTTGTGGCTCCTATACGAGCTGAACCATACAACCAACGCCTGGGCATGGGCGGGAGAAGACCACAAAATAATCATTCCTACCATGAAAATTTCATGATGGGGGGAAAAGGGGGTCAGTGCTTGAGTGAATACTAATTTTCTAAACTCCCATAGAAAAGTGAGTACAGGGGTCGGATAATCCAGATGTAACTTGCAAGGTTCATGTCTAACCAGGTGAGTGCTAGTCAGGTACCCACAAACGGGCTCCAGACAATTTCATTCTCAAAGTCACTGCCGGCAGAACGTTTTTCACGTGGTGACATAAAGATGGCTGCGACACGAGCCACAAGGCTAGGGGCTCAAAAACCATGTGTGTGTACCTTGCATACAGCCCTCGAGCCCCTTGAAAGACGACATCACGGAAGTCCGACCAGCCTCGAACTACCGAAGTGCAAACTTTACTTCTCGGCATGTATCAAAGTTTGTGCATGGTGGACTTTAAAGAAATATTAGGCTGCATATCTGGCTGCATTATTGGAAATAAAGATGCGCGTGAAAAAACTCTACAAGGCAGCTGCTCGTGATTCACCCTATCCTCCCCCCGCAAATGGTATAGAACAATTCTAGAATAGTGTGACCTTCCTGAACGGGTCCCAGAACCCCCCTTCCTGCATACCCTACCCGTGGACCTGTATGAAGCTGACTCGCACCTGCATATATGCAGCGTAGCACTCATCTGCGCGTCCATTGTTTCAGGAAATCTGCCTATCTGGGAAACAGTAGAAATCGACTGATCATTTCTAACGCCAAACGTGCATCAAGGATCTAGCCGATCTTCAACTTCTCGAACATAGAGAAGAACTCTGTTTAGTTGCGATTCGCAGTGGCCAATGAGGAACGCATCCGATCCATGGATCCGATGGGAACTTTGATGAAACTCTGTCGCCACGCGACGCGATGATCTCTATCAATGATCATCGTGGAAAAGTTAAATGGGAAAAGCAATTCCGTTGAGGCCTACCCCGGGGAGTACGGAGTGGTGGATTATCGTTTTTGATGTTCGCGGCTCTTGCCAGCAGATCTTTGCTACACCGTTTGATATGCGATTGCCCGCATTTTTGTTTCACTTAATGTTTTATTCAATGGCTCTTAAGTTTCTCAGCTGCCCTTTAGGGACATGTACGAGTATGTACCAACATTTGAAATTCACATTGGAGTTTTGGTAGCCGGAAATCCCGACAGCTAGGTACACGAGGTCCGAGCCCACTAATTAGACGATAGTTCGCACAATGGGTTGACACGCTGATCTTGCCATGTGGAAGTTGGGAGAGGTCTGCTCTGGTGAAGCATTGCTTTTTTTTTGAAATGCGATCTATAGCCAAAGCTATTTTATAACCGTGGACGTAATTAACCCGGGGAAGTAGGACCACGATGATGCCATGTGTTTTTGTGTGAACCTTGGAAGAGGACCCGCTCCCGAACCACATCCGTAGAAATATCAAGATTGAGTGTCCAGGCTCCAATATAGTCAAGCTGATCTGATACAAAAGTCCATCGCCATCTCCGAGCTGAAACTCAATCAGAATTTTCGCGACACGTCGGCTGTTCTAAGTATGGTGCTTGCCGCCAAGGCATATTGTTGTCATCGCGCATATTGTGGCTCAGTCAGGGACTTTCACCCTAGCCAATCAAATCACGCATACAACCCCCCACTTCGTATTGAGCGATTCAGTGCTTGAACCTTTTTTTCTCATGAATGTCAAGGCTGACCAAGCAAGGGGGAATGATCGGCATCGCCCGTGGCTTAGGCCTCTCCTAGTGCACATCGGCAAATCGGCACTTACTGAGAAGCTATGGTGATCCCTGCACATCCCTGGAGATATCCGATTCAGAGAATGCACCTGTGAACGAATTGCGAGTTTGCCCTCACATTGTGCTCGGTTTTGGTGCTTGGAAGACTCCCGTAGTCCATTGCCGACATAGTTGCGGAATGACAGGGCCTAAGCGAGGTTGGAACCGTGGACTGCAGATGTATCAAAGCCCACTGCAAAGCCAAATGTTTCCGATCGGTCACGATCCATGCCGTTTTTCGTTAGAGTATCCCTAAGTGTGATCTGCGCCATCCGAACGTTTCCACCTTCTAGAAGGGTGTTCCATGCATATCGGACTCCCCGTCCAAGCGCTATTGATGCTGTCATCTGTCACCAATTTCCCCAACTTAGCAATAGTAGATAATATTCCAATTAATTCCCTTTTTGATCCTTCATTTCGTAAAACTTGAAATACTTTTTTTTTTAAAAAATCTTTTTGAATTACCATCTTGATTTTATTTTCACCTGCATCAGGAAGAAAGGGGCGAATTGCTTAGATTAAACAATTATGCGGCCAATCCTTCCGATCAACGCAACCCTACGTGGCAGACCTTATTAGATAAAAAAGAGCTGCCTCCAGAGCGGATGAAGAAATATAGAAGAAACCCATCGTCTTGCAATCAAAGTTAAAAAACGTCACTTCCCCCCGCTTGCCCATCAAACCAAAGTGGACTTAACTCTTCTCCGTCTAGCTTGATGGACCCAACACGAACTCAACAAGCCATATACCCACAACCTCTATAGAATACAGAGATCCCGGCTGAACATCGGCTCCCTTTTTTTCTTACCGAGAAGTGGCCCCTTTCCTTTCGACAACCTTTTCGCTTCTCCACAGTCGAATTGGGCAACATCAGTTCAGTGCACCTCACTCAACACATCAATATGTCTACACGACCAACAGGAAAACGCCTCCCAATCAGCTGCCAGGCCTGTCGAACACGCAAGATCCGTTGTTCTCGCGATGGCCGGCCATGTCAGACCTGCGTCCGCCGCGGTCTCGGCGCTGAAGACTGCATCTATCTAGGCCAACCCCGACTATCAGCCGAGCAGTCATCCCCAGGTGAAAGCGCAGTGCAAGCAGAGCTACTGGCCAGAATCAGGAATCTGGAAGCCTTGCTCCAGAGACAGATGAGCTCGCAGGCTGGCACACCGACAGGTGGCGCGGTGTCGCCACTGGGTGGGACGAGTGCAGCTGGCAGTTTCTCCGAGTCTGACATTGGTCCAGGAGCTGAATGGGATAGCTTCGGATCTATTATGGATAATGTTGGCTCGTTGCATACCTCGCCTTCCGGTCATGTCCGCTATGTGCCACTCGCATCGCAGTGGGAGTCTTTGGTGGCGAAGAGCCCCGCTGCGGAGTGCTTGAGGAATAATGATTTGGATCTGGTAGACGACGATGATGATCTGCAGATCCCATTGGCGAAAAATGGGACCGTCTCCCGGGAAGAGCTTTTGGCTACCCTGCCGCCTGGCAGTTGCTGTAATGCCTTGAAGGATGTTTACTTTCAGGTTTTTTCATCAGTATGTACCTCGGGATATTCGTTAGGATATTGTGATTTCTGACGGACTCAAAGGTTTTCCACATTCTTCATGACTTGACATTCGAGGCTGAATATCAGCAATTCTGCCATGATCCTGGCAGTGTGTCATTGTCATGGCTGGCCCTATTATTTGCTATACTTGCCATAGCTGTCAGTGCGCTTGATGATGATCATCCTTTATTGGCTGACCTCGGAAGAGAGCGCACGGTAAGCCGAAACATCAAGAGCCTCTCAGCAAGATATCGTTCCGCTGCACTGCGGTGTCTTGCCGCCGACGGTGTCATGTTCCGACATTCAATCAATTCACTGCAGGCCATGGTACTCATTAATTACGCTCGAGCCCACCGCGGCCTACCGATTTGGACCTTACTTGGATTCACCCACCACGTTGCAATATCAATGGGTTGTCATCTTGATCCAGAGCGATTCACATTAGGGCCTATTGAGCGCGAAGAGCGACGCCGAGTTTGGGCCGGCCTCATGATGCTCTACACAGTCCAAAACACAGCTTTTGGAAGTCTTGACCAGCGACCCATGTCACAAGATGTCAAAATGCCCGCTGACATCGACGACGTTGATCTCCTCACTAGCCCCAACATGACCAGATCTGCATCCTCGCCTGCACCATCTCGTCCAACCCAGATGACATACCTTCTCCTCAACTTCCGACTTAATAAAATTTCCTCCAAGATCTGTGAAGCACTTTTCAGCTATCCAAGAACATCTCGCCGCAGTGTCTCCACACTTGAAGCGGAAATCATTTCCGTTCGCGAAATGGTTGATGCTCGCTATACACTCGACGCCAATGAACCACTACCAACTCACCACCAGGCAAATCACCATATCCTATACAGCCAAATACACCAGCTACTCCTCCTTCTCTACCGCCCAAGCCTCTGCCGCTACTTGCAAGGCGAGATAACTCCTGAGACCAGCAACGCAAGAGCAAAGTGCATTGCCTCCGCCAGGGCCTCAATTATGATATTCCAGACCTTATTCGAGTCATCCAGCTTCAAACCATATAGATGGTATACCAGTGGATTGGGAAGCTTCCACGCGTTCCACGCTGCCGTTACATTAGCAGTCATACTGTTGATTCCAGAGAGCCAAACCGAGTACAAAGAGACCAAAGAGACTCTGGACCGAGCCCTGGACATGTTCGCTTCACTCTCCATTCGAAGTGTCTTCTGCAGCAAAGCAGTCCCTGTTCTTCGACAAATGATGTACGTCCCTTTCATACCCGATGATCCACCAATCCATCAACTAACATCTCCCAGTGACGTTGCCGCAGCAAAATACAACCCCAACAACCTCACACACTCCCAATTCCACCTCCAAGCACAAGCCCAAAGCCAAGCCCAGGCACAGGCCCAACTCCAACAAACACAAGCCAACATGCAAAATCAACTTCTCAACACAGTCCACACCCCACTCTCTACTATGTCCATGTCCTCCATGTCATCCATATCAGCCCTCTCCCCCGCGGGCACGATGCACGACAATTTCGTTCTATCCCATCCCCATTCACAGTCTGGCTCACCGGTTCCAACAATTGGTTCTTCATCCAGTGAGCCGACTATGCTTTCTGGCATTGGCCAAGTGCATCCGCAGAACTGGATTGGTCCTACTTCTGTGCCGTGGGATTCATTAGGTCCCCCCATCGGGGGATACGTGTATGGATCTGGTCCTTGAAAAATATGATATAAGTCTAGATTGGTGCACAGATTAAAGTTGGCGATCAATCGTATGAGCTACGAAATTTAATCAAAATATATTCATCTTTAATTCAAAATGAAAATTTCCATCAATATATCTTCTCACATTAAGGATCGAAACGAACGTTGTACCCCTGTCAAAAAGGAACCGACGCACCGTGGGCAGTATGCATGGTGCTTCGCCCTCTGAAATTGTCTTCACACTCCAATCGCCCAAGGAACCCCCTATTTTCTTTGTTTTTGTTTTGACTGTATGTCGTATTGTTGATTAGTTCTAATTTCTTGGTGATTATATTAACATGATGTTATGGTTGTGGATATGGTATACTAATTATTATAATTTCCTTGATTCTTTTTTTTTTTTTTTTTTTGTTTTTTTTTTTTTTTTTTTTTTTTTTTGTTTTTTTTTTTTTTTTTTTTTTGTTGTTTTTTTTTTTTTTTTTTTGTTTTTTTTTTTTTTTTTTGTTTTTTTTTTTTTTTTTTTTTTTTTTTTTGTTTTTTTTTTTTTTGTTTTTTTTTGTTTTTTGTTTTTTTTTTTTTTTTTTTTTGCAGTCCAATTTTACAATAGTCACAAGGTTTAGTTTTGGTGGTGTTTTAATTACCATTTATCTCAGGATAGTATGAGTATATTTGTGGTTTCAGTTGCAATAGAGAAATATGATCAATATTCTTTACACAAATAAGTACATGGGAGGTATTCATGGATCATGTATCCATGAGACCAACCCAATGGATCTATCGTCATATCTACTTCTAAAGTTCTCAGCCTACCAACCCACAATCACAGAATCCACTCACGCGAACCTGGGAATTTCAACTTGAGAACCAAATTTGAGCCTATATCCACTCTATGTGCATGATTTACAAGGATTAGAAGCTGAAGTGACACGTCAGAGCCCCCACCCCCAATGAGAACAGGTAAAGTGTGTTGATTCCCCTCATATACCCCTCCATTCTAATCTTTACTTTGCCTCATCCATCACCGGAAAGTCAATACGCAGAAAAAAAAAAAAATTCGTGGGAGATACCATCGGAATCACGATGGGTCCCTGGAGCCATTCCGACCAAGAGAAGAAGGAAAAACGATCGAAGAAAGATTATTTGAAGTCAAAGCTTTTACCATGGCGCCATAGCGATGAAGGGATGGCTAAAAGCACTGCATCGGAGAGTCCCAGACATTCTGAACATGAAAATCATGATCATGGATCTAGCGGGCCAGAATGCTCATCTCTCTGTGCAGAAGTATCCAAGACAAGCGCCCCCGCCTCTACGAAGTCCACAAAAACCTTGTATGAGCTGTTTATGAAAGATCTATGGAAAGCGGCCTTCGAGAAACTTCGAGAGAAAGACGGCAATTCACTTGCTGCTTATGAACGGGATTTGGTCGAAAACAGCAGCAAAGGCCAGAGCCAAGAACAAGATGGAGATGTCAAGCAAGCAAATACAAGGCAAACCCAGCAGCATCTTGTACGTGAAGCCTTGCGAGGATTGGAAGAAGGCCGGCTTGTCATACCCAGAAGATGCCGCCAAACCATGATCGGAGATTACGTCCAGCGTATCGTGCACACCATTCTGCCGGTCAAGGATGTCATATCGCAAGCGGTTGCTGCAGAACCGTACGCTTCTCTTGCTTGGGCAGGAGTGCTGGTTATCCTTCCTGTGAGTTTACATATGTGAAGTTGCAGACTTTCGACCCTATGAACTGATTTGAGATACTGGAAGCTACTGCTCAGACCATTTACCCAACCCGAGGAGGCAGCAAAGGGCATTGAGTTCATATCAAGACTATTGATCCGGTATCAAGTCATTCAGACCTCACACATAAAGATTTATTGCTCAGATCTTGGCAGTGGTGAAAGGTAAGAGCCATGTGTTGAGTATACGCGGATACAACTAATAAATCTCTAGAGTGACCAACACCGAGCGGTTTTGTAGCTCATTGCGAGAACAAACTATCAACCTGTATTCGCAGGTCCTGGAATATCAGATCCGACTCGTAAGACAATTCCGTCACACTGCTCTTGCCAGGGGAATCAGGGACATAGTGACTGCCGATAACTGGCTTGAAATGGCCACGAAGATTAGGCAGACCGATGAGTCGATTCATACGATGTTGACTGAATGGTCCCACAAAACAATCCAGCACATTGATGAGGTTGTCTCATCACTAGAGGAGAAGTTGGAAGAATCGCTGTCTTCGATTAAGCATGATCTCAATGTAAGGCCGCCATGTGTGCTTCCTTTGCAAAGTTGACATTCAAACAGAAACAGCACAATGAGACACTCCTCCAATCGATTACATACGTGGCCAGCGCGACTTACAGATCTTACGACCAAAATAAGGGAACGTGTCTTGAAGAAACGCAGGTGAAGGTCTTTCAGAGGATCCAGGAATGGAGCATTGGCTCGGAAAAGAAGCCTATCCTGTGGCTTCAAGGGATGGCAGGAACCGGAAAGTCCACGATTGCCCGAACTGCTGCCGCGGCGTTTCGAGATGGAGCATCATTGGTCAAGAATGGTGTTCTTCCTGACAATATTTGTCTTGCTGGTACTTTCTTCTTTGATCACAAGAAGAATGATTGTAGAGACCCCCGGAATGTTTTCCCAACATTGGCCCGCCAACTTGTTGAAGTGATCCCGGAGATCCGAGATGCTGTTTGTAACGCCATTTCAAATAATCACGACATCCAACAACGAACAATCCGGGAGCAGTGGAAGTACCTGATTTGGCAGCCCCTTTCGATCTTGCAGAGCAATCTCCAAGACACTTTCATCATAGTGATTGACGCTTTGGATGAATGTGAGGTCAATACGAACCACTACGAAAATGATCTGGAGGTGATACTAGACCTTTTGAGTCAGATGGCGCAGCTCCAGTATGTTCGCATACGCATTCTGATCACAAGCCGGCCTGAAGCGGAGATGCAACGCCACATTGAAAATCTTTCCCAAGACATCCACGATCACACCTTGGAGAAGGTGAAGCTCTTTAGCAACACAGGTGATCGAGAAGACGATATCACACGATTGGTGAAACATGAGATGATCGCAATCAAAAAGAGACACCCGAGCCTGTCCCAAGATTGGCCGGGTGCCGAGTACCTTCGAACGCTTGTTAAACAGACCGAAGGTCTCTTCATCTATGCCGCTACTGTCTGTCGCTTCTTGTATGATGCTAATGAAAGAACAATCCAAAGTCGGCTTGAGAAGATTCTCAGCAACAATTTCGATGGAAACTCCCAGGGAAACAACCTCGATGAGATGTATACCAGAATCCTCGAAATCATTCTCACTGGTGAGGAGGATAACGACGAGGAGAACTCGACGCTTTTCAGATCAATCGTCGGCTGTATAGTCGTCTTGTCACAGCCAATGTCTCTTGAAGACTTGGAAAGTCTTCTTCCTTGCACAATTCGCGACATGAAAGATATTCTGGGGCTATTAGGTTCGGTCATTGAAGTGCCCCAGGATGTTCACGGACCTGTCCAACTTGGTCATCTGTCGTTTAGAGACTTTCTTCTGGATCGTTCGCGATGCCAGAACAAGCTCTTCTCTATCGATGAAAAAGAAGCAAACCACGGCGTGTTTGAACACTGCATCAAATTGATGTCGACTCATCTACGGCGTGACATTTGCCGTCTTCGGGAACCTGGTATCATGGTGTCCGAGATAGACCTGGAATCATCAGAAATGAAACAAAGATTTCCGGACAGCGTGAGATATGCGTGTAAATTTTGGCCTGATCACCTTGACCGGAGTGGTGGCGTGTCTTCCCAGGATGAATACCGAGTTCTGAATTTTCTGGAAACACACTTCACCCATTGGCTGGAAGCGATGAGTTTACTGGCAATGATGCCTCTTGTAATTAGGATATTCAATGTCCTGAAATCAGTACGTGGTTCTTCCTTCCATCCAAATAGACCTCATATTGATTATATCAGATGAACATGAGCAAGAAGATGGAAGAATTTCTCTTTGACGCTAGGAAGTTTTCTACAAACTTCAGACTTCACATTGAGAAGATGCCACTCCAAATTTATGCATCTGCTCTTCCGTGCGCACCTGAAAACAGCATCGTACGAAATTTGTTTGAAAAGGAGATTCCGCCCTGGATAGCCAAAATCCCTGTTGTTCAAAGCGACTGGGACGCTTTTTCACATAACCTTGAAAGAGGAAAGACCAACTGCCCGAAATTCTCCTCTGATGGCACGTTGTTGGTGTGCGAAGGGAGACATCAGTTCAAAATATTCGAAACAATTACATGGCAGTGTGTCCTTCAGATTGATCACGATGAATCCATTTCCTCCAAGCTAATTGCCTGTTCTCCAGACAGTACCCACATGGCCGCCTTTTTCACAGATGGGACTTCCCGTTTGTGGCGTGTGTCTGACGGAAAGTGTATCAATCTCGAGACTGGAGGAGCAGATACCATTGGAATCCGGTTTTCAGGAGACGGTAAACTGGTATGCCTGCTAAGCGACAATACAATGCTAATCAGGAACGGCAAAACTGGTGATGTCCTACTTAAGATCTGGCATGGAGTCAAACCTGCCCGAGAAGCAATTTTTCTTCAGTGCATGGGTTTCAATTTTGCCGTTTCAGAGGATTGCCAGTTTGTTGCAATTCTAGATCTTCAGCTAAACATCAATGTCTTCAGCCAAGCCCATGGCTTGATTGTTCATACTTATCCATTTTCGAATCCGGGTGGCAGCTTGAATATGGGTATAAAATCTCTTCTCTTCTCTCCCGATGGGCATCTTCTACTTTCTGCGACAACCGATGGAGCTGTCAAAGTCTGGGATTTCAACCTCAAGAAACTTTATGAGACAACAGTCGAGGATGAGGTACTAGAAGCAACTTTTATTGCCGACTCAACTGCCGTTTTAATTGTTTTCAAAGATCTCAGCGTATCCAAGTGGTGGTGGAGAGCAGAGAAAACGGAAACACGAAATTTGGATGATCCTGACCTGAAGGAAACCTTCGCCCCAGAATGTCCGATTTCATTTCCTCAAGTTGGACCGCTTGTCACCTCGTTGGCAAATAATGAGCATGATGACCTCTGGAAGAAAGTCCGAGCCACATGCGCTCAAATCAGACACAAGAGTCATGGAGACAATATTTCTGGTTCATTTTCACCCAATGGCCAATTCATTGCGGTCGGGTCTATTCGCAGTGGTTTGTCTATCTGGGAAATGTCTACGCAGGCTGCCCAGAGCGCGAGTGCTATGGAAAATCGCAGCTACATACGTGTGGAACTCTCACCCGATGGAAACTGGGTTGCTTCGTCTAGTCAGAAAGACGTTAAACTGTGGAATGGTAACACTGGAGAACACATAGAAACCTGGAATATCTCACCGAACTCATCTGATTGGTGGTACAACATGAGCTTTTCTACAGATAGCAAGGCTTTACAACTTGGTTCAATCTATGGCGAAATCCACGTCTGGGATATAGTGGCTTGTCAGCCCCTTGCCAGCATGCAACTCCCGAATGCTTACCATCTCAAAGTCGCATTTTCACCAGACAGAACCTTGCTTGTGTTTGCGTACCAGCCGGAGGATGACACGAACGAGTTACAGATCACATTGTGGGATCTGGGAAATAGGAAAGCCTTCCGCACGTTCGACCTCAAGTTGGGAGAGTATGAATCTCTATCAAATGTGGCGATCTCTCCTAGCAACGGCACAATGGCTGTGTCATCAAACAAAACAATCAGAGTGTTTGATTCCACGGGAATTTTAACACAATGTATTGAACATGATGACTTCCAACCGGTTTTGGCCTTTTCGGCAAACGGAGAATTGATTGCCTATGCGGACAAAAACATCACCGTATGTAACACAGCAACGGGAGAGAAGGTGGGAAAGATTCTCTGTGAACGCGATGTGCCCTGGATGAGCTTCATAGATGAAGACCGGTCCCTTCTGACCAGCGCTGGAAAATTCTACACTACTTCTATCCTGGCAAACGATCTCAACACCGCAAGCTCCGGGTTGACCCGACGTGGTTCGTACATTGTGAATGCTGGCAAGACGGTCTTCGCTCTGAACCCACGGCTATTTGCTGTATGTCCCTCCGTGCAAGGGGACAAATTTGCAATGATCCTTCCGCCTAATCGGGTTGGCATTTTTGTGTTCGACACCGAGGTTGGCAATATATTATCAGAAGAATGAAGTTCCAAAGTTTGACTTGCGATACACAGTGCCGCCTTTTAAAGCTGGAGGATATGCTTAAGTACTAGGTAAGTAGTGCCGTTACTTGAATTCTTTATCGATTGGTATGTGTCTCTTCGAATTGACCTAGAGATTTAGGATTCCCGAGAGAAACATGGAGTTTGACTTTGAGCAATAAGTGTACTTTGAAACTAACCATGGCGTATGTAATAATCTACTACTGCATTTTCACTCTACTCCAGAGAACTCACAATTTTAAGGTCATATTGGGGTAAAACTTTAGAAACTCTCCTAAAAACAACATGGTTTGAATAAGGGTCATCGCTTGAACTAAATATAAGAACATGGGGCCATTCCTAGCTATTCATAAAAGACCAAACATCTCACTTCAATACTTTGCCTCCCAGGAGCTCCCTCCGGCGTTTGAGGATCAAAGAAAGCAGTATGACAAGTGCCATGAGCAATATCAGTCTGACCATCTGTCATCGTATGGCTTCGCGAATCAAAGCACTTAAGAAGCATAACCTCATCAGGAGTCATATCCTTCATATAGAAGAAGCGATGTCCCTCATTAGGAGCAATGCCATAAGTCTCTCCCTTAACTTCGTATCCATCTGTCGAAGACACCGATTCAGGGTCCGGCGCAACCTCCCCACCCTGCTGCCACCCCTTCGGATAAAGCAAATCAACTTTAACAAAGTCATCCGGAACAGTGCTTCTCCAATCAACAACAGCCAAAGGGAAATCCGAAGCGGGATTCTCAATCGGTCGCCAGACATTGATAATCTGATACCGACCCTTCAACAACTCCTCCACTTCATCTTCGGGCAGATGGCGCCGCACTCGTACTTCCGCTGCCGCGGGCGTCTGATCAACGTGCACAAGTTGGACGGGACTGCGCGCTGAGCCGGGTGTACGGCGTCTGATAGTGTGGTCGAAGATAGCCACTTTTTTCACACCTGGTAGATTCTTGCGGAGCAGTTCTTCCACTTCTGCGTAGTACCCCGCTTGCACGGCGGCGTCGTCGGTAAACAGGCGCTCCTTGGCGGGTGAGTTCAAGACTGCGAAGCCGGAATTGTCGGTGTTGAATTCGGATTCTTGGCCTCGGAGGTTCTCAACTTTGCGCTCCCGGTCTGTGAGAGTGTAGGAGCGGCCTGGGCCGTCGACCTTGCCCCAGGCCTTTTTGAATGGCTCAGTGGCGTGGGGGTCATAGGAGGCCGGGTCGATATATTTGAAAATTGCTGATGTCATTTTGTACAGTATGGGTGATGCAGAAGTTTGGAATTCTAGTGAGGTGAAATGCGCAAAGTCCGGGCAAGTTGAAGCAAACGCAGCTTTTATATGCAGTGAAAGTAGAGAAGAAACTCGGTCTACTGAAGAGTCCGGGGGTTGAAAAGTGATTATTAAGCGTGGCGCGGAGACATTTATCATCAACTGGACAGCGATTATTTCCTCCGTTTCCGACTTGGCTTAATAAGATTGCACCATTTCTAACGAGTAACATCATGCATGTTCGGTTGTGACGGCCTCATTCTTTCGGTCATTCCTCCAAACAAGCAACCAGGAGCTTAAGACACCTGAGATGGCCGCGCAGAGGAAGCACAGGCAAATGACGTATGAGACATGATATGTTGGACCAAACACCGTGCTGTAGATGTGAGGGCCAGCAATTCCACTGAACTGCGCCAAAGCATTTGTGTATCCGATTCCGATTCCCACAGCGACCGTGCCTTCTAGCGCGCGGATACGTTCAGGCCAGATGACTGGATATGCAGAACCGGCACAGGCTGTGGCTACCACCAGGGCGAGGTATTTGACGACTGAATTTTTCACCGTGATCAAAATAATATAGCAGATGATGGTTGTGCTTTCAACTGTTGGTGTTGTTAGCAAGGGTACACCACTATCGCTGAGGATACTTACTCGCGACTGCAGTGGTCCATGGTCTAATCCAACCTTTGTGGAGAAGATACCCCAGGATATTCAGAAAGAAAAAGCACGCAACGTATGGGGGCTGTACTCGTCATTAGCGATGTGCGTTTTGGTTTGTCTGAGACCAGCACTCACAATATTCATCAACTGCGACAGGGCTGTCGTAGTAAAGCCCAGCTCGTAGATCACTGTCGGCAAAGCATAATTCACACCAAACCCTCCAATACCGTGTCCAATCCAGTAAATCGAGAACGTGTAAAGTGTCGGACTCTTCAGCAACGCCTTAAACCCACTCCAATCCCAGCTCTTATCCTTACCAGAAGGAGAAGCGTCAGAGAGCCTCCCTTTCAAAAACTCTCTCTCCTCTTCTGTCAACATTCGCGCCGTCTCGGGATAATCAGGTAACCCAAGTAAGGCCACAACGGACAGTAAAATAGCCGGCAGACCTTCCAAGATGAACAGCCATCTCCAGCCCGAAAGTCCGCCCGCTCCATCCATGTAGCTGATCGCGTACGCCAGCAACCCACTCAATGCACCAGACACCTGGCCAAGGGAATAAAACAATGCGATCCGCCATCGCATTTCCGCAGGTTTATACCAAAAAGCCATGTGGTAGAGCACGGCAGGGTAAAAGCCCGCTTCAGCCAAACCGATAGCGAAGCGCACGCACATCATTCCCGAGAAATTTTGAGCCGCGCCAGCTGCACAGGCGCAGATTCCCCATGAAAGAATCAAGATGAACATCCATCTTGATGGTGTGAATCCTTTCAAGAGAATGGTATTCGTGGGCTCGAAAAACAGGTAGCTGTATGAGAAAATCGATTGTGTCCATGACCATTCTGAGGGGCTGAATCCGAGCTCTTGTTTGATTCCTGTTCCATTTTCGAGATTGATGATCGCCGCATTGGAATAATTGCTTGAGTCTATTACTCGGAATATGTAGACTACCGAGTAGAAACCAACGAGCCAGAAGTCGATCTTCCGCATGACTCGCTTTTCGAGTTCGGCATTGTATGTGTCTGCTTGGATTTCATTTGATGGTGTTGAAGGTATACTGGTAGTTACTACCTTTTCGTTGTTTTTGTCGGCCATCTTGGTACCGCAGATACAAAAATTGCATCCTGAAGTCTCATAATAATTATGTTATCGTGTCTTTAAGTGAATCCATCGTTGACAGGGTTTGCCAAGATAGCTTGATCACGACATGTACCATTGGCAAAAGCCCCGCCGATCATTGCTGGAAATTCGAATCTTTGCTCATTGTTCTTTGATATGGCGGCATTATATAAGATCGGAGGATTAATTCCATCGCGGAGGGTTTATCTGCTATGATCGTGGATATGTGCCTTCAAAGGCAAAATTCAATGAGAAATCCAGGGGCTGATCTGGAGGCACTAGATCACTGGTTGGCTAAAGGTGGAATCCAACCTTAGCGCTGGCACAAGGCCTGGCCCTTATTAAACACACCTCTCTGGGGTTTTCCCAACCGGGCGCCACAGGGAAATGTGGTGCTTTCAACTGCCAAAAGAAAACCCCCGAGACTTGCACAAAGATACTACTTTGATCTTGTCAAATTTTGCCCGCAGACGCCACCTTGCGGAATCAATTTCTTGCTTTGGTTGCTTGTTTGGCTTGGCTCATTGAAGAGCCATGACCTTCCGTCTCTGCTTCAGCATGTACGAGTACATCATCACCGAGCCTACTATCAGTTAGTTGAGCTGCTACATTGAGCAAGCAATGCGACACTTACCAGGCACATATAATCCTAAGAAAAAGTAAAATATGCTGGTCACAGCCCAGTGTTCCGCAACATTGGTCGCATTGTACATCAACCACCACTCACTGCTGATACCGACGGGATACAAGATAATGAACAAAGAATACCTGCATGGCGTTAATCCAAGCTCAAACAGTTAAACAGGTTCGAATCTCACCTCGCCCATTTCAAGGCCCGTGGAATGGGCCAATCCGCCAACATGATAGCGAAATAAGAATATCGGATAGTATCAGCTGTCGCCCAGGCAAGAAGCATGGCGGGATACGCAACAGAAGGCTTCGTGACATCCGGGAAAGCATAATTGATGGCCCACACTTGGACCGAGCGGGCAAAAACCTGGGTAAAGGTCGTGAATACGGGGGAGCGGACAATCCCTGTGCGGTCGGTCAGATAAGTCCATGCCTTCAATGAAAAGGGTGTGCGCTAAGTACCTGTTGCAGCGTGGAGAATCTCAGCCACAGCTAGAGTCTGGGCAAATCGGGTCCATGGCTCGAGTGCGTATACCGATGGGACATCTGAAGAGATTAGAGTTGTGATGGTTGTGAAGAGGATTCGCGCCCAGATGATGGCGCAGGTAGTGTTGTAGGCAAGGAGATACAGCCTGGTCGGCTGAGCTCTTGATTGTGATCCAGCCATTGCGTTGCTTGACTGTGTTGTGTTCAGTGTTGATGGTCAAGTCTGGGGATTTTTTTTATTGTGGTGGCCTGAGGCCACAATCACATGCAAATATCAAGATCTTTGGCTCTTCGACTTGATTTTTTCAATTATGTATAGTTAAGTGAAATAATAATTGAGAACAGTTCAAGAGCATGAGAATATTCGATTCAGACTAGATGTACAAAAGGTCTAAAAGATATTTCCACGGGGCTTTTTTACTTATTCATCGACCAACTACAGCCACTGCCTTTCACCCTGAGGCTGAAGGCCTCCTTTGATGTAGTTAGGAGTATACTCCGTACTGGGGATCATTTCGAGTTTTCGTCTATTCCGATATCTATGCAATCACGGAGCTCAACCGGGAAAAACACATCACATACTCCGAGTACGGGGAACGTGCCGAGGTCCTGTAAACTGTTGAAGCCTGTAAACTCTTGAAGTATGGTGCTAAGAACTTCGAATATGCAGGCAGGTGCTCAGTGACATCCAAAGTCATTCCTCACAATTCCTTAATGACTAGTATCATCGGTTAAAAAAAACCATCCGACCGAGTTCTCGGCACGACAGTTGCCATGTATAACGCCATCTGGAACACGATGATACCATACTAACCCCCGCATCCACAACATGCTGGGAACATCAACAAATAATAATTCAGTAGAGTAAGAAACCTACTCATATAAGAAAAATGCAAGTCTATAGATATTTAGTTGAAAAGAATTGTCCGAGATACCATTCTTGTTCATCATCCTACCAAGTAAACATGGCCCCATCAGCGATAGAACCAGAAGTCCTCACAGAAAACATTCCAATCAAAGCATGGAATCGTCCAGCACCTACTAAAGAAGAGCTCGAATGGGCACCCCTTGTTGAGATTGATCTGTCTCGGTTTGACGAACCCGGCGGCAAACAGGCTCTCGCCGAGCAACTTTACGATGCCGTGACAAGAGTCGGTTTCTGGGTTGTCACTGGCCACGGACTCAGCGATGAGCGTGTGCTTCGACAGTTCAGTATCGGAAATGCCTTTTTCAAGGAGCCCCTTGAGGAAAAGCGCAGCTTCGCTTGTAATTTCGCCGAAGGCGAATACTTTGGCTACCGCGAGAACGAAAGATGGATTGGAGATACGGGAGTCAAGGACAACGTAGAGATGGTACGTCCAAACCCAACTTGTCTCAACTCATGCTAATCTCTATAGCTCAACATACCAAAAGCAATTCCAGTGTGGGATGATCTTCCCAGGCACAGAATAGTGCGCCAGAATTATGATGAGATCGCGAGCTTCCATCGTGATCTTTTCGACAACGTCATCCGAAAGCTCTTTGTGCTGATGGCTATTATTCTGGAATTGCCGGAAGACTACTTGGTTAATGCACACGCTTACGACAAGCGTTCTGATGATCACCTGCGGTACATGATCTACAACACTCGTACCCAAGAAGAATGGGATAAAGCCCAGGCTGTCACTACCGGCGGCCATACAGACTTCGGCAGCTTGACATTGTTGTTTTCACAGCATATCGCTGGTCTGCAAATTCGGACCCCAGAAGGGGATTGGAAATGGGTGAAGCCCGTCGATGGCGGCATTACATGCAATGCTGCAGACACACTCTCCTTCCTCACTAATGGTGAGTAACTTCAATTCTTCCAAGCTCTTCTGCAAAGACATGCTCATCTGGAAACAGGCTTCATAAAATCTACCATTCACCGCGTTGTCACGCCCCCCAAGGATCAAATTCACACACCGCGTCTTGGGCTACTGTACTTTGCCAGACCTGGAGATGATACTATCATGCGAACTGTACCATCCCCTCTTTTGGAGCGTCTCGGACTGCTCACGGCTGAAGAACAAAATTCAAGTGAGCCGGCTCCCACAGGGACTGAATACGTTCGTGCTCGAGTTCGGGATGTACATCACCGAACCGTGATCGATCGAAGAGAGAATACTTCATTCGAGTTCAAGGGACTGAAGGTGCCAAACTACTACAAGTAGGTTTTGATGTTGGTGATCTATAGAGAAGGATATGACTTAATTGATGATCAATTACTCTGTGTACACTCGTGTTCAAGCAATGTTATGCCGCGTTCATTATACCTGAGACTTCAGGGTATATCTCCCGAAATCTACAATTCCCCGTACTAATACAATGAACAATCAAAGTATTACTTAAAGTATTGTCTCTCGGAGTAACTACCATCGCATTCCAGAAGAATTTGCATTTTTCAGCCCCACTTCGGGCATAACCCGTTTTAAAACCCTTCTTTCTCAACAACCATGGCATCAATAACACGCAGGCCAAAAGCCGACCTTTCACCTGAGCAGCGAAGTGCTATAATTCAAGCATTGGAAGCAGGTCAAAAAGCGCCCGCACTTGCCAAGCAATTCAACTGCTCCCCAAACACAATTCGGTATACTTTCAAACGATTCCAACAGCATTCAACTGTCGATTCGCTCCCTAAAAGCGGTCGCCCACCTATCTTTGATGATCGGGCTACACGCTCGATTTGTCGTTTAGCCCGTACGAATCCTCATTGGAGCTACAAAGAGCTTTGCGCAAACCATTCTCTCAGACCCTCTCGAAGCACTGCACGCCGATATGTTCTGAAAAAACTACGTGGCAAGAGAAAGATCCCAATTTCAAAGCCATTGGCAAAAGAGCGGGTGAAAGTCGCCCGAAAAGGGCGTAGTAAACGTGTATACAATTCTGCAGCCAATCGCCGCCCACTCTGAACCCACGCGAACGAGTCAACTCCCACCCTTCGAAGCGAACTCAACTTCCGATATGTCGACTGCTGTTAACTGCAAGGATCGTCGCGGTTTCTCGGAGACGGATCTCGCGCTTCATCCCGGTGTCATTGGACTTGGGCCTAGTTGCATTCTGGGGAATTCCACACGGCACGGAGTGGACCGAATGAAATGGCCGGCCACAAGCCAACATTGCTCGTGCAGAGAGCGCGCCCCCTGATTCGAGCACAGTGATTCTCTCTCAGCCCTAGCCTCATTCTTCATGCTCGTTTATACTGTCCGAGTGTCCGTGTGAATGCTTGGCATGGCGCGCGGAGTAAACCGCCCGATAGAACGTTGCTTGTCGGACCTCACGCAGGATCGTGTACCTGCCAATCCCACCTGGGCGACCAATCACGTCGAGGAAACGGAGTAATTAATACTTTCGGTTGCAATGAAGGATGTTCCGATAGCGATTCGGCTGCCAATCAGAGGGGTTGCATTTCAACAATATTCACCCCGTGGTACCACTGAGTTTTGATTAAACTCCCCGCAAATTGATCGCACTCTCTCTATCCCACGGCATCTAAACGGGGAGTGACCGAGACGATGAGCTCTAGGGCAGCACGTGGGAGGGGGTGAGTGACGGGTGGTCAAGAATGCCGGGGATGCTGGATTGCAATATGCAGGAACAGCATATAAGAAGGGCATCAATGCCCGCATGTGAGAAACTCATCAAGCCTTCCACACTGCAAAACAATTCCCCTTGATTCTACATGAATCTCAGTGCTCTCCTGGGTCTCCTGACCTTTGCGGCGGCAGTCTCTGCCGCCCCTCCCAAGGGCAACTCCCGGTCTCATTCCTCGGCTTCCATTGCCAATCTCAAGAACAAAATCAAGAATGTAGTAATTCTTGAGATGGAAAACCGCTCATTCGATAACTTGCTTGGTGGCCAGACCACCAAAGGACTTGAGAACCCAATTAACAACGGTCCCTTCTGCAACCCTTTCAATTTGACCGATGCTTCCAAAGGCAATGTTTGCAGCTCTGCTAAGGACTTTGACTCTATTCTGGATGATCCCGATCACTCGGTGACCGGTAACAACATCGAGTTTTACGGGACATTCACCCCGAGCAATGCCGCCATTGCCAGCGGCAAGCTAACTCCCACCCAACAGGGTTTCGTGCACGAGCAACTGCGTCGTTATGGCGACGATGTCGATAAGGCGGCTCTGGCAAAGCAGGTCCTGAACTACTACACCGAGGATGAGGTTCCTGTGTTTACCTCGCTGGTGCAGAACTACCTCACCTTCAACCACTGGCATTCGGATCACCCTGGAGTAAGTATGCGCCAACCCCAGTCCACACAAAACTAACGAATCGCACCAGCCCACCAACCCCAACCGTGCTTTCGTTCTATCAGGAACATCTAGCGGCCACGGAACCAACGATGAGTCTTTCGACTCTGACGTTCACGGTCTGACCCAACGCTCCATCTTCCAGCAGCTCTCCGAGACCAACCACACTTGGAAGAACTACTACACAAGCACCGATATGATTGATGCCTACTTCTTTGACTGGACCTTCACCAGCAACAACACCGACAAAGCAGAACCGTTGAAGAACTTCTACGCCGACGCCAAAGCCGGAACTCTCCCTGAATTCTCATTCGTCGACCCCTCCTGCTGCGGCGTCGGAACGAACTCCATGCATCCTACCGGTCTAGTCTCAGAGGGTGAAACTCTGATCAAAAACGTCTACGATGCCCTCCGTTCCAGCCCCCAGTGGAACGAAACCCTCTTCATCCTTACCTTCGATGAGACTGGTGGCTTCCACGACCACGTTCCTCCTCCCCTAGCTGCTCGCCCTGACAACCTCACTTACACCGAGACCGCTCCCAATGGCGAGAAGTACACCTTCTCCTTCGACCGCCTCGGTGGTCGAATTCCCACTTTGCTGATCTCGCCCTGGATTGCCAAGGGCCAGGTTGAGCAGAAGGGAACCAACTCTGATGGAAAGGTTGTTTCCTACTCTGCATCCTCCATTCTGCGCACTTTGGGCTACCTTTGGGATTTCAAGCCCTTTACGCCTCGCGTGGAAACTTCTGCTTCGTTTGAGCATCTCATTCAGAAGAAGGTGCGGTCGGATACCCCTGTTGCCTTGCCTGCGCCCAAGGCTTTCAAAGTGAAGGTCTGATACACTTGGGGCGAATTAGATGATGCTTAATGCCTTGATATTTCTGATATGGAATTTATATGATGATAGTTTCGCTCAGTATAACTCATTTGCCTTTTTTTTGAAAGTAAAAAAAGAAAAGAAAAGAAAAGAAATCATGTTCATTTGATAAAGAGATGATAACCTTGGAAGTCTACTCCGTACAGCGACTGTTGCTTTGGTGTCTACAGTTTACCATAAGCTCAGGTATACAACTGTCTTGCCCAACTACTCAACTGCTCAAGTATTACCGTGCTCTAGATATGGTCCCCTCACCAAGGCTTTTGCTCAAGAAATCGCATCATCTAGCATCCCTAGCATTGACTGCAACATTAACCCTTACCCGATCTGTGGTCAACGCGACAGGAAACCCCGTGGCTTGGCGTAGGATACAAGCGGTGAGAAGATTTTGTGACTAGACCACGTCGAAATCAGTCCCTTTGTGGACGCAACAGTACTCAAAACACTCATTTTGAAATTTCATGTCACCATGATCGAACCTGAAGACAGGTTCTGGTCCGAAGGCCAGAATTATTGCGGCCCACGCGAGATCCCCACCACACCAAGTTATTGCAACGTCTGGGATTGGGATCAGCTTCGGATGATCAAGGTCAAAGGCACCGCCAAGTTGTTTCCACCCGAAGAAGATAGAGAGCTCTCAATCATCGCCCGGTTGGCTGATTATTTGTCCCCGGAAGTTTCCGCCATCACAGTCGACGACGACGGGCTCCTTACCGAGGTCTCGACAGATCCGGAAGAGGACGATACTCTGTTTCTTGCATATGTTCCGTTCTCACTATGTGAATCACTCGTCGATTGCCGTACAATCCAGTACTCCAAACTCCAAGAGCTCGATCGACTCGGGCCATTTGTTGATCTAAGATTATACAAAGACGAATTTGGGATTTCCCAAAAGGTTGCTTTCAAATTCAATGTTCTGAATAAGCCTTTAAGGATACAAATGGCCTGGGACGAACTCAACATCCTCAAATCTCTCCCACCACATCCTAATATTATACCATTTGATCGCGTGGTCCTTGAAGACCAGGAGTCCCGGGTGATTGGATTTACTACGAAGTATATCTCAGGTGGAAACCTCGCCAATCCCGACATTCCTTTCCGATTCGAGTGGCTACAGCAGCTTACTGAAGTCGTGGATTTCCTCAACCTAGAGCTAGGGATTATGCATCAAGATATCGCACCCCGAAATCTGCTTATCGATCCTTGCACCCAGAAGATCGTTCTCTTTGACTTCGATCGAGCTGCATCCGGAAAACAACGACTATACGACGGTCGAGACGATGTTATGGGCGTTGCATTTACACTCTACGAGCTTATCACGAACGACACATCCTTTTCAGATATCCCTCACTGGGATCGAAATATTAACATGGTGCAAAGTATCCCAGAGTGGACTAGTCATCGTGAGCTAGACTCTGAGGTATCGAAATTCCGCAGTTTTCTAAGTGAATGGATCGCAACACGGAGATCTGACGGGGCTGGGGATATGGAGCGATATCTCAATGCACCACGCCGATTTACGTGGCCGGACACTCCAACAGCACCTTATTACAATGTGCTGTTCGAATTGGGCACAACCTCGGATGGAAAGCCAAATTGGACCACTGGCCATCGATCTAGACACACAGCAATGAAGATGGGGCAGTATTGTTTCCGCTGGGAGAGGCTCCCGCAGAGCCGCTGTTCGATCGAGGCTGAGCATGGCGTCAAGCAGTGATCTCGGAAGCTTTGTGAATGACATTTGAGCCCGGACCACTCTTGGATTCCTTGGGTCTAGAAGAAAACTCTTGGCTGCATCGCAAAGACAAAGCCCTCCTCTTTTGCCCAGCCCTAGAGGCCCCATGGCCATGGCAAAGTGGATTCGTTTTCGGTGAGAAGAGATAGTTGAGACTACTCCGTACAGCAGGAGGCTTAGTACGTCGAACCAAAGATCACCGTACGGGGTACGAGCGCCCTTGGTAAAACGGCGGCCGTCCAGAGGGTTAAACTGCACCCGCCAGAGAAAATACGAGTTTCTGCACAGCCCGGGAGTATTCTATACAATTTCGTCCATTTCACCTGCGTTCCACAACGGGGTAGAATTATGCAATAAGCTTGAAGTCACCCGATTATCAGAGTTTGAAGTAAATAATCGTCAAGCTGTTTCAAAAGATTACATTACAAATAGATTAATTTCTGCCTCCGGGTCGACTTCCAAGGTTTAGGTTGCTGTATTTCTGAAGTTCCACCTGGGCACAAGTCTACTTGTAGAGCCCCTTAGAAATAATCTGTGTCACCATGCGCGATGCGCCCAAGGCCATGATAAAAGGTCCAATCATGGCTTGTTCCTAGCCCACTCTATACCCCTTGTGCCTCCATGTCCCGGGGCAATAAAAGGCGTAAAACTATGCGACCAGGTTGCCCTTTGTGCCCCGCGGTGATGTCATAGCCGTGGGGCGTTTTCGGCCTGTACTTCGCCCCAGTGGAGAAAGAAAACGCAGAGAACTTCTAGAAGGAAATCTGGGAACTAGTGACATGGGAATATCCAGTTCATTCTTGTCTTCTACGAGGAGGTGTGAAAATTTTGGAATTTCTACAAAAGACTTGAAGGTTTGGTATGTAGCAAGACCCGCAAGTCTATTGGGTATCTTTCATGAAATGACTTGAAACAGACCGGGCGTCATGTAAATTTATTGGAAGGTACAAAATGACGGCAGATCATTGAAACTGAGCGACTGTCAAAACAAAGTCTATCCCATAGTATGTTTGGTGTGTGTACTCGTACTTGTAGTAGGCCTCGTATCAAGCCCGGGTATCAGACACAGAACCGTGGATGCCTTGGACCCGTTGAAACCCATGGGTTGAGACGGGAAGCGCCAAACATTCGAATATCAACAGTCACTTCTACTTCTACTTCTACTTCTTCTACTTCGACTTCTACTTCTACTTCAACTCGACTCTTTGCATATCTAAGCCTCTACTTCTTGTGCATACTGTGTTTTGCCACAGCCTCGTTACAAAGAGCCTCACGTGGCAACTGCTTTATCTTCTTTGCCTCTTTCCTTTTGTTTTTTTCCTTTTTCCCATTCTTCGCCATCTGCCCACTTTGATTTTCTTCCTACTCCGAGTCTTCCGGGTTCTTCGGGGCTAGTGCTAGCTTGCAGATCATCAGAGGCTGAGTCTGTTGGCCCGAGTCTCCGCCCTCTGCCCTACCGGCTTTTCTTTCATCATTCTGAATCATTATTCAGCCCAAAGAACCGGGTTTCGGCTTGGCTGTTTCTGATTCGCTTGAGGCACCTCATCGCCAATCAGGCGGCCAGAAACATCCCCGACCAGTAGTCGATCACAGCCTCTCTGCAAAACCCCCACTCTCCTGCCGCCCCCCTCAATTTCCTGCATTGTGCATCTTACTTTTTTTCTCGCCTTCTCGACACAAACTTCTTCACTCTTTGTTACAACCCTCTTGACTTATCCCATCCCATGTCATACTACAGCCGCGAGAGGGACTGGGACGATTCCCGTCCCGTCACAATTAAGCGTTACGTCATTCCCCCCGAAGACGAACGTCGAGACTTCATGTCGAGACATGAAGATCCGTACGCCGGCGAGCGCGAAATGGTCATTCGTCGCAAGACCGATCGCGACGAGCCTGTGAGCATTCAGCGTTATGAGCGAGAGGTGGACTACGAGACCCCCGCACGCTATGAGCGATACTACGAGGAACGTGAGTACTACCCTTACAGGAACCGATACACCCGATCCATGGAACCCCTGGAGCGAGTGGAGCATCCCCTGAGCCGCGAACAGTCACTGATTCATGAAGCCCGTCATTCGTACACCAGTCCCCGGGAATCCGAGTACGATGTGGTGCGTCGCTCCGAAGCCGACGAGGACCCTTATTACTACCATCGCCACCGTCGAGTCCGCGAGTACGATGACCGTCGTTCTCGACGAGAGTTGAGTCCCAGTGATTCCATCTCTCAGACTAGTCGCCGACGCGATCGCGACCAGGACTACAGCAGCGATGACAGCATGGTGTACATTCGCAAGGAAACCCACGGCTATGAGGACCACCCCCACCACCGCCGCCACATGCTCGAGGGCGCACTGGTAGGCGCCGGTGCAGCTGAGTTGATGCGCAGCCGGAGCAAGAAGGACGGAGAAAGCAGCCACGGGGCCAGCCGTATTGGCAAGACGGTTGGTGCGGGTGCTTTGGGTGCAGTGGCTGTCAACGCTGCTTCCCGCGCACGCGAATATTACCGCAGCAAGAGCCGTCACCGCTCTCACTCCTTTGATGATAACCGTTCCTCTCACTCCCATCGCCATAGCAGGCACAGCTTGCACAGTCACAGTCGTCATAGCCGGAGCCGTAGTCGCTCTCACTCGCATTCGCGTGCTAAGACTCTGCTTGAGTTGGGTGTTGGTGCTGCTGCCGTTGCGGCTGGTGTAGCTGCACTGCGCAGCAAGTCTAATGCCGGAGAGCGCAAGGGTCGGTCCCGCACTCGCTCGCGCTCCCGTGCTGCTAGCCGTGGTCGCTCGGAGAAGAGCGAGAAGGATGAAGACCGGAACATGTCAGAGCGCCGCAAGCACATGGCCGGCGCGGGCTTGGCTGGTGCAGCTGTGGCAGGAATCGTGGACAAGGTGCGCAGCCATTCACGCTCCCGCAAGGGCGAACGCTCTCGCAGCCGCAGCCGTCTCAGACAAGCCCTCCCAATCGTGGGAGCTGGCCTGGCTACTGCAGCTGCCACAGGCCTCTACGAGAAGAAGAAAGGCGAAAAAGATGAGAAAGAAAGTAGCCACCGGGGTCGACACCGCTCCAGATCTCGCAGCCGTGCGCCATCACAGTCCTATCCCGACCCGGCGCGCGACTCGGCCGGCCTGATCGAATATGGCAATGACCCAGTCGCAGGCAGCATCCCTGCAGAGCACTACTATGGCCAACCTGGCTCCAGCCAGCCCTACTTGGAAGGACCTGAATCCTACGGCGCACGCCGTCAAACTCGCAGCCGCAGCCGCAGCCGCGGAGGCCGCTACAGCAGCTCCTCAGGCTCCGACCGGGACCGGGACCGTGGTGATCGACGCCGCAAGCACCGTAGCCGCTCGCGTGACCTCGCAGGCGCGGCCCTCAGTGCCTCTGGTCTCGGGTATGCGGCCCACAAGTTCAACGAGCGACGAAAGTCCAAGGAGCGAGAACGCGAACACTCCCACTCACGTAAGTCCCTGACCCTCTTTCTTCCACGAGATATTCACCCTGACTAGTGGCGTAGGCTACAACGATCGCAATGAACATGCCCGGGATCCTTATGAGGAATCCTACGACCCAGAGCCTTACGCCCCTTACCCGCCCTCTCCCCATGCAGCTCCCCCAATGCAAGACCCTCACTACTACCCCAATGGACCCCAATTTCCTCCTCCCCCAGGCGACTCAACTCACAACCTGAATGCCACCCCTGCCCCCTACAACCCGGCTGATTACCCTCCACCCCCTGGTGCCGCCCCTCCCTCGCAGCCGTATGCCTACGGCGCAGGTCCAGAGCAGTACCGGCCTCGTAGAGCCGATGAGAATGTGAGATCCCCGTCTATCCACGAGGGTGGGTTCTTAGAACCGCGGTTCTGAATCACAAGCTGACTGTGTCTAGGTTTAAACAAGCTGCCGTCATCACGATCGAACAGCCAACCTGCGTCGAAATCCGTGGCATTCAATCTTAACAATGCTCCTGATGATGGGTATGAGTCGGACGATAGTACTTCTACCATCGGACCGCATGGCCAGCACAATCGCCATCATCATCGCCGCCGCTCTTCATCTGTGCCCCACTCCGTCCATGCGTCTCGGGGAGACCACAAAGGCTCCGATGACTCTGATTCGACTATTGATTTGCCAAATCGATTCGATAGTCAGGGTCGACTTCTGGATCGGGATCCTGCCGTTGAGAAATTCGAGGACTTGGTCAATCGCTTTACCAAGGTCCTGTTCTAGCCTCCGAGGTTTCTTTGATGCCCCCCTTTGCTTTTTGGTGATGACCTTTCTCGGATGGGTGGCTCTGTGCTTTTAATCGTTATTTCCTTGCTCATTGCTCTCTGTACTCATTGACGTTTTCCATTCCCCCTTTTTATTTGGTACATTATTTGGTTTTATCTCTTAGCTTTTGAGGACGATGCCCCGCGCCAACGATTATGATTTATGAAGTGTATGTACCCCAGATATTGGAATGATCTTTATTTTGAAGAATCTGTCTTCTGGGCGTTGTAGATCTGCCCGAGTCCAGTCCGCGAGCCCATAAGCCTAGGATATTGACAGAGTGAAGAGGATCAGCTTTGGCTGCCATTGTCCTGAATGTATGCGGATACACTAACTAGTCTCATAACCCACTTTGTTCGGATATCCCTATTGGCAACCTATTTATATCCATCCCCTAGTGCATCAACTAGTCTAATCAGAAATGTCTCACTTGTGCTTCGAATGCCACCAAAAGACGGGTCCCCTGTCAGACAAGACGTCAAAGTCGATTAGTACCACATCATGGACGCAATAACAGACTCTTACAAACAGGGCTCTCTTCGTTATTTTTTCTTTCATGGCAACCATGGAGTCGTCCCTATCCCCCAGCAGATGACCATCGATGCCCACATCGTGGTGTTCACCGGGAAAGGTCAAATGTAGGTTTCCACTTAAGCAAAGGGTCGTGTCAAAGAGGCTAATGAATCAGTTTGCTCGAGACCAGTAAAGGACCACATTACCACTTCAACAGCGGGGTCTATGAAAACAATGATACCTTACCAGCAAAGCCATTGGTCGAAAAGATTCTGAAGAATGTATCTGTTCCAGCCCTTGTTTTAGCTGAGGTTCCAATGTAAGTATTTCCCAGTAGCTGGTATCTCACTGCTAATGACCTCGTAGCACCCAAATGGGCATGGACTTCCAAACATCTGATCCATTTCTCTATGTGTATGTTGTCTTTCCTCCTCTGCCGCCTTATATCTAAACAATATTCTTCAGTGCCATCCAAGTCCTTGGGAGGAGCGACCTTCCCCCCTGCACTTCTTGCGATAGAGAATACCTAGCCCTGATGATGCAGGCTTTCGTGCCCCGGGTTTTAATTTCACTGGCTCCAGCAGCTAGCGAGTACCTCCCTGGAGATGCCCGTAATTTGGTCATCGATATTGCCAATGGGATGAAACTCATTGAAGAGGACCATGAATTCCGTATGTTCATCTCGATGTATCGAGGACGTTATGTGCAAAAGCCATTGTCGCACCAGGAAGTCGTGGAGCTTTGTCTGCTTCATATTCTAAAGATGCCTTTCGAATTGAGGTTGTCCATTCAAAGTTCTTTGATTCGTTATTAATTATTGTATCTACTACATCTTGTAATTGAGATGGTTGAAAACACAGTTGAATCACATAGATGTGCAAGTATCTTAGGACGGTGTATAACGTCCAAGTGTAGCTTGGTTACGCACATCTATAGATAGAGTCATCTTGCCCTTGTCACTATTATTCCAGTATATTCATCGCCAGGGACTGCTAGGAGGCAGCCCTTACAAAGATATAATGATGAAATATGTAAAGTTAAGAAGGGAGAAGAGGGAAAAGCTATGGAGAAGGGCTATCTATATGTTGTTCTAAAGTTGCTGTTTACATCCTGAGGTACTCGGGGCTATCTACATAGCAGGGGAAAAGGGATACATATTAGTCTACTATTCCAAACACACGTATGAGCAGCAACACAACTTGATCTTGTCATAAAGATAGATACTTAAGTATAATAGTCAACTAAGGTCATGCAATAGGAACACTCGCAACGCTTGCTCTCACCGGCGATGACCAGATTTTCATACCTGCCAGTATGATCGATGCCAGTGCGTTAGCAACCTTCTCCCATCCGTCTTGGTCAACATGAAGAAATTGCGCTGCAACATGTCCCTTCTGGTTCAGCTCGTAAAAAGAAAACTGCTCGCCAGTGCTCAGAATTCCGTACACCGTCAAATTGGTCTGACCTCGCTTTTTCCGGGTTGCTTCCATCTTGGTCAACATCATGTTGCAAGTGCCCTTTGCCTCAGGTCAAGATGTTTTTGGCGATGTGCCTGTCATTCTCTGTTTTCGCTCTCTACGGTTGTCAAACGCTGTTGAACGGTTGCCACGCTGCTTCTGACCTGTTGCATGAATTTGATCATGTCGTAGCCGTCCTTGTTTGCTGTGATGCTTTCAAGCGGGTAGTGCTGAAGGTCCGAGGTCTCCTGTTGCATTTTCATGATGCAGGCATTCAAGGGATTGTCTTGCTTTGGAATCGAGGACTTGTAGGCAATTTGGATGTTTTCCTAAAGTGAAAATGAGTCAGTCAAAACTTTTGTGTGAAAAGAGAAAAACTTACTTGTGACGTGGTTGACGGGTGTTGAGTTAATTGCTTTTTTGGGACAAGCGATTGATTCGTAAACTCGGTCGAATTTTGGAGTTGAAGATCAGGGGCAATATAGCGAAAGTTGGGATGTCGGATAGGAAGACCCAAAAGGAAACGTTTGAGAAACGAGGCCGCTTTTATGGAAGACGCTTCAATGGCCGCTTTGGGATATGGGAGAGATATGCTTTTCTGACCACAATCCTCGAAAGATTGTGTCAAAGGTGATGGAAGTCCAGTCTCAATAGCATCGAGAAGTTGAGTAAAGGCTGTCAGTGAGGCTGTTATGTAGGGTCTTCGTCCCAAACCCCATATGTAGATAGCTCGAAGCCTTCTAGCTTCTCCCTTCTCTGTCTTTCTCTCCCCCCAGTGATTTCAGTCAGTTCCCTTCCGCTTTCTCTTGCCAGCCAGTCTCAACAAACATGTAGAAATTGGGCCGCAACATGTCCCATCTGGTTCAACTCGTAGAAAGAGAACTGTTCGCCAGTGCTGCGCATGCCGTACACTGTCCAGTTGGTTTGACCACGCTTTTTTCCGGTTTGCTTGCACCATTGCCATATAGGCTAGAATTTGGCCTTCACCATCCTGGGAGCATTCATGCTTGGCGTCTATCAATACAACATGACATGCCATATGGTCATCTCCAAACAAAAGGGAATAGTCTGCCCGACCTAAGCAAATATGCGGCTGGCGGTGATACATGACTAGCCCCCAAGAGAACGCTCTCCCATATGACAATGTGACGGGAGGCTGTTGCGTAGGGCATTCGCCCCAAAACCCATATGTCAATAGCTCGCAGCCTTCGAACTTCTCCCTTCTCTCTCTTTCTCTCCCCACAGAGAGTCAATCAATCGGTTCAGTCTTCTCTCCCTCTCTTGCCAGTCAGTCTCAACATAAGGGTATCTATCTTCAATCGGACTCGAGCCTCAGTGGGTTTCGCGCGCTCGATGAGGGTCTCAATAACTTTGGGATCATTCCCTAGTAAGGGTAACATATCAGTCAGTGATACTGGACCGCTAGTAAAGGGTGTATTTACTCACAAAAGGACGCGGGGAGTTTTATGGCCATGTTGGGGACATTCCATGAGTCGGAGCTCTTTCGGAACTTGATGCCAAACGCACGACATGTCTCATGTCGTCATTTCGCTCGGGTTGAGAGTTGGGATATCCGAAGATACCTGGGCGATGTGTTCCATGAGGGGGGCTGGGACATCGTAGTGCGAGGCGGAGCTTATCAACTTTCGATACCATTTCTTGAGGCTGTTAGAGCGAGTTTTGGTTCTTGTTATTGTAGTGTAGTTCTTGTTTTTGTAGTGTAGTTCTCGTTATTGTAGTGTAGTGAACAGCTGCAAAGGTAAAGAACTGCTAGTGACTCTTCTTGCCTCAAATGTTGCCAGCGAAACTGAGTTTTTCCAAACCTTGGAACACCACCGCGAGCCAAAATGGCCATATAGTCCATGGGTGGCGACCCTGAACACGCCAAATCTTCGATGTTTTGCGTAAATGCAGGCTTAGCCATTCTTCAACAGATTGTACCAGTAGTCATCCAACTGATATACCTCCTCAATCTCCTTTTCATAATCCTCAACAACCTTTCGGCGCTGCGTACTACCTTTTGGAGTCGTGGGGAACGGCTTCCCCGGTGACGCAAGCCCAATCCGCATGATGCTAATCTGCACACCGTGAGGTGCGAGCTCATTCGCCTTCTCAACAGCAGGCCAAATTGCGTCTTTGTATTCCAAAACAGCCGATTCATTTCCGCTTGACAGGCCCGAGTTTGCGTATGGCTCGACAAGGAGCGCCAGTTGAGATCTGCGGTTCCCAATGACTACCGTCCGAGAAACAAGAGAGTGGCTTTCGATGAGCTTCTCCATTGGAACAGGGTTAATCTTGTGTCCACTGTTCAAAGTAATTGTGTCATCTAGCCGACCTTCATACTTCCACAAACCCAGTCGAGTCGGATGCGGGCTGAACAAATCCTTGGTATGATACTCCGTCAGATCTGGAAATGTGTGGAAGATGCCGTAGATATCTCTGGTTTCACCGCGTAGAATCACCAATTCATACAGCTTGTTATCATTGTCGGCTGGGTCCATCCGAAGGTGATAATTCGGGTTCCACTCAAAATATTCCCAGTCCGCCTTGTTCTCTGGGACAAGGGATAAGACAAGACCGAGTTCGCTTGCTCCCATGACGGATACAAGATTGGTTTTCTTATTTATTGCCTGCCCAATGCCTGGTGCTAGGGGTGCTCCGCCGATGCAAACCATATTCACAGTGGATAGTACTTCCAAGGCAGAGGCTGATTGGCCTACTGCTTCAACCAGGGTTGGCGTGATGACGGCCACAGTTGGACTCTCCGCGCTGATCAGTTCGACCAATGTATCGACTGTGAGTGATAGGGCCGGTGGAGGGTAGACGAATGGGGCTCCGTGGAACACGGACATCACCCCAGCAAATATTCCCATAATGTGGAAGAATGGAGCCGTGGACAGGAAAAGGTCGTTTTGGCTGAGATTGTTGGGAATGGCCGACATTCTTCCTTTCGGAACAGCAACCTGGCCTTGTTTGTCCATGGTGCCCAGGAATCCGTGCGTGAGGTGAATTGGCTTGGGAACACCTAGGGACTGTCAGATTTGAGGAAGCAAGTGGTGTTTTTCATTTGTCGCGTACCCGTCGTTCCAGAACTGTGGATTATCACCGCAGTTTCGTCCTCAATCGCCCCATACGCCGTGTCATATGGATAGTACCGCGAAAAGTTCGCGATCATTCTTTCAAAACTGGGCATCTCTATCACTGTCAAATCTGCCTTGGATGCTTTCATCTCTTCAACTTGATGTTTCAAAGTCGAACTGAAAAGAACTCCAGAGCAACCCGTTTTATCCAAGAGCGCACATTGCACATCAACACTGTTTTTCGTCGAAGGCAAGAAGGGCTTCCTGGTCAGTATCATGAAGCCACAATGTTCTGCAATGAGCAACTTACCTTGAAACCAGCTTTTTGACAAGCTACAACAAACAATAGGTATCGGATGTCATTGTCGCCAAGGTAGAGCAGGGCCTCGTTCTTGTCAGAGGCACCAAATGATTCGGCGATAAGCCATGCAGTCGAATCCACAGCCTTAGACAGAGCTTCAACTTCCACGGATGAGAATCCATCGGCAACCCGAGGACCGTTGGGTGCTTTGCAGACCAACCTAGTCGGGTGCTCCCTGGCTAAATTGTCCACGACCGCGGCCATGGTTCGTTTTCCCGGTGTCTCATGTTCTGGTGACATTGGAAGTAGTTGATTGCTGAATTGTTTTGTAGTATGAGTGTAAGAAGAATTGTATCATTCTCATGCTGGTTCTCGCTCGTTTAAGTATCTTTGAACATCTGCAGAGGCTCGGTTCCTTGTGCCGGCTCATAATAGTGAATGAGCTGTGTCGATCACCTGGACGAACTTGAGGGGGAGCTAGAAAGCTAATCGATGCACCCCACGTAGATCTTCTGGCCTTTCGACGTCAATCTGTGCTCATAAGGTATGCATAATTTTCATTTTGGTGGATTCTGCTTGCCTGGTACTATGACGTGTTGGCATAAATGGGGGATCTTGAAATCGGGAACATTGTGCCGAAAGTTTGATGCTGGTTGGGGCCATCGTCAGTGAAGCCATCAGATCATATGGACCCAGCCCAGGCATTAATTGTCGGTAAGGGATGTTGCCAAGCAGGGATCTCCAACTCTTGAAGGTTCATGCCCAAGACCATGCAAGCTAAAAACATGGTATTGCTTGTATATTGCGTATTCATTGGAGAACAAGGGTCGATCACTGTGCCGGTGTTCCGAAAAGAATTGGGGAAGCCTGCGCAAGATTTCCTCAAGACTCTGAGATATGATTCATTTCTGATCCTCAACTCCGGAGCTGCAGGTCCGGCTCTATACTGCAGCATATCAAAAGTGGGTTGAGGAAAAGACATCAGGCCCCTCTTTAACAATCTTTGCTCAGACTAGCAAGCTGATGAGTTGATAGTCACGGGGTGAGCTTCCATTTCTGAAGCACCGGTGCTCAGCTCCGATTTCCCGGTCGTCTTCAGATGCCAATAGACTAGAACCGATAGAGAAAGAGAAAAGAAAAAGTAAAAAGGAAGTGATGGGGTTCGACCCCCAGCACTTCCTTTGGGGGAACCGTGGCACGAAATAGGTACCCATCCCCTGGATGGAATTCCCTAGGAGTGTGCACCCTCAACCAGGGAGCTCGACCACTGCCGAGGGTCGAACCCTTAGACCACGGGAAACCCCCATGACGAATTTGGTCCTTATCTTCTACTTATGGGAACATTTACAGTATGTGCCTTAGGAAAACCAAACATTACAATGTATACCTAAGGTAGTGGCCTACATTCTGGATCTTAGTCAGGTGCTGGTGCTTCTCCAGCTCCCCGAAACGGTTTTATACAAACTTAACTCCGTGATTCCTAAGATCTCAATACACCAAAATGTGGGGACTAAAGTTGGCCAAGTCCCTGGTCCGGAGATAATGAATGCCCGCGAGGTCTCCCGCATTTGCAGAGAGCTCCAAGATTCCGAATGGTACATCAAATTACAAACAGTATTCAGATTCCGCGTGCACGGCTTGTGTCAAGATTCCGTCGTGGTCCGAAGATCGACCATGGACCATTGAACACGCCTGTTGGTCCATGGATCGTCGCCGCACAAGATTTCCAAGTCCAGTAGAGTCCAATCGGCATTATCCCACTTGATCAGTCCACCCCACACCCGACGCCTCCGCCCCATGAACCAATCGGCATTAACCCACTTCCCGGAACTCACCCACTTCCGGGGCAAACCAGTTTTTCTTAGACTGGCATATCAAAGTAATTCATTGACATAATTTTTCACGGTGATTTCAGTCCCCCAAGAAGATGCTCATAAGGGAATGTATCCTCTTTTCGCGTATTAAGAAATTAGGAGCACAGAGATGTATTTGTAGATCGTTTGAAAGGTCTGGATGGTAGCGTCACAAGACAAGCCTCTCGTATGTCAGAACTCTGATCGAGTAACAAGCTAGAAGTTGAGCCCTTTGACGGTATCCCAGAATAGTCGAAATAGATAGCATTACATCGAACTTGGAAGTAGCAGGAAACGAGCGTTTTATTTTGAAAGTCTGTCTATGTTGGTTTTAATCTAGTCCACGGTCCAAGCTTCATTGCCTGAGAGTCCGTTCTCTTTGATTCGATCAGAGTAGAGCACAAAGCCCAAGAGCCTCGTGGGAAACAAACGGTCTCACTGAACACTCACGACATCGGGAGAACACCGGCATTTTCGTAGGCCCGCATGGTGCCCAGCCACGCGCGGTATGTGTCATCACTGCGTTGCCAGCCAAGATCTCGGGCTTTGCCACTAGTGCCAGGGAACGGGCCTTTCTGCAGCGAAGGTGTGATGTACCAGTTCATCAAGGCAAAGGCGTCTAGCTGGAATGCCTCGGCGTCACCACCGCTTCTGGCAACTATTTTCTCCCAGGTAGATTTCTTATCCTTGGCCCACTCGGCCAGGTCGATGGATTTGGTCTCTGCTGTGGGAGCTTCGAAGTCGGCCATCGGGGCCTTGAAGTACTCAGCCAACAGGTGCCACAAGTGTTTCCAGACAATCACATCACTGTTGACGTGGTTGAAGGCTTCGTCCTTGCATTGGTCATTGGTAGCTGCCCAGATAGTTAGGTCGGCGATACCGGGGGCATAAGACTGGCTCTCGACTCGGTTCCAGCTTTCTAGGGTTCCGGGCCACTTCGGAGACTGTCCGAGCTCACGGCAGATGAGGAAGTATTGGGCAATCGGAAGTGTTTCATTGATTCCGAGATCTGTAAGAGATTTGTTAGTCTCCAATGAGAGTCGGGTGCCTTGGAGATTCTCTCACATTGCCAGCTGAAACCGATGATGCCCCAAGGACGGATGATGTTATAGTTCCAAGTGTTACGACGCTTCTGAATAGCGAACAAGTCGTCTTCCTGCTCATAGTAGAAGATGTTCTCGGGGCCTGTGTAGCGAGGCGTGTCCTCCACAGGGGGGGTGTTGAGGTCCCGGTGTTGGAATCCATAGTGCTGGCAATTGTCAGATTGATTGTGCTTGGAAGGTGATGCTCTTACCTTTCCTCCAGTCTGTAGAACAACACGCTTCAATCCAGGGCAAGCCAAATCCGTTGCCTCCAGGAAGTTGCGGAACAGAGGGCCGTTCTTCACGTGGAGGACAGAGAAGTCATTGTCATGGACGTAAGAAGTGAAGAAGGCGTGGGTGACGTTCTTGCACAGACCCCTGATCTGCTCGACAATCTCCTCAACCGGTCGTAAGAAGTCGATTGCAACGAATCGAACTCTGGGGTCGGTGTAGATAGACTTGATCGGACTCCTCGAAGTGATGATGATATCGGACCTTGAGAATGTGATGATTAGAGCTCATTTCTCTTGATTGACATGGGTGCAGGCAAAAGATGAAGAGTCTCACCATTCACTGTCTGGCTGCTTGACAAGATGATCAATGATGGCACTTCCGCTGATTCCGTTGGCGCCAGCCACGAACGCGACTTTGCTACCTCGGGCACGATGTCCGAATAAACTGGTCATGGTGGCTGGGGCAATGAGAGTTTGAAAAAACAGAAAAACGATGAGAGAGAAATGTACTGAAGAATATTCAGAGGAGTTCAGCCTTGTTTTATACCTCTGTGCCAGTCCCTTTGGAAAAGGTAGGATCAGCCCACCTGTCGAATCCTCTCCGATCTGCGACGATCGTTTCTGCTTCTTGGAAGCTGGCGTGTAGGAGAAACTCGGTTGTGCATTACTCTGTACATTGTGTGCACTGCATAATTGTCTCAAAGAGGCCGCAGGGATGTTAGTAGACCTGGATATCAAATGCCAAGATGTTAACGAAACTCCACTAAAGAGTCTAGCTGGTGGACCTCTTCAAGCCACCCACTTCGCTCAAGACCTCCGCTGACTCCAGCTTTTGTCAAATGCCTCACGATTCCCACATTTTGAACAGATTATTTCCATTTTCACCTTCGCACTGGAAACTTTCAGTGTTGGGCCCTTTCAGGGTCTATAGTGATCACGTGACCATGCGCGATGCAAATAGCATCGTCTTTCTCTGTTTATTTAGCACACTCGCTGAACTATCTGTTTTGGAAAACAATTTATAATAACGAGGATTCAATTGCGAGAGCTGGTCAAGTCTGATGCAGAGTTGAGTAGTATCCAGATGCCTGAGACACTATCTCATCCGACGAGTTTCATGCCCTACTAGGTACTTCAAATCTTCAGAATCAAAATATAAAGCATGTACACTGGCTGGTCTGACCTATCACGAGCAGATTTATCAGCAGAAGCTTTCAATATGGATGATTGGGGCGTTCTCCGGCGAGTCCTTTTAACAACACACTTCCTATGCCTCCAATCCAAGTTGGGAAGACTACAAGTAAATGGCAGCAATCTTCGCAGCTTCCATCTGCCCCAAAACTGGTGCAAACTGTGCTCCGCTGGTCGCAATGTAGAGGATGAAATGTCTCATGATTGACGGCAACAGCAGTCAACCCCGTAACCGACAACATGAACTGGTTTCCTGCGAACAAACGAACACGGCCCTGGGATGATATTTGGAATGCGTATTCCCCAACTGGATCACTCATTTCCGCCTCTTAGATTAGAATGGATCAAGTGCAAAACTCCAGAGACCAATTGGTGATGGGGACTAGCAAGTAAACAATAAGTAGTCCAGACATTGGCTTCTGGTGAGGTCTTTTTCTCTCAATTAGACCCTATTTGTTTAGTCTACTCAGTTTCACTTCACATCAAGTCGCTCTCAATTTGGAACCATTGCCCTTTGTCCGCGAGGAAGTCTCATTCTCTGCGGAATGTAAGATTCCATTGTCTTGTCTTCTGCAGTCATTGACTTTCCTTTTTCTCAAGAAATATATCTCATTAGGTTTGAATTTGTGGAGCTACTTTCTCTGAAGTCTATGCACATTGCTGTCAGCACTCGACGGATATCAAGTTGAATCATAAATCTGTGATGAGCATTGCTGTGAAGCTTTGCTACTATCTTGTGTGCTTTCTATGCGTTTGCAAGTTTGTTTGCTCTGAGCTATTAAAGCTCTTTTTCTTTCTCTTTTTCTTTCTCTCTTTCTTTCTCTCTTTCTCTCTCTCTTTCTCTCTCTCTTTCTCTCTCTCTTTATCGTTCTACCTTCTGCATTTTGAATGTCTTCGTCGAATTGGACCTTCTTATTTTGAGAGTTTTGTTTCCATCACAATTGCTACTTTGTGTATTCGAGAATCATAGTTCTGCTGTCATTCGGCCGTGGATCACACCCACTACCTTTAGTAGACCTTATTGAAGTTGTTACACTCCCCTCTATATAGCTTTTGTTCAAATCGACGAATGGCTCCACCTAGGCGATTTGTGCATACCTAGGGTAAGGGTGGTGATCAGTAACCTCAAGTGTTTATCGCATTACCTAGCAGTTGGGCCCTACACTATTTCAAGGTTTTGACTACCTGTTTCCACTACGGTCAAGATCATACAAGCACAGCACGAAGAAAAAAAAAAAATGGATACAAGGAACTCGATGGAGATCCCGAAAGACTGGTAAAAAGACCAAGAAAAAAGTATCACAATCGGAAGGTAAAAGTCTCACAAAACAAGTAGTCAAGACATAAGACGAATGCAAATGGGTATACAGCAGTAAGCCAGAAGAAGAGACCACAAGCTAGGCTCTTTGCTTTTCGTCTTACAGAAAGCGAAAATAAAGGAAAACAGGGAAACAGGGCTGTCGTGAGTCAATGATCTATCGCTAAAATTTATGCCGTAAAAGGTCGTCTCGAGCGCACAGGGCGATCATCGAGTGGAAGGGAAGTTGGTGCCCGTTTGGCTGTCACCCGGGCGGTTCCGTTGCTGGGTGTTTCTGGGTCTTCGGTGTCTGGCACCACTTTAATGCTGGAGCTGATAGACGCAGAAAGGTAGCGGGAACTAAGAGGGAGTTGGTATTTGACGACTCCGCGGACGGTGAGCTCAAAGGGATGCTGGAGAACACGCTCCCAGCGCTCTGTGCCTCCAGTCTCGGTTTTGTTGCCTGGTCGGCTGAGACGGATTTGCCCCTTTGAGCTGGACGTGTGGTGGTTCCACGGCGAGGATTCGAAAGAGAGAGGAGAGTCGAAGCGGAAGACGCGACCCAGGAGCATGGATTTCGGGTCTCCTTCCGGGTCTTCGGGGGGATCGGTGCCCTTGTCAACTCCATCATTTGCGTGCGGTCCTGTGTGGCCGCCCATGGCTTCTTTCAAACAGTTCACACTGCCCATGCATCGCACGGTTTGCGACAATTGCCAGCGACGTCGGCTTTGCTCAATGCGTGGGAAGTTATCCAGATCCTCGGCGCCATGCTCTCGCCAGAATTTGTCTGTTCCGACATATCCACTCTTGGCGAAGATATTCACGTCTGTGTCGTCGATAGTCACAGGGAACAGGTTTGGGTTCACAGCTTGCACATTCAAATCCAGCATGAGCTCCTGCTCCGACGCAAGGACATTCTGAATAGCAATGACCTGGACATCCAGGAGGGGCTGGGTTGCCGCAACGATGAATGAGGTTGCGCCGCCAGCTACAATCAACAGTAAGAAAAAGATGATAGCACAGGAGCCAAATCGGGAAAGGATTCCACGCTGCCGCTGCGCCATGTACTCCATCTGTCGTAAACTTGCGCTATTGGGTCGGCGACCGCCATTTCGACTGCGCACTGAACGGTTACCCACCAGGGGCGTGCGCTCATCATCTGCACCTTCTGCTTCGTAGTCCGAGCAACCATATTCACCACCCTTCTTGAAGCCATTTAAGGTTCGGTGATTGGGAGACATCCGAGTACTGCTGTGTCGCGATTGTCGGTATGGGCCCCCGATATAATGGCGTGGGGACTTCTGACCATGGGGACCAGGCTGAGAGTAGGTATCGGAATCCAGAACACTTTGCATGCCTCGAGCATGATGACGATTGCCAACATTATGGTGCCGCGGGGTGATAGTTCCAGTTCCATCAGTCCTGGTGGATCGAGCAGGCCCATCGAGATCCGGTATACCGCCATCAATACTATTATTAGCACCGGTGAACTTCATGCTGCGCTTGCCGATCACGCCATGGGATGCATCTCGTAGACCTCGAGTGCGATTGGATAGCTGGTCCACTTGGCTCACCATGGAGGTAGCACTAGGCGTCCGTGAATGATAGCGAGGAGGTCGGCTGGGGTACGGATCAGGGGGGTTTGATTCGTAAACAAAAGTCTCGTCGGAGTCTGAGACATCAGCTTCATCCACTGCATTGGCCACTTTGGCCTCGAAAATATCCGCCTTGCTTGATGCAGGACCAGCGGTGAGAGCGTTGGCTCTGCGATTTTTCTTCTTGTCTTTGCGGGGACGGATTGTCTCTGTTGAAGGCTTCATGCGCAGGGTACCCGTCTCTGAGCGGGCGCCGATGCCGCGCTCACCGTTCCCAACCCCTAGGGAGACTTGCGGAATCGAACTGACGGTCTCTGTTTCTACGGTCATATTACGGACCGACCCATCGGCAGGCTTGCCCCGAGCACCGGCACTGAGGGAAGTCGTCGACCGCTGGGGCATGAGAGTTCGAGGTGTTTTCGCTGTCGCTGCAGCAGCCGCCGCCGCCTGGGGACGAGGCTCTTCCTTGGGCTCGGAGCTTCGGTTTTCCCCGCTATCGCTACTGCTTCCTTGTATTTGTTGTGGCGGGCGTGGGGTCGGGTCTTCGTCGATGCGATGTAGCCTGGACTCTTCCGGGGTCACCGGCTTGGCAGTCGTCTCACTCGAAGGGGTGGAAGGGTTGCTTGTCATCTCGTCGACGGTTTCCAGCGATGATCCTTGTCCTCCGGTGGTTCTAGTGGTAGACCGGCTTGCATTGCGGTCTACCTTGGTTGGATCGTCCGCCGGTAGCGAAGATCTTTTCTGTGAGATATTCGGAGGTGTGGACTCCAACTCGGTGCGGCGATTTGCAGCCCATGATGGCATATTGTTCTTTTCTGGGCTGGCAACATTGGCCGACGGGTCGATGGGAGCGGACAAGACCAAGGGTTTGACTGGGGAAGAGGATGAACGTGAGAAGCTGGCAGAGGGTGAATGCGTAGATTGGCCAGGTGCTGGGCCGTTGGAGTGTCGGGTTGGACTGGCTCGGTCTCGGCTGGGCTTTCGGGATTGTGAGGAAACACGGCTGTGGGAGGAAGAGTTGAGAGTACGTGAGGAGAATCGGACCGGAGAAGATTCCCGGGAGGACACGGCGGAGTTCGTGGTAGACGCGGTGGATGAAGGGGCAGGAATATTAGGGGAAAGCCAAGGCACCTGGGAGGTGACCTGTGGTTTGGCAGTTGTGCTGTTAACAGCACATTCGTTAGCCGACCGCTGCGCCAGATCCGATGCCGCCTCTGCATCCTTGGCCCCTTTGGATCGACCAGAGGTGCCGTTGCTGCGAGGCGGCCTCTCGGACTCTGCAGCCATCTTGTCGGATCAAGAGGGAGGCGACGTCGATAAGTCAGCAGACCCGAGAGGGAGCCAGGTAGTTGGGCAGATACCAGGCTCGAAGAGGGTTTGGAAATAAGGCAAGGCACCCGAAAGGCTCGACGGTGAAGAAATGAGTTGTTCTTGGCGATAGCGAATGAGATATCACGCGGATCGAGATGTTGCGCAGAGTACGGGATCGTTACACATGTGAGGGTGACGCACGAATAGCCGAAGACCACATGCTGTTTGCCGGGAAACGGGGGGCGCTGTACAGAGAAACGCACGGAAAAACGAAGGATTGCGGGAAAAACTGGAGATATGGAGCTGTACCAAGTGGGCCGTCAGGGTGCGACGAGCACACACATGCTTTCTTCCAAGGGCAGAAACAAGAGCGTCTAGAACGAAGGAACCGAAGAGGCGAAGATCTGGTTGGCGGATTGCAGACAGATGGAGACCGCCGATCCGGCTCAACGTTTTGGCTTGACTGGCTGAATTTACTTGCAAGTGGCGTCCAGGCTGTTTGCTAAATGAGCCTGCAGAGATGTCGGTCAGAACGGGTTGAAAAGTGGCTGAGAGGGTCCGCAGAGACCAATGATTTTAGTCCACGTCAAAAGGGGGCTAGAATTCAAAAGACCACAGAAACGAGGGCTTTTTCAAAGGGTGAAAGGTCAAAGAAACAGGACGGAGTAAAAGAGAGGAACAGTGAAAAGAAACAAGGACAAGATGAAGTCACTGCTAAAGTTGGGAACTCTGGGGGTGTGACCGGTATTTAACACAGAGTGGTAGTATTATTGGCAATAATACCTGCTAGTGCTTGCAATAATTAATTACCACGAGTAAGGGAAATACAATGACCTCAGCGGCACTGTCGCCAATCACTCAACACTTCAAATCTTGTAAATAGTAACTTTAGATATGCTAAATACTTAAGTATTTAATAATATCTTATAATACTTATGTATACTATAGTGTGCAATTTGAGTAGACAGCATACTATAGAGTCAAAGGATATCTTTTGCAGGGATAACCATTGATTCCCCTGCTTGCGCCACTCCGAATCCTGGCATAGATAATGTAGCTAAGAAATAAACCTGAAAACCCTTGCTAAATAACCTTGGAAGCAGAAATCCCAGCTTCACTAACCTGTCGACCACGCTCAAGTGATCATCCTTGGTAAATATAGCTCATGGTGGCTTGAGATAAACAGGGTGACAAGGCTCTTTCATCGCAGACACCAAAGAATCCACGATCATTGGATATAATTATTCTGATCGCAGTAATTGTCAAACAAAGGGGGTCCTGGCCATGGCTATAATGCATGACCCGAGGAATATCTGCGATTTGTCCATCTAACTCTGGTTTCCGGGGGACGTAGACTGGTACAGTCACTAGCGAAAACAGCTTCCACCCTAGACAAGCACTTTTTATTTCCGAGGCCCATTGCCAAGACGCTACTTTGTTCCTTTTATTTGACCGCATAGTCACGGTTATAGAATTACACCGTGGAGTAGGTCCCTAGGCATGCTATTCTTTTTTGGCTCGTCTGTTACATCATCTATGTGATTCTTCTAAAATACCCCTGATTAACCCTAGCAATATTTCTAATACTACGCTTCATTTGACACTTGATAATAATAGTACTTGAACAAATGGTGATTCAAGTATAGCTTTCATGTAAGATTTTTTTGGTCCAGGGTGGGCGAAGAGCTTCATTGTTGAGCATATCATAAGTCTGTATAGAGAACCGACACAAATTGCATTCCGATCTGGCTAATCACTACGGCACGTTTGCTTGCCCTTCATATTCAGCTTGACTTTGTTCCTTCTTATGTTCCATTTGGTATTGCCGCTGAGGCGTGCGCTGGTGTGATTCTGGATTTTCTTACGGAGGATCCTTCTTATTAGAGAACTTCTTGGGCGTAGAAGGTGTAAAATGTTGCCCCCAAAAGGATGCTTCAAGGCCATTATTAGGACCCTTCGTGTGATCCTTAGTGCGATATCCTTTCGATCTATAAGGTACTGTATGATGTCCAGTCCACTCCGCCAGTTCGCTGCGGCAGATTCCAAGACCTTGCCCGTGATCGTGACTTCGTTGCCTCCACGATGAAGTGATTCCACAAGAAATTTCATGACTGCAGGCTCATCAGCTGCAGCTTTTTCCAAAACCTCGGTTGTTATCTGGATCTTTGAATCTTCCAGAAGCAAGTATGCGACATCGTCCAATTCCCACCTCGCTGCACAGAAGAACGGCAGTGGCTCATGTTCATAGCAATAGTAGTATCGGGACGGTGGTTCCACGGATCTGAGCCACACTGATGTCTGTGTCACACAACAGAGGCTACTCGCCAGGCGAAGAAAGCGAGACTCGAAACCGCTTGTGATACGCATATGCTCAATCCAATATGTTGCGGAATACCCCAAAAAGGCATCACTTTCAGTGCAATGTTCTGCACCCGTGGGGAGTTGGCACAAATCCTTTTGGATTTCCTCGTGTAAATATGCCACACAAATTTCCAAAAGGACTCGATCGGCATCTTGTTCATTGACACATTCTTGCCATACCATACTCTCTGGTCGCTCAACCCCTTTGTTGATGAGAAACTCTCTGGCTGTTTGGTGGATGAGGTAGATTTTGGATTTGCTGGTAAAGACAAAGAGCCCGCATAACTGCCGAAGCTTTTCATCTAAATTGCTTGAATCTAACCGAGCCTGCTTTGTTGTTTGCGGCTTTGAGCAGGTGGCAATCCCTAACGCAATGGCCATCTCTTGTATTGTCAGGGGACGTCGCGCCGCCACAATGATACCCAACATCTTTTTAACTATGTCCATCTCATTATCTGGGACTCGACAAAGGATTTTTTCGTATGCTGCATTCACAGAAGGCGGCACCAGTGTGATCAAGTTCGCTCCGGGCCGAAGGCTATGCTTCAAGGTAGTACGGATGTCATCAATGGCTAGATGCAGCCAAAGATATGTACGGTGTTCCATTTGAAGCAGCTTTTTTTCAACTTGATGGTGAAGCTCTGGTGACAGTGGTACTGTTTCGGCCAGTTCTCTCACCCGAGTCTTCACCACCAGATCAATCTCCTCATGAATTTAGTCATTCTGCTTTTCCCCCTTGATATGCATATGTGGAAAAAAATCGGTAATTGCTCGAAAATGATCCTGAATTTCATCGTAGAGACGACTAGTAACCAAAAACTTTAAACAGATTTCTTCCGTCGATAAAGATGGTTGGCGATAAAACGCTTGAAGCTTTTTAATTAATCGACGCTGATCCATTTCACAGCATTCATCAAGTGCATCGAATATGCAAATTATCTTGCATGTGTCCACTAATGTTGCCACCATCAAAATCTACCAAAGCTTATCAGCTTCTTGTCGGAGCGTATCCCCATTCTTTTCCCAAATCGGAATAGCATATTTCAATAGATCAGGCTGCTGGCTGAAGAGCTAGTGAAATACCGAACATAGTGCCGTAGCAAGATTGTTCTGTTCATCATTATCCTTGAAGAAAAAGTAACATATTCTCACGGTTGGATCATAGGTCTTTAAGTAATCATCGATTATGGATCTGGCTAAGACAGACTTGCCACACCCTGGGTCGGCCGACACCCAGAGAAGGTCGTTGCAGTTGCTCTCCCACCAACGGATGTATTCAGAGCTCTGGAAAGCCTACTGACAGGTTCCCTTGGCTCGATTAGGGTTTATGTTCTTTTGCTCCGCGTAGTTGACGACCTTGAACACTTAGTAACAACGGCACTGTTGATCTGCTAAGACTCTTGCTTTCTATTCACTAAAATGCTGTTCTTTCTGACTATATGCTTGATCTAAGCGATGTTGGATGCCTTTCAGCTCCCCTAAATAATGCCCAGGTCAATATTTGCTGACAAGATCATTAAGACCATGCTAGACTAACCAGACACAACAGCATTTATCCTCTTCTCGGCTTCAATTCTGTTGAGAGGAATTCTTTGTAGAAGATCCTTCGTATATGCAGCTGCCACCATAGCTGCATAACCTTGCCACTCTTCGTTCTTATGTAAGTCCAAGTAATCGCAGATACTCCGGATGACGAGCTATCCAGGGAAAGTGTTCATCAGCCCCGCGGCTTCCATTTCGAAACAAAGAACGTCTTTTTCCACAGCAAGCCGATCTCGAATCAAAGCATCCTTCATCAACTGATTACCAGAAGCAATCAGGCCATAGTGAATAGCAGGATTATCTTCATCGTCAACTCGCTCATTTCGTAGTATTAACGTCGAAGGATCAGCCGCACAGACAGCGCAGCCTGCTTGGTGATGGATAACGTCGGGAAGAAACAGTCTATTAGTGATTGGCTCTAACCGTTTGTACTTCCGACGTATTCTCCTGTTCTTTTCTTCCAAAATGTAGTTGATAGCCTCCTCGAGCTAATACCCTTTTCTCACGTATTGTGTTCGGATACCCGCCATTGCAGTGCGTAAAATAGCGGGTGGCTGGTTTAAGCACCGCGTGTGCTAAAAGCTTTGATCCTGGATCGACTTGCCAAAATCATATTGAAACACACCACTCTCACCACCGCGAGGCGCACTGACCACAACGTCGCCCAAACGAATATCATGGCTCGCGCTTGGTACACCCCCGCCAATCCCGACCATAAGGCCGATCCTGATGTTAGGAAAACTGGCGAGCATGTTCGTCGCTACACTAGCCGCGGAAGCTGTTCCATATTCACCATCGGGCAAGACGGCGATAACAACGTTGTGTTCGCCCATCCTGCCTAACATGTAGTCGTTGGCATCGTTTGGCGACACAAAGCTCGGGTTGCCGTGCTCTTCATCGAGGAACTCTTGTGCGGCAGTGTATTCTACGGGTAAGGCGCAAATCCAGCCCACAGTGTACCCCGCCGGATCTGACATGGCTGCAATGCGAGAGAATAAGCCTGAAAATTAGTTACCCGTGTGACCTTTCCAAAGTCCAAACGTCTGTTATATAATAGAGGCCTAACTTATGGGGCTAGAATATGCCAATATGAGCAAAAGAGAGCGGAGGAGGCTTCAGAGAAGAAAGAAGTCCTGTAGGGCAGAAAGAACACATTTGCCAACCGGGGAGGCTCAGCCTCACGACGTGCAGCAGCGGGCGGTTAGAGACAAGACACTATTGGCAGGAGCCATCTTCCACACCCACCGAAGCCAAGAAATGACAATATCAGCCTTCGAATACACTCATCTTCCTTTGGGAGTATCACCCAGTATTCGTATCGTTCCTCTAACATCTGGGGGCAACCCGACCAAGATCCCTCGAATGTGGCTCATGACGTGGCTGCGAATCTGTTGAGTTGGGTCGTCCATCGTAGTAAATCGAGAGTATTTGCGCTGAGAAGGTGTAAAGATGAAGTCTGGGTTGAATGTACTCTGTAGAGCAGGATCAATGTTCTTCCGTGTCATCTCAGTAGATGGTGATCCAGAAAGTAATCCCAACAGCAAGACTATCAATAAATTTCATCCATATTCCACAAGTGAGCAACTCAAAATGGATTACGAGAAACATTTCATTCCTCTGGAATCCGATCCTCAGATATTCACCAGTTTGATGCACAACCTGGGTGTTCCTCAGTCTTACAAATTCATTGATATCTGGTCTCTGGAAGCAGATGAACTGGACAACCTTCGTTCTAGTATCCAAAATCGCATCGAGGCCTTAATCCTCATCCTGCCAGACTGTCCTGCATATGCAGAGCAGAGAATCGAACAAATTCCAAAAGAGGGCATGATATGGCTCAAACAGACTATAAACAATGCATGCGGACTATATGCCATCTTGCATTGCATCTGCAACATTTTGGACACCGAGGAAATCGGTAAGACATTCTGCTTCACCCCGCGTGACATAATGTTAACTGGTTGATAGTTCCAGGCTCCTTCGTTGATCATCTTCTAAAGGAGATACTTATATCAGCTGACCCCGCCAACTATATGCAAAATTCACCTGAGCTGGATTCAATCTATCGTAATGCCGCTTTGAGTGGCTCTTCGGAACCTCCTGCTGCTGAGGATGAAGTCGACCATCACTATATATGCCTGGTCAAGTGTGAAGGCTGTCTCTTTGAATTGGATGGAGACAGAACCGGGCCAATGTATCGAGGTAGCGTGAAAGATGATGAAGATGCTTTGTCAGAATTGGGCTGCAATGTTCTCAAAATGTATATGAACAGCTGCCCCGAGGGGGGCTTCAGCCTGCTAGCTCTGGTGAATTACTCGACTGGAGACAAAGAATCCACAGGCAATGATCGTCAGTAAGAATGCTCCGGTGATGGCAAGAGTGTAGGGCTCGTTGATTGCGAAATGGCCGGCTCTTTGGTTGGAAGATAGCAGGGAAAGTCCATTGTATGCTAAGAGCCACATGATGCTTCTTCCTGCAAGGACCTGTATGAGCACGGTATGTCTGAACTTTAGAATTTTGAAGGACAGCTCGGTTTTTTTTTTCTAGACTAATGATATTGAAAAATAGAGTACCTTGCCAACACGCTGTTTCTGGTCCGATTCGTATACACCCGACAGACAAATCTGGCCCTTCACCCGATAGCATAGTACTCAGAGGCAATTATCCATTAAACTAATGTACAGTGTACAATTCTATAGCAACGAGTATGTATAGGCAGCCTCCAAACCGATATTGGGGTATCGTCAATCTCGTTCTCCGACAGGCAGCGTTTTCAGAGCCGGAGAAAGTCGTCAGTACATAAAATAACAAAGAGGTCATCGAGCCAGTCAGAGACCCCGAAACCAAAAGTAGAACACAGTGTGTGACTACACAATTTTGTAGACTCGCTTGGCAATTATGACCGAGACCAGCGCAAATACGATTAGTCCGGCAGTAACTGAGGGAAACGTTAGACATGATCATAGAAGTAATCTGCAGCTTGGACTTACTACACCAGAACCAAGTCAGGCTGTCAATGTCCTGACCAGGTACCTTGACGTTCATTCCCCACATGCCGCAGATGATGTTCATCGGAAGCACGATTGTACCGAGGACAGTCAGCTTGCCTAACACGTCGGCAGTGTGCTCCTGTCGCTCATTCATGAGAATATTGATCTGTGCGAGATAGTTGGAATGCGCACGGGAGAGGATTCTAGAAGACAATTAGAGATTGAGAGATCCTTGGAATCGGCCGTGTACTTACGTTTCGTAGTGCGTCAAGTTGCCTGTCATGGTCATAATGTGATCTTGGATGTCACCCAAGTAGAGACCAATCTCGGACTTTGGTGCCACCTCCCACTGTTCATTGCAACGCTTGGCAAAGCCTTTGACTACATCTGCTTTGTTGCTAAGCAGTCGATACAATCCCATGACCTTTTTGCGACATTCTCCTACTCGGCGAAGCATTTCGCCTGGGGCGAAGGATGGAAGCACGCTATCATTAGATGAGCCCTCCTTGCTTGACGAGGAAGAGTGCATCTGCATGATCATTTCATCGATCTCGTCGACTTCGTCCTCGATGGCTTGGATCAGCGGCCCGAAGACATCAGTGATGTCGTCAATCAAGGCATACGAGATCCAATCCGAGCTCAAAATCAGATAATCCATCAGTTGGCGAATGCGACGCCGCACATTGGCCGGGTGGGGTGTTTGAGAGAAATGGAAGGAGATTACACCTTCTCGGAATACAACCACGTACATGTTCACAGGCTCGAGGTAATCCTCGCTGTTGGTGTCCTGTTCGAACGTGCGGTAGTGGACGAAATAGTAGCTTCGGAACAACTCCACTTTTTCTCGAGCTTCTTGCATCATGATATCCTCTGCTGTCAGAGCGTGGATGCCAAATGCTTTGGCAATGGTACGCATTTCTGCGTCTGTTGGAGAGAGGACGTCAAGCCAGAAGGTGGGTCGCGGTCCGTACCGTTTCGGTTTGGGTCGAGAAGCTGTATCTAAATGGTTGTTGGATTGTGCGGGCGACAGCTCACGATTGGAGTCGGGTCGCCCCTCACTGATTACAGATAAACGGGAGGGTCCTCGGACGGGGGGAACGGTGCCGGACATAAGATCAGTAGTATCGCGTACGGCAGGAATCGAGACATTCGGAGCCGGCGTGGCGTGCTTGACGTTTGTTTGGTGGCCCTGGCCTTGGGATTGCCCTGGAACTTGTGACTCTGGTTGGGGAGCTGGTTTGCTGTTAAGATGTGGGTGGTTGTTTGGGTTGTCCATGAACGTCTCATCCTCTGTATCTGAATCATCCGACGAATCTTCCAGCTCTGGGGGTTCAGGTATGAATAGATCCCGGAAACTGCTGCCAGGCTGCACAAGCTCAGATATGGTCTGGGCATGAATAGTGCTCGGGAACTCCTCGTTGAAGTAAGTGAACCTATAAGGTGCCTCATCTTCTTCGCGTTTCCAAGTTTTGTACTGGGGACGTAGCCGACCTTCAATAAGCATCGGTTCGCTGATCTTCTTGGCTCCGAAATCTCCATTGCGTCCCTCCTTCTCCTCGCGGCTCCATTCTTCCAGGGCAGAAAGATCGGGCCATCGCCGGTGTCTGCGCCTTCGGCGCTCCCCACCTTCATTGCCCATCTGCCTTGGTCCCTCGTCTCCAATCTCTGAGATTGTCTCGGTAGGGAAACAGACATCCTCAGCAGCAGGAAGAGCCACAGTTCGCCTCCGTCGCATATCCTGATGCGGGGAGAGAAGTGGCGATCCGGGGGAAGAAGATGGTGCTGAATGCGGATGTACGCCGTTGCCATCCATATCAATCAGGGTATCGTTCAAAATGTTCAGTGAGTCCCTGCGGTTTTCTAAGGACCGCGCCAGCGTGAAATCCCAATCAGCCCCAGTCACAACCGCATCCTCATAGCCCATCTCTGGGCCCATTTTTGGGGACCCGGGGATGGATGGCGGATTGTTGACATCATAGTCTCGGTCAAGAGCAGGGGAATAGAGCGGGCTGCGGTTGTCTCTGGGTGAGCAACCAGAGGAGACGGTTTGGACGGAGGGTTGGCGAGCACGAGAGGCGAAGATACCCTGGCGGTTATCTGTTCCATAGCGATTATGGTTGGAGGTATGGTTGGAAGTCAATCGCATCAAAGGCGTTCGGTCATTCGCATCCTCCTCCTCACTCTCTTCGTCTTGATACTGACGACTTCGTCCTGCTCTTGGGGTATTGCGGGATTGTCCATCGTTCGACCGGAATATCGTATTCAGTAGGGAACCGGGGCGCAATGAAGAACCGGGGCGACTGTCACGACGGGGCCGCATAGAAGGCTGGTCGCTAATGGTCATGGGCTGTTAGCGGTTGCTATAACAAATACATTCCCGTTTCCAATGAACGTACCGGTGATCCAAAAGCGCTTCGCTTTCCAAACTTGTATTGCTCGAATTGCGTCCCAGCTTGAAGAACGACTGAGTGTCCCTCGAAGTTGGCCGATCGGCCTCCATCGAATCGTCTCCAGCACCCGAGTTCGGCCCGGGACTAGCTTGAGAACCCTCACGATCAGGTGGTATGAAGGACTGGTGGCGGTTGCGGCGTTTGCGATTGCGGTTCTTCTTGCGTTTAGAGGACTTGGGGGTTTTCCCAGCATTATCAGCGGGGGAATCGAAGCGGGTCTCGGTGGTAGCCTCGGAGACGGATGTCGGGCCCCCTGGGGCTCGATCGCCCATTGGGCGGTAGCTAGCGCTGTTATCAGCAGAAGGTGGGTAATCCTTGCGCTGTGGGTGTTTCTTTGGGCTTGATGAATGTGAGGGACGAGGCGGTCGGGAGACTGCACCGCCAGCTGTCGGGGTCATGGGCGGATCCATGGTGTTGGCTTCGATAATTGGGCGACGGTACAGAGTACAGATAGGGTGTCTCCCGTATGGAGCACACTGAAACGAGGAGAATTTTCAGAAGCGCATCGACCAATGGAGGCAGGCCGAATCAGATGCTCTAGGTCACAAGAGTGGTCGCAGCATGCAGGAGCTCCGGCTTTCCGTGGAATCTAGCGCTGTTGATCACGAACCGACATCGGCATGGTTGACAGCGCACCTCGTAGTACGTTGTAATCAGGCACGAGAGCACAGCTCACAGGCCGATGACGCGGGTGGCAAAGCAAGGCACATCGGGGCAGAAAACAAGAAAGTGTCTCCGCCTAACTGTTAGCTCCAGATGTCAGCTAGTTCTAGACTCCGTAAAAGGTGATAGATGTCAAGGTAAGAATCTTAGCTGAGAATCAAAGAGAGTCTAAGATTAGAAGCCTTGGTTCTCAGGTTCTCAGCTCCCAAAACGGGAGATGAGGTCAGCACCAACTATGAAATTTCCCACGTCGTATTTAAGTACTACTCGTAGCACTGGAGATTGCAACCTGACTGAAAAGTCTTTAGGACATGCTAAACGTGTTCACTGCAATGGGGTCTTTGGTACCACAGATCTCCGTGCGAGTGAGGCTCTAGGTTAGCCATAGGCATTGAACTATTGAACTACCTTTCGAAATCCTAAGGCCTATGTTCTAAAGTTAGATAGACAGCTCATCTAGATCCATGGATAGAAGCTTTGTAACAGTTTCTTGCAAAATAGTATACATTATATCCTCAGTCTGACTGCATCAGCCAGCTCAATTATAATAGCCAACCGTGGAAGTACATCGTAGATAACCCCATCCCAAATTATTTACAAGTAAAAGACGAAGCCTTGCTCTCATCACCCCCAACATAAGTCAAAGTCTTGGGGTAAGCACACAAGTCTGCCGTACGCAAAGGCAGCTTCGCACTACCGGTCCCAGTGGGCGTAGCGATAGCCCGCAACGTATCCGGCGCCGTACCATTCTCCACCCAACTCACAAGCGAGTCAAGACTATTTCCAGGGTAAAATCCAATCCCACTCTTACAGTGCTCCGCACCAGGGGCAGCAAAGAAGCGATAGTAATCCTGGAGATCGGAGTCGAGGTCCATGGCCTGTTGGTAGTAATTCTCCGTACCGTTGAAGAAAATGAGCTGATCCTTCATGCCGTGCCAGGTGATCATTTTGCCGCCTGATTGCTTGAAATCAGTCAGATCTGGATCCCGGGTGCCGATGATGGAGTTGTACTCATTCACGGATTGGCGGAAATGACGGATGTATTCGGTGTAGTTGATGGTTGCTACGTCCAGGGAAGAGTTGCGGGAGAGGAAAATCTGTTGCCAGTCTGCGGAGATCTGAAATGGGACTGGTTTGCAGTTCGGAGATGGTAGGGTGCAGTTTGTGCCGGCTAGACGGGTGAGAGGTGCATCGTGAGAGAGTCCGTACCAAAGGGATGAGCCGGAGGGATCTTCTGGGCCGGCCCATACGAGGGAAACGTAATTGGCAGCCTTTGCGGTGACTGTGACGGTGTCGTTGGAGGAGCATTGTGCTGTTTTGCCAATTAGGGTTGATGCATTGAACTTGCACAGTCCTGGCATGGAAATTATACGGTCTTTCACTCCGTCTAGCTCATCGCATGCGTCGATCGCATGTTCTGTGAATGCATTGAGTTCACAGGCTGAGGGATAGTATTCTGTATAGATATTAGCCAATGTGCATGAGTGTTTCGGTGTCAAGCACTGTCTTACCAAGTGCATTCATCAGCATCTGAGGCCAGAATTCAGCTGGGATGAACTTGTCCCAGTTGATAGCAGGGGATACCGCCAGAATACCATCATACTGAGTCGGGTATCGCTGGGCCATCATAAGACCTTGACGACCTCCAGTAGAGCAACCATTCCAATAAGCATACTTATGGGCTTTTCCATAGAACATCTTGGTAGCAGTCTTTCCTAGCGAGGCAGCATCGTCGAGTGAAACAGAGCTGAAGTCCTGCATGTTCGCCCAATTGACGTTGCCCTCGCTGGATAATCCCCAAGACTTGACAGTAGCACTTTCGTCATGTCCACCATTTGTCGATGCAGCGGCATAACCCCCGAAGACGGCCTGGCTCAATGCACCCTGTGTGCCCATAACCCAACCACCTCCACCCATTCCCATGAATCGACCATTCCAATTCTTGACGGGCAGCGAAATCCAAGTCGTGACATTATCATTCCATCCGGGATGCGTGTAGTTCACCGTGAGTTGGCACACTTCGACAGTCTTGTTCGTTACAACGGGATATGTGTTCAGGGTATCGTCGATGTTCCAGCTGGCGCGGTTCAGTTTAGCATCGACGGAAAGGACATTGATGCTTGCGAGGCCGAGAGAAGCAAACGTATCAGCCGTGCAGACACCAGTCTCGGTCTTTGCTGACAGTGCCGAGGTTAGGAACTGGGAGAGTCCCAGAAGGTATAGATAGCTGGAGACCATGATCAGACGAGGTTCAGTGGAACCTGAGGCTCAATGATATCACAGTGCACTAGCTTCGAAAGCTTAAAATGTGCGAGGCAGAGCTTTTATACTGCAAACAAGAGCAAAGCAGATCGGACTATTGAATCCACTGGGTGGGGGTGTTCATCGGACACGGGCGGAAGCGAGATTTGGTTGTTCGAGGTGGAGCGAACTAGGGTTGATGATTTGAGACTATAGAAACTATAGGAAAAGGGCCCATTCTTCTTGGGAATGTCTAGATATATGCCATGGTAGCAGTTGAGATGGTCTACCGAAGAGAACTCCCGAGGCCAAGAGAAAGGTCTAATGTTTATACTGTGCATTAGTGTCTTGTAAATGAAATACCGGTACTCAACTCACAGGGCTAATTCCCCCACACAACACTATGTAAATAAGTATGTGGCTTGAAATATTACGATCTCAAATACTAGCTGTTCTGAATCCCCATCTTTGGTATTGGTTCCTTTTTAGTCCGAGAGTCTGCAGGATTCTCCGGAAAATTATCCCACGGAGTGATACCCATCTGTCCAGTGCTTGAAGGCAAGTCCTTGGCATTGGAGCAAGCTACAAGCCGAAATCAGCATCCGAATCTCTCATTTGAATTGCCAAGCTCAACTAACGCGGGGCCCCGGGGTTTTGCCGGTATACGAGTAACGATACTTTTGGGAATCTTACAATAATGAGACATGAAGATCTTCATCATTAAGGGGTATCCTTTCGTGAGTCCTAAATCCTCGCCTGGAACTAATATGATGTCACTCTACGTCAAATCAAGGATTTGGGGCAATTGGCGAAGTTGTGGGACTTGCTATTAAACATTGGCAAAGCCACCCTTGCTTTTAGGCTGATGCATTAGGGAAATAGACCTCTCAAGACGAAATTGTATACCTCATGATACGTCCAGATCAAAGAAGTACGTACTGATGTTGGCAACATAGGGAAGGCCAATCGGGGTTTCGGGGTGAGAGAGCGCCAATTCGCCAGACGCTTGAATAACATCTCCTTGTCTGTAGCTCCCAGGCTTTCATTGGAAGGACCTTGGCCCCATATTTCCCATGCCAGACTCACCCTAGAACAATTTCCATAGACAAGCGTCAATATGATACTGGAGGGAAATACTGAACATGAGCCTTGTTCCTAGAAACGATTGGGGTCTCTGTTGAGGCTACAGGGCGAGAAGAAGTGGACAGAACCGATTGTATTGACTCTTTGGAGAGAGAGAGAGAGAGAGAGAGGGAAGAAGAAGAAAGGGAGAAGCGGGGAGCGGATCTACCTACTACGAGGGTTGGGACGAACTCCCTACACAACAGTCTCTTATGTTGAGTTAGAGCTTTGATGCCCCTATCTATTGCATGCTCAAGTGGAAAGCAAGAATTGCACGGGGATAAAGTAAAATCGAAGAAAATAGTAAATTATTACACTGTAATGCCAGAAGTACAGGTCATCACTCATAAGACATCAAAGGCCATTTAAATACAGATCTGACAATGAAATAAAAAAAAAAGAAACTCATAAGAAACTCCAATCCGGCCATCGTCCTCGCGATGAAACCGCTACCGGAACACCAATCCAAAAAAACAAAAGACACAAAGTCCCTCACAGGGCCAGATGGGAGTAATCATGAAAAGAGTGTGACGCCTCAAATCACATTACTCATGTCCATCATTGACGAGGGGGCAACGCTGTGAGCGAAACTTTGAACGGATCTCGACCCATCGACAGACATGCGGTCGCTCATGCCTGAGAATTTCTTATCCTTGAGCGGACGGGCGATGAGGACTTGGGCGGGGCAGACGACGACTTCGTCATCGCCCTCGCCGACATCGTTGCCCTTCTTCACGACGAGGGGGAAGAGCACAATGCGGACGATGGATTGCTGGGACTCGAGGTCTTCGTTGTTACTGGTCAGCCCGCTGCGCTCGTTCATGAGCGCGGCATTGAAGTAGACCTGGCGGGTGAGATCGCCATTGGTATCGTATTCCGGTTGGAGGGGAGGGAGCATAATGAATTCAGCGAGTTGGGTGCGCATCTCCAGGGAGAGGTTGACCGCTACACGCATGATTTTGCGGAGATTGTCGAGGAGTTGGGACTCGACATGGGAGGGGGGAGGGAGGACTTTGGAGAGAGTCTGGAAGATTTCCAGGGTGACGGCCTCCGTGTCATTCTCGCGCTGGGCGGCGAAGGCAGGGCGGCGAGAGAGAAGGGTGAGGGTGGTGGCTCGCCAGCGATGCACAGCTCGGCTGGGGCCGACCTCACCCAGTTGCTTCTCGAGGGATTTGAGCTTTTGACGTTGCTCACGATCCATACCGAATAGGTAGCGGGTGAAAATGTATTCCCAGACCATGGTCATGACCACAGACATGAAAACATCGCGGCGGCGAACTCGATCCGACAGGTAGGCATCGGGATCAGAGCCGTCCAGCAAGGCATTATCGAAACGATCTGCGATCTTTTCGTCTTTGAGCTCGGCAAGTGGGCGACAACGGCGTTTGTCGTTGTGTTTGGAGAATCGCACCACCCACGATTGGACGTGACCACAGAGCTTCTGGCAGGCAGCATCGAAGTATTCCTCGTCACGGAAGACGAGGGCGTTGTCATGTACCGACGCTGATATTTGTTGTTGTAGCTCCTTGACCTTGTCACGGGCCTCCTCGAGTTCGGTGCGCAGACGTCGGAGCTCAATATCCTTCTGCGCCAGCGCGGATTCGATCTCTTGACGAACTCTTTCATCCATTGAGGACGAGAGTTTAGTGTGTTTTGACCGCAACTCGGCCAATTCACGAGTAGAGGTCTCGCGGATGGCGTTGACTTCGGCCGAGTGGGCGACGGCGAGGGCAGCATTGGATGCTGTGACCGACTCGTTCTCACTGGTGAGGCGGGTGGTTTCCTTTTGTAACCATTCCACCGAGCTCTTCAATTGTTCCACCTCCGCATCTCGGTCACGAAGATCCCCATCGCGCGTGTTGAGGGCGCGGTCGCTCTTCCGGCGAGCGACACTGGCATTTCGTAATTTGTCTTCGGCCTCATCGCGGGCGGCAATCAAGAGACGATTCTCCGAGATTAACTGATCAATTCGAGTCTCGATATCTTGCAAGTGTTGCATGCTTCGGCGACGACGGACACTAGGCGGTCGGCTGGGCGACCGCGGGGAGCTTGGCGTTTCACCCCAACCCTCCTGCAAAAAAAAAAACAAACAATTAGTAAACCATCAAAACAAAAGAAAAGTGAAAAAAATGCAAAAGATTAATCACATACATAAACGTCCGACATATTGCGCATAGGACGCTTGCCCTTGTCGGTGACGGGGTCGTAAGAAGAAGAAGAGGGGAGCTGGTCGAGATCGGTGGAAGGCTGGGATTGACTCGCCGCCCGCAGATCGCCGCTAACGCTGCGCTTCATGCGACGTAATCTTCCGCTACTCGTGCTGGGCTTCAGAATCTGAAACCCTTGTTCCGGGGTTTTAGTCACTTCAATTTGCTCGCGAGATCCACGAGACAACTTTTTGCTTTCGTCCGTAGGCCATGACTCCCGGTCAAAGGCATTGTCCGTGAACTTGCGCACGGGGGTTTGAGGGCGAGGTAAGACATGTTCTGCTTTCATCTCCAAACGAGGAGTTCCTCGTCGACCCTTGGTGGCTGGGCGGCCTTCCCGGGGCTCTTGTTCCGCAATAGTATCTAGCGGAGTTCGGGGGCGACTGAAGGAGTCCTCACTCGGTCCTCCAAAGATGGACCGAGGAGGCGAGGGCGCGGTGGCTGGGAGTGATGGCTCGTCGAGGTTCCAAGTTCGAGGAGTGCCTTGGTGCTTTCCGTGAATGGATGGCGATCGACGAAGCTCACATTGATCCTCTCCAGCTTGTTCGGGGGAGAATTGAGAGTCCTTGCCGGGGGTCTCTGTAGAAAAAGAGACGGGCGCATCGATAGATCGCTGCTCTTGTGTAGAAGCATTGTCCTCTGGGATCTTGGTAGACTCTTTCTCCGTAGGGATCTCATCGTAGGACTTCACATGAGCAATGGCAGACTCGATCTGCTCTTCGAGGCTAGGTAGTTTTGGAGCATGGGGAAGCTCTTGGGACTCCAAAGTGGTTGCTTCTGCGACAGGCGCTACTAGTTCACGAGCTTCCGGCTGGACGGGTGCTTTGTGGCTGTCGTTGAGAGATGACAGGTGTTCCACACTTCTCTTGAACTTACCACGCTCAAGACCGGGGAAAATGTTGGCAATTTTAGATCCACCGGGAGTAGTAGTTCGAGCAGGTGCCTCCACGGCTCTATCGAGGGTTTCTGTAGGCTTTTCGGCGAGAGGGTCCTGAGGCTGGATCTTGTCCTTCTTGGCCTTCTTTTTGTCTTTTTTGCTCATAGGCGCGGAAGTGTGCTCAGTGGCCTGCTTGGCTTCATTTTCTTGGGCCTCTAGAGCAGAAGAATCTTCGAATTCTGCGATGATCTGCTGCTCCGATGTTGGCACAGGCTCAGGCCCAAGATCTGCCTCCTTTGGCTGTGAGGGACGTTCGACCTTTTGTTCCCAGTCAATTGCAGGCCAATCATCGTCATCCTGGGGATTTTTCTTCGAGGGCACTGCTGTCTCTGGCACCTTGGGCGGCTCCTCTTCGAAGGGCGCGATTTGATCATTCTCTGGAACGCCAGTCTCGGTTTCACCTGCTGGCTCGAGATCCAAAGACTTGTCGGCTTTTTGAGCTTTCTTGGCCTTCTTTTTGGATGCCTTTTTGGACAGGGCAGCTTCCTCTTGGATGGGCTCAGGCTCAGCTTGCTGAGGTTGAGCCTGGGCTTCCGGCTCGGGTGTAGGCTGTTCCTCAACGGAAAGCGGAGTGTCAATGTGCAACTCCCGCTCCAAAGATGCCTCGGGCTCTGGTTCTGGGTGAGCTGTCTCCAAAATTGGCTCTGATGGTTGATTGTCAATGGTAGCGGGGGTTTCAGCAACATCAACAGGGGCTTGGTCATGTTGCTGCTCAGATGCCTCTTCGACAACACCAGAATTCTTCTTTGCATTGCGCTTGTCCTTCTTGGACATCTTCTCGGGCAAATCTGACTCCGGTTGAGCTTCTTCGGACTGGTCCTTGGATAGCTCGGCAACCTCGCGGTCGGCTGCTTGGTCGACATGCTCATCATTGACTGCGGCACTCTGCTCAGGATCAGTGGGCTGTTCTGGGACATTCGCAGCCGTGAGTTCTGACTCAGCCTGGGAAGGCAAGACAACGTCGGCAGCATCCTGAGAGATGAGTGGAACATCTTCAACCATCTCAGAGGATTGATGATCCCCAGAGACAACGTCTTCGCTCTTGGAGGCGGGCTCGTCGGTGGTTTCGGGTGTAGTCTCGACGGCTTCATTTGATACCTCTGGCTCAATGACCTCAGGCTCTAGGGAAGGTTCGGCCTCGGCTGTTGGTTCGTCTAGAACCACAGGTTCAGGTGCAGCCTCAGTAACCTCAGGCTGGACTGCGGGGAGAGGCTCCTCGGGAGCAGAAGTTGGCTCAATAGGTTCTGGCTTGGCTTCTTTCTTGGCCTTCTTCTTTTCTTTCTTTGACATTTTGCGAGAAACAGTCTCATCCGCGGGCTCCTCAGCGAGCGCTTGAGTGGAGTCTTCTAACAAAGCCTCAGGGCCAGTTTGTTCAATGGGCTCGGAAGCCTCAGCAGGCTTTTCTTCAACAATCTCTGGATGCTCGGAAGTCGCTAGCTCTGTTGGCTCTCCTTGAGAGTGTTGCACCTCTGGCTGGGGCTCCTCAATTGGCTCTGAGGGCACTTGTCCTTCAACAACTGTCTGCTGTGCCACATCTACAGCCTCGAGGCTGGCATTCGCAGGCTCGATAGGTCCTACTTCCTGCTCGGGGGAGACTTGCTCCTCGGGTAGAGTAGCTGCGGCGGCAGCAGCAGCAGCAGCGGCGGCAGCCTTCTTCTTCTCCTTCTTACTCATCTTCTTCGGAGCAGACGACGATTCCTCTGCAACTTCGATAACAGGCTCAGTCGAAGCCTCAACTTCGGTGAGCTCAGTAGAGGGTTCGACTTCTGGAGTCTGCCCATCAGCTGCGACCGGCTCGATGGACTTGACTGCTTCTTCGGTCTGAGATTCGGCTGATGGGAGCTCAACGGGAGCTTCTTCGGGTGCTAGCTCTCTGTTTGTATCATGATGCAGAGGTTCAGCAGTTGGCTCAGGATCATGAACAGAGTGCTCAATAGGCTCTGGACCTTGCTGTGCTTCTGTAGCAACAGGGTCACCCCGGGGCTTCTCGGCTTCAGGCACGCTTTCAGAGGCAATCTCGGGTTCCAATGAAGGGGCAGGGGCTTCGGGCACGTCCAATTTTGGCATGTCATCTTGCTGAGACTCAGCCTCTGGCTCCTGCGCAAGAAGCGATTGGCGTTCTTTCTTCTTGTCTTTCTTGCTCTTCTTTTTGGAGACTGGCGCCTGCTCGGTGTCTTCAGTGACCAACGCATCCGAAGTTGCGGTGTTGACATCTTCAACTGCTGAAGAATCGATGTTTTTGGCATCTTCAGCGGCATCAATTGGCTGGTCAGCGGAAGCTTCAGTATGATGGTGTTCTTCTGGCTGGTCCTCTGGGACTGATTTTGACAGAACCTCATCTGCTGGATCAGCCTGGACAGGTGCCTCGGCTTCAACAACCGCCTCTTCGACGACAGCTGGCTCTGTTTGGGCAATCGGCTCCTCCTGAGAAATCGGCTCTTCGACAACCGGCTCTTCTTGAACAACCGGCTGTTCAGCAACTGGCTCTTCAACGGCAGCTGGCTCAGCTTCAGCGGTTGTTGTCTCAAGCTGGGGTTCAGGCTCAATCGAGCCCACAATCTCAGACTGCTGTTCCTCCTCTTTCGCGGCTGTAACATCACCCTCGTTAGATGGGGCTTCTTCCTCAACCGTCTCCTCGTCCTGTTTTTTGTTCTTTTTCTTATCCCTTTTCTTCTGCTTCTTGGAAACAGCCGTTTCCACAGCCTCATCCTCCAGGGGGGCTTCTTCTGTCTGTGTCTCGGGAACAACTTCCACCGGCACATCCACAGACTCATCTTCAACCTTCTCCTTTGAGAAATCGTCCGCTTCCGGCACGGACGACATCTCCTCGCCAACTTCACCAATGGTCTTCTCCTCTTCGAGAGGAGATGACTCAACAACATCAAGCTCCTGTGCAGAAGGGGCAACATCACCCTCCTGCGGAGCAGCTACCTCCTCCAACTCGCCGGAAATGACTGAACGCTCAAGCACGGGCTGGGGAGGAAAATCTAAAAAAGGACTCTCTGTCGACGTCTCAACCTGCGAAGACATGAAGTTATCAGTCGAGGTTGTTTCTTGCGCCGCGGCGTTTATTTCGTCGTGGGACTGATCTTTACCGTCATGTTCCGCAGGCGAGGTTGCCGTCGCGGGGAGTCCAGGGGCGTCTGTGTCCGTCGAAGTGAGGACCTTCTCCACGCTATTTGCTTCAGTGGGCGTGGCGGGTTCGGTGGGAGGAGCAGAGCCATCATCGGCACCGTTGCCCTTAGACTGTCGCTTTTTGGCCTTCTTGGCCTTCTTCTTTTGGGCAGCAGTCATTCCTGCGTATTCGTCGACTTCGGCGGCAGGAGTATCGGTAGCAGTATCCGGCTGGGTTGGTTCCTCGGCGGCTTTGGTTTCGCTATCGGGCTGCTTGAGTTCGGGGGCTTCGTCCTTGGGCGCATCTTCGGAAACGACTGGCGTGCTTTCGAGATCTTCGGGCTTGGGCGCTTCGGATTCAATAACTTGCTCCTGCTCAGTAGTCTCTGCGGGTTGAGTTTCAGGGGTTTCAGCCGGAGCTTCTTCACTTGATTTGCCCTTCTTCTTATTTTTCTTGGCCTTCTTCTTCTGCGCGGCGGTCATTCCTGCGTATTCGTCGACCTCGGGGTCTGGGGATGGTTCCTCTGAAAGAGGTTGGGCTGCTTCTGTTTGTTCAACAGATTCTGCTGTAGTTTTCGGCTCCTCTGCGTCGGCGTTGACAGATTCCCCGGCATCTACTGGCTGTGGTGTGCTTTCGGGGACTTCTGCCGTTGGCAGGTCCTTGGACGACTCTTCCGAGGCGGCGGGGTCGGCTGAAGCATCCTGCGATTCAGTGTTGCTTTCGACGGGCGGCTCTTGGTCCTGCTTTGGCTCCTCGGATGGAGTAGCATCCTCCTCAAAAGCAACGGACTTCCGCTGTGCGCGTTTCTTGTCTTTCTTAGCCTTGCGCTTCTGAGCAGGAGTCATGCCCTCGAATTCTGCTTCGTCTGCTGCTTCGGCGGCGGCGGAATCGGCAGCCTCATCGGGCGTGGAAGTAGTTTCAACAGGAGGCACTTCTTCTGCCTGTGATGCCTCCTCTACATCCGCGGGTGCTTCGGCGCTTTGTTCGGTAGAAGGCACCTCCTCCTGAATAGAAGGTTGCTCGGCTGCCTCAGTAGATACATCCTGGACAGCTTCAGTAGATGCAGGCTGGTCCTCCTCGGTAATAGCTGCCTTTACCTCATCTTCAGGAGTTGTAGACTTTGGCTCTTCGGCAGCAAGAGATTGGCGTTTCTTCTCCTTCTTGGCTTTCTTCCTTTGGGCAGCAGTCATTCCCGCGAATTCATCTACTTCGGCGGCAGCAGGTTCAGCAGGGGTCTCCGGCTGGGCAATATCTTCAGCTGGAGAGGGTTTTTCGGCTTGTGGTGCTTCCTCTGTGTGCTTTTCAAGAGAAGGCTCAGAAGTTTTCTCCGCTGCTGTATCCTTGGCCTCCTGCTCAGCCGGCTGCTCTTCGACAGGTTGTTCCTCAGAAGGTGCATCCTTGGGCGCCTCCTCTATGGGTGTAGCCTGTTGTTCGGCGGCGAGTGACTGGCGCTTCTTTTCCTTCTTGGCCTTCTTCTTTTGGGCGGCAGTCATACCCGCAAATTCGTCAACTTCGGCAGCGGCTTCATCAACAGGGGCTTCCGACTTGACAACTTCCTCGGCTTGTGGAGGCTCTTCAAGCTTCGGTGCTTCTTCCGCTGCAGGGGTCTCCTCATCTTTGTCGATAGAATTAGGCTCAGCGTCTTGGGTGGCAGCTGGCTCAATGGTTTCTTCAGGAGATACTTGCTTGGCCTCTTCAGAAACTGGCTGTTCTTCAACCGGGGTCTCCTCAGAAGGGGCAGCCTTGGCTTCTTCCTCTGCGGGTGTAAGTTGTTGCTCGGCGGCGAGTGCCTCGCGCTTCTTCTTCTCCTTCTTGGCCTTCTTCCTCTGAGCAGAATTCATACCCGCAAACTCATCTACCTCAGCGGTTTCGGAATCAATGGGAGCTTCTGGCTGAGCAGTAGCTTCCGCTGGAGAGGGTTCCTCAACCTTCGGGGGCTCCTCTTCGGTAACAGGGAGCGCCAGCTCGGGCTCGGGAACAGACTGGTCGGCTTCCTTGGCGGCGGATGGATCGGTAGATTCATCCGCAACAATGGATTGTGTCTCCTTCTCAGCAGGCTTGGCCTCTTCTTCAGCGGGCACAGCGGCGGCCTCCTCAGAGGGTGCAACTTGTTCTTGCTCAGCGGCGAGCGCCTCGCGCCTCTTCTTTTCCTTCTTGGCCTTCTTCCTTTGCGCAGCATTCATACCCGCGAACTCATCTACCTCAACGGCTTCGGAATCAACTGGGGTTTCCGGCTGAGCTTCGGTTGGAGAGGATTCCTCAGCCTTCGGGGGCTCCTCTTCGGTAACAGGGAGCGCCACCTCGGGTCCAGGAACGGACTGATCGGTCTCCTGGGCTGCAGATGGCTCGGTGGGCTCATCCGCGGGAGCTAGCTGTGGCTCTTCGGTAGGCTTGACCTCTTCTTCGACGGGCACAGCTGTGGTCTCTGAAGGGGCAACTTGCTCTTCCTCGGAGGCCGCAGATTGACTCTTCTTCTTCTTGTCTTTCTTGGCTTTCTTCTTCTGCGCAGGTGTCATTGCCTCTTCTTCAATTGTCTCCGTGGCCGGGTCGCTAGGCTTTTCTTGGACTTCAGCGGGGGTAACAACTTCCTCCGCTGGGGCAGCAGGCTCCTCGGTGTTTGCTGAAGTTTCTGGAACTTGTTCAGATGCTTCGGGTGTGACTGTTGGCACCTCGGTCGATGGCGCATCGGGGGCTTGTTGATCTCCAGACGTGGCCTCAGCATCAATTTCCCGGGCTACCTCAGCCTGAACAGGGTCCTCGAGGGCTTCAGGTGCGGTTGCAGCCTCGGGCTCGGGGACGATTTCACTGGTACTCTCGACCGTCTTGTCTTCAGCGGGAGTGGGTTCAGTTTCGGTAGTGGGCTCATCGTCGGGCTGAGCGGACTGGTCCTTCTGCTTTTTCTTGTTCTTCTTGGCCTTCTTTTTCTCTGCGGCGGTCATGGGAACATTGGTCTCGGCTGAGGGCTCATCTTCTTTAGGAGCGTCTACCCCCAGAGGCAAGGCAGTCGAGTCATCAGCTGGCACCGGTGCGTCAACACTAGGTTGAAGATCTTCGGTCACGGAAGGCTCTTCAATCTCAGAGGTAGAAGGAACATCTTGGCTTGGCTCGGGCTGAACGTCGGCAGGGGGAGCGTCTTCAGTAGGGAGAGCCACTTCTGGGTCTGTAGATGCGAGCGGAATTTCTTCGGCGGGAGGTTGAGTGTCCATGGAAGGGGCATCAATGGCATCAGTGCCTTCAGCTGGTGCCAGCTCTTTGCTAGCTTCGGAGACTGGCTCAGGTTCGGGCTGGGAGGTGGCATCGGTCGATGGCGCATCATCCTGAGCAGGGGTTATATCTTCTTCCTGCTTTTGCTGCTTCTTCTTGTTCTTCTTTGCCTTCTTCTTCTCTGCGGCTGTCATGGGAATTTCAGGCTCAGCGGCGGCCTCCTCGGTCTTCTCCTGCTCTACAGGCTCAGTAGATTCAGTTGGAATTTCCGTCTCTACCTTGTCTGTTGCCTCTTCGGCGGGTGGAGCACTTTCTTCAACAGGCTTCTCGAGCTCGGCGGGTTGCTCGGAAGTAGAGGGCTGCTCAGCCTCAAGTGATGCCTCGACCTCAACGGGGGCCTGTTGCTCGGCTTCCGAGGCCACAGCCACAGGTTCCTCCTCCGGGGTAACGACTTCCTTGGCAGGCTCCTCGACCGCTGCATCAGCTGCAGGTGCTGCCTCGGCAGACTCAGCCAAAGTCTCTTCTTCGGGGACAGAAGCTTGGCCTTCCTTGCCCTTCTTCTTCTTGTCCTTCTTGGCTTTCTTCTTCTGCGCAGCAGTCATAGGAGCCTCTGCCTCTGCCTCAGTCTCAGTTGCAGGTGGGGCTTCAGGTGCAAGCTCAGCCTGTGTGTCGACGGCAGGCTCGGTGGTGTAGTTGGCAGCGGCGTCCATAGGTGTCACTAACTCTGCTTCAGGCTGTGATTCCATTGTATCCTCTGTGATATCACGAGAAGACTGCTCTGTGGTTTCAATCTCGACTGGGACACTAGATTCCACTGGCTCGGAAGATGAAACATCTTGCTCTTGGCCCGGGGCTGGCTCTTGGGCAGCTAGGTCAGAAGGCAACTCGGCATCCTTGTCAATGTCAGAGGGCAAGGCTTCACCGCCAATTGGCGCTGATTGTGCGTCCGTGGGATCGGCAGTAATTGACTGCTCAGGTTGAGGCTCCTCGGCTGTTGGCTGTGGAGTTTCGGTTTCAACAGCGGTTTCGTCAACCGTATCCTCAACGGCAGATTTACGGTTCTTCTTTTTCTTGTTCTTGCGCTTCTCTGACTTTGACTCTGTGGCCTCTGCTGGGGTTTCTTCGGCAGGGGTCTCTTCGGCCACAGGCTCGGATGTAGATTGTTTCTCCTCGACGGGCGGCGATAGTTGCTCTTCAATAGGCTGAGCGGTCTGTTCCTCGACAGCCTCTTCAAAGTTTTCTTCGCCGTCGGTACTTTCTTTGGGTGTTTCAGGCACAGGGGCGGACTCATCAAGGGTCACTGGTGCAGTATCTTCAATGCCACGAGATGTCTGTTCTGCCTCGAGTTGAGCCATCTCAGAGGTCTGAGTCTCGTTGGCATCGGTGAAGACGGGTTCGGACGCCTCATCAGCTGGCATTTCTTTCTCCATGGGGGTTGCAAATTCTTCTGTCTGGACATTCTCCGCGGGAACTTCTTGAGAAATAGACTCCGTAGGAGTTTCGTCTGTCTCCTTCAAAGCTGAAGATTCCTCTACCGGTTGGGCTGCAGCCGCATCCTCGGTAGGTTCGTCTGTAGACGCATTCTTGCCCTTCTTCTTCTTTTTCTTGTCCTTCTTAGACTTCTTAGATGAAGATGCAGTATCATCGGCCTGCTCGACCTCGGTAGGCACGACCTCGGTCTCTGGTTCAGGGGCGACAACAGGCTCAGAAGATTCGGCTGCAACCTCGGGCTCAGCTGTGATGTCCTTAGACGCTTCGATAGGTTCGGACTCAGGTTCCAGTTGAGCAGGTGCTTCAGGTTCAACAGGGAAAGACTCAGGCTCAACTTGGATTTCACGTGAAGATTCGACCGCCTCAGGTTGAGGTTCTGGGGCAGTTTCGGGGGTCTCAGCAGAGGTCTCAGTTGGGAGATCATCTTCCTGGACTTGGTTCTTCTTGCCCTTCTTCTTCTTTTTCTTCTTTGAAGATTGCGAAGCCTCCACGTCATCAGCAGCAGGCTCAGCAGCTTCAGGCTGAGCTTCTGCAACCGGCTGCTCAGTTGAGTCAGGAATCAGCTCCCTTGATGTCTCTCCCGTAGGCTCAATTGCGCCGTCATCTTGAGGCTTAGGTTCATTGGAAGCCTGAGCGACTGCCTGATCGACAATATCGCCAAAGCCAGACTCAGCCTTGTCTGCAAGTGCGGCATGCTGATCGTGTTCCTTCACGGCAGCAATGGCAGCTGCATCAACAACGTCCGCGAAGCCACCGTGGTTGAAATTGAAAGATGATTTCTCCTGGGTGGGGGTTTGTTCGGGCTGCGATCTACCTTCAAGGGCATCAAGAGCACGATTCGTCTCCTTGCTCTTATCGTCAGCGCTCGGTTCGCGGTCGTTTGCTCCAACAGCAGAGCCTTCAATCGAAGGTAGACGTTCAAATGAGGTCGATGTCAATTCGTCTAAGGATGCCGGGTCCTGCAGGAGCTCAGAAGGGGAATGGAACTCGTAGCGGGGTCGACCCTTGTTCTCGTCGTGATTTTCAGCAGTGGGCGTTGCCTGCTGAGAGTCCAAGAGGTCAATTTCACGTTCGCGGTGCTCATTAGCCTGATCTGTCGAGATGGTCAAGTTTGGGCGGTCCATAATCGCATGGCTTAGGTCGACATGTTCCCAGCTCTTCATTTCTTCATCGTTGAGATCTTTCAGGTTCTCAATTGAAGGGACTCGCGAAGAGCCTTTGCTTGATGGGAGAGATGGGAGATGTCCCTCTTCTTCTGGCTCGCCCTTGGCTGAGCTGTGGCGCTCAACGAGCCATAGTGGTCTGATCTCGCGCGAGTTGCGGAATTCCACTGAGCCGGGACGGCGGTGGCGCTGTTGGCTCGGTGAGCCGGGGGAGGGCACGGGCTCAACAGGTACAGCTCGTGAGAGACCTGGGGATGTTGGTGGACGGCGGAAGTGCAATGGCACAGCAGTAGGTGACTCTGTTGATTTGGCAACGGAGTGTCTCCGTTGGGCAGGGGGACGGCTTGCTTCTGGCGAGCCTGGTCTACTCCTCGACTTGGGCGTCAGATCGAGGGTCTTCTCGGCGTTCGGTGGAGAGATTGAGCGGCTCCGGGGCCTCTGTTGCAGGACTTCGTTCACATCTAAACCTGCAGCGACAGTGGCGTCCTCTGGAAGCCCCGAAGCACTGGTGCGATCAGCGGGCATTTCGGGGCCCTCGCTTAAAAAAGAATTGGTGTCGTCATTAAAGTCCTGCGCGTGGAATAATACCAGTAAAAGCTTAGTACATTTCTTTGCAGTTTGTGGGTGCAAGCTGTTCGAGGGAATCATCCAGCAAAAGGGCAAACTATATGGCACATAACAAGTGTACAATAAATCGATCAACATGAAAAAAAAAGAAAAGGAAAGATCAATGCAATACCTTCGCGGAATCTCGTTTCCTCCCAGAATCCACAATGTCCTCATACTTATGGCGACGTTCTTCTTCCTTGCGTTGTCTACTGGACCTGTACTCCTCCAGATTAGGGTCGCCTTTCTCCTTGTCTGACAAATAAGCATCCAGTTCATCTCCATTGCTGGAGCTTCGACTCTTCGACGAACGCTTCTTGCGACGACGGCGCTCGTCATCACCACCAGCTTCGGACATGGCCTCGCGGGAGGAGCGTTTGTCTAACGAAGAAGACCGGGAGTGGTCACGAGAATGGTCGGACCGGACACGCTCGGCAGGGGCTGAGACCTGCGAGCCAAACAGGCTTCGCAAGAAGCCACCGCTCTTGTCCTTCTTGTCCTTGCCTCTCTCGCGGGATTCAGAGATCCGGGCTGGAGAGGATGTCACAGAAGCATTGTCATCAAAGTCTCTGGATGAGCGATGACGATGCTTGCGGCGTTCAGACTTGTCATCTGCAACATCTGTGATAGCAGAGGTAATCGAGGCAGTGTCATCGAAGTCCCTCGACGAGCGGTGGCGATGCCTGCGACGCTCAGACTTATTATCATCTGCAGCATCTGTAACAACAGATCGAGCATCATCGTCAGCGTAGCCTTCGCCTTCGTGCTTGGAGCGGCGCTTGCGACGTCGCTTCTTCTCATCGCCATTCTCGTCGTCTGGAGGTGGGGTTTCAGCATCACGACGAGGATCAAAATCATCACTCCGACGAGATCTTCGGGATTTTCCAGACTCGGAAATAACAGAGCGGGCGTCATCGCGGACTTCGGACACATCGCGCGACCGTGAGATGTCGAAATCATCACCGCTGCGGCGAGATCGTCTGGACTTGGAGGTCTCCTCCTTGGACACGGGTGCCGACAGGATGGAGCGATCATCGCGGGCAAGGGATACTTCTCGTGAGCGAGAGGCGTAGTCATCACCGCTACGTCTTGATTTTCTGTGTCTCGACTCCTCCTTGTGGACGGGAGTAGACGCACCAGAGCGGGATGGCTCGCGGGACAGAGAGGGCTCGCGGGAGTCATGAACCTCAAAGTCATCACCACTACGACGAGACTTGCGGGACTTTGTCTTGGATGTCTCATCTTTTGAAACAGGGGCAGAAATGACAGAGAACGAATCATCACGAGGCTCAACAACTTCACATTCTTGGTTGTCAATCTCAAAGTCATCACCACTGCGGCGGGACTTGCGAGATTTGGACTTCGAAGTTTCATCTTTCGAAGTTGGAGCGGAAATCACGGAGAAATTGTCATCACGCGGCTCTTGGTATGCAACCTCGAAATCATCTCCGCTGCGACGAGATTTCTTGGGCTGGGAAGACTCCTCTTCCACAGGTGCAGCCCATTCCAAGGAGCGGGCAGCATCCTCTTCCTCGGAACGCTTGCGTGAGTCAATTTCAAATTCATCCCCGCTGCGACGAGACTTCCGGGAAGAAGACTTGGAAGTTTCATCCTTGGACACAGGAGCGGAAATAACAGAGAAAGAGTCATAGGGCGCAGAGACCTCTGGTTCTTCAGGCGCAGTCTCAAATTCATCACCACTGCGACGTGACTTTCGGGACTGGGACTTGGAAGTCTCATCCTTTGATGTGGGAGCAGAGATCACGGAGAAAGAATCTCCCATGGTAGATGGTTCATGAGATTGAGATGTCTCCAGATCATTGACAGGAAGCTCACGCAGCACCCCTGGTTCCGGAGCAGGTGGAATGGAGCGCGACTCATCAAGCTGAGGGTCTTGGTCTTTGTATTCCGGAATTTCGAACTCTTGGCTGAGTCGAGACTTCTTAGACTTGGACTTGGATTTGGATTTGTTATCAACAGGCGCTGTGACGACAGATCTATCATCCACCAAATCTCGTGAGTCGACTGCTTCGAATCCGCCAGGCATGGAGAAGGTGTCGACATCTCTCTCAGGCGAAGCATCGTTCGATCGCTTGCCGTTTAGATGCTCAATAACTTCCTGGGCAATAGAGTTTTCGCGGCGTCCGTACACATCACGATCTTTATCTGTCTGCTCGTCGAAGAAGAGTTCATCCTTGTCTTGAGCACGGTGTGAAGGAACATTCTTAGACTTGGGGTCGAGTTCCTCCTCCTCGACAAAGCCCTGCTTGCGTGAAGACCACGGCGAGGTAAATTGCGCATGAGCCTCATCTTCCGAACCAGGTGGAGAAGTGCGCGTGTGATAAGAGGGATCATTAGTGATGAATGAAGGATCGAATCCAGCAGCGGCAGTAGCAGCCGCAATCGTAGCAGCGAATTCGATATCATTGCCATATTGAGACTTCTCATCCCTGTGCTGCGAAACTTCAGAAGCAGGCAGAGGAACATCCCTAGCAGAAACCTCGGAAGGAGGGAGAGGAACATCCTTGGCTGATACTTCACGCGACTCATAATCGAGAGGATCTTGCTCCGAGGAAGAGGGGATTTCGTATTCGTGGGTTTCATGCTCGCCCCATGAGACGCGGGAACCGGTTGGTCGGTCACGCTTGGTGGTATCTACAGGTGCACTTGGGGCGGTAGCATCACGAACAGAGCCACCATTCACACTGTGAGGGGGCGTGGGCTCAATGAAGTTAAGGCGGGGAACAGGCCAAGGGAGACGATCCACATTCTCGTAAGGTTCGTAAGAATAGTCCTGCTGAGGAGCAGGCTCTTCGCGAGCCCGGCGCTCGCTGGCAGGCTCCACCTCAACGATGGTTGGCATGCTAGTGGATTTACCATCGTGGGCGTCAGGGCTGTGGCGGAGTTCTTTGGGTGCGTAAAACTCGGCATAATCGTCGTAAACGGGCGCTGGACGAGCACGGCGAGGAGACCGCGGTTTTGGTTCCTCGCGATGTTCGACCGTGATCTCATCGTCAATTGGCTCTGAGGGTGGGAATGTTGACACAAGAGAAGGTGCTTCCTCGTTCTCGTAGCGGTAGCGCTCGGCAATACGCTTTTCGCGGCGCTCGGAGTGTCGCGAGCTGGTCTCGGAGACGTTGTCATCATGCTTGTGTGAAATGATGGCACTGGTGGCCGCGGCGCCAATGAGTCCAGCGGCGGCGGGGCCCACCCAAGATGAAGATTCTTTCGCTCTGTCGTCCTCGTCCCTACGCCTCTCGAGCTCCTTCAGCTCTTTCTCCATTCGGCGGCGTTCGCGACGATCAGACTCTTCCTGGCGAGCAAGCTCTTCCTCTCGGTCATACAACACGAGGGGCTGGTCGACCACTTCTTCCCGATGGCCATTATCGCGACGGTTGAGATGGCGTTCCCTCTCCACTTGCTCTTCTGTCAGATTGAAGGAAACAGAAGCCTGGTCTTTGCCTGTAGAGCGACGCTTAAGAGTAGGCGCAGGCTCCTGCGTTGGGTAAACGGGGAATGAATCACTGCGGCGGTGAGGTCCACGGCCAGAGGATGTTGGATCAACTGGCGCCCATCCAGCATCACGACCATCCAGGTCCTGGATGCGGTACTGGGGGAATCCACTTCCGTAAACAGGAACAACAGGTGCGCTGTGCACTGGGATCGTTCCAGGAGGTGGACCCTGGGTAGTGTATACAGCTTGGGAGACAGGAGCGAAGGGCTGTGGCTGCTGAAGGGGGATAGGACCTGGGCGAACAAGTGTTGGCTGACCTGCGGGTTGCGCATGAGGATTTATCTGCGCTGCGTCAAAGCGAGATGGGTCGGATGTAGGCATGGGATAGACATGTTGAAGAGCGCCATCACTGACGGGCTTGCTGTCATTGTCGCGGGAGGCAGAAGAGATGGCAGCTGCGCCTAGGGCACCAGCACCCATTGCCAGAGCAGCATTGGTAGCGCTCGACCGCTTCTCCTTCTTCTTGTCCTTCTTGCTGCCCCATCTCCAGCCCCATTTGCTGCTGGCTGAATCGGAAGTATCAGGGCTGCTCGCTCCGAATGCCAGTGCTGAGCTGACACTGGATTGATCCTCTGACTCGTCAACCCATTCATCGTCATTGGTAGCTGAGGATGCATAGTTAGAATGACGGGATTTGGTAGTGTACATTTGACCTGCACTGCGGCCATGAGGCGAAGAGCCGGCCAGGCGGTTGGCCGTGGCGCCCAGGCCCAACAGAGCAGCATCAACATCCTTTCCCTTCTTGTCTTTCTTCTTGGACTTGGGAGATTTCTTGCGGAAACCATCTCCAAAGGCAAGATCATTGTCTAAAGATGAAGACGAAGAGCCACCGTTGAAGGAGAAGAAACCCCTGCGCTTCTTGGTGTGGCGCTTCTTCCGGTTTTCAGACGAGGCAGTGAAGAAAGAGCCAATGTTACCGGCAACAGACTTCTTAGCTGGTCGGGACATATTGACCACGGACGAGGATGAGGTAGAATCCTTCCGTCGGTGGCGTCGTTCAGGTGAACTACTGCGAGAGCGGTCATGGGATTTGGTGATAGCGTACGCAGCACCCCCCACTGCGGCACCGAGAGCAGCCTCCTTCATGAACGAATGTTTTCCAGAGCGAGAGGAAGATCGAGATCGTGAACGATCGCTGCGCGAGTATCCAGAGTGGGGACGCTTGGAGTCACGGTGCGGGCTGCGGCCAGAACGGCGAGCAACGCCGCGGGAGGTGTAGCTCCTCCGGTCATCTTCCTCGCCATGGGATGACTGGACACGGCCAGATCGGATGCTGTAGGAATCATCGAACTCCTTGCTGCTGAAGAGTGATTTGGCCCCATAGCCACCGAGCATGCCGGGAAGCCAGGAAGTTTTGTTAGACTTCTTGCGCCGACGACCCTCATCGTCCGACGAGTTATATCGGCTGGACTTGCTAACTCTGGAGCTACCACTGCTGTGTCGATCGGCGGAGTTTCGGCGACGGCGGGGGTGATAATGATGTTTGCGAGGTGCATCCACGGAGGTTGTACCGGGTGTGAAACAGTACTTGCACACACCGATGGTTTCTGTGTAGTCCTCGAATCTTCCGACTCCTTCGGGGTCACGCCAGAAATCCACAAACCGTCCGACGGCACCACGTTGTCGTTCACGCATAACAAGTGCGCTAGGTCCGTGGGGGTAAAAGCCTGGGTTATGGATGGCATGGGTAGCATGGCCGCCGGGGCCTGCGACATGCAAAGCCTCAGGGTGGCCTGAGACATACGGAGCCATTCCGGTCTGGGAAGACTGCTCGTAGTTATGGAAAGCGTATGGCGACGCCTGCTCCGGGCTGGAGGAGGAGTGGTGGTGACCAGCTAAGTATCCACCAGCGACTCCAGCAGCAGCAAGAGCGGCACCTTCACTGAAGTGATGAGAGTGAGATGGCTTTGGCGGCTTTTGGCTTCCACCAGACACGGGCTGGTTATAAGACATGGGCTGATTGTATGCCATAGTCTGACTTTGGTGGTTGTAAGACGAGCTGTGGTGTTGCTCTGATTCATAAGATTCAGCGTGAGACGTGATGTTACCAACACCATAAGTGGCGGCGCCAGCGGCGGCAGCAGCAGCAGGTGCAATACTGCCCGCAGATGGCTTCGAGGGCTTGGGGGGTCTTGATGAAGATGTAACAGGCGGATTCACTTCCGGACCAGATAATTCATCGTCAAAATAGGCCGCCGCTGCCCCCGTCTGGCCCATGCTACTGGGCTCAGGAGGAGGATTTGCCGACGGAGATGCCGCCATCAAGTGAGTTTGGGTATTTGGCAGAATAGCCGGGCGAGCAGGTCGAATGCCCGGCTGATACTCGACCGACTGGCCTTGGTCACCGTAGTAATCCGCGGCCGCGCCGGCAGGATTGGGAGGCCGATACGGCTGTGCAACAGTATCCGGAAACTGGCCGGGGAACTGTTGTTGAACGTGTGGATCGTAGACATCGTGCTCGGGGGAATGGCCAGCAGACGGCAGAGCGTGATCATATTGGGTGGGGAACTGGGGGAATCCAGCAGGGCCATCGACGGGGAATTGCGCATTTGGTGCGCTGGATGGCATATTTGTTGAGATTAAAGGTACATATGGATCTCCTGAGTGGGTTCGGCGACGCTCACGGCGGTCGCGCTCCCGGTCGTAGTCACCATCGCTAGTATCTTGCGTCCCGCGGCGACGTCTGTCGCGATCGGGGCTGATGGATCGATCCCGTTCACGGCGGCGAGAACTTTTACTCTCTCGGTCGCTATCTCTGCGTTTGGGTGTTCGTTCAACGTAACGGTCGTAATCGTCAATTGGTTCTGGTTCGGCGGTCACGAAAGATGCGACTGAGTCGCCGGCAATGCTTGCGGTTCCGCGCCGACTGCGAGAGGGGGAGTATATGGTGAGATCGCCCAGACCACGGTCACGGTCGTCACCCCGTGAGGATTTGCGGCTGGAGATTGATCTCGTGTCGGACTTGTCGGACCTCTCTGATCTTTCGGATCGTTCTGACCTATCCTTGTCTTTGCGCCGGCTACTTTTGGAGCGAACGTCCGAAGACGAACGGCTGCCCATAAGCGCCTTGAACATGATGGGCAATTAGAAGATTAAATCATGCGGAATGTGAGCTGGAATGTTAGAGGATGTGAGTAGAGTGAGATGGGGAAGTTCGCAAAGGTCAAGGTTCCAAGGTTGTTATGGCCCCAGTTTGTTTGGGTAAACAACGGGAGCTGAACCGTGGATCTCACTGTGGAGACACGGCGCTTCCACGGTTTCGCTGCGGTTAATTACTTCGGTTCTTCGACGATATCGACGATGTCGACTTCGATGTCGACTTGGTTGATGGCGAGAATTCAACGTCAGATGCGAGATGCAGTCGATCCGAAGAGAAAAATGTGAATGAGCCGTGCAACGAGTGGAGCGAATCAAAATCGCGGTGAAGCATCGTGCACGGACCGGGGCTGGGATCTGTGACGAAATCCCAGCCTCTTAGTCCAGCAATGGGAGTATAGCAGATATATGTCTAGCTGTGTTCTATGGAGTACCTACATGCTACACTCAATCTGTTCTCTAATATGAAGTAGAAAAAGTCAATTCTATGGCAGTTTCTAGACAAAATAACAGTAGCTCGGGACTCGAGGTACATTGCCTAGACAACTACGAGTCTGCATAACGCAAGTGTTTGCTGTCCTACTTAAGTACTCGCATAGGCAAACAACCTATGAACGGAGCAATCTCCGCCAATTGAGGTTTATGTATCATCGCAAGAAGATTCCAATTCTGTATAGCATACATATCTGCCTAGCAATTCCAGACCCCAAGGTCCTACCTGTAGACGGAGTACTCCGTACTCCGTACTCGAGAATATCGATATACTACGAGAACAGACCCTACATCAAGTCCCAGTATCCATAGATCCCCTAAAATCCCCTCAATCAAACAGAGTAAAAAAACCCCCAATCCAAATCACTCCGTCCGCATCAACTTCTCCAACCGACACCTCAACAAATGTTGAAACCACCCCGGATACCCCCTCAACCTAGTGGCAATCCACCCCGCCGAGCCCGGCAAAACAACCACTCCACTCTCCCCCTTCAAAACCTGCCTCACCACCGCCTTCGCCACACTCTCCGGCTGCAACAGGGGATTAAACCACGTATCCTCAGGTGTAAGATCCTTAATGAAAGCCGTCTTCGTAAATCCCTGCGTCACAAGCACAGTCCGAACCCGAGGCGCCGAGTACCTTGTCACCAGCTCAGCGGCCAATCCCTCATGAAAGGCAATTGCCGCAGCCTTGGAGGCAGAGTAATCGACCATACTGGGTGTAACAGCGTAACCAGCCTGAGAAGCAATGGTGACGACCATGCCGTGGTTAGCGGAGACCATGTCTGGGAGGAATTCTTTGGCGAGAGCATAGTGTGAGAGGGTGTTTATGTCGAAGGTGCGACGGGTTTGCTCGGGGGTGGAGGAGAGGATTGTTTTGCCGGTGCAGACTCCGGCGTTGTTGATTAGGATTGTTGGGCGGCCGAAGGAGGAGCGGATTGCTTGGGCTGCTGTGGCGATTTCACTAGGTGAGGTTATGTCGCATTGGTAGAAGCGGGTGCTGTTGGGGAGGGAGTCTGGAGGTGATATGTCCAGGATGGCAACTTTGATATCCTTCTCGCCTAGCAGGTTTGCGATACGTTGACCGATGCCATTGCTGCCACCTGTGATGACAATGACTTCCTTGTTCCAGTCATATGAGTCGCTGAAGCCGTTATTGAGGGTGCGTCGAGTCAGCCAGTTGCTGAGGCGGGATAGGAGAGCGAGGGCTGCAAGCTGACGCAGGGCTTTGAGAAGCTTTGGATGCGACGAAAGTAGAGCCTGTCCCTTGGTTGTATATTGGGCAAAGGCAAAGAGAGGGATCACCTTCCATGGATCAAGGATGCTTCGGGATATAAGAGTACCTAGCACGTCTGCTGTGAAGCCTATTGAATCTTAGATACGGTGCTCTTTACATTGGGTTGTAGAGCGGGTAGTACCTTCTCTCGAGGGCCAGGTCCTTGCACTTGCCATTTTGCTTTCTGATCGGGCTATAACGAGAGACTGGGACTGGGACTGGACCTGGGAATGGACGAGATATATTACCCCAGAATGTCCCGGTCTTATGGTCCACGGCTCGCGGCCCCGGCCGGGGTCCATGAGCTGATGTAAGGAACTTTCTGCGGGGGAGCCGAGGTCCGCTCGCCTGTGCAATTTGATAAAGTCGCTGGAATTCGATATCTGATGCATATCCGGTTTCAGTAGCAGATGACTGGAAACATTCAAAGTTTTCAAGTTGCTGAATGTCAATGCCGCTTCAAAAGAACCAAAAAAAAGCAACTGGTCATGGAAGACAACAGCGATCAACACCATAAGTCATGGCTTGTGCTTCATCGGTACAACCCGTATATACCCCCCCCCGAACTACTGGAACATCTCAGATTCACCAATGCAATCTTAACCTAGAAATCTACAACATCATAATACAAGATAAATGAAAACACCCCAGAGGGGCTAAAGTTCAGGCCCAATGAGAACAACCAAGAGATAAAGTTGAAGTATACCGTAAGGCTGACGTAGATGACATGCACACAATGTTAAAACGCAGTGGAACTCCACACCCAGCGTATCGTGGTTAGATGCAAAACGAAAGAGCAAAGGAATCCAGTTCAGAGACAGAAAAGCCACACCGAAAGAACAAAGTGGTTAGATCGGATAGGGTGGGGAATCATCAAAAAGAAGAAAGAAAAAGAGAAAAAAAAAGAGGTCGAAGAGGTATGGATGACATGAGTACGAGACTCGGCTAGAGAATGCATAATGTGTGGATGGAAGGAATCGCTGATGCTTAGTGATGTGTCATGCCAGGGTAGGAGCTCATGTCTGGAGCGCGATGGAAGATCTTTTCATAAATCTCGGTGAGGATACGGGCGTCGGCGCGGAGGGTGGGAGAGATGTGTTCGCTCTGGGCGAGGAAGGCGATGGTGCGTTTGAGAAGGCGTTCCAGGATCTTGGGGTCGACCATTTCGCTAAGACCGGACATGAATGTTGCTGAAAGAACGAGCATGTTGCCAAATTGTCTGTAAGCTTGTCAGTATTGCGCACGATGGTTGAATGACTGTGGGATTCTTACGCATGGGCGGTACCGAAGATGTTGGTCACCACTAATCTGTGACCAACGACACCGTCAAAAGCCTCGGTACTGAGAATTGCGGATTCAATGCAAATCTTGCAGGCGAGTCGGAGCTTTTTGGGAAGATCTCGTGGGTGGACTTTGGGGGGAGTCCATCCATTGGCTAGAGAGACGGGAAGTGCAGACCCCATCTCACTGGACATGCGTGCCATGTCCGTTGAGCGGGCAGTGCTATTGTGGGTAACAGAGGGAGATTGTTGCTGGTAAGTGGGCGAGTCCATCGCCTGGCCGACTGGACCGACGCGGGTACCTGCGTGGCCGTAGTGCAGAGCGTGATAGAGAAGAGGACGGTGGATGATGTAGCGGGCACCGTAGTACTTTGCACGCATACGAGCGGCGTTGATCTCATTGGCAGGGCCTTCTGTATCCTTCCACTTCATGCTGTCAGGAAGGCTCGTTCTCCAAAGGTCCAGATTCATGCTCAAAGCTTCTTGTACAGTTGACGACCATCGCCGTTGGCCTTGCTTTTCGACCTTGTAGAGATCTGTGTGGACCCTGTTGAGGACTTTGCGCAGGTGAATTTGAGCCGAGTAGAACAACATCATCATTGTTGAGGGCGAGCTGAGGTCGTCCGGGAGGGAGATGGTAAACTTTCCTTTCGGAAGAGCCATTCGGCTTTCAGATCGCGAGATACCACTTGCAGGGATGTCGAGCTCCGCAAGTAAGTCACTCTCCAGCTGTAGACATGTCCAGTACGCGAAGTTGTAGAGATCCTTCACGGGTCCCTCTTCGAGTCTCTCATATCGTTTTGTTCGCACCAGCACTTGGCATGCCCTTGATGCCTGAGAAATCCAACTGTGGCTCTGGAATGGATGGGCTAATTGACCAGCGTATAAGCCAGCGAGCAAGCCGGCTTGAACGTGTTCCAGCTCATTACCGCCTTGCAGATACCCCAGGATTGAAGTGGCGTACCCATACATGGTCAATCCTGCGATAACTTGATAATTCTTGGTGTTGCCCCGTTCATCGCGCACGGCCGAGACAGATCGTCTTGAGAGGTTCTTTCGGTTTTCACCTAATGTAGAAGGGAAAGACTGGCTCGCAGGTTGCATTGGCATAGCATATAGGGGATGCGAGTAAGTCAGTGGGACAGCCGAGTCCGAGTTCGCAGGCGAAAGCACACCGTTGGGGGCATACGCTCCATTCTGACTGGTTTGCATTGCAACGATAGGCGTGAGGAGACCGGGAATGCATTGGCTGCGGTAATCGATCTTTGAGTCCATGATCGGTCCAGGAAGGGGGGCTGGGACTTCACAAATGGCACCAATTGCCAGACACAGTAGTACCATTGCATTGTCAATGTTCTTGCCGACGCGTGGTCGCATCGGGCTGGGGGAACTGTCCATAAATTCGCCCCGAATGCCCAGGTTTTCGTTTGAACGTCTGCGTTTTGCTGGCGGTGGACCGTCGCGACTTGGTCGGCGGTTTGAAGTAGAGCTCGGTGATGTGGTGATGCGGCAATAGCACCGAATGAATCTATCCACTTTCTGGTCGAGCTCGCCCTGTTCGAGGAACGGGTGAAGCTTGTACATGTTGCTGAGATAGCATTCGTAGTAGCGTTGTGCAGTCCCAACATCCAGCTTCAAGTTACCAAACTTGTCAATATCGACATCCGCGTCAAGGCCTGCACCATCTCCGTCGGGTCGAGCGCCGTCAAACCCACCATCCGTCGGTAACTGACTGTCATCCGCAGTGTAAGAGATCTCTCCCTGTCCATAGATACTGATCAGACCTCGTTCTTCCTCCAAACGCATCACATAGTCCTCATCGTATTCCTTTGGAATAAGCAGTTTCTTGATCGAGGGCCACATCAAGAGTTTATGAGCTGCGGTGGTGTGTTCAACAGGAATAGAAAGTTCTCCTTCTGGTTCGTCGGTCTTCGCATCCACGCCCACGGTCCCTAAGGCTGAGGAGAAGCTCGAACTGGCCAGGTCTTGGCTCCCTGTTTCAAGGGTTGCAGATGGTGCCTGGATCGAAGGTGTTTCCTGTTTCAACAGTGGCTTCTGATCAGCCGGTATAGGCGCGGGGACGGGAATATCTTGCACTGTGGTGATAGGCCGTGACTTTGATTGCTGTTCCGTCGACATGGACCGCAGCAACCGCTCATGGTCTCTTTGTGTCTCAAGCATCACCGACATACGGTTTTCCAGACGGTCCTCCATTTGCATGAGTCGATCCAACAGCACTTGCGTTGTCTTCTCCTGCTTATGCGGGGGAACCTCCTTATAAACACACTGAAGACTGTTCTCTTTGCAGTGACTGCAGTTCGGCCGTCCCTCGTCACACTTTGCCTTCCTCGTTCGACACTGATCACAAGCCTACAGCCCCAGATTGTCAGCTTACATCAACATTTACTACTAAGCACGACTCACCTGTGTAGCTCGTGCTGCCTTACGTTGACGCGTGTACGCCTGGTTCTGGTAGAATGCAGGGTCATATCCAGGCGGCGTTGAAGCCGCCATCTGCGGCACGGGGGTCATGAACTGTGAAGCTGGAGGTAATGGACCAGAGGACATGTGTTCGGCGCTATTGATCTGATCTGACGGCGGGTAGCTCAGGCGAGCGCGATAATCCGGGGACCCCTCGTGCGCGCCATTCATGGGCTGTCGGAAGTTGGGGTGAGGGGGGTTGGGGTCCTGCGGGGAATGTGCGGGCGCGTTTGGAGACAGTGCATTTGGAGGTAGACCGTTTGGCGGCCGGCCATACGGGCCATCTTGTGATAGCTGGGGAAGCTCTCGGTTTGGTAGAACGGGGTATGGATGTGGCGGAAGGGGTGTCTGGGGGGTTGATGAAGAGCGACGGGAGTCTGGGTGATTGTCGAAGGTGGGCGGGTAAGGTGGTCGCCATGAGGGTTCATAGGCAGTATGCGGACCCGGAGGCGCAAGCGGCGCCTCGGGTGGTGGCATGCGGTGGTTCATCATTGCAAACACAGGATCCGAAGTTGCCGATGGGGAGTTCGAGAGTCGCGAGGGCGCATGTATTCCAGGTACCGGTTTGAAGGAACGAGATCAGATTCCCGACATGGTTTAGGTGAAAGGGAAGTATGTGACGTGATGTCGCGCAGTAGCGACAATCTAAGAAACAGTTGAGGGTCGAGAAATCAATAGCGCGATTAAAGCTCCGAAAATGGTAGGTCGCAAAAATGCGTGTCGGTGGAGCTACGACAAAGAAATAGTCAGATCACCGATCCAATCCCAGTGATACTCGAAAGAGAAAGGGAGAGAAGAAGGGAAAAAAACAAGAGAGTATCCACCACATCAGACAGATCCAAAGCAGAAGTACAAGGTTGGGCGACAAGGAGGGGAAATGGTCAGTACCTGGTATGGTAATTTACAATGTCTCGGTTTTGCCGCGGTTTTGGCAGTTGGGCTGGCAGATTTGCAGTTTCACTGTAAATGGTTCTGGAAGTCAAGAGTGGGAAGCTAGAAAGGACTAGAAGGTGAGAAAATCCCAAGGTCGCGGAGAGGGGGATGAGAGAGTAATTAAATGTCAGGATCGTCGTTGCCCCTCCCTTTATGATGGACATTTTAATATTGTATACATTATATTCTACATATCTGCCCCGATCAGGAAACCCCTGAGAACTCATTTGACAGGTCTGCTTCTTCTTTTTTTTATTTCATTTATTTGTATTCGTTTTTTTTTTTTTTAATCCAAATAATCCCGGTGGGTCTGGCGGCTGGGGAAAAATGTCTGCATACTTAAGTACTAGTCTTGAAGCTGGGTAACATTGAAATCCGTTCCTGAGAGCTTGACTGCTATTCTCTGGGATTCCCTTATATCATATATACCGAAGGAACATAAGTAACATAAGTAACATCAGTAATCAGTAGAAAATATACACAAGAACTATGATCGAAGCTAGGGTCCGCGTGGAACGGGGATCGCGCTTGCCGGAGGTCAACCACTTCACCGGGAACAATACCCTATATGCAACTTTAGAACTTGAGCTTTGGATCCGTATGTATACCATACTGTACCAAACTTTAGAACTTCCGGTCTGACGCAGGTGAGCACCAACATTAGATCAGAAAGCGCTAAAGCTCCCAAGCTTGAAAGTCAACTCTGGTAGATCACCCAATACCCAGGACTCGGGTGGCAGTACATACACCGTAAGTAAGCTAACGAGAGAGACTAAAGAAACATACCCATTTCAAGATCAACCAATTAAAGCCCCCGCCTCGACCGCCAATCTCCAGACTCCAGAACGCGCAAAGTATAATCGACTCAGTGGATATATCCGTCAATCCCTTTCACGCCCAAGAACCCAATAAACGCCCGTGATTCACCGATCAACTCGAACACTCGCAAGGGGCGCCACCGGGCAATCTGATGTTGAGAATGAAGAGAGTTTACCCCCAGCGAACTCGTCATTTCCCGTTCATTTGAAGGGATAATTTCAAGTCTCCCCAGTGTGATGGTTGTCGGGGCTGATCAGCATCCCAGCAATTTGGGTTTCCCTTTTTTCCCCGTGTGTCCTTATTTCCGTTACACTTTGAGTGACACTTTGTACTATCGCAAAGAACAATGGAATGTACACGGAAGTATGGTATCGGTAATAACGGCATCACCCGTCTCAACCAGTGGATGGCCACGGGAGGCATCCACGGCTCGATTTGTATCTCTTGAATGTTTTTATACAGTACGAGTACGCCGTATACTCTGTATACTTCGTACCCTGCGTACTAACAACATACTCCATACATGCATAGAGCTTCAAAGATCATCACTTTACGGTACTAGGCAGTAGTACAATTTACCCCTGGCTGGATCAGGATGCAGCTCAATTCCTGTCCTACAGAACATCCGAGTCAAACGCCGTGCCACAGAAGTCACCCCCCGACATTCCAAGGTTCCTATTATTTGCTTATTTGGACCGTTGCCTGCCCGTGCAGTCAAGTCACCCGCTGTGTGAAATACGAGTATCCGGACAGAAGGATTAAGTGGAGTTATCTAGTGGAGTATATCCATTTTTTTGTTCCGCACATTCAAGAACTTCTGCTCATTGCTCCACGGTGTTTTCCGCTGAACCGCAGCGTATAGAGTACGCACTCCGTACTGCAAGTCCTGAGATGGATCTGGAGAACCCCGTACAGGATTAACCATGCAGCATCTTGGAAATCAGAAACATCCAACTCCAACTCCATTCTCCCTATGTGAGGTAGGGGTCTCATTGGCCGAGCACAAAATTCCTTGACATGTTGACAGCTGAATGACTTGCCACCCGAAGAAAGGGGCCATTGGCATTGGGTTGCATTTCTTTCAAAGCCGTCCAAGCTCCCTGAATTTTGCGTCGATCCGCCTTTCTTTTCCACCATCCTGTTTCCTGGGTTCTGGCGCGTTAGATCTTCACCCGTCATGCGGCCACGCGTGTTCAATTTTTCTCAGTCCAAGTGGGTATGTACTCCACGTAATGATGATCCTTGAACTCAGGGACGCAAAAACAAATACGGGCGTCGAGACCGTGTCTTTTAAACCAAGCTGAACTGCAAACCCAGCTGCACGCCATGCAGAGTGCAGTATGAGGATGTACAATATCTGGAATAGAGTTTCTGTTAGATATCCAATGAGCCACGCAAGGGGCCCCCAAAGCCCGTCATCGTTAATGATCGGGAAACCCAAAAACCAGCCTCTTGTGGATTGATGGAACACCTATGTCATCGGTAGTGAGGATCCCGGAGCCTCAATTCTCACCGCAAGAACCTTGGAAGGCTGGGAATGTTTTTGCTACTAGTACGGATCAGTGAAGTACGGAGTACTCCGCACATACGTTAAATGCACGATTCCCAATCCCTTGATGCATATTACAAATTGCAAGTCCCTGGCGCTATTGACATTCGCATCCGAGAAAACCCCAGAATCCGAAGGCCATGCAAGCTGGCTCACATCGGGGACCTTTAGCAGACTATTGGAATGGCTCCTTATGCGCAAGCTGCAGGCGATCTGGTACCTTGATGGGGAATTCGACAGAAGGCAACACGGGAGGCTGCATCTGCCGATTGCTGGAAAGGTCAAGCCCAGAGTTGTTTAGTATTCAGTGATACAGTGGACACCTCCAGAGCAAGAACAGGTATCTTGCATGATAGAGATCAGAAATTTCTCAAATCATAGGGCTGATCATATACTCCGTACGAGTACGGCGTATACTAACGTTGAAGTCATGAGGGATTTCATGCCCTACTTCCAGTGACACCAAAACAATCGAATGAGATTGTAACCACACCAGCCTGGAATATCTCAAAATCAGATCACACGAGGCTGTACTCGTACTTTGAAGTCATACATACCAGCCTACGGATACACATTCCATCCATACTACTTGTATACGCTCATACACCTCTAGAGCTCTGCCTCGGTAGTTATGAGCACCCGTGGACTGTGCAAATATACCCTGTACTCAAGTACCTATACTCACAGCATACCTCACTCGTACAGCAATACAGTAATATGCCCGAGCACCAACCCGCGAGGCTCATCGGCGATGCAAGCGCGTGATTTGTGCATCCACCAGCGATCGGTTATGCCGGCTCGGCTGAAATGTGACCACCTCATTCTTCGACCAGCGCTTTCGTTGCTTCACTGGGTCCATGACGCGCTTCATGAGCCTCTCACCTTTTCGCTCTGATTACTCGTACTCTCCGCGTGACATCGGGACACGACATTCTTCACGGCAAACGATCAAGAATAATAGCAGTTTGTCGGTGCTCCCGCCCCCCGCATGCAACAGTTTCAAACCGCCCAACTACGTGATCTGTATCACAGCTGCCACAGTGATTTGTGAAACTGATGCGTCGAGGCGTTTGAATCCACGTGGCGCTCCATGTGGAATTGGGACTACTTACTGGTATGGAGTATTTAGTATTTAGTATCGAGTATAAGTGGTTATATACGAAGTATAGTATGGAATCGTTAAGAGAGCAGTAGCAAAAGTATGTTGTACGTTCAAGACCCACATGCAAAGTTTGCAACTGCAATTCTCCTTGCGCCTTCAATGAACCACTGGTCCGATCACCGAGTAGATTTCAAAATTGCAAAAGAGCACAGCAGATTGGGGTTCTTGCATACTTTCTCAATCTCAACTTGAGAACGGCTCGGTTGAATGACCAACCGGACTGGATTTCATACAAACCGAGTCCGGCGAGCCGCATCTTGCCGACGATTGACATCTTGACCACGCTATGCGCGGTAGTTGATCCGACATTCTGGAGTCACAAACATCTGCACGCCATTCACGCAGGTCATGTTCTTTTGTCTGCTACTTACTTGGGTAGTAGTCTGGGGACTTTGTCAAACTGCCAATGGCACTATACAAGGTTTGCTCCATATTTGACTTGATTTGAGCTCAATTCGAGGTCAGTCTGATGTAACTCAATCCTTCATCTATTTCTCATCTATTTTTTGTCGAAACAGATACAAAAGTACCACTCATAAAGCCTATGTTCCTAAAGAATCCGATTCCACATGGCTGTCCGGTCTCGCGGGTGGTACTTTTGCCCTTTGGTTGTGGGGGCTGGCTTTACTCTTTTTTGGGGGGTATTTGTGCCCATGGACCTGCTTGCTTTTCTTTTCAAGTGATGATCGGTATGTGCTCTGTACTACGGTTGGATCTCTCCGGGATTTGGTCGCGCGAAGTGCGGAAGGCTAAATAGAGGTCCTAGTTGAGGCTATACTATACTCTGATCAAGCAGGCGGCTAGTATGTGGGCCATGTTGCAATGCCTAGAGTAATATACTCTGTAGTGATATTCTAAAGTTGTACTCGTACCTCAGTATAATTGGCGAGATAAAAGAGAGCCTTTCTCTACATCTCGTATAGACTAAGTACACGACATCTTGGGCACCAAATACACACGAGCATATATAACTACATAGCCGAAGACAATACCCGTAAAATACAAAACCCCATAAGCTGGAAGGTTCGGGGGGAAGGACGGATCCCCACAGATCGGGAATCCATTAGACTTCCAATCTCGCTTAACTTCGAACAAGTGTCTGCATGTAGCATTGTAACTACTATGGAGTACTCTGTACGGAGATTCCCTGCTTTCACAGCTACAGGAAATAACTACTCGTACTCGTCTACTCGTAAAGCGTGTACGTGTGTGTTGTCCGGAAAATAAAAGAGGCCTAAGCGTGATACTCCACACGGCCGAGGCTATAAGGATTATCACGTCGATAGGTCACATTGGAGAGATCTGGAGCGGGCGATACCGGTTTCGCTTTCGCTTTTCCTCGGACTGGACGTCATGGGTGGAAATTGGGGTCTGCAGTGGGATTGGATCAGAGCTCTTGAACAAAGTACGAGGGACTTATATTGGGGGCTTGATCGCGGGATGCGAACTATCCACGATGGCTGGGATTGTGAAGCGGTGAATGCTTTGGGGAGTGGGGGTTGAGTATGGAGAAGTTACTCCGTATGGAGTATGTATACTCGTATTTGACAATCTTGTTCTCGATGCCAGGTACAGAGTACAGATAAATAAGACTTGATTAACCGAGATGTATGTACAGCGGAGCACTGAACCTGGGAATAGAAGTGCCATTGAGATAGATGGGTATGAAAAGAACAAAAACCACTGTATGTACAGGATGCATCGCGAGCAATCAGGTCTCTATAGGAAGATGCTCTATGGGGAGTTCTATCGCAACGGGAACATCGCCTTCCCGACGCGTCTGTCTAAGCTGGTGGTGGAAAAGCTGCCAGACACCCTGAAGCGCTTCTATACGGTCATTGGCATCAAACAGATCCAGCCATCTCGTCCGCTGCAGCTTCAGGACATGCCACGGCTGCTCGTCCGAGTCCGCGGGGTAACTGCTGTGGCCGTCGGTCAGAATACCAAGGTAGCGTCTGTGGACGCGAAGATGGAGAATGGAGACATGGTGGTTGATGGAAGAGATCATGTAAATCTGTATCGTTAGCTGGGTTTCGGGACTGGGATGGGGGAACATACATCGTCAAAGGGACTCTCATGGACCTTTCCTAGCTGCATATAACTCATACGCTTATCCCACAAGCTTGGCCCGGGCTGTAAGATCTTCCACTTCTCACTGCTGGTGAGTCGGCGCATGGCACTAGGCCTGCGCGAAAGCGAGGTCGAAAAGGGATGCTCGAATTGACGACGCTTCGCTTCCGGAGCTGGGCGAACGTCTTCCATGGATTCGTTCATGAACATTCCAGCCCCATGACTGATGAGATCTTCCAGGATGCCATCATTAGGCGCACCTCCGAAACGAGGTGCCGTAGTCCACCATTTGCCCTCGCCGGGTTGGCGCTCTACAGCACCTTCACGGGCTCGCTCTTGCGCAGCAAGCAGCATACCGCCCACCTCGCGGAACAGATCGCAGACTTCGCCGAGTCCAGTGCCTGGGGTATCTCCAGAGTTGCGGAAAGATGTCTCGGGTCGGCATTGCGAGATAAGCACAGGGCCCTCCAGCATGCCACTGCGGGCCAGTTGGCGGTCTCGTGGGGATCGCGACGACTGGAACGTTTGTCGAACGGGGAACAGGAGGTTTTTGGTGGTCAATCGCGGAGCCAGCGTAGGGACGGTCACCTGGCATCCGAACGGCCATGCAGCCATCTCCACGAAAGCACGAATAGTCTCGTCACGAGTTTCGTCGGGCATCTCGCTACCGCATCCCATTCGACGTCCCGTGTACATTGTGACGGCAGGCCGCGGCTCTGTGTCGGTCGGTGCAGCTGCGAGTGCCTCGTCGAGATCCATGGTGTCTCCCGGTCCGTTCTTGCTCTTGGAATCCTCGTCCACCTGCATCTCATCGTTTGCCTGTTCCTCCTCAGATGGGGGTGTGGGCTCGGGGGTTGCCGGACGCTCGTAGTAATGATCTAAGCTGGTATCCCAGTACTGAGCCATGCGCTCTAATCCCATCCAGAATTTCCTCGACTGCGTCACCCGAACGTTACTGCGACCGGGCCGTGGTGGTAGTCGAGCCACCTCGCGGAAAGTGTCGTCGTTGTCAAGTATCATCTCCTTCACTAGGGTCTCGTACCGTTCCTTGGGAGGATACGGGGCCCCGTTGCCCATCAAGGGCCGGGGGTTGTCTTCCGTTGGCTTTGCGGTGTCTTCCCACGGCAACGGGGCGACAGGATGTGAAGTGTCCTCGGGAATCATTCGACTGACTGGCACGTCTGTCTCCATCTGTAAGTTCAACGGCCTGAATCGTTCCATGGAGATATCCTGCGGGCGCTGAATGGAAGCGAGGAGATCGGACATCTCCACGAGCCGCGAGTCGGCTTCATTGGAGGCGACATCGGGAAGGTTATAGACGGGGAAATCGAGTGGTGTCGGGTCCGCGGGGGGTTTTCGTTCCTTCTCCGGCTCCGAGCTCGCGGAGGGAAGGGCTGCAAGCAGGTTGTTAATCACTATATCTCAGTTGAACAGGTCTCCCCGGAATTGACACTGCTGCCCGGCCGTTTGATGTCGGTCATGCGCCACATTCCACGCGACACTGGCGGGTTGAGGGTGGCGTATGTTCCTGTCCGACTGCCAAGGGGAAGGGGCAGCAGACGCGGGGCCATCGAGGGGTCCAGGAAAAGAATCAATTTGAGAATGAGCTTACCCAGTCCAGCACCCCAGCCAAACATGGCGATCTAATGCAGTAGGATCGCAAACCACCCTCCCATGCGGGGAAGTAAAAGAGCCGAGGTGACGAAGGGGTCAAGAATTGAAGAAAGTAGCAAAAGTATAAATCCTTCAATAGCACTTAAGTTGAACTTTAGAAAATCGTGATGGTTGTAGAAAGTTAGATGAAAGAGAGAGAAGAGAGAGAAGAGAGATACGGGGGACATTTGCAGGTGGGGAATCCGGGCGGGCGTGACTGTCAACATTCACTTGACTAGGACGTAGGTAGTTGGTACTTCGACTTATTGTACTTCTTGTGTTGAATATCAAGTACTGAGTACTTGGGATGTCATGCTCTGGACTCAGCTGAATACTTCGACTCGAATAGATCTCATGTGGTCCTTTAGGTGCTTTAAGAGTATTGGATACTACTTAAGTAGAGAATGAAGTAGAAAGTAGCAATTTATAGAGATATACACATATATTATACATACTATACACTTGGACATACTTAAGTAAGTGTTCAAGAAAGTCCGCTAAAATGAAAATTGAAGCTATTCACATCACATGACCCCAGGGGCAGTTCGCATCGAAGCACTCCATACTTACTCCATACCTCACCCCTGTGTGAACATGGAGTACATTTACCTACTTAGGTAGGTATCTGCAAGAAAATGCCCTCGACACCTCTAGCCCTGGAGGACTCCCTTGGGAAGAAAATACTCCGGACTCTCAAACAGGCTAGAGGTGAAACCTTGACTAGGGGTGGACTGGTCCAAAGACCAACTTTGAGACTCAACTCGAAACAAGTTGACCCTGTTTCGTCTAACGAACAGAACGCCTTCAGGGCTTGTCACATCCCAAGTCGTCATTGGTGTAAGGGGAACTAAGCGCTCATCTGTCACAAGAGGGGAACCACTTGAGCACCACCTCAGACACCAGACAGAAGCGCCGTCTCAGAGACTAAGAAACATCAGAGTTTGAAAATTTTGTCAGTTTTCTTCTATATACTTTCTGTTCTTCCAAGAGTTCATTCTCACCTGTGCCTATTTCGCCTATTTCGCCTCACCTAATTCACCATTTCCGACTACTTTCCATATAACCTCCGGCCTCGTATCTGACGTGATATACCGGTCAATAACTTTATGAACAGAAATTAACCTTGAAGTCGGGTCTTGATCTCCTGCACCGTCTCCATGTTCCAATCATATCCGGACTCGCCAAACCCCCGTCTTTATAAAGGCTGGTCCTGGGCATGTCGACTGTCTCTGTTTCTGTAGGCTTTAGGTCCTCGCCTCAGCATGCATCCTACCCAGTGGTGACTATAACCGCAATCCAGACGGAGACATTGCGCCCAACCTGGGTGTTTACCTTGCCTGGAAGCGTCACGTCGAGTGCCCCCAATGGGACTTTGTCAACACCAACTTTGTCGGTCTTGACCAATATGTCAACTTGGCTTTCGAGCGACAACGCAGAGCCCACTACGTCTTCTACGTCTTCCATGGAGACTTTAGCGCCAACACGTAGCCCAATGACATCGCTATCAATCCCAATGGAGACCCAACCGTCTTCAACTGCGGAATCTCCGTCCACGACCTCAAGCATTATGTACATTGCACCGCCATTGGGCTCAAGTACGCGACTTACATCCATGATCAAAACAACACCTCTCAGCGCGACCAGCTCAGTCAGCTTGACCAGCTTGACCAGTTCAACCATCCCACTCACAACCTCAACTCCATCTCCAACAAAAACACCCCCATTGATCGGGGTCCCAAACGCAAGCACCTCCAGCACCTCGGCAAATTCACCCTCTACCAAAACCAACATCCTAGTCGGAAGTATCATCGGCGGCTGTGCCGTCCTAATATTCCTCTTCGCGCTAGCCTTCTGCATCCGCCGCAAATCCCCAGACCGCAGCATCAACATCAAGCAGCATCTCCTACGCCCCTCCATCAGCTCCCGCCATTCATCGCCAACCTTCCCAACCATGTCCACCCCACCACCACCACCGCCACCCCCAATCCCCATCGCATACTCCAACCCAGACCTCTCACTAGACAGCATGTATCTGCGCCGCGAACAGGCCCGCTTCCAACCATCGGGGACCTCGTCTCGCATGGCCTCATTCTACTCTACGTCTTCGTGGGATGGGGGTCTGGGGTTACAGGAGTATTGGGATCTGGAGCGTGGGCTTGCGAAACATGATAGTATGCGCAGTAATCCGTTTGATTTGGAGCCTCCGCCCAGTGTGCATCGGCCACCTGTTCTGGTTCCTGTCCCCACGCCGTGGGGTGTTAAGTTTTAGTGGGACTTGTTTCATACGTTTGCTTTACGACTGAAAAGATGTTATGACCGCCATGTCTGAGCTTTGTTTTGTTTACTTTAAGATTCCCCTGGTTGTATTTTGCGTGGTGTTGATGGGTTTCTATGGAAAATGTACCCTGTTTTAATGTCATTCTTGAACGAGCTAGATATTTTTAGGTTCTAAAATTTTTCTGAGCATATTCAGCCATACCATCAATCCATGAATCGTAAGTACTAGATATGTACATTGACCGCTCTTCGACACCCCAAACGAGAAAAGAAGAAGAACAAAGCCAAATGAAACGTTGTTGCCCAACTCGTGTTGTCTGGAAAGTCTACGCAGAAGTCTAGCTTAGTTTCGCGTCTTGGCTAGGGCTAATTTTTCAGCACGAATAAAACCCTCACTGCTTCAGAATGGATCACAAATGTCTCATCGATGAGGCTGCCTGGAACATACTTCGTTTTTCCTCCAGATGAGACATTCGCAGCAGGAATCAAGAGTTGCGGTGTACCTTAGTTTTTCCTTTTGATCTCAGAGATTTGGGCCAGATTAGGTATAGATGGCTCTTTAGACTCTCAATTTGCCAAGGTTTGGGTTTTGATTAAGATTTTTCTACAAAAGATGTCTTCTGGAATCTTGAAACTTTGCAATGTTGACCGCTCCTTAGAATCAAGTATACTTACTCGTAGTAGATGGGTTTGGGCTAGACTTTGGAGTATCTAAGTACAAGTAGTAATACTAAGTAGTAATACGTACCATTTTTCCTCCGTCGGAGCTTTCCAATCTTAGCTGCCGCTTTTACGCTCAGGATAACCTCAGTGCCACCATGAAACGTATTGCGATGAGTAGTCTTCGAATCCATGAGCCTCAAGCAATTTTTGTACACCCGACCTCCATTCCACTGGGTCCGTAACTGAATCCGGAAGATCCAGTCCGCCACTGACTCGGAATTTTGTTCGAATCCATCCTCTTGGGAAGAAGCCAGCGACCTCCCAATCAATGATACCGACAGAGCCAGTCTCCGGGACGTCTTCCACCATGATGTTTCCAGGGGCGAGATCAGCATGGTAGAAGACAAATCTAGAGCAGTCCATACCCATCAATTCACATCCTTGTTGGAGGTTGTGGGGGGGAAAGTCTTCCTTTGCTCCATATTTGACAAGAAAGGGTTCAAACACGTTCTTCCCATTCACACCACAAAGCATATTGCCTTCTCGTTTCTCGAGAAACTTGCAGATGTTCACCACGGCACTCATATAGTGATGGCGCCATTTTTCATTCAAAGTAGACCACGCATTTTCAAGAGTTCGGCCTCGAACTCTACTCAAAAACAGATAGGACCGGCCATTGTGTTCTGCGTGGTGCAGAACTTTGGGGATCTCGAAATCAGGCCGCTCCCCATGGACGAACGCCAATGTTGCCGCTTCCGATGTTGTACCTAGCACGCGAAGTTTGACCTTGCAAAAAGCGTTGTTTCCTATAGACCAGACTGCAGAGCTATCGCCGACATCGTAGACTAATCGGAATGGAACATTCTCCGATAACGGTATAGTTGGAGGTGGGGGAACAGATGCGTTGGTGAGAGTATAGCTGACATCGTCGTCTAGATCGTACCAGGTGGAGGTATCAGAATAGCCATTTGACCGACAGAGTTGTAGCGGACCGACAAGCCAGGTATTTGCATCCACCTGTTTGATTGACTCTCTGATAGGATCATTCATGATCTTGATTGAGGTGGGTTTAAGTGTGTTTGATCTTAGATCCAGAAAATTGCGAGTGTGACTGGTGACTGGAGCAATTTATAATCAGCAATGTTGATTTGTGAGGAAGAAAATCAGATGACGGAGAAGTTGTGGCGATTATACATGTTCCAAGGGGTGGGAAATACATAAATACATACTTCAGTATTGATATATATTTTGAAGAATATGTGCCCAGGTGGAGTTTGACATTTTCCAATCCTATATCTATAGATAGCCTAGGTCTTTAATTCCAGCATACTGAAGTCCTACCAGAAGAACTCAAGTCAGATGCGCAATAATATCCTACTTAGGTAGAGACACTGCGTTGGGCGAGAATTGCGATGCCTGAGGGATAAGGCGAACAAAGGCCAAATCGAGGATATCGCAAATTATTGATTTTTACTCAAGTATAGAGATCTGAGATGGGGCTATACTACTTAAGTAACGACTACTTTAGTATTGGATAGAATCCATGAATGTATCTTAACACAGGGAAAATTTGAACTTATATGCGGCCCTGACCAGTTGGGAACCTTGAGAGCACACGAATACCAACTTCAATCTATAAATGAAGAATGACATAGCTGATCTGGCGAAAGACCCATAAATATGACCCACGATACTCAGTCTTAGTCTAAAGTACAATGTACTTAAGTAGTGATCAGATATTGTCGTTCGCTCATGGCTACCAGTCGTTGGCTCATGCTACATAGAACTCATAAGATTGAGTCTAACGGTACTTGAAAGGACTGATATAGACATGGCCAAGAGCAACCCACTATGGGGCGATCTACATCTAGGCAGTATCAGATCGTGCAAGTTGCAGACGAAAGAAGCTGCGTCACTGGCGTGGTGAAGTAAAAAAAGATTTCCTTTTGCTTTCTCGTTACGTTTTAGACAAGAATAGCTTGAGTATCACATCATCATCGTCTTCCTATTTCCCAAATCCATATTTTCCGAACGCTCCAGGAACGAACCCCGCATAATCACACGGGAAACCGAGGGGGTCACAAACAGAATCTAGACTACAGGAAGACGCCGAAGGCCGACCTGGGTTCGATGATCGGGAGCAGCCTCGAAATCCCGCATCCAACCCAGAAGTTAACCGTTTTCCAACCTCCGCACCGCCGCGAGAAAAGAGCATCAACGGGAAGGGTAATTGAAATTTTTGTTATCAGATTTACTCTTCGTTGATCAGAGCATCGCGCTTGGCCTCCTTGCGCTCCAACCGGCGCTCACGGAGAGCCTTGTTCTTGGCACGCTTGGCATCCATCTCCTCCTTCAGGACACGGTCGCGTTGACGCTCAGCCTTGGCCTTCTGGATGTGCTCAACGAGGGCACGCTTGTGCTTGAAGGTGTTACCCTTGCTGAGGTGGTAGAGCTCGTGGTAGAGGTGCTTGTCGATCTTGCCGGCGGCACGGTAGCGGACGAGCAGACGACGGAGGACACGCATGCGGCGCATCCAGAGGACTTGGCTAGAAAGAAAGAAAAAAGATCGTATTAGTTCAAGCCCTCAAGTTTCACAACCGAAGTAATCGTCCACGGAACAGACAAAACATGCGGTGCGTGTTGGGGGTTGAGAGGGTAGTTGCATACCTGGGCATACGGGCGTCCTTGGTACCCTTACGCTTACCCAGACCACGGTGGCGACCCTCGCGACGGGCCAGGTTGAGCTCACGGGCGCTGGCACGGGAGTGCATGGTGACGGGCTTGCGGATGATGAGGCCATCGCTGACGAGCTTGCGGATGGTCTGGCGAGAGTTGGCGTTGGAGATCTCGCTCATCTCATTGGGGTCGAGCCAGATCTTGCGCTTGCCGCAGCCGACCACGGAGGCGGCGAGGCGCTTCTGGGTGGTAAGGTTGACCCTGTGGAAGGCCCGGTCAGCATCACAGATCACGAAGTTGTCTCCTCCACTGAGGTTATCGGTCCACGGGGGGAAGTTGTGATTTTTCGTAGGAACAGCACACGGGTGTGCATTTTGGTTGATTTGCTTGAGGTAGGAGCTGGAGATGGAACTCACATCTTGATGTCGGCGTATCGACGGTCGTTGGCGGATGATGTTCGTGGCTCTGAGAAATCCCGACGGTGAGAATTGTGAGGGCCACGCCGGGGCGGGCTGCTTAGCTCATCGTGGAAATTAGCGAGGCCCTGGCGACGGTGTGCCCTACATTCTGCCGCACTTAGGGCTACCCGACCGCTTTCCGCTCAAAGAATATGTCACGTGAAACAGACTTGATGGCATCACGTAATCCTTACACACCGCCACCTTTGGCATTGAGCCACACTACACAGCCATAATCCGGGGAAGTCCACTGACTCCACCGTCGATTGTACATACTACTACATACTATTACTAGTACCATGTACCCTCCATTCTCACTATATAAAGGCACGATGAACCAGACTCTATAAATGTATTTCATGGATAGCTGCACAGGATCAGTTATAGGTTTCGGGATGTCTCCCTACCGCCTCACCTGCTCGCCGACTCGCATGAGACTTGGAGATTTGATCTTGACCACAAGCACTCGAACCCTTTGGCCAAGGATCCAAGGTCAGATGTCTGTGACCCCCGATGGAAGGGAGACTACGGCCGACCAAAGTGGGATTTGGGGAGAGAGAGAAGAGAAGAAGAGAAAGGGAGGGGAGGAGGTATTTATACCCAAGAGTTGGAGAGGTGGTTTCCTAATTGGGAAAGCAATACAATGCGACTTCCTAAATCAACAAATTGAACAAACAAAACAGACTTAGCATTCCAAGGTTAAGTATTCAACATAGCATAGTCACTTGGTTTTTAAAAATGAACAAACTCGTAGTTGAGGGCTTTAGGAAAGCCCGATCTATACATACATACTCCACCTGGGCAGCGTGTACTCGTATGGAGAGAACCATCAGTCTGGCCTGTTACCCAGCCCTGGAGGTGTACTTCTAGATAAAACTAGAGATCTTATCATCTCATCAAAATGCCTTACAATAGTAACGCAATGTACATATGCATAACTTTTATACGACTAACAAAAAAACCCAAGGGTATATCTCTAGAACACACTAGATGCTCCTCGGATGCACAGATCATTCCTCGCCAAAGGCATCTCCAAGATCAACCTTGCCGATGCTCCACAATTCCTTCTCATCATCCACCTCATCATTGGACAGTCCAAGACCACCCTCACCACCTTCAGCCTCACGACGCTCACGCGCCTGGGTGGCCAATCGGATGGCAACGCGCTTGAAGTAATCGGACATGCTGCGCTTAGGGCCTGGAGGCAGAGAGGCACCCGGGCCAGCCATGTACTTGTCGAACACCTCACTGTCGGACTCGACGACCGAGAAGATGGACAGGAAGGCTGCTTCGGCTGCCAGCTTGACGGGGATCACCAGGTCACGGACACAGGCGAAGATGGGTGGCGCGAGAAGAGCCAGGTGGGGACGGGCCAGCTCGGGGTGAAGACGGCTGACAGTTCGGATGGCTACCAGACTCAAGCGGCGGGTATCGGAGGGACTGCCGGCCTGGATGGCGGGCACAAAGGCCTCGAAGATGGCCTTGCTGGACTCGAAGGCGTGGTCTCCATCGTTCGACAGGAGGTACTTGCCTGCAGCGAGCGCGCTGTTGTCGGACACGAAGGGCTATTTGATGTTTAGCTTGAGGCTAATCAGGGTGATTGGGTTTGTTACTTACATCCTTGTTGGCGATACCCTGGCAAATGACGGTGGGCAGCTCAGCCTCAAAGTGCTCAGTCAGAACCTCGGAACACTCGGCCAAAAGAGCATTGAGGCCAAGGACTGAGGCGTGAGAGAGCGGGCCGCTGAGGATACGGTTCCTGCAAGCGAGTTAGATTTCGAGACAGCGATCACCGAGAAAGGATATGCATACTTGATCAGAGGAACCGAGCTAGCGGCGGGAAGGACCTTCACAAGCGCAGCAAGGAGACGTGCGTTGGTAATGGCAACAGAGTCTGTGCATTCGTTAGTCAACGATCCATAAAATCCAAAGTAAAATGAAATCTTACCAGTCTGGTCGCTAGAATCATCATCGATCAGAGCAAGAATGGCCTGTCGTGAGGCTTCACTCATGTTACCACCGGCCTTGCCAACAACCTCCTGGAGAGCCTTCATCATGGCGTTCTTGACACCAAGATCGGGTGTCTTGGATCCAGTGATAAGTTCTAGTGAAAGAGATTAGTTGAACTGAACACCACCCCGAGAAGATATGACTTACCAGCAATAAGCGGATCAACTCTTGGTGTCAGAGTGATCAAGATACCAAGACCCTTAGCGGCGCGGTTGCGCAGGGTCTCGCTAGTTGTATCAGCCAGACCACGGGCGAAGGTACGCTGAAGCTGAGGCAAGAACGGCTTGACAGCCAAGGGGATCTTCTCCAACAGCTTGTTGAGAGTGTAGAAGATAGCACCTGGAACCAATTAGTATACTTGAAACTTGCACAAAAAACGATAGCACTTACACTTGATGTCCACGGAGCGCTCTGAGACAACACGAATGAGCGGACCAGTGATTTGTGTGACGAAAGGCTTCAATGACTCGGCACGAGTACGGTCGATAATGTCGGACATCGCCAGAGCAGATTGAGTACGCTGGTCGGTAGTACCGTTGAGAAGACCTTGCAAGAAGATTGGCAGAATAGCCATAATTCCCTTGGGCAGACTGAAACCGGGCAGATCCGCGCCAGCCACACCCACCTGTCGGAGGATTTGGCGGGTAGGAATGGCCAGGGCCTCCATCTCTTCCTTGCGCATGTGAGCCATTAGACCAGTAAGGGCTGTCCATGCTGACTTGACGACGTCCTTATCTGCGTCGTCGAATGAAATCAACAGGGCGCGGATCAAGTCCTGGTAGTATCGCGAGAAGTCCATTTCGGCCTCTGCGAAGAACTTGGTCAGATGGACGGCGGCGGCTGCGCGACGGCGGTGGTCGTCGTGCTTCGCAAGAGTGATCATCACGCTCATGGCTGCGCTCAAGCCATCGTATTCGTCCACAGACACCAAGACTGTGTCGAAGGCATTGCTGAGCTCCTCGCGATGCTCCTCGTCGGTAGACTCGATGATGCCATCCATGAGAGAGTTGAGGATGGTAGGCAATCTTCTGGTCATAGCAGAACCAGCCACCTCTGCTAGAGATGCCAGGGCCCTGGCGTTGAAGGCAGAAATTGGCGGCGTGAGCAAGGTGGGGATGAGGTTTGGAAGGATGATGTTGGCGCGAGTTTGCTCCGTAAGAAGCGTCAACAAGGCTGACAGGGCCTGCTCGGCGTCGTTGTCGTTCCTCAGCAAGTGAAGAAGGTAAGGCAGAACCTGGTCGACAGCCCGCTTGCCCAAGATCTGTTGGAGGGAGTCGAAGGCCTCGGCGGCGGCTTCACGGACATCCTCGTCGTTGTCAACCAGCGCCACGCGAACAGTGGCGATGAGAATCTCCTCAAAGTCCTCCAGTGCATCGGGAGAAGCGGCAGTGATGAGCTCACGGAGAGCGATACAGATACCCTGCTTGACATCCACGTCGGGTGAAGTCTGAAGACCATCTTGAAGCAAGGGAAGCAAGGTATTGAGCACAGACTCTCCAGCCTTTTTGATAAGGTCTCCAAGAGCGTTGCTGGCAATAACCTTCTGCTCCATGTTGGTAGATCCAAGGCGGCGAATGATGAGTTGAGACAAAGTGGGAACCATATCCTTGAGGGTCTTGGGGGAGGCAACAAGCGCCTTCCAGACACCAAGAGCGGCACTCTTGACTTGACCAGAGGTATCGCAGCGACAGATGTACAAAGCGGAAAGGACCTTGTTGCGGCGCTCTTCTCCGAGAACCTCCAACAAGGATTGGCCAGCCTGAGTGGCTTCTTCCTCTTCCTCCTCGTCTTCGCTCTTACCAGAGATACCAGTAAGACTGAAGAGAAGATCACCGACCAACTCGACGGAGCTGAGACGGATGCGGTAGCTGTCGTCAGCCAGACCACGCTCCAGCTCAGGAAGCAGCAGGTCGATGGCCTTGTGGGCGAAGTTCTTGACAAGCAAGCGACCGGCACGGAGAGCAGTTTCCCGAATAGCGTCGATGTCATCAGCCAGACCAGCCAGAATAGGGGGAATGATCTTGCTGAGGTAGTTGGCAAAGCTGTTACCGAAGCAGGCAGGCAAGAAGATGAAGAGGGTCATGAAGCCTTCACGAACAGAAGCCTTGGGGCTGGAAACGTTCTGAAGGATGGTAGGCAGAGTCTCCTCGAGTCTGGTAGTACCCAATCCAGCGAGCACCTCGGAAAGGGCCTGGGCAGAACCAAGTCTGTCACCGGCGCCAGTGTCAGACTTGAGAGTAGCCATGAGGTTGGGAATAAGATCAGGAAGAGCATCTTCTCCAAGCTTCTCGATGAGCGAACCAAGGGCCTTAGAGGCAGTGGCACGGGTTGTGGGGACAGGATCAACAATGGCCAGGTAGAGACCAGCCACCAAGATAGGCAGGTGAGTGATGAGATCCTTACGCTCCGTAAGATGAGCCAAACTGCCGATGATCTCTGCGGACTTCCGCTTGGTGTTGGACCTGTCGCTAAGACCACGCTCAAGAATGCGAGTGACCAGGGCAAGTGAGGGGGCATCGAGGTAGTGAACGAACGAGACCTTGATCAAGGAATCCAGGGCCTCGTCTGTGTGCTTCGTTGGGTCACTGAGAGCCTTCAGAAGAACACCAACCAAGCTCTTGACTTCGGGGTTGCTGATAACCTCACCGAAACGCTGGAGACTGCGGTTGGCTGCGTTGCGAACCTCCTTGTGGGTGTCATTGAGGACAATGGTCAGAGAGGGGATAATTTCAGGCAAGCTGGCTGCAAGCTGCTGGGGGTCCAAGTAAGCCATGGCTCCGAGCAGGTCACAAGCACCCTTCTGACTACGCCACTGAGTGTCATCCAGACCATCGAGAAGTGTAGGAAGAATCTGCTTCACACCGTAAGAGCTGAGGTTTTGGAAGCATGCCCTTGAAGCATCCAGACAAGCATCACGGACACCAATACTGGTATCACCGAAGCCACCAAGAAGCTGTGGAACGATTTGAATCACGAAAGGCTCGAATGTGCGTCCCAGAATAAGAGCAAGAAGCTCATACGCCAACAAAGCTCCACGTCGGTGCTCCTTTTGGGCTCTGTTTTCAGTGGCCTCCTTGAGCAGGCTCATGATACGGAACTCGCGCAAGGTTGAGATACCTCTACCACACACAACCGCAGCAAGGCCATAGGCAGCACCACGCTGGGGAGGGTATTCGGTGGCATTGAACAGTCGCTGGATAAGGGATTCCACGTACTCCTTGGTCTTAGACCCAGAGGATCTGATCAATGGCGGCAGACACTCGGAGACAGCGTGTTGCACGGATTCTGATGGGGTGTCGAGGGCCGAGAGCAATTCCTTGATGACAGTCTGCAAGCGAGGATCATTCGCCTTGAGGTGAGTTGCCACCGATCCGTAAAGCACAATGACAGCCTCGTTCAACAGGTCAGAGGTCGTTGTATCTTTGTCAGAGGTCTCCAAAGTTGTTTGGAGCAGTTTCATCATCTCCTCAACCTTGGTTTGGCCCCGCTGGATGATGACAGATTTACCACTTTCGGTCATCTGGCTTCGAACACGGGAGTTTCCATCAAGCAGAGGACCCTGCTCGATGAGGAACCGCAAGAAGGAAACACCTTGCTCGCCATCAAATTCATTGGTCATGGCATTGAAAGCAAGGGCAATACCGCTGCGAGCTTCCCAGTGGTCCGAGACCTCCACCTTCTTGGGCATTCCGTAGGCATCCTTTTCAGGGGCCTTGGGTTTGATTTCGTCCTCATACTTGGCTTGAAGCTCGGACAAGATGCCAACGAACTTGCTCTTGTCAAACTCAATTGCATGAGCCAGAGCACGAGCAGCAGCACCTCGCAGTTGATAATCCTTCGAGTCCAGGTACCTGATGATCTTGCTGTAGGAGCTGTCATCCACCTCGAGAGCATTGTCTTCCCAGATGGTGTCTGCGATTTCGGCGTTCTCTTCTACGCTGTCGTGACAGGCGAGCCAAATTTGCTCAGAGAAATCCAGATCGGTCAGGTCAAGCTCAGCCTCGATGACTTGGAGGACAGTCGTTCGGACAGAGGCCTCAGCGACAATGGCGCCCCGCAAAAGTGTGTCCAACTCATTGCTGTTGATGTTGGGGGAGACACACCTAGAGAAGTCATTCAAAGTATCCTTGACAATCTTGTAGTGCTGGGTGTATTTTTGCATAGCGGAAAGCAGCTGGTTAAGGACTTCGACGCGAGGGAGACGGGTATCGGCGAAAGAACCAGAGTGGAAAGAAAGGAATTCAAGTGCCAGCAGAACCTGAGTACCCTCTTCCTCGCCCTTAGCTTCGTCGATGCCGTTCTGGGTCAGAACCTGGAAGATGAGGGGAAGCACGTAGGCAAGAGAGGTGGTATCAAAGGGACGCTGCTCGGAGGCGAAGCGCAGTCGGTAGAGAATTCTGGTCACAAGTTCACCGAGGGGCTCCAATTCCATATCGGAGGGGAGGTTGGTGTTGCCAATGGCTCGCAGGGTGGCGATACCAATGAAAGATCGCAGGTTTCCGAGACGAGATGAAACCTCATTGGCACAAGTGATGAAGGCCCGAGAGACCACATCACCAACGAACAGACCAGCACCAGCCTGGGCGAGCGACAATAGAGATGTGACAGCAGCGTTAATCCAGCCAGAGACATCATTGACGGGCCCGGTCGCGAGGCCATGGATGAGGCCAGCACCTCGCTCAATCCGCTTGACTTCCTCTAGAACATCTGTGCGAATCTTAGCCTCCTTCGCGAGCTGGGCTTTGACCTTGGACTGTTCCTCGGGAGTGAGCTTCTTCTGTGCCTGTCCCTTCTTTTCGGCTAACTGGGCTCGAAGCTCCTCTTCCCACTTCAGAGTATCGTAGTCCTTAGTGTTCTTGTCAAAGGTAGGGTGCTTCGACTTGCTGCTGAGCACATCGATGAAGGCGGTGCCTTCAGGAGTGCGTGAAATGGCAGCATCTGTGGCTGTGAACTTGGAAAGACGAGTGCCATCCAAGTCATACTTGATCTGATCGACCAGACGTGGGATCATAGCGTCAGGTGCGACGAACGCCAGTTCAGCCGCAGCGCTCCAAACGGCCGGGTTGACATCAGGAACAGCTGATTGAACGGAATCAGCGTTGACACCAACCAGCTGGTCAATGCATTTGGCAGGGTGTACACGGACAAGACCACCGGGATCAGTTCCTGTTCTCAAACACAGAGAAATCCATGAGGCGCTAGGAATCAACTCTGGTCGGCTCAGAATGAGGATTTCAATAAGCTGAGCCTGGAGATCATCGGGAGAAATCCCGGACTTCTGCACGACATCAGCAGAGGGACAAAGAGCCCTCAAGACCATGTGCAGAAGGCGCTCGCTTCCTGGGCCAGCAGAGTTAGCTGCGGATTCTTTGTCGGCTGTTCGGAAAGCAAGAATCCAGGCCCAGAGAGCCTTGGCGAAGACAGGGCCGAAAGAGGCCACGTCTGTCAGATAAACCCGTGAGAGCGATTCCGCGGAAGTCTCTCGGAAGTTCGAGGGGATAGCGGGGGCGACAATGCCGTAAATGAAGGCCTGGGCCCAGGCAGTCCTAGACGCCTCATCGGTGCTAGTGAACTTGGAGCCGGCAGCGACAGCAGCCAATGCCCTGACAAGCCACTGGACTTCTTCTTTGGAGCCCAATTTGGAGTATACCTTAGGGTTAAGCATGAAAGATGGCTTTGGGCTCAGTGTCATCGACTGTGCTACATTTTCGTCCCAAGCGGATTTGGAAGAGCCTTGAACATCAGAGACTTTGTGGAACAGTGCCAGGAAAAGGTAAGCTGACGAAAGAGCACCGCTTGAAGCAGAGGGAAGAGGGTTTGAAGCAACTTCGCCAAACAGATCCTTCATCTTAGCAAGGAACTTGGCGACTAGAGGCTCGACCTCGGCGCTCTTTAGAGACTCAAGGTCAGAGTTCCAAAGAATTTCGCCAACGCTGATCTGCCAAAGCTTACGGAAAGGAATCCGCTTGTCAGAAATACCCTTGACAATTGTGTTTGCCACGTCGTCACTGAGCTTGACCTTTGATTGAATGAGATAAGCAAGGTGCTTGCTGAATGACTTGATCTCCTCTTCAAGGGCAGCCTCGTTGGACTCTCGTGTGAAGACGGGACCAAACCCTTGGACAATATCTTTTGAGACATCTGTCGAAGAAGGAATGGTGGCAATTGCCTGCGCATATGCGACACGGTGCTCAGCAGCAGTGATCTTGTTGGTCTTCAAGGGACCCATGATCTCACCAGTGATCTTCAGGACCAAGGGCTCGGTGCTGCATCGAGAGAGCAAAGATCCGAAGGATTCAGATGCACCTTGGCGGATAGACGGGTTGTTGGATTTCATACTAGCAAGAAGGTGCTTGGAAAGACGTGTTTGGACCAACTCTGAAATGTCGATGTCTGCCGGCAAAGAGGCACAGAGAGGCGGGATCACACCACTGAGAACCACCTCTGGCGCTCTCAGCATGGACTTCTCCATGGGAGGCACCAACTCGGTAGCAATGTCTTCATATGTAATAAAGGAGGCAAAGAAATCGCCCAGGCCATCGGCCGCATGTGCAGGCACGACGGTCTTGGAGCTCACGATTTCCTTCACGTAGAATGCCAAGATGGCCTTCTTGGACTCCTCGAGCGTCGACTTCTGCTCTGCTAGTCGTGCGCAGACTCCACACACAACGCCAAGAATGGGCGCATTCTTGTATGATGCGGCTGAATCAGTGGTCAATTGGCTGACGGACTGGCGCACCGCATCGTTACCCCATGCTGCGGAGGAGAAGACGGCGCGCAGAGCACGTCTTGTTACCCGCAGAGCGGATTGCTTTACTGCGGGCTTCGGGTTGTGTGCGAGACAGTTCTCCAAAGCCTTGGCAACCACTGTAATCAAATCGAGCACAATAGCCAGCGGGGTGTTCTGGTCCTCACTGGCTTGCTGCAGTAAGATACAGCACCATTCCAACAATACGAATGCGAATGCAGAAGCCAGGCCTGGTCGGGCTGCCTCGGTCTTCAGTTTTTGAGTGAGGAACTTCAAGTGTTCGGTCGCATTGGGGGTGCGGAGGAGAGAGCGGAGGCATTGCTGGACCGCCTGGCGGGAGGATCGATCGACATATAGAGGATATGTTCGGAAGAGCAATTCGAGAACTTCTTGATGGGTTTCCGGAGATAAATCAGACCCTATTCGATAGACTATTAACCCACATCCTTCGCGCATAGCCATATTCATGTCACGCTTACCATTCTTGTCGCGGAGATCTTGCAGGGCCCGGAGCCTGCGCGAGGTCGAACTCGAGAGGAGAACGACCTGCAAGGCATCCAGATCCCCGGCCTTGACCTGATCCCATGGAATCGCATCCATGATCGGCGGTCAATACGGGGGAATGGAGGGAGAGGGGGTTGGGTTGAGAGGTGAGAGAGTGGTGAAGTGGGCTAGGAATGCTGTCATAAGAGTTTTGTGTGGGGAGCTGGTTTGCATCCCGCCATTCAACAGTCATGGCCGACTCTTCGTTCTGGACACTCTTCCACCCCCATTTGGTGAGTCTTGCGCAGGTAATTTCCCCTGGAAATTCCCCATTACCTACAACCTACTGACTTTCAGCGTTTCTTCAAGTCCCCTCCGCCGCTCCCGCCGTAAATAAGGCACAATGCCGCCGAACAACAAGAAAAAGAAGAAGCCCGCCTCCAATCCGGCTCGAGGCTTTGCGACTGTTTCTATGCCATCAAAGCCCAAGCCAGAGACAACACAGACCACATCTCCGGCCACCGGGGAGTCAAAGGCCACACCAGAAAGCGAGCCGCAACCTACAGGCGCTGAGGACCGCACCGCAAACGCCAGCGCACCACCAGCAACGTCATCCTTGCAAAACTACACACCAGAGGAACTAGAAAAGCACCTGGAAGAAGCTGAACTTCAGATTTTGGTTGATAAATATGCCAGCAAGTGCAGAAATGACGCTACACGACAGGCCGCAAAGCTGGAGAATGAGCGCCGTGTGTTCCGACAGCAATCAGTCACACTGAGCCTGCTTGAGTGGCTACCAACAGAAATTCAAGACACAATTTTTGATCTGTACGGTACTGAGGAGCACGAATATCTCGCAGCGAGTGGAAAAACCAGTGCAAAACAGGCTGGCTCTGAAGAGGAGGTCTATAACAAGCTTTGGACATTGAAGGAGACATTACTTAAACTCAATTTCCCGGAAAATCGTGTGGAGGATGCGCTGAAGCATGTACTGCAATACTTTGCTGGCAACACAACCAGTGCCGGACGAGATGTCGTATGGAACCTGGATGAGGCGCTGGAGTGGCTCGCGACGCACAGCGATAAGAAGGAGCTTCCTTCATATACGCAGACAAATGCTCGCCCTCTGAAGGACGCAGATGCCGTAACTTCATGGATGACCGGTAGGCCCAATCCTCGAATTTGTCGTCATCCTATAGTGCTGATGTTCATTAGATTCGAAACCTTCTGGAACTTCAACCCCTACTGCGTCACAAAGCAAGGGCAACAAGAAAGCAGACTGGAAGGCCGCAAAGGTCGCCCAGCCTGTCTCATACGACTCCGACAGCTCGGTCGACCCAGACGACATGATTCCGGAGTGGCTAGACCTCCAAACTCGATTATATAGCCTCGAACCAGATCTGTTCGATCGTCCTGGAAAGGGCAAGAAAGGACGAACTGCTAACATGTCGGATGACCCGGAATCTGCCAAAATCCAACGAAAGATTGCCAAGATTGAACGTGATGTCCTTTTCGAGCGCCGAGAAGCAGAGTACATGTGGGAACAAAAGTTGGATGAACTCAGAAAGGACGCCACGTTCATGCGGCGTCCAGTGGACAGAAAGAAAAAGAGTGCGCCGGCCGACGAAGAAGCCCAACCAAAGCCAGATATTTCTGAAGAGATCGATCCGTCCCTTCTTGAGATTGAAGGAATGGAGGAGGCTCTTGGTGGTATGTTTGAGGCTGATACTGAAGAACCGGGATCTATTCTGGGTCTTCCTACTCCAGAAGCGCAGGCTTCGTTCACGCTCCGTGATTTTGGCAAATCGACTGGTCTCAGTCCCCGTCGGGTATTAGAGGAAACCTGCAAGTCAAGAGATTCTTCCGCCACCGTCGTCTATCAAGACCTGTCCTCGTCGAGTCATTCCAACAGAAAAGCTATTGAGGTGCGGTGGTCGAAGCCTCAAGAAGTCCCATTCGCACTAGCTGTGGAATCTGTTACGCATAAATCTAATGCACTGGCGACTTTTGTCTCAATGGATGCCATTGTCACCCCCGATGCGCAGCAGGCTGAGAACTATGTGTCGACTTTGGCTTTGTTCATCTTGTTCCCTCAAAATTCCAAGGAGGGCAAATCATATTTGCGTCTCCCAACGGCTTGGAGAGATTTGTGGACTGATTTTGCCACTCTGCAAAAGTCTCAGCAAGATGAGATCGACAAATCCACGCTTAAGAACTTGAAGCTCTTGATCCAGGAAAACCCAAGTACATTCGAAGACGACGTGGTGCTCTCAGACAATTTCCGCAAGCGCAACGGCAACGGAAGTAAGCCAGGCACTCCACTGAAGGGCTCTGGTCGCGATAACTACTTTGGCATCAATGATCATTTGAAGGAAGCTTGGATTGCGAAGTCATCGACGCCCTCATATCACCGCATGGCGCAAGGCAGGATGAATCTTCCAATTTGGGGTTTCAAAGATGAGATTTTGCATACGCTTGATGATCACCGCGTCCTCATCATCTGCAGTGAAACGGGTAGCGGAAAGAGTACTCAGATTCCTTCATTCATCCTTGAGCATGAAATGACTCAAGGCCGACCCTGCAAGATCTATGTTACCGAACCGCGTCGAATTTCCGCGATCTCACTCGCTCGACGTGTCAGCGAAGAGCTTGGAGAGAGCAAGAATGATGTTGGCACCAACCGATCATTGATTGGTTTTGCAGTGAGGTTGGAGAGTAAATTCACACAGTCCACACCGTTGATCTATGCAACCACGGGAGTGGTGGTGCGAATGCTGGAGCGCCCAGAGGACTTCCAAGATATTACTCATGTTGTTCTTGATGAGGTTCACGAGCGCACGATCGACAGTGACTTCTTGCTGATCGTACTTCGACGACTCATGCAAAAGCGGCCTGACCTGAAGCTCATTCTCATGTCAGCCACTGTGGATGCGCAGAGATTCTCGACGTATCTTGGTGGTGTGCCGATTCTCAACATCCCGGGACGAACCTTCCCCGTTGAGATGAAGTATTTGGAAGATGCGGTTGAAATGACGAATTATCGTCTGTCCGAAGACGACCAACACACAGCCTTGGACGATGATATGGAGGATCGACCGGATGCCGACAATTCAGGCGGTCTCCAAGCCAGTCTCGATGGGTACTCCCGTCAGACCAAAGAGACTATCATCAACATCGACGAGTACAGGTTGGATTACGAATTAATCAAGAGACTGTTGATCAAGATCGCGACGGCGCCGGAAATGACCCACTACAGCAAGGCGATATTGGTGTTCATGCCTGGACTCGCAGAGATCCGTCGCCTGAACGATGAGATTCTCGCGGAGCCAATGTTCCAACGGAACTGGATTGTACATGCACTTCACTCCTCGATCGCGAGCGATGAACAAGAAAAGGCGTTCAACGTACCCCCGGAAGGCACAAGGAAGATTGTCATTGCAACCAATATTGCAGAAACAGGTATCACCATTCCCGATATCACAGCTGTGGTCGATGCTGGTAAAGAGAAGATGATGCGCTTTGACGAGAGACGTCAACTATCCCGACTCGTCGAGTCGTTTATCTCGCGCGCGAACGCCAAGCAGCGCCGTGGTCGTGCCGGTCGTGTCCAGAATGGCATCTGCTTCCATTTGTTCACTCGGCACCGACATGAAAAACTTCTCGCAGAGCAGCAAACCCCTGAGCTCCTTCGTCTTTCCTTGCAAGACCTCGTACTCCGAGTGAAGATCTGCAAACTCGGCGAAGTAGAGCAAACACTCCTCGAGGCTCTTGATCCACCTTCATCCAAGAATATTCGTCGAGCGATCGATTCACTCAAGGAAGTCAAGGCCCTTACCAGCAATGAGAGCTTGACTTCCCTTGGAACGCAATTGGCAAAACTTCCGCTAGACGTTTTCCTAGGCAAGATGATCATTAACGGCGCCTTCTTCCGCTGCCTGGATGCGACCGTTAGTATTGCTGCTATTCTGTCATCGAAATCGCCATTTGTCAACGCTATTGGATCAAACTCACAGCGTGATGGAGCACGGTTAACATTCCAAAGAGGTAAGTCGCAACCTATCCGACTTCTGTGTCAATACTAACAATATCAGGCGACTCGGATCTCTTGACTGTTTACAATGCCTACTGTAGCTGGAGGCGCATTCGAAGCACCCCAGGGTCCAACGAGTTCGCCTTCTGTCGAAAGAACTTCCTGAGCCCCCAAACACTTCAGGGCATCGAGGATGTCAAAATGCAGCTTGTAGTTTCAATCGCCGACGCGGGTCTGTTAACTCTCGATGCTGCCCAGAAAGTGGCGCTGAATCGGTAAGTCATTCAAGTACTCCCATCACAATCTACCTCTGCTTACCAAAATTCTAGTGCTCGCTCCAGTAGTCGAAACCGTCAATTCTTCATCATCCCCGAGGACTTCGACATCAACAGCAACAACGACGTTGTGATCAACTCCGTCATCGCCTGGAGTTTCTACCCCAAACTCCTCACGCGCGAAGGCAAAGGCTGGCGCAACGTCGGCAACAACCAAACAGTCACATTGCATCCCACATCCGTGAACAAGCGAGCAGACTCTTCCGTAAAGTGGCTATCTTACTACCACATCATGCAAGCACGGAATCGCAACTTGAACGCCCACGATACCAGCGCAGTCGACGACTTCGCCATTGCACTCTTGTGTGGTGATGCCGAGTTCAAGGTAAGCGATTATTCGATTTCCCCAATACACATCACTAACACTCTCGGCAGATGTACTCTGGTGTTATTTCCATTGATGCAAATCGTGTCCGCTTCGCTGTGCGGGACTGGAAATCCATGTTGGCTTTGAAAATTCTTCACACTCGTTTGCGCGAAATTCTTTCGAATACGTTCCGCAACCCGCATCGTCCTTTGTCCTATAAGCAGCAGCAGTGGGTTGATATCTGGCAACAGATCTTTACTCAGGCTGGCAAACGATGAGCATACGGTCTGGTTTGACTGTCATTGATGAGAAAATGCATGTACAAATTCATGGTAGATGTGGGCTGGGTCAGGTATAGAGTCTTCAAGGTTGTTAGGATATTGTTCGGTTAGAATTGTTATTTGAATATTTTCAACGGAAGAATTATTCCTAGTAGTACTTAATTACCTAGCTAGTTTAGGATCTTTACCTAGATGTGAGCTTCTAAAGTCTCCAGGGCTGTGTGATGTCCTGAAGTCCAATGTTAAGTTATGGTGGATATATAAATCTAGCATGACCGCTTCAGAAATCTCAATATTGGACCATCTAAAGATTTACTTAAGTATAAGTGCGAGACACAACTTGAGAAGAACTTTAGAAAGGAATACACACATAGAGTTTTACTTGAGAAGAAGTCACATTAGACAGTTCTAAAGTTATAGTCGAAGAGCTCGAAAGACCTGACTTCAGGACCTGAATATACTTCAAGGTTCCTGATCTCTATGCGGAAAACATATCCACGGACGCGACGGTCCATCGCAGGAACCGCCTACATGAACCGGGAAACAGCATACTGCATCACCCACGCTTTGAAGTACGATCAAGTCTACATAGGAGCACTGCAGATACCGAGTCAATGCGCCGTCAGCACTGATCCGCGCGTAGACTCCAGGGCTGCATTATCATCGCAGAGTGCATACTTAAGTAGCTACAGCATAAAAAGACGTTCTCCAGAGCTCCAAAGCTGCGACAGTGAACAATGGAGAAAAGACGAGAAGGACAAGAAAGGCGAGAAAGCAAGAAAGACCAGGAAGCCTACGAGCAGAAAGTCCAGACTCATTCCCTTCCCCACGGGAAACAATCGGTCTACGAAGAGCCCAAATCAAGGGATACCGCTCACAGCACAACTCATCCCTACACTGCAAATGCGAGCAGCGGTGAACAAGGGAACAAAACTAGCCTCCATCGTACATGAACATTGTACGATTCATGCAACAGTCATCCCCCCCAGCATTCCCCGCCAACCCAATGAACAAGGCGCAATTGGCAAGTTTCAGCCCGAGACAGCGCAGCTTCAAGAAATCCGGAAATGATTCGCATCGCACGCCTATGGCAGATTGTCCGGCGGCACCTGCGCCTGCAACTGCGCTGGCACTTGGCAGGGTTGTGCCTAGACCCTAGACCTCATTGTACATCGACTATCGACTGCACCCGGGAGGTACTGGGTCTGACTGTGAGCTGAGACCCAAAGAGACGGTGAGCGTCTCTTTCTAGAATGGTGTTTTGTTTATTATGATCCGGTGGGTTACAGGGATGTTCCCTGTTCATGAAATGGGGGCTTTCACCTGGTTTCTGCATCTTTGGGGATGACAGGGGAAGTTTAGGCACCGCGACATGTGCTCTTGCAGTTGAAGTCTTTCCCCTCATATCTTCATACGGAGCACGGAGAACGGAGTATATTGTGTTGGATTGTGCTCGATTGGGGTCTCTAGTGCAACCGGTCGGCTACAATTGACGCGGTTCTACTGACGACTAGGTCAATCTCGAATAATACGTCAAGCTCGCACAAGAAATGTGTCAACTATGTCGTACATATGAACCTTGGAACTTTTTTTTTCTCTCTTTCCTGCGCTCTGACGTCGCGAGCGACATCGGCTATTCTACTACGAGTATCTTAACGGGGTACAATGAGATGTACGGAGGATACAGCATTACAGCTAATACACCATAACACGGTACTAAACGGTCGCCACGTCTGCACGCAAGGGTTAACTGGCGGTGAATCCACACGATCTAGCCCTTCGTACGTGGTGGCCACCACAGCCAGTCATTATTGCGTCGGATCATCGATCGGCGGGCTGCTGCGGTGCAAGGCCAATCATCGCGGGCGCTTGGCTACGGTCGGTTCTTAGTCTCGTTACACATTTGGCCCGAGCCATCCTGGTTATTTCGGAGATATGAGGAATTCAGTTAGCTGTCTATTGCTCTGTCCCTGACTCGAGCTGGTGGTTATTGCTGACGGCTAAGGCGGTTCCATTACTCACTCAATTCTCCACTTGAGTTGGGGTACAGAGACATTTTAACCATCTATACGGAATAGACTAAAGACCTGATTGATTATTGTTGGGGTTTTTTTCCCTTTCAGACTCTTAATGATTTTGTACTCCCCCCCAAAAGACAAGAATAGTACAGAGTACGGAGTACATGGACGTGCAGTCGATCTCTTGGCTCCACGGGACAATGCAATGCGAGGTTAAATGGAGTTGCACGGCCCCAAGTTCCAGATCCTGGCTTCGTGGTGCGTTTTCATTCGAAGTCACATGGAAGTCACAATGTAGAGGTACAGAGTATGGGAGTACCTCGTCGCTGTATAGTGAGCTACTCTCTGTGTACTCCATACATACGGAGGATACGGGGTTATCTCGGTCTCGCCACTAATTTGCCATGTACAACACACCAACTTGCAGGGAACATCCCTGCGAGTCGGCTGTCGGTGGAATTCTCCTCGTGTTCCAACCGAGTCTGTACTGTACAATCCCCTCAAAGGCCTTGTGCTCTTTGTCCAGGTCGGACGGCCTTATCTGGCGTCAGAACGTCTGCCCAGACGGCTTCGGGCATATTTAACTGTACAGCATGGAAAGCATGGCATTCCCCTGGTGAAACAAAAAAAAAGTGAGAGGGAAATACTCCGTGGAGGTATTCCTTCAAAATCCTCCGTATACCGTTACAGGATTATACCCGGCCAAGAAAAAGCAAAAGTGGGTTGGAAAAAAATAATAATCAGTAATTAAAAATGATCAAATCCAATTCATCTGCCTTGATCTGTTTTCATAACTCTGCACGGACAGTGTCCGCTGCAGGGTAACTCGCTGCAAGGTACGGAGTACAATACGGACGAACCCGTCGATCGGCGCAAGATTGTTCTGCGTAAGAGCTGAGCTACAGAGGTGAATACATGAGATTCTCTAGTCTGCCGAGCCTCTCCACTCGAGCTGATAGTGGCAGGCTCCAGTGCGGAATGGTGTATACGAGTGGCACGCTAGAAGCCACTTGAGCACGGTGAAGAAGGGATGCGGTGACTATCAGGATACCTATCATAAGCCAAAAGAAAAGAAGGATCGTCTTCTTGCATGGCTTAACGGTGTCCATGATGCATCACACCCGAATTGCGGAGTTCACGATAATTGTGTGGTGGGGCGTCGCTAGTCATGGAGGTTAGGGTGAAGTGGGGAGCTTTCATTTCGCCAATTCTTCGGGAGTACGGAGTACGATAGTTAGTACGAGTAGCTAGTACGGAGTAGGAGTAGGAGTAGGAGTAGGATATAGAGTAGCTCAGACAAGTAAGCAGAAACTTAAGCCCCGACCCAGAGGATAAATACTCCGTGCAATAGTCGAGTACGGTCAAGCCAGTAATCCACTCCGTTCGAATCCTCCGGTCCTGGCGGATCCCTAAACTACTGTACGCTGTATGTGCAGCGGGTATCGGGCCGTCGATAGCGAGCTGCGGTGCAGGGATCTGTCAGTAGTTAGTGTCTCTCTCTTTAGTACCTGCTTTGCCTGCACAATACGAGCGTTCGCAGATGCTTCTTTTTTTCTCCCACGAGACCTGCGCGGTTAAGCAGACAGCCCTGTAGTTAGTACTTTGTATTTTCTCAGTTGTACTTTGTAAAGGCATTGGGGCATTGGGGCATTCGGGCTATGGGCTAAGGGCAAGGCCCGTGTCTTTCCGACCCCATGTTCACCGACCTCTCAAGGGTCTGTGTGGCGCTAAAATCCACTTGGGCAAAAAGATTTCAAATACACAATACAGCTGAGTTAGGAAATCGTATTCCGATCATGATCTCCCCGAAATCCCAGGTCCATGCACGGTGGTCCATGCTGTTGTCATATGGAATCTTGTAGTAACTTGGTATTATTTAGTATATTCAGTATATTTAGTATATTTAGTAGTCGACAGTGTACTCCGAGCAGATAGAATACGAGTAGAAGAACCCTGGAGAGAAGAGAGAAATCCAGAAATAGGAAGAAATGCAAGGGGATTAAGCGGTGTAGTAAGCTCTCTTGACGTCCCCCCTTGCTGAGATCTGTCCAGGCTCTTTTCTATTATTTCTGTTGGGCTGAACTTTGCCTAAAAGATCATAATACAAAAACCAAAATTAATTCAAAAGAAGTAGAGATCTTCTTACTATTTGCTATTATTATTCACTGACGTGGGCAATATCGTACGGCTATCTCGACTACGATTCAAATTATTGTGTACGAGTATATTCTACAAGAGATGCATCGTCACGGGGTCCTCCAGTCTGAATTGCGATGCTACGTGTGAATCTCATTTCAATTCGGACCAAGTAATTGGGTTGGACAGACTCAAAATCTCTTTCCTGAAGTGTTTCGTCCTTATAATTGCTTTTTTTTCTCCCATTCCCCTTTCTCTTCAACACACTCTTTGGGGAGACGCCCTCTAACCCCGAACAGGGAAGAGAGAGAAAAGAAAAAACAGAAAACAGAAAAAACAAAAGGGAAGAGAACAGACCCTTGATCGACTTCAAGCCACCCGTGTTTCGTGGTGCATTCTGAGCCACTGATTTCCCCCCTCTGCATCCCTAGGTGTGACGTGCTGCTTTCCTTTTCCACTCCCCACTGTTACTCACGGCCCGTCTTAACGCCCAGATCGTCCCGAACCATAAAAAAAGGGCGAGAAAAAGAAACAAAAAGTGTGGGAAAAAAAAAGAAAAAAAGAAAACAGAACAAGGCCTTGGTATTGTGACTATCCACTTAGCGGCTATGACCGTGGCTCTGAAACTGGAGGGCGCGATCGACCAGCCACCGCTTCGAATAGTAACTTATCCGGAGAGCCTCGGCCGAAGTCCGATTCTCTTCGGACCTTGCATAGACTGTACCCCAAGGTAATCTCAAGCGCTGACTCCTAAAGCGGGAGAGTGCAATCCGCAATCGACGGTGCAGCCGCCGCGCATTGCCGGCTATATTATTATTATTATTATTAGTATTATTATTATTTTTTTCCCTTACCCCTCTCTGCAGCCGCTGACAGATGTCTTGCACGATGAAAGATGTCGATCGGGGCGAGACCAAAATCCGTAAAATAATACCTGATACCTGATAGATACCAAGGTATAGAGTACCTGGGTACGATTAGGTATGATGAGGTACAAGGTACAAAATTGTATTTTCCCCGTTCCTCTCCCCGGGGATGCCATCCATGGTTCACCGAGTGGGACCCGAGAACAGACCACTCAGTGTTCGGTTCTGATGATCCTAGTGTTGACTTTGAGTTGGATCGTGATGTACATCCATGGACCGTGTATACTTATTGAATCCTTGGGGTATATTTGAATACAAACAACTACAGAGCGACAGAGTATGGAGAATCAGGTCACACAGACTAGGATGTATGGTAATTTATCTTAACGCTTGACTCTGCTGATCATAGTCCTTGCTTGGTGGCGTAGTTAGAGAATAATAGAGGAAATTCAGGAAAATAATAATATTCTAACTAGATCAGTCGAATGAAATCCCCAATAATCACTCACTAACAGGAAATATCAATAATAAATCATATCGATGCTAGAGGATGATCTGAACGCACGGTTCTTACCTCCACTGGCTCCACTGTGATTGATTCGACTCTCTCTCTCTCTCTCTTCTTCCTTTTTCTCTTCTCTCCTCCCTCAAAAGACGGGGCAGGCCGGGATTTCTGCAGACACATTCTTGTCTCTTTCTTCCTTCCCTTAGTCAGCCCCTCCACTGATCGCCTTTCCCGCTGCGGCTCAGATCTTTTGACTTCTTTTTTGGCCTGCAAGTACGCTCTTCTTTTCTTTTACTTTTTGATATTTTGATATTTTAAAAGAACCTTTGATTATTCAATTTGTATATTTGTGAATGAGACTGTGACGGTTTTGTGTTTTGGTGTTCTGTGTTTGGTTATTTTTGTTTGTTCAAACGCCTCTCCAGTGTAGGGATGCGTTTGCTGCACCCCAGCCTCCGCCTTTACGACTAAACCGCACAACCTTTCTCTCTTCTCAACCTCCCCCCAACCCTCTACTGTCTAAGACTTGGGAGTCTATTACCCCCTTCCATTTGGCTGCGGCCTTATTTTATACCTCAATGCGCTCTTGTTTTTTCTGTTTTGATGATTGCATGACAACGACACTTACATGACTCTTTAGTTGAAGCTTTCGATGTCCAGTTAACGATTCTTAATGATCTTGATGACTGTTTGAATTCGTCTTTTCAAAAAGTCCCTTCTTGCGCTTCTGCTTTGACTCAAAGTCTCTGCAAAAGGTTTACGACTGGCTACGCTTACGACTCTGCACGTACATTGCCTACATCTTGCATCGCTTCCCGACAGCAATTTATAATTCTTTACGTTCATCCTTTGCCGATCAGCCGTTTGCATTTTCTATAAGCTCTAGGGCTTGGCTTACCGACCGTGCAACCCATTGTCAAGCGGTGGTTTCCCACTTGATCAAAACTGCGCCAGACCACGCCGGACAACTCTCTCATCGTCCGACGCAACCCTTCCTCTACTTTCAAAACCCGTTTCATCTGCAACCGAAAAACTGGAGCTGCCATCGATTTCGCAGGTCCATACCCGCGGTCCTGCTGACATCCCCTGGTACAATCATCACGCGGCGGAAAGACCGTTATTGTCCGGCGACAAACTCCCCGCTCTCAGCCTGCCGACAGCCACCCAGGGCCTCTCCCGACCCGCCTATCACGATCCATCCGTGACCAGTTCCACTCGCACAAGTCTGTCTGGTGTTTCCGTCCCGAACGAGCCCAGGAGCCCGCCTGCGGACCTATCTGGGACCCAGGGCCGGCTTTCGCTAGACTCTTCTGAATACAGTATCCCCCCCTCGGTCAACGACGGGTACTATCCTAGCCCGACCTCTCTCGGCAGCATGAACCAAGCCCCCTACATGGACGTCCATTCTTCACACATGTCTTCTGCTCAGTCATACGCTCCCCAGGGCGCTACCGCAGGCGCAATGTCCCATTACTCGTACCACCCACAACCCCCAGTGATGCAGCCTGCATCTTCTTATCCACCGGCGGGGTATCCTCAGTATGGATACAATGGCGTGACTTCCCCGGCCACCGGACATCCTCCCAGCACCATGGGCGGCCAGATGCCCGCGCAACTGCTACCTTTGCCTGGTAAGCTTCACAGCCAAAACGTTGATGATTATTCTGATCGTTATCAAGTGAACAATCACGGCGTGGCTCCTACAGGCTATGGAAACACAACTGGAGCTCCTCTCCAAGGCTATGTTTTCGATCCGACAGGTCAAGTGGCCCCCCCTGGGGCAAAGCCTCGAGTGACAGCTACCTTGTGGGAAGATGAGGGCAGTCTCTGCTACCAGGTGGAGGCCAAAGGAGTCTGTGTGGCGCGACGAGAGGGTGAGTGGATCTGAATCTTGGTATACCGAGGAAGCAATTTACTGACTTTTAAACTACAGATAACCACATGATCAATGGCACCAAGCTATTGAACGTTGCTGGTATGACCCGTGGGCGACGTGATGGCATCTTGAAGAGCGAGAAACTTCGCCACGTTGTGAAGATTGGTCCAATGCACCTGAAGGGTGTCTGGTATGTCTTTCTACTGAGCCTACATTTAACATATTTTTGAACCAAAGCTGACCATCTCAGGATCCCGTTCGAGCGCGCTATGGAATTTGCGAACAAGGAGAAGATTACTGATCTTCTTTACCCGCTCTTTGTGCACAACATTGGTGGTCTCCTCTACCACCCGGCCAACCAGACCCGGACAAACCAGGTCGTGCAAGAGTCTCAGCACCGACGCCTAGAGGGACCTCCCCTTGGCCCGCAGCGCACACCCTCAGGACCGCAGCAACCGCCAGGTCTGCACCACCACCATTCTCTCCAGACCCCGATGTCCTCGCACATGTCTCAAGGCCCAATGAGCGGCCCCCCAGGTTCTCGACCAGGTCTGGAGCGTGCTAACACCTTCCCCACCCCACCTGCCAGCGCATCCAGTATAATGGGTGTGCCCAACCAAGGCAACTCATACGAATGGGGAGGACAAGTGCCTCAAACGCAGCCGTTGTCCATTGACACCACGTTGAGCAATCAGCGGTCGATGCCCACAACGCCAGCAACAACCCCTCCAGGTGGTAACATGTCAGGTCTCCCCTCCTACCAAAACCAAGGTTACGACAATGGCAAGCCCTACTACTCTGCTGCCCCGCAATCCCACCCCCAATACGCCCCTCACACCCCCCTGACCCAATCCGGCATGTCCAGCTACGGCCAGTCCCTGCCGGCGGGGTACATGAAAAATGAAATGGCACCGCCCAACCCACGCACAGGTGCATCAGAGCCCGAATCTGCAGAGCGCCCTCAAGACCGCTACTCAAACGAGGAACACGACCAGGAGTACATCCAAGACCAGGGCTACAACTCAAACCGTAACTCTTACACGTACACCACCAACCCCTCCGTCTCCAACCTGACAGAGCACGCCCAACTCACTCCAGAGATGACCAGCTCTCCCTCCCAACAGAACGGCTCCGGTCGCATGACCCCGCGCACCTCTGGCCCAGCCCCCCACTGGGCCTCCGGCTACAATACTCCTCCCCGTCCTGCTGCGGCCACAACCCTCTACAACGCGGTCAGTGACACCCGGGGCACACCCGCCAACGGCACCACAGACCCATACATGGCCTCAACCTCGACACCCGTCTACGCTGCCAACAACTCCCTCAGCGCAGGCAGCAAGCGCATGCGCGACGACGAGGAGTCCATCCGCCCCGAGACCGCAACCGAGTATGAAACCTCCAAGCGCCGGAAGACAATCACAGACGCCACACTTGGCGGACCAGTCGGTGGACCCCCCATCCTGCAACCCATGAAGCCAAGCAGCATGATGGCCCGACACCGCTGAATTTGCATTCATCGTTTTGATCTTATTTATTTTCTTTGGTTTCCCATCTCGGAGTTTTTCATGATAGACTTTGCTTATGCCAAAGCATGGGCGCTGGACAATGTCTAGCCGTCGAAACGAAACGAAGCTCATTTGTCTTTTTTTTTTTGGTTTTTGAAAGGAGTGAGTATTATTGCCTTGGGCGATTTGCTCTGATGACTATGATGTGACGAATTTCTTACGAACGACTTTCCTTTGTGACTGCTGTCTCGATGGGCTTACGAGTTTGCAATTTCTTGCGTGTTTTATTTTTGGAAAAATGGTTTTTTTTTGGCATTGCTTCTTCTTTTTTTTTGCCCTAGAGAGATGATTATGGTAATGAACGATTATGATCTAAGTCTGCTTTGGCAATATGGGTTTTGAGATTGGGTTGTTGTAGATTGTAGGTGCTTTGTCTGGAGAACAATTGTCTGCCTTGTATATCAGTATGTGCAGAGTTGTGTTCCTTTTCGACAGTAGTAAGTACTTGACTTCAGCAGATACTTGCCGAGGTCATGATTCTGGTACTCTACTTCGCCGAACTAGTGCAAACAGCAGAACCACCAAGGTCAGCTCCAAGCCACCATGATCGATCCATCTCAGACGAAGCCACGTAACCATGCAATTAATTCTTAAGCCTACAGAACGAAGACACGAAACACGATTGATTCAGGGAGAGAGCCCTGATGGTTGCAGGCAATTTAGCAAACACCGGGTGTTGACTACCTAAACCAACCCCCTAGACACAGCCAAGCAGATGGTCTAGATGAAAACAAAACTAACATATCACAACCTTGCCTCCAGACTAAAAAGGCAAGGCTTCGTGCGAGATTGCTGGAGATGCATCACGACGATCCCATCTCTGGTCACTTTGGCCGCGCAAGGACCGAGGAACTCTTAAGGAATTTCTATTGGTCAGGGATGCAGGGCAGGCAGACATTAAGAAGCACGTTACGACCTGCTCAGCATGTCAGACGAATCGGCAACGAATCTCTCGAGAAAAAGGGCGGACACTTGCACTAGTACAGGGTATTGGTGAAAGTCTGGACGCAGACCATAACGGAAACCAGACTCCTGACGAGGATCTGGTGAATCGAGACCTATTCGGAGATCCTACCCAAGATACAGCTACTGCAGCTGAATAGGATAACCTGTGTTGCCGAAAGTTATAGTTCCTGAATCCTATTCCCCTGCAAACGACTATCGAATCGCATTCAAATCTATAAGGGTTCATATCTGAATCTCCTGACGGGTTGACAGGTCGTACAACTGCGTCTGTACACTCGTTACAATTTTGTTTCCTGCTCCAACCCCTCGCGATTCTGCAGTTCAACGAAGCAGAGTATCAAGACTTCGTTCGAATGCGTCGGCAGTCGACAGTGAACCCAGTGCCCAGGCCGCGAATTCACGCTCCTGCAGCTGATTGGAATGAATTCAATGATGAAGATGCTTAACGGCTACGTCCTGGGGATATTGGCTTTATCCATTGGACCCAAGCAAAATTTGATTTTGTGAAGGCAGTTAAGAACGCTGTTGATGATGTGTGTGTCCACACTTTGAATGTCGTCGGCATCCTTAACCGCCCTTATAAAATTATGCTTTGCTTGAATTCAATAGATGAAACCAATATCCCCCGGACGTAGCCGTAAGACATCCATCATTGAATTTATTCCAATCCGCAGTGGGAGCGTGAATACGCGGCCTAGGCACTGGGTTCACTGTCGACTGCCGAGGCATTCGAACAAAGTCTTGATACTCTGCCTTGTTGAACTGCAGAATCGCGAGTGGTTAGGGCAGGAAACATCAACAAATGTATGACGCGGGCCATAAGACCAAATATCCCCCTTTGCGGGACAACGGCAACTAGCCAGGCTGGGCCCGCAATATGGGTCAGCTGGTCCTTCCGGAGGCAACTACACCCCATCCCATAGGGTAAAAGAGATTTCCCAACTAATGTAATGAGGTGTAGCTGTCTCCGGAAGACCAGTTGGCTCATGCTGTGGGCCCAGTCTCGCTAGTTGTCGTTGAGAACCGAAGGATACCTGTCAAACAAAGCACAGAAGCAAAGTCCTCTAGATGCGCAGGGAAGGGAAGAGAGAGAATGAGACGGGAGAAAGGCATCCAAGTTCCTTGATTTTATGGTTTGGCTCGTTTGGCCTGCTGAGAAAAACGCAGGAATGGATTGGGAATCGGGAACTGAAGTGTTCTTATACTTGAGTTCCAAGTTTTGCAACTTTCAAAAATGCGATGCTGTTGGGAGGTCTCTGTTGGAATCGGTTGGATAATAGATGATATGAATCAGTCTTCGAGGGCTCGATTGCTTTCTTATGTGTGGTCCGGATTCTGGACTTTGGGGGTATGGCCTGGGATTTTTTTCGTTATTCGACAAAAGAGACTGCGCTATGGAAATGAGCAAGTTTGAAAAAAATCTGATTCGTTACTCGGGGCTCACAAAGAGAATGGGGATGCTCGCTAGGGTATTTCATTCATTTGGTGGAATTCTAGCCATGTGGGTTAGGGCAATTGAAAAATCCCTGAAATTCAATTCCTCGAATGCTAAGTTTAGATTTCTTTGGGAAGAAGTCAAAATGCCAAGGGTAAATCATTCTTTGTCGAAGCTGAGGTACTGGCTTTCGGTTGCTGAATAGTTCTCAGACCCGAGGATGCCTCTTTTCTTTCAAGTTAGACTTTCATGCTCTGAAGTCTATAGCTGAGGGCTCAAGTAATAGAGCATTTTAGGAATGTTTCGTAAATTGCAAATGTGATGGAAACTAATTGCTCATCATGAAGAGAGATGCGAACAACAGTATTCAATGCAATGCAGGGAATCTCCCAGTATGTTTCGATTGAACTGTTCTCGACTACTTTCTTTGTCAAGTTTAAGCTCGAGCCCAAAAGTGGGAGTTTCCAGTGAATCCGAGCCCGGAGCGAGTGAAAGAACTCAGGTAAAGTTGAAAGCTCAGTGAAAGAAATTAGCGTTAATTTGAAGTCAAAACCTTAGAGAGCTTCAACCTCTTTCAAGTGCACTATACCCTGGCTCTGAGACGAGTCTTTGTTTCCATTCCCTCGGCAGCCCTAGCAATGGAGTCAGTCTGCTTGGTATTGAATGACTTTTGCTCGGTGCTGAATAGATTGTCATCACTATGTTAAAGGAGAGACTTTTCCGGAAGCTTGACCATAAGAAGCCCCGGATTCCCGTACGTTCGAATACTTCTAATTATCGTCTCTCTTGTCTCCAGCTCTACCTCCTCAGCGAGAACACTTCCCTTTGGCCAACAATTTGAAGAACAAGCAAAGATGCCCCCCAAGAAATCGAAGGCAGCCCCAAAGGCTTCCAAGGCCTCTAAGCAGTTCAAGGTTTCCAAGCAGTCGAAGGCCTCCAAGGTGTCCAAAACCCCGAAAAAGTCCAAGGTCGCCAAGGTTCCCAAGGTTCCCAAGAAGTCCAAGGCTGTCGAGGATTCTGAGGTTGCTGACTCCAGCGATGCTACCGAGGTGGCCGGCCCTGAGTCACCTGACAAGCTTGGGAAAACCAAAACCAAGCAGAAATTGGCCACTGAGCTCGAGGGCAGATCTGGCAAGAGGCTCAGGCTGGTTGGCAGTGAAGATCCAGCACCGTCAGATGTGGCGATGGAAGATGCCGATCCAGATGCCGATCCAGGATTTATCGACGAGGAAGAGGTAGTCACGGACATGAAGGCATTCGAGGCTGATCTCAGCCACTCCTATGTTGAGGAGTACGCAAAAGCCAAAGCCAAGTATGACAAGGCTCATCCTACAGTCAAGCCCAAGCGGGCAACGTGGAGTTACAATGGACCGAAGCCTCTCAATGATCCCGAAAAGCTTCCCGAGGGTTGGACATATGATGAACCGGACTTGGACAAGGGGTGAGCATTGATACTTTTCAGGCAATGAGGCTTTGCTGACCGTTTAAATAGGGATGTTGAGGCTCAGATCAAAAGATGCAAGGAAAGAATCGCAGAGCAGATCATGCCGCGGTTTTTCGAGCATAGATTGAAAGGGTACATGATCGCCAAGAAGGAAGAAGAGTAAGCCACTACTAGTTCCTGTGTCCTTTCTCTTCCAGAATACTGATCTTTTGGGTAATTAGTGAGATGGCAGCTGCAGAGAAGGGCAAATACAGCAAGGAAGTTACCCAGCGAATGTGGAGTCTTCGGATGATGGAGAAGAAAATCACGTCGAAGGAGTTCGATGACAGACTCGAACACCTCCCGAATGTAAAGGCCATATTGAATGCCTACCGGACCCGCAAACTTGATTGGTATGGCCATGACTTGGTCACATACTGGTCATATGGCAAGCAGCTCTGTGAGCCAAGGCCACTCCACTGGGCCGAGTTTGAAGCACTCGCCTCCAAACACGAGGGCACGAAGAGTTTTTGGGTTGAAGGTGTAAGTTGATTTCAATCCCCATGATATCGTTGCTGATCTTTTTCGCAGCTTAAATCCCAACCTTATAGAAACGCTATAACAGTTGAAGTTCCACCGTTTAGCGAAGGTCACATTCACCTGGTAAGAAACCTTCCACTCCGAGCGTATGGACCTAACAATGTCTAGTACCACGCCGGACTTAAACTTTCCAACGTGAGGGGTGCCGTCGCTGATTTAACCGGTGGTCAACCCGAAGGCTCAGAAGTATCAATAGCAAACTGGGGCGTGCCGGGTCTACATACAAGAATCCCGGCTAATGTCGCAACACATCCCTGGTGGGAGCCGGTTGAATTTTTGCATGATACTGGTGCAGAAGTCATGCAGCTCTACAGGGATGATATCGATCTCCTGATGGGTAATATCGGACCACCTCATATCAGTTATCCTTGGACAATCGGCTTGTTTAGTATGGTAAGCCCAAATCAGGAATACTACATGCGGGACGCTATTCTTGTCAGAGTTTGCATGCTTTGGCAGGGAAACGCTCCCTCCATAAGAGCGGCTGATCGAATAACAGCCTGGACGCCTGCTCCCGCAATCCTCGAGCTTAGCAACTATAATCCTGTCACGTCCAAGAGACTGGACGGCCCTTGGATTCGAAAGGCTCTCTATACTGCCACGGCGCCAACGATGGAGCAAACACGACTCTTTTCGTCCACATCGGGTGGGGCTCAACTTCCAGTCAGGGCGGTGTACCCCAGGCCTCCTCCTCAGGGCTTTTATCTTGGTGATATAGCACCAATCCAAGATCGTCAGTGGCTAAGAACAGTGAGGCCAATTGACCCCACCGTCTGGCCTGATGCATCCAAGATTCCTCGCCAACGGGGACCTATGATTGCGAACCCCCAAATTCCTATGGATTATTAGACCATGTTTTTGATGAATTGTTTTTTTTTTTTCTTCCCGTGTTTCTGATTCTTATTCTGTCTTTGTTTCAAATGTTCAAATGTTCAAATGTTCGATATAGCACGTGATATTCCACCTTTCCCAAAGTAGTTAAACAAAAACATACTGAACCATGGAAATATGCTCGCGACTTCCGAAACTTCCCAGCTTCATGACCTTCTCAACTTCCACAAACCACACAGTACCATCTCACTATGCCTCCCAAATTCAAACCCAACTCAAACCCCCCAGACCCACGAAACCACCTACACTTCGATCCCTGGCAATCATCCTCAACAGGACACCAGCGCGCCAATCCTGGCTCATTCCTAGGCTCGACGCCATGGCGCGAAGCACGATCTTCGAAACTGACCCAGCAATACAAAAGCGGAGACTGTTTACCTCAACGAAGAGGATCAGATACAACGCTGGTTCCTGGCGCATTTGATGGGAAATGCGTTGATTCGCCGCCTAAGCCACCTGGAGAATGGACCATGATCAATGAAGAAGATTTGAAGCGGAATCAGCTGGGTGTGCGGGACATTCGGTCGTTTATGGGGGTTGGCAAGAGGAAGGCTGGTGAGGAATTGGGTGATAAGCTTGATAAGAAGGCTAAGGTTGTGGGGAAGGAAATGTCAAGAGAGAAGGAACCTACTGCTCCGGCTGGATTGGAACCTAAACCTGAATCAGAACCTGAATCAGAACCTGAATCGTGGACTGGTACTGGGACTCTGGATTTGGAATCTATGTCGGATATCTTTGCTGGCATCACGATCTTCATTAGTGGATCTACACTCCCCCAGATCTCGGAGTACAAACTTAAACACCTGCTTGCTTCGAATGGTGCCAGGACGTCTATTTACATGGCTCGGAAGACGGTCACGCATGTTATTGTTGGGCAGCCGAATACTGGATGTTCGGGTGCAGGTGGGGGTCTCTCGGCGCGGAAACTTCAGCAGGAGATTGCGCGTGGTGGGTGGAAGGGTGTGAAGGTTGTCAGTGTGGATTGGTATGTATTATTGAAATTCAGGATAAGGTGGAGGGAGGACTAAATCCTGTGCAGGGCTATTGAGAGTATGAAAGCTGGACGAAGACTTTCCGAGTCCCGATTCCCTGGAATGCATGTTGCCTCAAAAGGGCAGCGAAGTGTTGCTGGGATGTTTGCGAAGAAGTGAAGCTGGATCTCACTTGATACATTTTAGCATTTTATATGGCTGGCCATTGGCGTTTTGGAGATAATCTCCGGTTTGGATGGGCTTTTGGTTTTGATACCCACATTTACTCCATAATTTGAAGCTTGGACTCTTCTACCTGAAAGTGATACATCATTTTAATGTTTATTTGATATCGCTCATTCGTCATATTCATTGCACCATTATCATGACAGCCACATATCCACAAAATCCAATGTACATTGTACACACCCGCATTGGATGAATCATAACATCAAAATCCACAAAACAAGCGCCATGCTATGCCATATGCAAAAAAAAAAAAAAAAGATATATGTGCATCATAAATGAGAAAATCACATCCAAAATCCCACGAAATCACAAAGTTACAAAATCAAATCATGTTCATCGGAAGGAACCTCGCTCCCGGTATTCTTGGTCCCGACTATCGTTCGATAAATGTCTGCGCCACCCGCTCTGTCGTCTTGTCGGCGGTGGCAACTCCTGTGTCTCCGTATCCTCAGACAACGAAGTAACGCCCGTTCCCGAATCATCAGAAACGTTCCTCATACCCGAGTTTGTAATCGTGGGCATGAGATCCAGCGTGGAAGTAGGCGTGATGTCAGGAAGAGGCGGGAGGGGGTTTGGATAGCGGTGGGTAGAAAATGACGATTGAGCAGGGGGAGGGGCACGATTATGAGCGGAGGAATTCGAGCGCGTACGATTTCTCCCACCAGCTTGCCAATCTTGGTCATGTGTTTGGTTGACGTAGTAAGGGTTGGAATCGAAGTCGTGATGGTTATCTTCGTATGCGGGGAATGCGGCAGTCGACATGCTTGATACAGATGCTCCATGGGGACGGGTGAACAAGGGTTGAGGCTCGCCGAGTTCTGACTCGCTGCTTGACCAACGTTCGATTTTCTCGTTGAGTGGCTCCTCCTCTGGTTGGGAGGTGCGACTGTCGCCGTGAACTAGACCCAGCGACTCCTCTTCTGTGGCGGTGTTGCGGCGCAAGTCGCCTTGGTGTGTGCGGCGGAGAATACCTCGTGGCGAGCCGGGGTGCTTGACGGATGACTCGCTGCCGGATTTCATGCGATTCACCACGTTGTTGAAAGAGAATTGACGGCGAGCTGTGTTTGCCAGTGGTTCGGGGCTTAGGGTGTCTGCCTTTTCGTCTTTCCAGGAGACAGACCGCCGAGTGTCACTTCGCTGGGGATTTCCATTGAAGTTATCTTCTAGGCCTCCGGCACCGTGATATCCAGTATCAGTATTGCCTCGCTGGGGCAGTGCCGTCAAGCCCACCGGCTCTGTGTTTGAGTCCGGGTTTTTGTGGTCATCGGAATCCACAGGCTTCCAGGAAGGATGAAGAACACTGGCAGCCCGAGACCGGATGCTATCCATGAATGAATGATTACTTTGCGTGGTGTTAGGTCGAACATCCTCCTCGGCCTCTGGGAAGTGAGACATTCCCCATGGTGGGTGTTGTTGTCGAACAGACGGTGTGCGTGGAGTGATTGGACGTGACATGGTCGGGCCTTCGCCGATAACAGTCTTGCGCCGGCGCAGGCCATCCCATTCGATAATCTCATGTTCACTTGGTGGCTTCAGGGTATCTTCATGTTTGTCATGGAAGAAGCGCCGAGCCTCGTCTGTTTCCATGGTTCGACGAGCGGTCGAAATGCGACGGATGATGGAGGCAGCTCCACGAATCGAGTCTGCCTTGGGTTCAGATTCGGGTTCCTCGACGGTGGCAACTTCACGGATTTGGTCCAAATCGCCCTTGAACACAGCAGCGTCCGGTACATCCTTGGCGGATTTGGAGAGCTGCAGAAGAACCACTCCAGCGCAAATCTGGAGGAATCCAATAATCACAGTTGTGATCTGCACTGCTGTGCCCTTGAAGCCCTGGAACAAAATGGCAGATGTAATAATGGTAGCAGTGGTGAACATCACGTAGTAAGTTGGAGTGACCAAGGCAGCATTGAAAAGATTGAGCGCTTTCTGTAGTAATGTTAGTTCAGCATTTCAAAACGATCAAGGGAAACGTACGTTGAGATAGATAATCTCTGTCAAGAGCGTTCCAATAACGAACACAAACAAGACATATAGGAACCAATGTTTGAACTGTTCCTCGCCGTTGATCTGCGCCAGAATCGCAGATCCCAATCCCTGAGTAGCAACAACACTTAACCCACCAACCATGCTGCAAATACTGATATAGACAAACATGCTTGTCTTTCCATACCTTGGACCAGCCCAAAGAGCCGTAAATACAGCCCCCACAATAATCAGCCCAGCGTAAACCAGGAACCCAGGCTGTATAACAAAGTGCTGCATACCCTGGATATCCTCGACAGACGACTGCTCAGGAGCATTCATGGCAATAGTGACCGAACCAATAATGCAGCAGAAACAGCCTACCTTGCCCACGAAACTGAGTCTCTCCTTGAGGAAGATAGCCGATAGAATCGTCGTGATCACAACGGATAGCGCACCAAGTGGTGTAACCAGAATTGCATCGACGAATGCATAAGCAACGAAGTTGCAAATCTCTCCAACAATCATGAGCGTCATGCCCAGCCACCACCAGAAGTTCTTCAAATATCCATATCCCTCGCCGGCCTCCTCATTATATTTGACGTTGGCTTTCAGCAGACCGATCTTCTTAATCACGAACGAAATTCCGATAAAGATACCAGACGCAACGGCCAACGAGATACCGACGGCTTTGTAAATGGGCGGACGACCTGAGCTATCCGCTCTGGCGATGAGGGTGGAGGCATGCGATAACGCGGTATTGGAATCCATCGTGAGAGAAAGATGTCACACCGGCCAGCAGTGGGCTTCGCGGGGAGTCGTAAGACTCGAAGCGCTTATGCGCTTATCAGCGTATCGCCGGGGCGACTATCGAATCGGGGTCAACACGGGGGTTTTGGATATCATGAAACACAGTCTGCGATTGTGTCGATCTGGAATGCTTCTGGAATTGCCACGCGGGTCAAAAGGACAGGAATGCGTCGGGTGGTTTCAGCAAGGGGGTATGCTTGACGCTTGGACGCTTAGACGCTTGGCAGAGGCACAGGATGAAAAGAATAAGACAGGAAAGATATACGGAAGAAATGAAGGAAGAAAAAAAAGAACAGAGACACGGAAAAAGAAAGGGGATCGAGATGCAAAACAAAGTGGCTGGGCTTATGGGGAAAGGAGGTACTGGGTACTTTACTGTGGGGCGGGTTAAGCTACGATCGGCAGGTACATATACTTGTTGGATTGGATTTCCCCTTGAAGCTTGTCTCACTCAGCACTCGTACTTGGGCTATAAATAAGCAAATACTAGTTGAGCAAGGGCAATCCTATAGTGAATTATCTTTCCATACGGAGACTGTATGTCTGGGTTCCGGTTAGGCAGCCCTTTGTAGACTGCCCAAGTCCCTGAATTTACTGTATGCCTGTATGCATTCGAAGGGGATATTCCTATGTGGCTGCCTCCCAGTACATATGATGCAGAAATGCTCCGAGGCGAATCAACAGTGGCGAGAAAAGTACCTATGTACAAAGCACATACTCCATACATGTGCAGATGTCCGCAGCGGTACCGAATTCTGCAGCAGATCGAGATAACAAAGAGAAAATAGCATTATTCTTGTATTGCTATAAAGACAAGAGTCTTGATCATAAGAATCGTGATGCATTATTCCGTGGCAAATTCGCACTAATGATAACAACGCCGAACCGTCTCAACAGAGGGGTATTCAGAAAGAAAGAACATAAATAGGAAAAGCCTCAGCCTCGAATATGATAACTCGGCTTGCGGTGTTTATTCACCGGGGGAGGGGGCTCATCATCCGGGTACGGGGGACGAATGTTGCCTGGGGCCTGGGAGAAAAGCGGAGCAGGCATGTCGTCCTCGGTTGGGTAGGGGATGGGAGTTTTGGGAGGAACGGGAGGAGCCATGCCGTGGAAGGTGGAGAAGTGGTCTTCACTTCTGTGAGGGGATGTGGGTTGGGTGTTCCCTGGGCGGCCGTGCTCGTAGCTTCGACGGTAGTCGCCTCCTGTCTGCCAGGTGGGCGAGGTGGGGTTGTTTTCTATGGGAGAGGCGTGGGCGGGGAGAGAGTCTTCTGGGGGTGAGATGGTGACGCTGGTTGGAATGGGGGGCTGTGCGGGTTGGTGGGCGAAGTCGATTGGGTCTCCCGGTAGCTCTGCGGGCAATTCGACGGCAAAATTGGCGGGCGGGGGGATGTAGGATTGGGCGGGAGAGGAGAGGGTGAGTTCCTCTGTTTCGAGATCGAAGGAGAGATCATCGCGCTCTCCACCCGCTGCGGCGTGAATCGCGAGACGTCGGTTCATGCGCTCAATCTTGGCGAAGCGAACACCGGCTTCCAGAATCATCTTTTTGACTTCAGGTTTGGCAAGGTACTGCCTTGTGTTGGTGCTGATGTCGGCTAGTCGGTTCCATTCATTCATGCCGAATTCACCAACTCCGACTTCCACGTTCAGACGGAAGTAATTGTCTTTGCTGACATTACGCTTGGCCAGACGGTCTCGGAGCATCTCGTTGTGGATATCCTCACACCCTTCAATTTTGGTGATGAGTCGACGCCTCGCTTCGGCGAATGTGCCCAGCGCATCGCCGAAGAAGTCCTCCCACCATTCATGCTGTCGGTTGTTGGTCCCAGCAGGTCGTTTTCCAGTTCCCACACTGATAAATACACCGACTTCTCGGCCTGGCCACTCGTTCACAATCGCCTCATCGAGAATCTGCGGCGCAGGGTTGTAGGTACCAGGGCCTTCGTCGATGAACACGTGTTGACCAATCTGGATCGGCTTGAAGGCAAGCCCTGTTGCCGAGGTTGCACGTCCTGCTTGCCACACGGTACAATCAAATTCAGGTGGGGGTTCTCGGCGGGAATCGTAGGAGCGCAGAAGTACGGCCGAACCTTTGCGTGGGGTGCCTTTGTAAAGCGCCGTCACCGCACTAGAATGCGCATTAGCATTGGCGATCGAGTAGATAACTGATTTGGGAACTTACGTCTTTGTCCGGTGCTCGCGGTTATCGTAGAGTAGCGCATCTGGGTTTCCCCAACGCAGCCCGTTGATGAAAGCGGAGCCCCGTTGGCTTGATGGCGTCATTGGATGTGAAGCAGCAGAGGTACTAAAACTGCCACGGCTGATAGATCGTTGGGGGACGGAGTTTGGACTGTAGGGAAGGCTGGCGATGGAATCGCGGGCGTTCGAATTTCCTGTATCGTTGCCCTCCGCCTCGAACACTGTATGTTCCCGCACACATTCGCGAATCGCTTCTTCGAGTTTAGACGCCTTGAATAAAGTCGAGCGGTACGGTATGCCAGCGATAGTCTTATCAGTTTCAAAGACGCGACGGGTCATGCGCACATAAACCTCTTTGCACGTCTCCAGATCGAGGCGAAGACGACCGAGCATGAGGGCGATCAACCCTCCAGTGCCGGTACCCGCGATCAAGTCGAAGTGGTCGCATGGTTTAGGAATCTGGTCGCGACGCGGGGGTTTTCCTTCACATTCGACATAGGTGCGATACATAAGTTCCTGGAGGAGGATAAGCATGGAGTAGCCACGAACACCACCGCCATCTAATCCAGTCAGCTGAGTCCGATGTCAAGCGAAAAGCGAATCACGTACCGAGTGAGAGGATCCGCAGCGGCGGCCCCTTGGTGGTGTCCTTGCGACGCAAATGGGCGGAGTCCATGGCGATTGTGGACGTTGTTCAGGGAACGATTTGCGATCGTCTTTTTTCTCCCCCTGCGGCAACTTACCCGCAGCGGGGCTCAGCGACGCCTTATGCAACGGAGTCGCAGGATGTTTGGCGCCTGACCGATCAGGTCTTGGAAAATTGGCAGACGTGTCACACCGGTGGAACAGCAATCAAAAAGCACAAGCGTGACAGGCCAACGTGAGTGTCAACTGTATGTGGTTGTGATTAGGCAGCGGTGGGGGGGCTTGAGCCGCTGAGTAGTTTAGGGCTTTCTGTGGCTTGCAGCAAGACCTCTCAAATCCTCCAAGTGTGAAGAGTTGAAAAAGAAACAAGTAATTGGAAGAAATGACTATCAACTTCGAGATTTATTTTTATTCGAGTCCACATTCAGCTCACTTTTCCATGGATCGGGAGAAGTCAGGTGACCTTTGTGGCGGTGCAGTTCGGGGCTGTGATGTCACTGTGGCTACTCACTTATTCACCCAATCGGATGAACTGCTTCGCTTCCTTCACACATTCGTACTCCATCCACGTACATGAGACACGGAAGTACCGAAGGAGCCGTAGTGTACGGATAACTCGGAGAAGATTCTTCACTTCACCACTATTGCATACAAATCTAAGGAGATACTCGTATGTACATACAAACACGCATCTTAGGTTTTCCTCTCACGACCCGTTCCTCGTGACGTCAGTTCTCGTAGATTAAAGTATAACGTCACTTTGAAGGCCGATACAAGTATTTGGCTTCTCGACAAACATCATAAAGTATCGAGGCTTGTGGTCTTCCGATTTTGGGATACTGACTAGTGCAGGAGAATTGGGCACAAATTTCCAAGGCGCAAAACCACAGAAACTGCAATGATTCATCATGTTTGATGCAAACTATGCTGCAACGCAACCTTAATAAACATGACTGTCTATATACGAGTAGTACCGCAATATTTCGCCCAGTTATTCTTTTTGAAAACCCCTACCCATTGTCTCCTCGCCAAGTCAGTTCTTTGTACCTATTTAGCCAATGCCAAAGATGTGGTTTCCTAGCCCTAGGCCATTTCCGATGACAGAAAGAAATCTACCATTGAAAGGATATCCCTCTCAATTCGTCAAACCAGGCCAATCTAAACCCGTTAGCCCAACCCAAATAGGAAGTAGTGAGACATACCAAGAATAGACCTCGTATCCCCTCTCTCCGCAACCAGCACCTCATCCCCAATCTTAAGACAAGCACCAACACCCCTGTCAAGGAAAGAATACCTCCCAAAGACAGGACTAAACCGAGCCCCCAGATCAACCCTACGATCCTTCATCAATTTCTTAAGCACAGTCCCAGACTCCCCTGTCCCCATCTTCCCAGTCCCATAATCCACATTCAAACTCTGACATCGTATACAATTCCCCGTAAGCAAAAGCCTCGCCTGCCCAATCTGCAACGCACACCAGAAGTCCTCTTCGAAGGCCTGCTCAGCACCCGATACAACAATGTTAGGTCGGAATTTCGTCCGATCCATCTCTTCGCCCAATCGCCCCGAGACATCTTGTACTGATGTCTCGGAGATAACCAGGTATGGCGCACAATCGGCAAAAGTAATCCGGTCTTCGGGCCGGAGGTAATTAAAGCCTCCAATACCCAGGATACAGATGAGTAGACACCCGATCAGTTCTGCCCGAAGCTGATAGCCGAAAACGGTGAGGACAGCGACCAGGCTCAGGATACTTAATTCCCATTTCCCGAGACTCCAACTCGACTTTCTGCTTTTGCTTTTGGCAGGTGCAAGGGTGCCTAGAACCTCGCGTGTGTGTGGGCCTAGATATGCTAGGATAACGGGGTATCCGAAACATTCACTAAACCAGTCATTGTACTCGGGGCCCATATCATATCCTTTTGTGGGGCTCTGATGCATAGTGATATTCAGGGAATTGAGCACCTTGGTACTAGGTGTGAGTGGGATTTCCAGATGGCGGGAATCAGAGCCTGGTGGATTATATGTGACGATGACTTTCCCGGCTGTATTCAGAGCCGGATATTCAATGTCTGTTTGGAAGAGGGACATCTCGGGGAAGTGCGGGACATGCATATTCTTCAAGGTGGTGCCTTCTTCGGATGATATGACTTTGAGAAGCATGAAGTGGCGGTCATATTCTAGACCCAGGTTTGTTAGGGTTCCTTCTTTTAGGCTCGTTGGCCGGAGAGACTTGATCGGGTAGACGTAGAGCTGGATGTGTCAATATGCTGATATATTATGATTTGCTTTTGGTCTTACCTGGCTAACTTTCATGGTTGGACTTGCGTGATTCAATGGATGTTCCTGGAAAAGTTCGGGGTGAGATGACGGGAAAAGCCCGTCTCCAATCCCCGTGATAGGACTCCGCATGCGGGGTAAATTCTGGTTTTGATAGCGAAAGTTCGGTGGATTTCTTAATCTGATATACGAATGGGCTGGACACTAAATACTATAGCACAGTTCAAAGCTGCCTTTGACTTACCATGTAAGTCCCCGTGTGATCTATAGATATCTTAGCATCATTCTGAGTACATTGAAGCCTCTGGCACTATGAAGGTAGATTGGAATTCATGTAATTTCTTTCTTTTTTTTCTAATCTTCATAGAAAGGTCTTCAATCATATTCGTTTGGAAATCATGCAGGGAATATACAGGTAAAGGGAATCAAAACCGAAAAAAGCAAAAGCAAGCGTCTACTGGTCCTCAGCCCAAGGCAAGCTGAAAGTACCAACCCAGTCCTCAACCTCCTGGCGAAGCACGACAATCTCTGAGATCTCCTCGCCCTCACCCAGGTACTCCAAGAAAGCCTTGACGGTACCGGGGTTCTTGACGCCACGGGACTGGGCGGCCTCACGGGCAGCCTTGTCCAACTTCTGTGTGATGATGACAGCGCGGTCGACAATGTCTGCCACACGGGTGAAGTCCTCAGGCTGGAAACCACGAGAGGTCATGGCGGGAGTTCCGAGACGCAGACCGCCGGGCTTGAGGGCGGACTTGTCACCGGGCACGGTGTTCTTGTTACTAGCCACACCGCAGAGCTCAAGGACGCGCTCAACACGGGCGCCATCGACGCCGCGGTTCTTCAGGTCCACGAGAACGAGGTGGTTGTCGGTGCCACCGGACACGATGTTGTAGCCGAGGCCGCCGTTGCTGGTGGAGGCGCCGAGACGCTCGGAGAGAGCGGTGGCATTCGCCAGAACGGTCTTCTGGTAGGCCTCGAAGTCGGGAGACTGGGCCTGCTTGAGAGCCACGGCGAGCGCAGTGATGGTGTGGTTGTGGGGGCCACCCTGGTGGCCAGGGAAGACGGATGCGTTGATGGGGTTCTCGAGATCGTAGTGAATGGGGTTGCCCTTCTTGTCAGTGCTGCGCACACCCTTGCGGTAGAAGATCATAGCACCGCGGGGACCGCGGAGGGACTTGTGAGTGGTTGTGGTCACGATGTCGGAGTGAGGGAAAGGAGACGGGAGGACATCGGCGGCAACGAGACCTGAGATGTGGGCCATATCGGCGAGCAAGAAAGCGCCCACGGAGTCGGCGATAGCGCGCATACGGGGGTAGTCGATCAGACGGCTGTAGGCCGAGGTGCCAGCAATGATCAGCTTGGGGCGGTAGAGCTGGGCGTTCTTCTCCAATGCATCGTAGTCGATGAGGCCAGTAGACTCGTCAAGGCGGTAGGGGAAGGTCTCGAAGTATTTGGAGATGGCGGAAATCTTCTTGGTAGGGGTCTGGTAACCGTGGGACAAGTGACCACCGTGGGGAAGGTCCAAGCCCATGAGGCGGTCGTGGGTGTTGAGGACGGCGGAGTAAGCCATCAAGTTGGCAGGAGAACCGGACAGGGCTAGCACAAGTTAGCTTTTGGAAGTTATTGCATTGAGGTGATGGGGTATCATACGCTGAACGTTCACTCCCCACTCCTCCGGGTTCAGACGGAAAGTTTCCAGCGCACGCTGCTGGCACAGGCGCTCTGAGGCATCGATGTGTTCATTTCCTCCATAGTAACGAGCGCCGGGGTATCCCTCAGAGTACTTGTCTGGATTGCGGTTAGTATGGACTATCCGCCGAGCAGATGCCAAAATCCGGGGTACATACTTTGCATCACACTGCCGAGGGCATCGAGAACGGCTTGGGATGTGAAGTTCTCGGAAGGAATCAGGTTGATGAAGTGCTTCTGACGTTTTTTCTCCTAAATTAAAGTGAGTGGTTGGTCAATCAATTGGGGGAGCTTCCCATGAGCGATGACGCACCTTCTGCAAGATACTGAACACTGCGGGGTCGGAGTCCTCCAGAGAAGATGCAAGCAACTGATATACTGTCAGCTCTGGTTATCGCCATTGAGTACATTGCACATTTTACCTTGTGCTGGGTATCGCGGGTGGAAACACCCCGCGATTGAGGTGCCAATCGAGGAGCGATAGAGGCGCGAGCGGAGACAATGGCAGCTCGAGAGCTTCCAATGGGAAGCAGACGAGCCGCAGACCTGCTACAGCGAGACAAATACATGATGAAGCTGTAACGAAGCAAAAGCGAAAGGGTACACGTATAAGTACCGCTCGATAGGAAAGCCCCGGCTTTTAAACGACTGATAGTTGTCGGACGAGCAGCTGGCGGCTTTCCGTTGCCCGCGGAAAGCGGGAAATATGACACTAGTCCCGTTGAGGCTCTCCGCCTGGCCCGTGCACGGGTCGGGGGGTTTTTCTTCGCGGCAAAATTTTCTTTCCTCTTTTCTTCTTCACACAACTAAATCCAAGATGAAGAAACGGCGTACTTTGTCTGTCTCAGCACTCGTCGGTGCTGGCCGGGTTTCGGCCTGGCTGGTATTGGACGGGCGCTGCTGAAAGGTCCCACGCCTCCAACCATCCTAAAGGGATCAGTAACATCGGATTGGAATTATTGTGTATTTGGTTTGCCGAGTGCGGCTTCGGGATTTGACATCGCGACTTCGACCGTGTGCTCTCCTTGCCGCCTCCAGCTTCCAATTCCTCAGTCGCGCCTGCGACACTCTGGTCCAACAAGGACATACGTCAGTATGCTCCGAGTGTTTCAAGAGTTCAATTCCTACACCAGTACATAGAATATCTCAATAGACTCAATTTTACTCGAACTTCACTGTTGCAGAATCTTTTGTTCTCATTGTCTTGGTAAAAGCCCTGGAGTAGCTTGAACGCCCCCTACCAGGCCACCTGTCAGTGAATCTTGATGCTGTTTCACGGTTTTTCGATCGCATACGAGTCTCGCCCACTATCCTGTGACAACAAGAATCCACAACAGCCTTGTAGGCTCACAAGAATACCCGGGTGGAGAGGCGACAAGTGAAGAGAATTCCTTTTATGATCACAGCTGTCCGGATAGAAAAGAAAAGGATTCGGCTTTGTTTTTGAAGGTCGGCATACTCGTAGAAAAGTCGTGTGACGTCCTGCTACGTAGAGTAGGACCGGCAGTTTTAGGACGCACATACGTATTCCATGGGACAACCTTGAATCATTTGCATGTATTCCGAACGGTATACGGACAAGGGTCTACGATCAGACCGGAATGACGACGCCATCATTTGATTATCTGAGTGCTAGGCTCATGGATAAGCTTCTAAAGTTGTCGGCATGAGATCTCCGAGCCTACGTACTCCGGATACTAGCCCAGATCCAAATCCAAGGCTCAAAATGCGTGCAAGATCAAATTGGATCTGCGGGGCACAGAACGCCCAGGGGTATTCCAAGGTTTGTTTATTGTCTGGAGATATTAAGATAAAATTAGAGAAAGCAATCTGCATCCCAGGGGTCTAAGGGGTTGATTGGTAGCCACTTGAGCATCTGACTGTAATCTGAAGAACTCACATCCTGTGGAGCCACGCAGAGTGGGGATTGTGGAAATGAATAATAAGGCGAAGCTGAGGATTTTTACGTTGTCATGAGGGAATTGTCAATATTTCTCTGTAGAAGTCAGTGAATAAAGCGTTGAATAAGAATAGAATGATCAACATAGTTCCACCTCACATCACATTCAGTCGATCAGTGAACATCATGTAGAATCTAGACTTCAGGACTTGTTAATGGCCGAGTCTAGAAAAATTTAGCCCAATCCTCGCCGCCACAGCCCAATCAGGAAGCGAATCCCGGGGCCACGCAGTGCCAGACCGTTCTATAGGGCGTGGGCCTAAAAGGTGAGGAGGACGCTAGGGGAGAGCAATGGAAGTGACTTCCGATGCCATACAATTTTAGCTGTCTGAGCAGGTACCCTGTGCCATGTCATGAGGCTAGTTCTATTGCCACGGCACCTGAAATTGATCCATGGTTGTGCGTGTCTTAGTGCAACGGGTACCTGAATCTAATTAGATTAACCTCGTCGCATTATAAACGGTCATATTCCCCTCTTTGTTTTCACCAACTCACACACTCTTTCATCTCCGGTCTTTATCCGATTACACTCTTTTAGTCCCGTTTCAGCCTCTTTCGATCTCAATCCACTCCCCACATCCCACTTCATCAATATGCGTTTCTCTATCGCTGCTCTCGTTGCCGGTGCCGCTGGCGCCGTTGCCTCCGGCGTGACCACTGAGGTTGTCACTGCCTACACCACCTACTGCCCCGAGGCCACTTCCATCGTCCACGGCAGCCAGACCTACAGCATCTCCACCGTATGTGAATTCACCCATAGAGAACGCCACAGACTGACCCCTCCACAGCCCGGCCACATCACCATGACCAACGGCCCCTACACTGTCACCCGTCCTATCCAGACCTCCGCCGTGACTCAGTGCCAGAGCTGGTGAGTCCATTCTAACCTGACCTGATCGACCGTCAACTTCTAACATCTCTCAGCTCTACCGCCGTTCCCCAGGTTAGCGCCAGCAGCGTTCCCGTCATCCCCATTGCTCCTACCGCTGCTGCCTCTACTCCTCTGGTTCCCGGCGTTGATGCCACCGGCTCTGCTGGTGCCTCCGGTACTCCCGTGCCCTCTCCCGTCTTCAACGCCGCTGCAGCTAACGCTGCCGCCGGTGCTGGTGCCGGTCTCGCGGCCGTCTTCGGTGCCTTTGCCCTCCTGCTGTAAGGTGGACGAGCTCTACACTTATATTACAGAGTAGCACCGGCGCTTGCGCATTGATTCTCCTCACCCGGTGCTGGGTGTTTTGGTTGGCTTCTTTGGTTGTACATGTCTTGTCTTCGCCACATGATACACAGAGCCTTTTGGGTTGTTCTGGTATCGACCTTTTGCAGGGGTTGTTTTTATTTACGACATACCTTTCTTGGACATGATATTTTATCTAGCATACTAGCATATCTGACTTCGATCTCGAATGATCTTCTATATTTTGCTTATGCTTTTTGGCTTTTTGACCATCGATAAACTTATTCCCTACCATATACGTCCAGACGTAGTCGGAACAGCATCTGAGAACGTCCCGGGGAGATGTGAGATAAGGTGTCCCACGAGTATGTTGCCCTTTCTTTACATGCTAAACTGCCATATTCGCAAGGCATCTAGGGCACATTTTGTCACAAGTCCATATACTTCATCTCATACTATTTCTGCCTTGATAGACTTGTTCCTCTGTACTCCTTGCTGGTATATCTTCAAATGTTCGCTAAAACCCCTGCTATGTGGGTGGCAATGTTGATGAGAAGCCGACTTTCATAGGATTAGCCCTAGAGGTAAGATGAACATTTCGTAGAAATATTCTATTTGCTGATTGTATTCAGGCATCTGACATTCCCAGCACGTGCTAGGGTATTTTCCAATTACCCAATGTGGATTCATACTTAAGTAAATTCGGCATCTTGTTTGCTATACTTGACTATAAAAACGAAGTCTTACACTTTGAAGTAAGTAGTTGATTTCTTTCTCTCACCTCTCTCGACTCCTCTCTCGACTCGTCTTTCAATCTTTTCATCAACCATCACTTTGACAGCAGTTTTTCTGCACTCCTCCATCAAAAGAAAGCCACATAGAATACTACCAGTGAGTTCAAATCCATCAGCTTGTTGACATCAAAGATTTCATGTCATTATGAGTCTTCTCTCATACCCGCGGAAAGATGTGATGCCCAAGCCAGTGAGTGTGAAGCTAGCATACTAACGCAAAGCTTCACCGCAGACTTAAACAAGACAGCTCTGCCGCAATGTCAGACAAGAGCCCTAAGCCGGTCATACCAACTGTCTTGGTCAAAACGCCAGCGTCATCCATCAAACGGCCCCTTGAGCCCTCCAACGAGCCCGCTGAGCCTCGTCGGTCCAAGAGGCAGTCTATGCAACGCTCGGCAATTCATCACCCAAAGCACTCCACCAACGATCCATCACCTCCCATCCAAGCAGAGGCCGCAATTCGCCGCGATCCTGTCAAGGAAAGCAATCAAAAGGACAAACCTGAACCCATCCCCTCAATGACTAACGATGCCCTCGAGGAATCTCTCCGAATGAGACTCCCATACCGAATCCTCGAGGCTCACAAGAACACCTCCGCCAGCCCCGCCCAGACGGCCAAGAAGCTGCAGAACGAGCTGCACGAGAGCGGAGCTCTCCTGGCCCGATATGTCCAACACTGCCATGAGATGCAGTCGATCGTCGACGATAGCTATCGAATTGCCCTGGAGGTTGGGGAGCTTACTGGTCGTCTCCAGGAAGTGAAGCGAAATGTCGATACTGTGACTGGGGATATGGAAACTTTTCTGGCTGACAACGCCTTGAATCGCCCTTGGGAGTTCCTGGAGCAGGGCTTGTCTGCCCCTCCCGATTTCAATCCCTTTGCTAAGGGCAATATCAATAGCCCTATTCATATCGATCAGAAGAATGGACATGAGGCCATTTAGTTCGCTGCTTGAGCCTAAGCGCGAATTTGGTGTGGTGTTGCAGGAAGCAGAATTTGTTTGTGTTGAATCGGGGGATACTTTGGGGGTGCCATTTGAAACAACCGTCATAATGCGATGAAAATGAAATTCAGAAAATTACTTGGAGATTGCACAGTTTTTTTCTGTCATGGTTCTAGAGGTAACTCTCGACTTTGGTGTTTTTAGCACCACATGGAGCCGCAGGCACATTTGAGCTTGGTGTCATAGTCAACCCGAGGGAGCGAGGAAATCTTTGTAAGGCACTTCAACAAGAGAGGAAATGCAAAGGGACTCTTGACTTGAGATTTTCAAGTACCTCATATATGTAGTGACCAGACCATGATACACATACACGCTAGATCAATAGCTTTTCCATCAAAAATGAGTGTATGAAAAATTCAGCGTGATACGGTTGAAGAATTTGCATCAGGTAGTCTGTCCAATCACTCTGCCAGCCCCATATAAGTAGTGCCTTTGCGAATTCCCAGTATTCTGGATACCAACCACTTCGCTCCCAGTCTATAATGGCGACCACATGTCCATCTTTCACCATAACATTCTGAGGCCGGAGATCACCATGCGTAAATAAGATGCGATGGGATTGAGAAAGCATTCCACTAAGAAAACTTTTGATGTGGCGTTTCGGTACATTCTTTTGATAGGTGTTAATGAGAGCCGTGTTAAAGTCCTGCTCCGAATCGAATGGGCCTTTTCAAAGAAATAATTAGTCCCGATAAAGCGGTCCCTGCATGTTCCATTCCCAAGTCTGGGTTTTGTACCGTTGTCAAGAGAGGTCGCTAAACTGCGGTCAGTGACAGGGCCATGATCTACGGAGCCAATATAGCCATCATTCCCTATATCGCGGATCTCCTGGATATAGCTTGCAATTTGTCTTGAAATATGGGATTTGGCGGAGACGCCCAAAGAGTCCCAAGCTGTGTGGAGTGTTTCGCCAGCAATCAAACTTATGAAGATGTAGGTATCGTAAAGGCCTCCGTAATCGCCAGCATCACGATCAATGGGACCGTACGTATAATATGCGAAAACTTTGGGCACAGGAACTCTTGTATTCTGCGCAACATGAATCATGGTTTTGGCCTCGATAATGTTGACATGAGCACCAAACTTGACGACAACTTCAGGTGATATCTTCACAATGGTGACACCATGGCAGAAGATCAGGTTGCTTTGGTCTTGGCAAAGTTGGTTGACAACATCGGGATGCGGTAAGCAAAAACCAGGCGCAGAGTATTGCACATTCAAAAGAGGGTCGAAAATCGAGGATTGGGAGTTACTGGATTCTGTAGTGGAAGACATATTTCGGTGGAATGACAGAGTAAAACTGTCAAAGAACTCAGTCTTGAAGATGGGAAGAGATCAAAGACTCGGTCTGTGAGTCACGTGCAACCAAGCCATAACGGGCTTTTTTTGGGCGAAGTTTCAACAAAATGGAACCAGACGAAGCAAATCAGCGTGCAATGTTTCGAAGGGTTACAAACGAGGCTGGCCTAAATATGTCAAACATGTATGTGAATTTGTGCGCTTGAATGACCGACTACAACTATGGGTATTCGGACGCTCAACTCTACTCTGAGAGCAAAAAGCGGCAAGAGGTGAGCATTAAAATAGAAAGGTAAAGGTCTCGAGTGTCAATCATCATCCGGTGCATATACGAAACAGACAAGGCAGATAGATCTTCTTAGGCAACAGTCTTATTTTCCAAATTGTGCTTGGCATCTGGGGGCCGTTGGCACTTAAGAAATCGGGGCCCTCATTCTAAACATCTACAAACCTCATTCATTTACGAAAACCTTGGAAAAGACTTTCGGAAAGATGTGCCAAAACAAATGTTCGCCCATCAAACACCCACTGGCTAAAGCCCGCAAGACTCAGGCATTTCTTTCGCTGATCTCCTGGCCATGTGCATTTGCCGCCATTTTCACAGCCCATGGAAGGGCTGAGGCCTGGCTTCAGCTGATTGCAGTATGTTGATTTCTATTTAAATATTGAGAGCTTTATCTGATGGTATTTAGATCACAATCTCCGCTGCTGGATCTGTGTTCATGCTTTGCAGATACCGCAAGACCCGAAGCCAGACCTATGCGACCCTTGAAGTCGCTATCGATGGCTTCACCACGGTTCTTTTCATGGGAATCTACATCGCGGGTATTGTGATTCTTGCAACTTTTAATATGAATTCATGGAGAGCCCACTCTAGTTACACGCTTGCTCGTGCAATTCCGCAGATCTACTCCAACCTTTCTTGCTTTTTGCTCTTGTGAGTACCGTTAACTTGATTGGAACTCGAAAGAAACTGACATGCATATACAGCCTGGCATATCTACGATCCTTCGCCCAAGGAGCTTACTGCCGATACATCAAACAGCTGATGAATGCTCGCCGGGGAATCACCTACGTTATCTGCCCATCCTGTGATCACACTGAAAGCTCCCTCAACGGACAAACACAGGAGATGAAGGGTGGTGAGCAGGATGTTTCTGCCTCCGGGGGTCTTCTGGGGGGTCTGTATACTGACCACGATGTCGAGGCCCAGCCATTGCTGTCTGGAAACACTGTGGTCGCAAATGACCAGCAATCTACGGGTATCATCAACAAGAACTGAGGCACTTTGTAGCCAATAGTGGAGCTTTAAAAGGACCAGAGGATCAGCCTGTACACTACTGTAGACAGGAAGTGGTCCAACACCCTGATCCTTTCACTCCGCGCCGGGCAAACCCAACAAATTAACAATTTCGCCTCGGATGGTCTAAGTGAGAGAGTTTGAGAAATGTGGGCTAGTCACTCGTTGGTCTGAGTTTCAACTCGGACATTTCCCACCTGCGCTTTATACTTGGGGTTGTCGCTGTAAAGCCCAGCCTTGGAAGTATAGTGCTTGAAATAAACTGGCGCGTGTCGTATTCACTGTCAGAACTCAGCTCCATTCCAAGGTTGTATATACGAGATCTAGGATTTTCCAAATTATCTCACCATTCGCGTCGTGGTTGAGAATGTGTGAAAGCGCAGATGGCACCTCACATCGAAACTTCCATAACCGGACCCTGATACACATTCCGCGCCCGCACGAAATAATACAACACAGCGAGAATGATGACACCCACAGTGCCCACAACACTGTAGTTCATATCTTCGACCGTGGGACTCATATCCGAAGGCCAAAAGCTGAAGAAAATCACGATGATCATGTAGATGCATGCGTAGCCATTCACCAACATTCCCAAGATACCAGGAACACGGAAGGGACCCCAGACAAGCTTTGCTCCAGGCACATTGATGACCATGTCGTCGTTATCGTCAGATGTGCTTATATCGCCCCGACAGCGGCGGTACAGAAGCAACATACCGACGGTGAGATACGAAGCATAGAGACCAGAGACGGCCATAGACGTGATATCATCAAGGGCGACTGAAGAACCAATATTAATCAGCCCAAGCAACCAGGCGACAGTCATAGTCAGGTAAACAGAGTATGTGGGCAGATGTCTCGCGGAAACCTAGCGTTATTAGACCAGCTAACGTAGTATCTTTGATCAAATCACTTACACGACTCCACAATCGCCAACCTGGGATACCACGGTCGCGAGCAAAAGACCAAAACTGACGAGACGTCGCAGCCAACATGCCGATCACAGAGCAAACGGCAATAATCAAATTGATCGACACCATAGCCAGCGACCCGGACACAGAGTTCGTGGCCTGATAGAAGATCTCGATATAGGGATAACCAGTTTCGCTATTCAGTGCATCATCGAGGTCGCCCATGCAAAAGAGGACTGCAATCAGCATACCGAATCCAAGGGCGCCATTTATCGCGATACTGAGCATGATTGCGCGAGGAATGGCGCGAGACGCATTTGCAACCTCTTCCGCCATCTGTCAAGACATGTTAATCTGTGAAACTTCAGCACAACAGCTAGTACTTACGTGGACCGCTGCATCGCCTCCGGCAAATGCAAAGACACAACCTGTCATTCCGACGAACCAAGATAGTCCATCAGTAGCAAATCCACCTCCATTGGTGAACTTCAGAAAGACCTCTTCTTTCGTCTTATGATCCGCCATGTATGTCAAGGGAATGAGAATTCCAAAGAAGCCCAGAATATGAACGCACAGGATCATATTCTCAAGTCTGGGGAGAAATTTACCCCCGACCAAGTTCACTGCCAGTGCAACGATGAGACTGGCCCATAGGATCAAAGTACCTTGGTATGCCTCTGCATTATAGTTCTTGTGTGCGAGAATCGCAGCACCTTGGATTTCAGTTCCGCAAAGGAAAGCCGTCGATGCAAACGCAGCTTGCCAGCCGATTACTGCAAGCCAGCCTAAGTGAAGCATTAGCATTATCAAACCGAGGAGGGGAATTGCTTTTTACCTGTGATGTAGCTCCAGAACTTCATTCTTTTAGGCGGTGCAAGCATGGCACACCAATGGTATTGGCCTCCTGATGTTGGCGCCCTAGAGACTGTTAGCTAGTCCTGGCCTCAAGTCAAATCTCTTACATTGAAGCCAACTCTGACAATACCAGGAAACAACATGTTGTCCCTGTCCAGGCAAAGATATAAGCATATACCGCACCCGCAGACCCTCCACTATAGACGTTAGCAATTATGGTGCTTACGACCCGCAGACAGCACATACTTGGTCAGTGCGATAATAAAAGTACTAAGTTTGGTCAGAAGAGAAAAACAATAACTCCAAGGTTGACAAGGAACTCACTCGAGCAATCCTTCCCAGGTCGCAATAATGGTACAACTAAACCCCAGGATAGAAAGAATCCCGAAATTCCGCTAAAAAAGAGTCATCAGAAGTGAGCCTCGAATGGCCCAGCCAAGCACCAACCTTCAGCACAGGCGCTTTACCCAGCCTCTGCAAATGAAAATCATCCCGATCGCAACTCGACACTTCCCTAGCCTCATGGCCGCCGTGCGTATTTTTCAACTCATAAGAAGCCATGATTCTCTGACCAAAAGCCAAGAACAAATTCACAGAAGTTGGAAAGCGAAAAAGAAAGGAAAACAAAAATCACCTCGGAAGCAGATCCCACGATGGCCCGTGAATATGCAAGTAATTAATTCCCAAATCGACGGCGGCATTCACTAATGCAGTACAACCGCGCCATCAGAACGCTTATGTGGAGTCCACAATGTCAATGTTGCTCTGATGGGCTGTCAATCACAAAGGATCCCGTATCCCTGCAAAGTCAAGGTCCTATTTCAGCCCGTGAGAAGAATAATCCTTGTTGTCGGGGGCCGCCCCCAAACTTTCGAAACTCCCCTGTTTGAAAGTTGGAAAAAGTCCACACGCGATGGAATTCCCAAATAGGGGCTGCGAGATGTTTGGATTCTTGGATTGATTTTTTATTCATGGGGACTCGATTCACGGGTGATAGTAAGGACCCGGAGGTTAATGTCACGGCTTGGTGTTTGCTGGTCGTGGTCATTCTGGCTGTCTTTGCGAGGTTGGGTACGAAATATCATATATTTCATAGGCTTACGTCTGATGATTTTCTGGTCGTTTTATCCTCGGTATGTTTTATTTGGTCTGAAGGTCGTCTTCAAGTGTGTTGTCAATGATGGCTAAGATGAAGAAAACAGGTATTTTACATCGCGCAGGTTGTAACTTTATCTCTGGCGGTCGCTTCTGGCTATGGAACACATAAACAGGATGTTTCTGATTCCGATTTCGAGCAAGTCATGAAGGTTCGTTTCTCCTTGACAGATATCCTATTGCACCAAGCTGAAAAGTGTTTGCAGAACCTGTGGGCAGCTTCTTTGCTGTACATTGCAAGTCTGTGCTTTTCGAAACTGTCCATGGTCCTCTTTACACTGCGTTTGAGTCCTGCGGCGAAAGACCATCGCTTGGGCAAGATTGTGGCGAGCGTGGTCATCATCTGGACTCTCGTCGCATTGCTGGGCACTGCCTTTCAATGCGGAGTGCCACGAGGCTGGGACTTCTGGGATGGGAAATGCATCAATATGGTATGTTCACTGTCTGGCAACAGATTGCTTTACTAAAATGCATTCCAGGAAGCATGGCACTACTTCGTCTGCCTTTCCAACATGGCAACAGAAGCTCTAATTCTCACACAAGCATTCTTCTTAATCTACGGCATCCACGCCTCTTTCAAAAAGCGCCTGGTATTCGCCGGCATCTTCCTACCAAGAATCTTGTAAGTCCAATCCCATTACATTACACATTCACCTCCTAACCCATCTCAGCGTAATAGGCAGCATAATCGTCCAACTACCCCTCATCCACCCAGCTTCATCCTCGCACGACCCCAGCTACGACATATGCGACATATCAGTAATAGAAGAAGTGGTGCAATGTCTCAGCATTGTAACAGCCTGCTGGGGCCAGTTAAAGCCATTCCTAACCTGGCTGAAACTGGAAGGTCGACTTGAAGTGATCACGAACGAAAATACCTACAATCTGCAGGATTCCAAGTCACAGTTCAGATCACGGGAGAGAAAGACGAGTACACCGGACTATGGAATTGCGCGTGAACCGCTTGTTGTTTCTGTTACGAGGGACTGGGAGGTGGACAGTCAGTCGAGCCAGACGCATATTATTCACGAGAATCAGCATCCTTGGATGGGTGAAGGGTCGGAGCCTACTATTGAGGGTGGTCGGCAGAGTTTGGATAGAGGTAGATAGGTGGTCCTCTTCTCTTCTAGGACATTCTTTGAAGAGCAGAATTTTAATGCTAATTCACGTGTCTGCCTGTTTCGTATAAATCAAGTGGAAGATCCATTTCTATGTGACTCCTATGCCCTTCGCTATAGAACTATCAAAAGCACTCGACATCGCCAAGTTGAAGAACAATATAGTTGCTCGGTACTTGATTGGTGGACTTGAGGCTCTGCAAGATCCGTCACGTGGTCCGAATGCTCTGGGTCACTTTCCCGATTAGGAAGTCGTGATATGAAAGATATAAAACTGGCAAGTGCATTTGGTCTCTATAAAATGCCCTGTAAACTATCAATACAACGCCATATGATATCTAGTGTAAAATCTAACCAATTCCCAACCACCTCTCATATAGCCCAAAGCTTACAAGATTGAAAATAAGAATAACACTGAAATATTTGACGTAAATCATATGAGAATATCAGGCATAATCCAATCCAAACGCCAAACTACTCATTCTCATGAACCCCAATAACAGTCGACTTGAACTTCCTAGCCGAGATCTTGCGGTTGAACAAGATATCCGCCTCACGGTAAGAGCGGTGCTTAAGCTCGGGCAGCCAGAAGTAAGCCGAAACCCAGCAAACAAGAGCAGTGCCACCCCAGACATAGCCGCACTTTCCAGCGAGGTTCCATCCCGTGGCATTGAGCATCTGCGAAGCAAGATAGATCATGGGGATTTCGGCAACGTAGTACGCAGCACGACCGACACCGGTGCTGAGAGCGCGAAGACGCACAGATGACGTCTCGGAGATAATGGTGTATGAGATTGGACCCATTGCGCCAGCGAAGACGAAGGAGATTAAGATTCCCAGCACGGCTTGGGCGTAGTTGGTTGCTGTTGTTTGGGTTATGGAGGCGCATACGCCCAGGATGACCAGGAGGACGATGTTGACTGCTGTGCCCCAGAGGTAGATTGTGCGGCGGCAGAACCAGGCTGTGAGGAACCAGGAGAGAGCGTTTGCGACGAATTGGAGACAGGAGTTGATGAGGTTGAGCTGGAAGGCCATGTTGGGGTTGATACCGGCTTCTGTGTGGGTGTTAGATTTGTAATTGCGTATGGGGATGAGTACTTACGCTCGAAGAAGAAAGTAGCCTGGTTGGCAATCAGGTTACCGGCGAAGTTCTGCGACGCGTACATCAGACAGGTGATGATGGTGCGGCGGAGATCGGTGCCCTTGAGCAGATCGAGGAGAGTTGGGGCTCCACCCATCTGGGACTCGATCTGGACGGTTCGCTCAATCATGGCGAACGACTGCTGGGTCTTTTGGGGGTCCTTGCTACCGAGGCGCTCGATGGAGCGGAGAGCTTCTTCCTTGCGGCCGCGGCGGATGAGCCACCAGGGCGATTCGGGGGCGAGGAAAACAAGAATCAGAAGGGGGGTCTGAAGGAATTAGTTTTGATTGTTTGGATTGGGGATTAGTAGACTCACGGGGAAGAGCCATTGAAGGGCCAGAGGCACGCGCCACGCCCATTGATCGTCTCTCTTGTTGTAGGCGTAGGTGGCACCGGCAACGATGATGGATCCAATGGACCAACTCATCTGCAGAGTGGCAGTGCAAGCACCACGGAGCGCAAGAGGGACGATCTCACTGGCGTAGGCTGGAGAGTTGGCAATGAAGAAGCCCCATGGGACACCTTCCAATGCTTGTCCCACCACCAAGAGGGTAAGGGAGTTGGCCTGTGAAGACTATCAGTACAGCCTGACAGAAGGGAATCTGGCATACGCACGAAGAAGGAAATGAAGATTGTTGCGTTCATCAGCATCAGAGCGAACATGGTGGTCCAGCGGTATCCCCAGCGGTTGGTAATCGGACCCGCCAGGAAGACACCCACGAAGGCACCACACTGACCAGCCTGGAAGAGGGCACTCTGCCACTTTGTTTCAATAACCCATTCGCCGTTATGCTCGACACCGTACGTCCTCTGGAAGACAGGCAGGGCGACGAAGTTTCCGTTCAAGAACATGTCGAAGGATTCCATGACCTGCTTCGCGTTAGCTCTGCAATTGCGCAATGCGCATCCCCACTCACGATCGTAAAACACATCACGAAAGCCCAAAAGCAAGCCCAGGGGTGCTTCTGGGCGGCCGCCCAGACACCTTCCTGGTGCTCCTCGTTCTCACCGTCAAAGGCATCGTTCATCAACTCCTGGTTGCCCAGGACCTCGGAACTCTTAACCTCAGAATGCTGGATCTCGACTGATGCATAATCGTCTTTCTCGTTGGTGGAAGACATCTTGGCGATGTAATGTCAATTAAGTAAAAAGTCACGGGAAGAGAGAGAGAAGAAGAAGAGCAAGTGGAAGGAAGTGAGACATTTAAAGGTGTGCTGCCACTTCCGCATTTGCACGTTTGCGCGTGATACAAGTGTACTCCCATTACGCTAATCTAGACTTCATTTCTTCATCTCACAGCACCCTCCGCCGGGGTTTTCCCCTTTTGCCAGCCATAAGCGACGAATATATGATCATCCTATCAGATGGCAAGGCTTAGATGCAGCCAGAAAGACGCCACGAAGCCGCAAAACGGCGCAAGGCGGAAATGGCTGCAATTGATTTTGGACGTTTAGGGCCAATCTTTTGGGTGTTTGAGCGGATTCTCCGAATCAGCCTGGGGTTGCGGGGCCCCGGACCCAAATGCGCTATTCGATTCCCCCCGAATTGGTCCTGAATTTCCTTGAATTTCCTCCGTACACCGACTTTACAGGCGAGACCGGCAGCGATTGAGTTCGGGGGCTTTTTTCTTGTCTGTTCTTGTGTAAGCTTGTCTCGTACCGCCCCTTGTGGTTGGTGGAATTCGCTGCAGCGCCGGCTCAGCCCGTTCTGGGACTAGACTGCATCCTCGAACGGAAATCGCCCCTGGTCCGGTTACATTTTCGGGATTGCCACACGATGTTCGGTACGTTAGGTGAGTGAGTCAATGAGAGGGTGTGTGTCAGTGAAACTGAGTGAAATTGGATATCTGATGGGGTTGACCTGATTTAGGTCTCAATTAAACAACGTGGGGCCGGGCCCGAGCACGAATCACGAATTGCTCAAGTGAGAAAATTCCAACTCGGCTGTGAGGCAATCGGCGAGACCATCTAACCGGCCTGCATTCCACGTGTCTGCCTACACTCCGAAAGTGCCTCCGGTGTACGGAGTAAGGATCACGGAGTACCCCGAACCATGTTCATCCCTTGATCTCGGCACTTTTCCCCCGATGATCATCTCCCGCGTTTTGCATCGACCAATCATACCGTCCATAATCGGGGATGCCCTTGGTACGAGTACGGAGTACCCCGTACTCTTTACTCGTGCACGGGGTATGGATTTTGTTTCAGCCCATGTCCACGGAACGGTATAATCCAAGGTGACTACAAGAGGTGTGAGATTCCGCAATTGGAAAACTTTGTCCGTGAAATGCGGGCATTGCGACACAAAGCTCGTAGACGTTCGAATGGCGAGACGATCAGTCGCATCCAATTTGAAAATGGGGAAATTTCCCCTGCATTCCTCCAGAGGGAGGCCGACGATTGGAAAGAGAACCCGTTCAATCCGGATAACCTTCCAAAGCAAGACGAATAATCCCACGGGAGGCAAAGGGCTGTGCCAATAGCCCGCAACTGCGAGAGAACGAAAAACAGGATCTGGGTCAGTAAGAAGTACAGCATAGTGGACAAAAGACAAAGAGGAAAGCGGCATCGAGTCTAAGTTGATGATTCGGGGCCAAGCTTCGTCAAGGCGCCTTTGGCCCGACTGCAAAAACCAAGCGTTTTTCAAAAGAATTCAAGACTCTTTGTCCAAGCCATGTTTTCCAGAATACTTCTTTCTAAAGTAGGCCCTGGCAGGGGTGCCTTCTCGCCACGGCTGCCGGGGAATAGTATTGCTTGGCATATTTTGAAATTTTCAAGCGACTTCCAAAATGGGTGTCCAGCTGCGGTTGGTTTCTTTCATCCTCTATGGTGGTTTATCATAGTTAATTAATTAATTAATTTCAACTTCCATATTTCACCACTGTTTCTAATGACCTCCGGGGTTTCTTTGAGCGTGTTGTGTAAAATTCATTGGGTTCCTGCTCACTTAGTTGTTATTCCACTACTATATATTTCTTCAGCTAACGCCTTGCATACCGGTGAAAGCACGTGAATCCCTCTCCGAAGCTAATTTCAGGACTTAGCGACTGCTTTTCTCTTTCATTACATGAATCATATTGCTGCATGACTAAAAATGGAAATACAGAGCCAAAAACCCTTCAATGTGGATGGTAAATCGCCCAAAGCCTTCCCAGGTTCCAACCTGACCATGGATTAACCCCTTAGATATTAGTTTTGGTTTATGTAGCACTATTTTTCGCCCATCTTCAACAGCCTTTCGCCGGGCTAGCTCAATCGGTAGAGCGTAAGACTCTTAATCTTAAGGCTGCGGGTTCGACCCCCGCGTTCGGCTCTTCCTAAAATACCAACATGGTCTTTAAGATTTCTTTTTTGCATTTTGCATTTTTTTCCCACAGAAATTATCAAATTTCAATGTATGTAAATGTATTGAGTCTTGATCATCGAGAAGAAGTAGTAGTATGAAGAACCATACATGATCAATGCAGACATTGTCTACCCAAGACTCGGTGGGAATGAGGGTCGCTTTGCCAGTATTGAACGCCGCCCATAGATCTTCAAACTATTAGCAGTAGACCCACGGAAAGTAGACCCACGGAAATCCGGAGATTTGGAAACTCACCAATACGAGCAAAAGCCCAAAAGCTCGCCTTCACAATGCCTTCACTAGATCCATTCCACTTCTGGGCCCGAAGAAATCCTGCACAGCCTTTCAAGTGTCGTCTCCACTCTTCGACCCGCGAGGCCATCATTTCGTACACACACAAAAGAGTGCATGTAGCCAAGATGCATGTGTCGGCTCGAGCAGGATCCTGGCAAAGAAGCAACTGAATGGTATATTGATACAGCTCCAATGTGATTGGGCTCTGACGCATTTGAACTGCATCCATCTGGCGAGAAGCGAGTGACATCGCGGCCGCGACAAATGGGGTTGATTTCACCATTTCGTGTATACTCTTCACGGTAAAATGCATCTGAGAGTCAGTTGTCTCGCACCAGGTGCCTGTCTCCCGTATAAAAGCGGATATCAGCCGTAACTTTTCCCCATCTGTGACTGGTAGCACTGAGGAGTTTTCGTCTTCTGATATTTCCTGACCTAGCAAGAAGGGGTAGTTGTAGGGTTGTTCATCTCCTATAAGTGACTCGGGAACTGATGCGAGTCGTTTTGACCCGCCAGGAGATGCATGATAGTCACCGCTTGGTGGACTTTCCGGAGCATCGGAGGCCTGAAAGTCATACTGAGCGAAAAGACCGGCGATGCTTAAGTCTGCCGGGCTTGTCCGAGGGGATATATGAGGGGGATGGCCAGACGACGGTTCATCTTGAGTCGGAAGGTCGGACTCGTGGGAAAGCCGGTCCGGCGTCGAGTACCCGTCCACAATCAGTTTGGTTTCATCTATGAGATGCTGATACTGAGAGGGCATCGAGCCACGGCAATCTTCCACTTCGCACAGTGCCAGTGCTTCCCGCTGTGAGAGACTCGCTGTGCGCGAGGGATGAAATGAAGCCTTGAGTCCCCAACGGCAGACTTGGCCTCGTACTTCACAGCCATGACATCGGGGCCGTGTCCCATCACCTGCATATAATCAGACCTGTCACAGTGAAGAAGAACGCTAGTGGATTCTACTTGCACTTGCGGCGGCGACGGCGACACTGAATACTAAGTCTCGTCAGTCTCTTGGCCAAGATCTGAGGCCAAAAACCTCACCATCCGCTCCTAGTCCTCTTCCGGACTGGTCGCTCGCTTGCCCCTAGACCATCATCGCTTTCTTTATTAGATACCATACCGGTAGTAATGGCGGAGGTGTGAAAAGGCTGGGGTTGAGAAGGGCGTAGTCGTGAGGCAAGTGGAAGCGCCGCTGCCGAAGCGTATGCGGTGACGTCATGTCTTTCTACTCTTTTTTTCGCTTCAATTGATTCTATTCTGTTTCTACTTTATTTCTACTCTGTTTCTACTCTATAGAATTACGAGACTGGTAGCTTGTTTACTGATGAAGAGCTTGGGTTTTACTGAGGAAATCAAGAGACCAAATAATGTGAAAGAAAACCGATTCTCCGAGGGTTTTTGGCTGTAGCTGTGAAGTTTTATTTTTATTTTTATGACCAGCCCAATTCACCCCATATATCTAGTCCGGTGACTGTCATTAATTCCTTAGAGATGGGGGTTTGACAATATACCGTCAGCGCCCTTCTCAGGTTGAGCTGCGTTCTTTGTTCCAGTCCCCCAGGGCTCTCTCTTACCAGCCCTTTAACCTGCTGTTCTGAATTGTCTGCACTACTGACTCTTCAGCCGTCAGTCTATATCTATCGAGCTTCTCCAGCGTCTTTTGATTTCCGTTTTTCAACATTTCAGACACCCCCGAACTGCGAAATCGATGGTTAGAGGGGCAGCCCAAAGTATCTCTAAGCCGACAGGCCCCCAATATCCAAATTTCTTTGTTATCGCTGCTGTACTCGTTTCCATTTGATCGAAATTGACCGAGCTTACAGTCAGAAGCTCGCTATGGCTGGGTTTTCCTTTTAGTTTCCTTAAAATTAAAGTTAACAAGTCCGTTTAAAGAACAGTAATGTGATCCCCAAGATTCTGATCTATCAATAGAAACATTAGAAGCAATGAGGTTATTCTTTGGATAACCTTGAGACTAACCTCAACAAAGACCTCGGAACTACCAGAAGGAAATCTTTGTAGGTTCGATTAAGCGTTGTCGCGATCTCTGTCAAGCCATTACCACAACCACATTTAACAGCATGCCCTTATAGAAAACGACGGTTTCCAACGTCGCAAGCTGACAAGACAAAGGTTCTATATTAAACTGCCCCTCCCAAGCGCCCAGGTAAGAGAAACCGAGTGAATTCTGCACTCGGTAAAAGAAATGAAAGAAAAAGCCCCCAAGCTCTGAAGCTATCCAGAAAGTCTCGATGTTTCTTTGAATACACATCAAGTTAACTCTTTGTTACAAAGTGATTTGGACCGAGGGTAGATTGAGGACTTTGGTTTCAAAATTTCTTTGAATGACTTCTTTGATTTCCCTCCATCGAGCGTGTAGCTGCTGCAGTGAGTAGTAGAATTACCTGACTGATCAGGGAATCGAATTCGAATACAAATAGAATACCTCCAGGACTGTGTTTGTGATTTGTTTTCCAAGGTTTTCTGTCAAACATATCTATTGATTTCTAAAGTTCTTATTTGGTGAACATAGCTCTCGCGGCGATCGAATTACAGCTTTTACGATGCCTCTATCTGACTCCGGCGGCTCCAGTTACTCTGGCGGTTCGAGAAGGTCCGCTCGGATAGCCCAGAGGCCCCCGGGATGGTTTAGCGAACAAGCGCAACAGGAGCGCAATGAGGAAATGAGAAAGCAGCTTCAAGATAAAATACCCATACGGAAGAGAAAGACCCCTTCTGGTGCTTCGAAGTCACCGAGCGCGAAGAAGAAACTAACTGCTCCGCCAAAGCCAAAGCCTTTGAATGTGGAAGCTTTCTTGGCTGACCTTGATACTGATTACACCGAGAAATTGACAGAGGAGAGAGCTAAGCTTAAGCCAACTGGAAAGAAACAGATCTGGGGACCAGTAGGTGAGCCCATTATGGAAAGGAAAAAGGCACCTAAGGGCTGGAATGATGATGAGCCGGATCTGGATCCAGAGTATGTTCCAAAGTTTCCCATGCTTGAAAGTCTTTGTGGAAGGCTGACATTTATTTCTAGTGACTTCCCAGCTCAGATTGCAAGATGTAAAGAGCGAATCCGAGAGAATGTCATGCCCCATGTCTATGAGCACAAACTTAAGACTCTATTGGAAATCCAAAAAGCACAGCTGTAAGTGTTCTGATAATAAACTTCTGGAAACATGTCGCCTGACTGATTCATTTTGATAGCAACCTCTTGAAGAAGACGCCTGGCGTGTCCTTGGATGTAGCGCGCCGATTGCAATCCCTCGAAGGCCAATTGGAGTGGCTTGAGACTGAGGGAGACGAGTTCCATATTGGGAGCAATTTAAAAGCAATCAAGGAAGCATACAAATCGGGCAGCCTGGAGTGGAACGACGGACTGGTCACTTACTGGAACCAAGGCGTTCAACTTTGTCAACCGAGGCCATTCGAGTGGCTTGAGTTCGAGTGTCTTCATGATAAGTATGACGGAACGAAGACCGGGTTCCAGGTAGAGGGTGTGAGTATCCCGTGAAACTTTTGAACTTTTGAACTCTTCATGAATCGTCTCTAATTTTGGATGAATAGCTCCTTGGATCAGAGCCTATGGACCAAAAGGCTTACAGAAAGTTCTTACCTTTCACGCCAAGTCCTAACCATCACTGGCCTTTCTTCATCGAGGTATTATCCCCCATGAATAATCTTCCTTTCTGTCATTCTTCATTTCTAATCAAAACTCGTAGCTGAAAATTATGTTACGAACTCCGAAGCTTGATTTCAGAGAACCATTTGGCCTGGAAACGCCTATGATCGATGATACTGGTGCATCTATAATGCAGATATATGCCAGTGACATTGAGCACCTTATGACTTCCAATCCCATGAAAGCGGTTGAGGGTGATTATCCCATGCCTCGGCTGCTCGGTGTTGTATCGATGTGTATGGCTGATTCGACGGTGTCCAATCGTATTTGCCGACAAGTGGAAGCCAACCTTTGGGATTCGGAGAATAACAGCGAAATGGGCCAATGGGAAAAAATCCCGGTCAGTGTCGAGCCTGGCAGCAATGTATCAGCTAATGGTATTTTAAAACCTCGCCTTGCTGGCCCATGGGTGCGATGGAGATACTACAGTGCGACTGTTCCGAATGAGCTCTCACTTCGGGTCTATGACTACAACCCCTCCACCGCAGCCCGAGGTAGACGCAGAATTTCAGACTCTGGGCCATATTTACCCCTCTCTATTGGCCAATTTGACATGCAAGATATTGCTGATTTCCCCAATATGGATGGAAGCAAAGTGGCAGGTGGAATATGAGGAGGTTTTGAGACGACGTCTTTCTTTTGTTCTGTTTATTATCTCTTATATATTGCTTTTTTCAATAGACCACTTTCGCGTTTTAATACGACAGAGGTAGAACCCCCGTATGGCGTAGGTGTTTAGGGCTCGGAACCGAACCCGAATACGATTTGTCATCCCAAAGCCAGGCCCCGGGCCCCCGGGGCCGGGGTCTCGGGGATACTTCTTCACTTGTAAACCACCTCATATTGTGAACATGTTCCAATGCACACAATGCACCAAGTCTTATCAAAGGAAACCCCATCTTCTGCGACATGAAGCAACCCGTAGGTTCATCAGCCTGTACCCAGGATCTCATCTGATCATGTTCCAGATACACAACACCTCACCTCCAGTTGTCCTTTTTGCAACAAATCATTCCAGAAACCGTGAGTGAAGCAGATCTTTCGATAGAAAGCAGTGTCTAAATCCCAATTAGAGAAGTGACTCGAAGGCACAGCAAGACTTGTGCCCGCAAAAGCAATCAGCCTTTGCCTCCAGCAGCCAAACCAGGCAGGAAAAGGCAATCCTGTGATCTTTGTTTCTTTGCCAAGGCGTCGTGCGATAAAGGCACACCATGTTCTCGCTGCCAGTCTCTCTCTCGTCAATGCACTTTCTCAGTGCAAATTCCTTCTCCTGCATCAAGTGTTCCTACAGCTGTCTCGCGTCTGCCTAATCCATGCCGAGCGACCTTGAAAGGCAGTGGTCCATTTTCCTTTCTCCGGCATTTTGCCGATCCCTCTTTTCAAAAGGACCGACTAGCAATAGGGGAGACTGCAAAATGCTCCGTTCGACGAAATCTGGAAACACTCCATTCGCATATTGAAGATGCTCTCATCCCCACGGACATAATGTCCACTTTTGGCGACTTTCAACTCCCAAGCTTACCCTTTCAATTACCATCAAACCTACCCTCATTCACCGACGAATACTTCCTTACGCAGTTTAATCCCGACGGTCTCTTTCCCTCCAAGCTCTCAACCCAACTATCCGAGATCATGACGGAACTAGTCGAAACCTCAAAATCAATGGGTCTCGGAACAGCCGGCTCCCCAAGCGAGCTTGACTTTGCTGAACTTTCCCACCTCCTAGACGTCTCTCACATCACAGCATCGATCACTGCTTTCTTCCAATCTCTTCACTGGCACTTACCGGTAGTCCATTTTCCCACGTTCGATCCGGGAAATATCACCAATTCACTTTTACTTGCGATATTTCTATCTGGTGCCACATACACCATCCCAGATGGTAAAGGCCTGCCATCTGCACTCTTTGATATCGCCGAAGAGCATATATTCCGGCAAATCGCGAGTTTATCTACATTCGCTCTACCGAAGGATAATTCGACAATACAGCTGATTCAAAGCGCTCTCATAATTGAGATGCTTCAATTCGGTCGCGACAATATGCAAACAAGGCGCCGCATTCGCATAGTGCGACATCCGTGCTTGGTGTCTACTATCCGCTCCTTGGGATTCTTCCACCTCAAGAGAGAGACTACACCAGATCTTTGTGATGAAATTACCTGGAGAGATTTGGTAGCGGAGGAGATCTGCATAAGGTGATTTACTCCACCGGCGCGATTATCCCGCGTTGTTTTTGGTTTTGGTTTCCTTGCTAACTGACTCAAGAATTGCCTGCTGGGTTTTTCTCGCAGACGGATTCCTCACAGTATGCTTCAAGAACCACCCATCGATTTCGGCATTTGAGATGAATTGTAATGTCCCTTGGAGTGCTGGTCTATGGGAAGCCGAGAGTGCTTCAGCCTTCGGAAAAATTGCCACGAATCACTCGACAGAACTTCCACTTCCCCCTCTAAGCGATGTGGTTTCCCAATTACTCGAAACACCCTTGAGTGAAGGCCAAATACCCTGGGGTCCGTCGGTCTCAGTGGAACATCTCTTGATTCTGATATACGGTACGTTCATCAATAATTTCAACCACCGATTTGTGTGCTAAATCATAACAAAGCCATCAACTCCGTCGCATTCCAAGTACGAGCAGGACTACTGAAGTATCTATCCCTGGATAAAATCCGCTGTGCATCCAGCAACTGGAAACGCGTCTGGGACTCTGTGATTGGACTCCTTGACAAAGACCGTCTCCTTCACCTCGGCTATCCGAAACATGCCCAGGAGCTCTGGTGGTTGTTAAATGCTACACTGGAAGCGACAGGGAAACCAGACGCCAAGCTCCGGTACATGGATAACACAGCTACTGACGACCTGGGTGATTTGAACGAGTTTATTCAATGGTGCTATCAAAGTGCGCCACAATTAAATGGATATTAAGTAGTAATAGATATTTCAATAAAGTACAAGACATCTTCAGTCACGTTTACCCTCAATCTTCCCATGTTCGGGCTTTGCTTCCATGAATGCATCACCTTTGGGTTTGCGATAGGTCCCGCCCAGTCGATCCCAGGCCGTTGTGAACTGGCCGTAGTTATAATTAAAGTAAAGATGATGCATCGTATGACAAGAGGCTCCGTTAATGATTTCCGACGTCGGCAGGTATTCAGCGTCATCTATAAAGATTCATATTAGTTTAATGTCATCTCACATCGACTGCTTCGATAAAAAATGCCCAAAACCAGTGAAACTCACGAATCAAGACCGTCCACATCGTAACGAAAACAAAAAGCCCCAAATAAGCAACCTTCTGCAAGGGGAAAATCATCGGGAAAATATGATACGGAAGACTCTGCGACCACCCATCCAGCGGGTGGAAAGCATAACTGGCAAAAGGCGTCGGCACAGCCCATTTGTGGTGCGGTTTGTGAAGCCAGCGGTATACGAGTGGGTGATGCAGGCCGCGATGAATCCAGTAGATTCCACTGTCGGTGAAGCAGATGAAAAGCGGGTATTGCAGCAATGTGTATCCCCAGAATGGGGATTGGCTGGTGAAATCGTATAGTTTTGACCATCCTCTTATCTCTGCTATGAAGAAGGGGACTGTGAGGAGGGTTATTGTTGGAATTGCGGAGATGCCTTGGTTGATTTCGAGCTTGATTTGGTTTGCGAGGAATCGGGGGTGGCGGAGGAGTCTTTTGTCGAATAGGGTGTGGTATAGGACTAGGCTGCCGAGGAGGTACATTATCATTGCGAAGAGCCTGGTTTAGTCTTGGTTAGACATAAGGTCGATTTGTAGATGCTCAAGTGGCTGTGTTGCTCAGGACGTACCAGGTGATCAAGTATAATGACAATGCTTGTCTCGAGAGATCATCTCTCTTCCACAGGCTTGCTTCTGCCCATTTTGAGGGCTGCAGAGGATAATACACTTTGACATGTCGATTCAACTCAGGAGCAGTCAAACTCCCATCTTTCAAGATAGCGGTTGGGTCAGGCGAAAGAAAGGCATAGCACCGATCGAGTATGAATGTGTCTAGAACGTCCAGAAAGATGTCCATTGTGTAGGATCTTTGTTTGTGGAATGATGTTTCCAACTCATTCTTATAACACTCTTTTATACATGGGAAATACCTACAGGGAAATACCTACAGGGGCTTCGATTACATAGAAATCACGGAGAATACCTACACGGCAAATACCCACACGGGAAATTCCTACCAAAGACCCACTTATACTTGGTGGTTTGAGGAGAGGCATCTCGGCTTCCGAAGATTGACTTGGATAAGTCGATATGGCCTGATGCATTACAATGGCACCACCTTTCAATTCAGGTTGCATTGGCCAGGGCAAAGGCTGAAAATCCCCTGATCTCTTTCGAAAGCCTCCTTTGGCTCCATTTTTCACGCCAAATGCACCCTCTGGAATACTTCACAAAAATGACAGTCAATTCAATCTGCCTTTACTTTACTTACCTCTCTCTCTACTCAAAATCAAGAAGAGCAAAAAGAGCAAAAAGAGATGACCGACGCAGGGATCGAACCTGCAATCTCTTGATTCGTAGTCAAGCGCCTTGCCATTGGGCCAGCCGGCCTTAAAGTGGAGTCATCCCCACTTCATCGGGCTAACCCAGTAAGCTACTGGGTTGTTCGATGGATTATTTGGCCGTTTTGTGCGTAATAAGCCAGACCATGAATTTGCTTATTCCATGGTCTTATTCGGATGGTTGATGTGGTTTAATGTATTTTTGGTTGAGAAGATGAAAGCAATGGAGATTATGGGCAGCACTGTCATCATAAAACTTCAGGGTCAAAGGGTAGTAAATATCTAACACCATCTAGAGCTGTTTTCTACCCAGCAGGATCCAATATATACATCCATAGATCAGCATGCTCAAGACCACTCTAGATATCCACACAAGCCCATCCCTAAAGCTTCGCCTTCCTCCCCAAGAAATACTCCCTAACCCTCTCCCTAGCAACAAGAACAACATCCAAATCCTCAACAGTAGGCGGAACACTAACCTCCCTCTCAAACTCCCCCACAACAGCAAACTCCACCAACTCCCTCAAAACCCGCCTCAGCGTCTTCCCACTCCTCGTCTTCGGAATCATGCCCCGTCCCTGAATCATCCCACCCAGCGAAGCAATAGCCCCAATCTGTTCCCGAACAAGAGAATTAACTTCATTGAATAATTCCTGCGGCGCGTCCCCATGACTCGGGTGCAGATGGACAAACGCAAATGGGAGATGACCCTTTAGTGGATCTGGGATTCCGACGACGCTGGCTTCGCTAATAGATGGGTGTGAGAGGATAGCTTGTTCGATTGAGCCTGTGGTTGTTTAGAAATCGTCGTCACAAGGGGAGTGTGAAAACGAACCAGTACTGAAACGATGGGCTGCAACGTTGATTATATCGTCGCTCCGCGACATGATATGCACATACCCATCCTCATCGATCATTCCTGCGTCTCCGGTGTCGATCCAGCGACCCGAGAACCGCATCAGATAGCCGCGGTAGAACCGCTCTTCGTCTTGGAAGAGGGTTGTGAATGCTGATGGGGCAAGCGGTGGTGCCATGACTATATTTCCCATCGTGCCGCGGGCCACTTCGGCACCCTCGTCGTCAACGACGCGGACGTCGAATCCTGGCATTGGCAGTCCTGCTGATCCAGGTCGTGTGGGTAGAGGTGGTGTCTTCTTCGCCTGGCCTACGACTGCAGCATTGCTGTTCAAAGCTAGCCCTGAGATTGGAGATCCGGATTCAGATGACCACCAGTTATCCACGACCTGCGCTCCAGGAGCGGCGTATTTACCTAGTAGATCTTGATAGGCACGGACGATGCTAGGTTCGCTGCGCTCACCTGCTAAGAACAGCGCACGCAAGGATCTCAATCCATTTCGCTGGCCCACTTGTCCAATAAGTGAGTTGTCAGGATCATCTTTCCTGATAGCACGCATAGCAGTGGGAGCTGTGAAAAGGGCATTGACGTTATGTTTTTCGACGATTCGCCAGAACGTGCCTGCATCAGGCGTGCCGACGGGTTTTCCCTCGAAGAGAACCGTCGTGGCGCCGACAAGTAGAGGCGCGTACAGAATATACGAATGCCCAACTACCCAGCCGATATCTGAGGCGCAGAACATCGTATCTCCAGGCCCTTTGATATCGAATAGAGATCTAATCGATAGTTCCAGGCCGACGGCGTGGCCACCCGCTTCGCGGAGGACGCCTTTGGGTAGTCCGGTTGTACCTTGATACATGAATACGAGGTCCAGGAGAGGTGGGGGTTAACTCACCACTAGTGTAGATAATATAGAGGCCGTCGCTGCTTTTGATCGGCACTGCGTCAGCCTTGACACCGCGCATCCGTGCACTCTTGACTAGTCTCTGCCAATTACGTTGCCCGCCGCGCTTGTCAGGGTGGTTCCAGCGGAGCTGGTCACGCTGCCAGATGAGGACCTTGGAGGGCTTGAAGGAGGCCAATTCCACTGCCTTTTCGATGAGGGGTCTGTATGAAATCGGACCTTTGGACCCCTCAATGCCACAGGAGGCAGTCATGATGGCGCGGGGGCGAGCGGCATCGATGCGCTGCGCCAGGGCCGCCGGGGCGAAACCACCGAAGACGGCGGCGTGGATGGCGCCGAGTCGGGTTATTGCTAGGCAGGCGATCAGCGCAGCGGGGATCATTGGCACTGGGGTCCAGTTAGAGTGGGCTTAAGTTTGAGTCTTTTGCGGGGTATTACTGTAGATGATGACCACGTCACCGCGCTTGACGCCCTCCTCTCTCAAGACGCCTGCGAGAACTTCGACTTCATCGAGAAGTTGGGCATAGGTGTATTTCTGGGTGGTGTTTGTCACGGGGGATTCCCAGATGATGGCGACATTGTCTCCATGGCCGGCTTGGACGTGGCGATCGACGCAATTGTATGTTGTGGAGATGTGTCCATCTGGGAACCAGGACCAGGATTGGTGGGTGCCACTGGAGAGGGTCTTGGTCTGTTTAGTCAAAGCTCGCGAGGGCTGTGTATGCCAGTGGAGCCTCGTCGCGTGATGGGACCAGAAAGCTTCTGGGTCAGCGAGGGAGTGCGAATGGGCTGTTTCTTGGGACATGGTTGTAAGTGAGGCTGAGACAGAAGAGAGACATCTTAAGGGTATTTTTACCCGAGGTAAAAGCCAGAGTGCCTGCATTTGATCGACGCAGTGTAGAGCTCAAGTCGGATGCAACCGAACGTCCGTGCTTTTCCCCGCACTGGAGACCCAAAAGATACCTCTGTCATAGTGTCGGGTACAGCCTGGGAGCGGGTACCCATCAAGTACCGCTTACTCTCCTCAATTGTTGTAAAGTACGAGTAGTGAAAAGTAGTTCAGAGCAAAACCTGTATCAATTGTCTATATCGCAAAAGTTGGCTGGAAAATGAGAAAAAAAAAAAGTGAACAAAAAAAAAGATAAAAAGCTCAGTCGTAGGGTATCATATCGAAATGCCTGCTAATGCGCGACTGCGATCTTCTGGCTTCGGGATTTTTTTTTGGTTTCTTCTGGAGTCCAATGGCATGCGCAATTGAACACCAAAACTCGCGGGAAACTCCAAGCTCGTAAAAGATATAGCACAGGGCCACCGACGCCAAACGGATTAACCAAAAGACAGAACCACCCTCCCGATGCACCGACCAAAAGAGAGATTGATAAAAAGAGAGAAAACGTGTGGGGTGAGAGAGAGAGAGAGGGAGGAAGAGAGGGAGAGGGAGACGGAGCAGGAGGGAATGTGTTTTGCTGGAAGAAAAGGGGGATAAACAGCCATCATTAAAACGAACTCCAGGACGGACCCGGCCGATCACAGAAGAGTACACTGAAGTCGACTGCGATGCCGCTTGTCAGGTCGGAAAGACTTGGGGTATTCAGGGCCTGCGTCGCGATCGCGATGACCGGATCCAAAGCCCGTCGGGCGGCGATCCGCACCCCGACCAGCCCCTTGTTGTCGCTGCGCTCGCAGCATGCGCACCACGTCATAGAAGGCCTTCTCGACATTGATACAGTTTTTCGCAGAGGCCTCGACGAAATCACAGCCCAGCTCTTTGGCCAGCGCTTGGCCTTCCTGGGCGGAGACGGCGCGCTCCACGGCTTTGTCGCTCTTGTTGCCGACGAGCATGACGGGGACGGGCATGGCGGGACTGGAAGTGCTCATGGGGGAGTTGAGGTAGCTGGGACCGGAGGGGGAGCCGGAGCTGGAAGACTCCTTGACCATCTTGATCTGGTTGTAGAATTTGGTGATGCGGGAGAAGGAGGCGCGTGAGGTAATGCTGTAGACGAGGACGAAGCCTTCACCATCGCGAATCCACTGGTCTCGTAGTGCGGTGTATTCTTCTTGGCCCGCTGTGTCCAGCACCTCGAGCATACAGGATTGTTGATCGATGACGACTTGTTTGCGATATGAGTCTTCGATGGTCGGGTCGTAGGTTTCGACAAAGTGGTTTAAGCACAGCTAGAGGACTCGGTCAGTGGATGGCATGATTTCGAGTCGGCGAAGCCTACCTGGATGGTCAGGGCGGTCTTGCCGACACCTCCATCTCCCAGCACCACCAGCTTGTACAACGTCATTTTTCCCGACATGATGGGCGAAGAAACTGGGTCTGATCAGTGAGGTCCGAGGGAGGGAGAGCTGTCTTTAGCATACCAGTTCAGGGGAAGAGGGGAAGCGCAAGGAGGGGAAAGGGTTCCACGTTCCAGGCGGGGAGAAGAAAAAAAAAGAAAAGCGGGCTCTCACGATTCACCCCAATGGTAAGTAGTACTGTCGTAGTAGGGAGTGAGAGAAAAGAAGAGGGGAATGTGCGGAAGGCTGGAACGAAGTGGAGAGAGGGGTTGGCAAAAGGATTCTAAGGTCTACTAGTTATACTCCTATTGAATATTATGAATATTAAAAACAAAATATTAAAATAAAATCAGAATACTAAATAATACTACTCACTAAATACTCACATCCCTGCTAAATTTTCGATTCGGGTTTCGGGTAGATGTTAAAGGCTAAACCTGTTCTATCTCGACTGTATGAAGTCATACATTTTGTATATACTCGTAGTCTAGGTATTCTTTAAAAATCGTATATGTTAATATGTTAATAATATTATAATTGCACGGAGAGCTAATGCATTACATCATACTTAAGTAGCACCGCTATTCTCCCGTCCTTCTACTCCTATATAATTCTATACAGTCGAAACGAAAAACGAAAACAAAAAAAGAAAAAAAAAAGACGCTTCAAAACAAAAAGGAGAAAACGCACAGGGCACAGTGGATAAACCCGTCTCATTTCTTTTGGAAAGAAGCTTGTGGGGAGAGAACAGCTCCAGGGCTTCCGAGGACTCCCCTAAGCGAGTTGGTAAACGTTTCACTCCAGCCCTAAGCATAACCCAAGTACGAGGCATAAGCAAGTTCCCAACCTTGAAAGTACGAACGATCGTATCAAGATCTTAGTACGAGTTACTTCATATCCCCACAAACAATCTCCGAGATGACTTCCGGAGCACACCTCCATGGCCCTGGGAGACGCTACAACAAAAGCCATGCACGATGATGGAGCCCAATTACTGGATTCTGGAACGTCTGGAACGTCGGAAGAGTTCAACGCCAGACTCGAAGGGGCTAGCGAGGGAATTTCAAGCCGGTCTCTTCCACGTTTTACCCTTGCATGGGCTTAATTGGCTTAATTGGCTTGAGCTTTAGGGCTTGAGTGTGAAGCCCAGAGGTTCGTGTAGATGCAATGTCTGACATTTTGGTCCACACGCTGTCCACCGGCGGAACGGCACGTAAAAGGTCCCGTCGATAGATCGTCCCGGTAACTGCCAGGAAGGTAAGGTGGACAACAAGGACAGGAAGGTGGATAACAATCTGAAGAGTTGGTTTTCATCATGGTTGGTTCATTTTCTTTCTTTTTTCCTTTTTTTCTCTTCTGTTTTCTCTGTTTTCCCTACGGAGTGATCTAATTCCCTCACAAATTAGCAAATTAACAAATTAAGAACAAGTTAGGAATAAGTTGGGCAACAAACTTCGAGTTTCCCGTCCCAGTTCTGTGGCCGCGGGCCAGGGGTGAGACGACCCGAGTCCACTTTTTCCCTTTCTGCTCTCCGTATGGAATAATCCGTACTTCGTACGCGGTTCTCCGTACTCCGTACGGAGTGCGATTAGTTTCTCACTTCCAATTCTGTTCTCGATTTGTCACCGGCCACTTTCGAATCAAAAATCGAGTACCCGAGTTTCACCCCTTGTTGCCTCGCCCGGACCGCCGAGATTGCCAGGGGGAGCTGTGCGCCAATCGAGCCCGTGGATTTGATTGCTTTGACAGGGGTTCGTTGACGGCTGTTCCCGGCCGTTGGATGGAGCTTCAAACGGTCCGCTTGGGTCTCGCTCTGGTCTTTTCAAAGTGCTTACCCTGATAAGGGCTTTGGAGAAAGGTGTGCCTACGAATCGGCAGGGACGCGTTTTAAGAGATTGGTTTTTGGCCATCGTTTGAGGTTGAAGCTGCCCGATGTTTGGGCAGTGTCACATGTGTACGAGTACAGCTGAGCAAACCCAGTACGAGTACTCGTACTCCGTAGGGAAGACTCGAAAGGGAATTGTCTGTTTCGCCGAGAGATCCCCGTACAATACACGTGGCTCATCAATAATAGGATCCGCGCTATTTGGGATCGGGGTCAGGTGAACATGTCCAAGCTTAAGTGGAGAAAGGAGACAGATCTACGTACTGCTCTACGAGTATGGAGTAGAGAGTATCCAAGTACTACTCGTACGAGTATGGCGTCCCTACATGATCTACATTGGCCCTAGTGATGTGATCCTTCGTACCATTTAGACTATTCAAACTAAATCTAGTATGGCCACGGGATAGCAAGGATCGACCAAAGTGGACATGTCGTGACGTGAGATCTATCTGACAGCACCGTTGGCTGCAACGAGAATAGCGCTATCTTTGCACAAAGGAATCCTTGCATGGAGTTACGGATCCATCATCCATCGTACTTTGTTTATCACATTTCCTAATTTCAAGCGAAACTAGGACAGAGGAGGAAGCTGCTACTGAAGGCTAGTCACATTTAGGCTTTTGATATGGCCGTCGGCATCGGGTTACTCTCCCGGAATCGAAGGAGGTGTTTGGTGTAGATTCAAAGATTCTTTCAACCGTTGCCTGGGTAAGGGATCTGTACTCAATACCCCTGGACCCTGGACAGGGTTCCAGGAGATATAACTAAACTCATAACGTCGAGTACTCCGTGTTGGAAAAGCAGCTTCCCGTCGACGCTAGACCAACAATAATTTGCCAAAAGACGCGTTTGCCTCGTTGAAAGATTACGCTATAAGGAAATTTTGATATAGTGAGTTAACAGTCACCCACGTTGAATGTCGTTCAAATACGCCGTGACCCTTTCCACCAAAATACGTCTCGGCTCCGCCTGATCACTATCGCTCAATGCATGAGAAGCATTGGGAATGACCATACTTCGCTGATCCCAAATCTGTCGACCACCCCCATCAGCAGCATTTTGCCACCTCTTCAACAAAGCCTCCTTATTCACCCAAGGAGGAACCGACTGATCCCTCCCAGAATAAAGCACCAGCATCTTCTGATTCAAAAGCCCCCTCTCCACAATCTTCCCAAAAGTGCCCCGGAACTGCTCATCACTCAAATCCGAACTAAACAAATCATCCTCAGAAGGATTATCCGGACTATCCGGACTAACCAGGCTCAAAAACCGGCGACTACTAACTGGCGCCGAAGGCGGATATCCAATTCTGGCCGTAACACAAAGTGGCACAACTGTATCAACAGAGTCATGATCATCGTACATAGCACGTCGCGCATCAGCAACAGCTTTATTGTAGATTGCGCGCATTTGCGCAGGACTATCGCGCGCAGTACCACACTTGACCACCCAGAGGATGCCCTCGCGGTCCGAAACAGGCGCTTGCATAATTGCTCCGTCGACAGGGACGCGGACGATGGGCGTCCAGGATCCGTCGAAGACAGGGTGCGCTGGACGCGGGTTCGGACAGTTGATGTAGTGCATTACGTCTTGGCTGCCTGTTGAATGGCCCATTATGACGACCTTGCCAGTGCCAAATTGAGGTGTTTTGTATTCGCGGATGTAGGAGACGCATTGGGAGAGTTCGTCGATGTCTTTGCCTAGTCGGCCCATTCCCCAGCCGCCACCCGCGCAGGAGAGGATGAGGGAGAAGACGCTCCATTGGGTTGGGTCGAGGGCGCGGACGATGTCGTTGACATAGTCCACTGAGCCCAGGCTGTCGCCTAGACCGCCGACGAAGACGAGTGTGTGTGGTTTGGGGACGTGGCTGCGCGTGTATTCGAATGCGACGAGAGTGTCGGTCTGGTGGGTGTTAGTGACTGGATGGACTAGTTGGGTACTTGGGTCTTGGACTGACACAGTGGTGGAGAACTCCCGGTTGGCCTCGGGCCAAGGAAGCGAGAAGCTTGAGTTCCATTATGCGTGTCTTGCAGGGGGTTGCTGATGCTCGTCAGATCTGATAAGAAGTTATCAATCAGGAGGTCACGTGCAACCAATCAGCGCGCAGACTGAGTCTCGACCTCCCAATTCCCAAATAGGCAGGTGCGAGAGGCGCCCTCTCCACTTCGCACTTTCCACTTTTTCTCGTCTAATTAAGTTGTTGACTCGTCCAACATCCACTCGAGCATAGCCATTTTACCGACTCTAAAGTTTGAGTCCTTTTGTTATTTCAAATGTTGTGTTTTTCTAAATATATTTGTAGGAAATCTTAACAGGAAATTGGTTCAGCTAGTAAAAAGACAAAAAATATATACTAACACAAAATCTAAATATAAACACAAGAGTTCAAATCTCAAAATCGAGCCTCAGGCTCGTTCACAAAGCCCTCAATCACCGTAGCCAATTCAGCCAGTCTCTCCTCCCAGAAATCCAACCTCTCCTCATCAGCCTCAATACCCACGAAAGTCTCACCCTTTTCAGTATAAGACACAACACGAGTAGGACTAGTAGGCTCAGGGTGCGGGTTAATATAATCGACACGAGCCTCCGATCCCGCAAAGGGGATGCTATCAAAGTACTCGATATCATGATGATGCACAATCGACGAGAAGAAAGATACAAGCGGGGACCAGCTCGTGCAGTTATCGGAGATCTCCTGGAACCCGAGTGTTGCATGTCGACTGCCCTCGAGGTATTGGTCACGCACGCTGTCGAGGAGGGTTTTGGTGCTCATCCCTGATTCGAATTTCACGCGTAGTGGCATGTATTGGTATGTTGGGCCCATGATCTTGTCGATATCTGGTACGTCGACTGTACGGCCGGATACGACGCCGCCGAAGGTAATGTCTTGGATGGAGAGGTGTTGGGATAGGACACGGGCCCAGCTGGCTGTGAGGAGAGTTGCCATGGTTGTGTCTGGGGAGCGGGCGCTCATGTCAACTTGCTTTTTGATGAAGTTTGTCTTGGTGGACTCCGGCTCTGGAAGGGTTGTGAGTCGTGAGCCTTGGAGCATGTCGCGCCAGTAGGCGATATTGTCGGGTCTGGCGTCGTTCTGGTATTGAATGAAGGTGGAGAAGGGAGGGGAAGAGCTGATTTCCTCTCCTTGGTATTGGAGCTCTAATTGGCGAAGTATCTCTGGGAAGGAGATGCCGTCGTATTGAGCATGGGAAATGCGGATCATGAGGGCGTTCTCTTCAGCACCTTGCACTGCGAATAAGCCCAGGGAAGACATTCCGAGTTGGAAAATTGAATCGACTTCGATATCTTCCTTGGCGATGTTCTTGCAGAATTCATCCACAGGTCCATCGGTGACATGTTCGGATGCAGAGACGACCAGATGATCAAGCACAACTTGAAGCATCCGATCGGATTCACGGACAAAGACTGTTCGCAAAATGGGATGGGTTGCGATCAACGCATTGAAGGCACCAATGAGCTTTTCGGTATCAATATCCTTATTCAGATACAGCATGTTGTACTGGAGAGCACTCCGAGGAGCCGAAACAGTAGCATCGACATCACGCTCTTGGGGTTCCGTGACAGGCAAAACATCTTGGATCTTCCACTCTGTCTCGGCCAGCAATGGCTGAATATCTTGGGCACAGAATGCTTGTACATCTGCCACATTCAACAACGAGAAAGGCGTGTAAGTCTTCGATGGTCGCGTTTCATCCGTTGAGAGCTCGACCAAAGCACCAGCCATGCCGCGCAGCTGCATGTTGCGGAAAATGTCAGTCACAGATAAATGATAGCCTGCCAGACGCAAGGCAGAGACAAGTTTCATAGCCATGATTGAGTCTCCACCGAGGCGGAAGAAGTTATCGTCCAGAGCGAGCTTCTCTTCCTCCATTCGCAGAGACTTGGCCCACAGTGAACGTAAAGTCCGTTCCTTCTTATTCATGTGGACAGCATCACCTCTGCCAGGGCGCAAGTTCATGATAGCCGTTCGTAGCTGCAGTAGCAAGTCATGGCTGACGTGTTCCGCCATCAGTTTCAGAGCCTGCGCATCAAATTCGTCACCAGCGCGAGGCAAGGCTTGAACGGGAACGTAGACTGAAGGAATCATATAAGGTGGCAGCACATCAGACAACACTTTGTTCAGGCCAGCAATTGACTCAACAAGGTTTGTTGAAATGATTGTTGCCAGAGGGAGCTCGGCAGGGGCCTCAACACCTAGAGTAACAGCTCGGTCCTCCGATGGGCTCTCGCTGACAAAAGAAACCAGAACCGGTGTCTGACTATTAGAGCCTGTTGGAGTAATCAATTGCGCAGCAGCATCAGTGCCCTCGGGAAGTGACGAGCGAAGCTGAGCATCAATCGAAGTGAGATCCATAACATGGCCATCGACCTTTCGTAGACTCTCCTTTCGGCCCATGAATATCAGAGACTTGTCATCTGCATACTTGACAAGATCACCGGTTCCATAGAGCTTGCCCTGTCGACCGGGAATCTCGTCTGCACCCTTGACAAGCCACTGCGGTGGATCAAGACTGGCACCATCAACACCCTCCAGCAACAATTCACCCATTGTTCCGAGCGGCACAAGCAAACTGTGATCAGAGGGATGCACAATCCAAGGAACGAAGCTCGTGGGGTAAGTTTCCCCAACAGCGAGTCCTTTGGAAGGTTCCGGGGCTTTATCTGCAGCCTCAGATACCAAGGGCGCGTTTTTGTTCAGCTGCCAGATCTCAGCAAGCTCTGCGTCATTAACACCAGCAATATCACAAAGCTGCTTTGAATCCTGTGTACACAGCTGTGCGACCGCGTACTCCAGCTGTGCCAAGACACGACCCATCTGTGGCTCACTAATGAGCTGAGAGTCGAAACTTGCCGTAACATGGAATCCATCTGGGTGGAGAGAGCAGGCCAACATCAATGGGTATGAGTTAAAGCGAAGGGCCTCGTGGGCAGCATCCTCAACTCGGAATGGCGGGAGCTCGTCATCAGTCTGCTTCGGAGTCTCAGGTTGACGGGGTTGAATGACAAGACCCATCTTGACTTCACAGGCCAATTGGGCGTCTGCACTGACACGGCGGATATTTTGCATACCCAGGTGCTCGTGGGCGGATCTGACAAGACCGTTGTCTTGGATGGCCTGCAAGAATTCTTGGACTGGGGCAGACCGGTCGACACGGATTCTGACCGGAACAGTCGCAATCATGGGACCCTCGATTTGTTCAACACCGGGAATTGGAAGAGTGCGGCCGGCAAAGGTTTCACCAAAGACCACATCGTCACTCATAGTGTACTGGGCGGCTACCAAGGCCCAAGCCGCTCTGATCAGGGTCGCGGTGGTAATGCTGGTTCGGGTTGTGGGCTTCACGGGGATGAACCTGTCTGCCACGGCGTTCGGCTCGGGGATGTACATCCGTGAAGGGAGGGAGGGGAATTGAGGACCAGTGGCGCCTTGAAGTTGCACACGCCAATAATCCTTCGATGATTCCCTAGCAGGATCAGCCAGATAGCTGATGAAATGTTTGAACTCAGCTGGCTGTGAAGTTGGAAGACTTTTGTATGCGTTCTTCGCATGCTCGACAATAAGATCAGTTGACCAGCCATCATAAATTGCGTGGTGAACAGTCCAGACGAAGTAGATTTGGTTGAGAGTCTCGTCGTGGACGATGGTGTATCGACTCAGAGGCATGTTAACCGACATTGGGACCTTCTGGTCTTCCTCCAAGAATGATTCCAAGTCGGTGGTGCGAGATTGCCACGCCGGGGCCTCGTTGGTGACCACTTGCATGAAGCCATGGTCTGTGAACTCAACAACGCGGGTTCGAAGAATTGGACTTTCACGGATGACAGCACTCCATGCGGCTTGCAACTTCTCGGCAATTTCCACGCTGGGGATTTCGGCAACTCGCTGTGCCACGTAACTTTCAGCTGAGCGAGCCGAGAAAGCCATGAGAATCTCCTGCAAAGGAGTGCAAGGATAAATATCTTCAATTGCAGTTTTTTCCACTCCGCATTTCTCTGCGGCCTCTGTGCAAGCAGCATCAAGGTTCCAATTTGGGTCAATCAATGAGAAGCTCAGGACCTCGACCTGCGAGTCTGCTTCTTCCTTATGCATTGATTTAGCCATGTCAGTTAGAACAGGCGAGTTGAAGATATCCGCCACTGTTAAAACAAATCCTTGCTCCCGTACCGCTGGCACAAGTTTCATAGCTAGAACGGAATCACCACCGAGTATGAAGAAGTTGTGATTGGTGCTGACTTGCTCTGAAGTTAGACCAAGGAGACGACACCAGATTTCATGAAGGCAGATTTCCGCATCCGAACTCGGCTTTTGGAGATCGCCAGTTGATGGATCAGAAGAGAACAAATCCAGCTCTGACCCGAATGCACGCAGGGTCTTGCGATCTGTCTTTCCAGATACAAGCATGGGCATGCGATCAATTCCAATGTACAAAGAGGGTACCATGTAGATTGGAAGAACTTTAGACATTTCCTCATCGAGGCTCCCCATCTTCTCCTGAATGGCGCCAGAGAATTGGACTTGCTTGATGCCAGTATCTGTGTCGCCTTCCGGCTTCTCGGCATTGGGATCCGCGACGAAGGCCAGAAGCATTGATTCCTTGCTTCGGCCTTGCGGGGCGATGACCTCGACTGCAACATCTGTTCCTGATGGAAGCAATCTTCTGACATGGAATTCGATCTCGCCGAGCTCAACCCGCTGCCCACGCAATTTGACTTGCGTGTCCTTGCGGCCGACGAACACGAATCCTTGTTCACCATCCGGGTCATGGCGGACCAAATCACCGGTCTTGTACAGGCGTCCTTTACGCCCGGAGACCTCGTTGCTACCCGCCAGAAGCCATGTCGGATCCTCAATAAATGATTCAGCGGTCTTCTGAGGATCACTAAGATAACCTTGGCCAACGATGGGACCTTCGACGAGAAGTTCCCCAACACCTCCAATAGGTGTCAGTTTGTTATGATCATCTGGATCAACAAGCCAGATGATACCGCCATTGCCAGGACCAATACTGACATAAGGCTTGCCAGCGGCGCTATGGTTAATTGTGCATCCAACGGTACACTCTGATGGTCCGTACCCTATCACGATTCTAGTCAGCTTTCCCCACTCGGAGACATCGCCAACAGAACATGACTCGCCGCCAAGACCAAGGCTGTGCAGTGATGGGATAATGTCGGGATCTAGAATGCGCGCCACAGACGGCGTCATGTTCGACATGGTCACGCCCATGCGACGAATCACGCCACTCAGGTCATTCAAACGGTCTTCGTCGGATGGAATGCAGAGACATCCACCCCGTAGCATAGTGCAGAGCATGCTGTCGACGCTGACATCGAAGGCATACGATGCAAAGTCAAGCACGCGTGATACATCGGTGTATCCGACCGCGGCACTTCGTGCGATCGCACTAGTGGTGTAGGTGGTGTGGTTGATAATGACACCTTTAGGCTTGCCTGTGCTTCCCGATGTGAAAATGAGATAAAGGATAGAGTCTGTAGGAACGACCGGCAGCTCATTCTGCGGGCTAGCCTGAGCCAATGTGTCTAGCTCCTCTTGTGCCACGACCACGGTTTGCGCGCCTGGTGCGATCTTCTCACCAAACGGACCGTGTGTCTTCGAGGTCACGATCAATGTCGCATTGACTTGCTCGGCGATAGTTTGGCGTCTTTCCAAGGGCTGGCTTGGGTCCATCAGGACAATGGCGCCTCCGGCCTTGACCACACCCAAGACACCCACGATCGTCCATCGTGATTTCTCAAAACAAAGCGGGACGATCTGACCGATCTTGACTCCCAGGCTGACTAGGTGATGCGCAACCAATGTAGAATACCTCTCCACCTCCTCGTAAGAGAGATCTCCGTCCCACGAACAGATAGCTTGGGCGGCGGGGTTGCGTCGGACTTGCTCCGATATTAATTCTTGAATACAAGTGTCGGCTCGCGGGGGTAGCTCTTTATTCCACCGCCAGAGTTCCGATCGATCAACGTCGCTTAGCTGCAGAATCGTCGAAATCGGCTGAGAAAAGTCGGAGAAGGTCTTGTTGAGGATTTCAATCAGTGCGCGCGCAAAGTGTGTCGCAAGATATTCCGCGCCGAGAGGCTCTCTCCAACATGGACGAAGCCATAGACTTCCCTCGGACATTGTCGCCTGGAGTTGAATATTTCCCTACATCTGTCAGCGAAATTTCAAACCAATACACAGTGACTTTGAAGCTCACCCAGGCCATTCCACCACCAAGCGCATCGCCGTCGCTTACTCGCGCATTGCTGGACAAGTCGCGGGGCGCGCATTCATCATTAAAGAAGACAATCGCATTATCAACATCCACCAAATGACCGGCGTGAACTTCCTGGCGCGACTTCTCAATAGTCTCTAACGCGCTCGTCAAGGACATCGCGGGGCTCCACCCCGCACTTGACGAGCTGAAGTCGAAGGTGAAATCAGCACCGGTGCCATTTCTCCCCCAGGTAAACTCGACTGGATTTCCATTACTGTAGCGGTACAGCAATAGTGCCCAGGCAAGTAACAGCAGGTCGACTTCGCGACCTTGAAACTCGCTCTTTGCTAGTAAGGGCACATTGAAGCGAATGAATCTGGCCAGCTTCTTTGGTGCCTCGTTTCCCGTTGACAGAATTGCACCGGCCATGGTGGGACTGCAGAATGATGCAGGATGCAAGCTTGTCCCTGCCGATCAAGACACAGAAATGTCACGATTGATGAGATTGATAAGCACGCCGATCGGTGATTTCCACATTATTTTCAGCGTCACCCGGGACTGCCGCCTCCGTTTTCCGTTTCATCTTGGGGTCCACTCGGATATTTCCTCAGGTGGTGGGAGGTGGTGGGCATTCGCGGTAGCCGCTGAAAGGGTAGGTAATTAAAGATGTAATTACAGAGGTATTCAGTACTGGTAATAAACACAGAAGTATAATACCAAAGTTACCAAAGTTACCAAAGTTACCAAAGTTACCATCCATACCGTCCAGTATGTATCACGGGAGGGTTTAATAGCGGCCCGTCCTCCACACTGTTGCGTAGTGACTCCACCGTGTTATGGAGACTGAAAGTAAAACAAATTATCAGATTGAAGGGGAAAACACAAGATATTCGCATGGAAGTTAGGCGAACGCAGGATCAAAGTCAAATATCGCCTTCTAAGGCTGTGCGAACCGGGTTGTTCGGCTAAAGTTTTCAAGCTTCTGCATCAGGATTGGATCTGCATGCTTGGTGGTGCTTCTTTTTGCTGCCAAGGTGAGCCAAGCCAGGTATACGGAGTATATCCGGGATTCAGTGGTAATTTTCACGATCTACACCCAGCTTACCACGACAGGTTCTCCGTTTGAAACCGCCACCATACTGCAATCTCGTATGCAGCTCCGTAGCCTGCGAAATCGGCAATGGCCCACCAGAGTATTCCGGAATTTCAAGTGGGGATGGGAAATCCGACACAGCTCCGCCCCTCTCGTACTACGTATAAGTCCCTGCAGGCCACGATCTGATTAGAATTCACATTTCACCATGACTTCCCAGCCATTGACTAAGATTCGTCTGCCTCATCCTTACCTGACTACCTATAATGTCACTCCTTCCAATGCAGTAAAGGAAACCAGTTCCTTTCAATTGCGCAAAGCTGAGGGGGAAGCGAAACCTTTCCCCCAAGCTTTGCACAATGAGAACCTCTTCTTCACGGCGCCACAGCCTGTGAATCCTCAAACAGCGGTCCCAGTATCAAACAATACCGCCTGGGCCCGCGCCCAGCGAAGCCCATCGGCTATCGCGCGCTGGCAAAACAGCACCGCCCCTTCAGTGGGCCAGATCTGGCTTTATCTGTACACGATGTTCACCGTGCAGCAAGACCTAGAGACCTTCCGCCTGACACTGCAAGGTCCCAATGCCGAGGGTCTCGCACACGCGCTACGCGTGTCAATGGTCGCAACAGAGCATCCAGCTCCCGTCAGCGCCAAGATCCCCTTCACAGCTACACCAAACGAACTGCTCATTCTCCGCAGCGCGTTCTGGCAAGGCGCTGCCTCCCCACTGGGCTCTCAGCCCATCTGGCTCCCATCGTGGAACCCAGCAGCCTCAGTGCCCCTCCTGGACTGGACAATGACATCAACGGAGACATCACACAGAAGACACCCCCGTCGTCACCCTAAGCCAACACCCGGCTCTGTGGTGTACAGTCGGTACATCCCATTCTTGGACGAGCACTTCTCGCTCGTTGCCCTTGATTACAGAAACCCAGAGCATTTGAACCTCTTCCATACCTGGCAGAACGATCCTCGCGTTGCTGCCGGATGGAAAGAAACCGGAACCCTCGACGAGCACCGCGAGTACCTACGTCGACAAGACGAGGACCCGCACACGCTGACTGTGCTGGGTCGATTCAACGATGAGTTCTTCTCTTACTACGAGATCTTCTGGGCCAAGGAGGATAATGTGGGTGCGCATTATTCCTCAGGCAACTTCGACCGCGGGCGTCATACACTCGTCGGTAATGATAAGTTCCGTGGTCCTCATCGTGTCATGGCTTGGTGGCCCAGCATGATTCACTATTGCTTCCTTGATGACTGCCGCACGGAGGATGTCATCGGTGAACCTATGAGCACCAACGATAAGGTGCTGACTTATGATTACACATTTGGTCTGCATCAAGATCAGGTCATTGATCTCCCTCATAAGCGGGCTAGCTTGGTCAAGGTTACTCGTGAGAGATACTTCCAATTGTGTCCTTTCAACCAGGTCAGCCCGCATATTGCAGGTACAGGCCTTGGCTTCAAGCCACGTTTGTAAATGAGATATGTTTCATGTACAGAAAATTGATTGTTTCCTGGCTCTTCAGTTCTATTTTCTTCGTCTGTTTTAGATATACTAAATTCAAAATATGAGCACTTGGAATGAATGGCCTGAAGTGTAGCTTTTCCAAGGACTCAACCTACGAAAGAGTCCAGCAAGTGAAACTGATTAAGCTTGAAGTTATGAATTCCGGAGTTTCTTGGGATTGTAGAAAATAAGAGGTGACTCATTAAATGGAATATTATTACACTGAAATCATATTGTACACATGTTATAAAAAGACAATCTAAATCACTCCCCCCCAAAGCTCTGACTGAGCACATTAGTCCGATAACTCTCAGAGCGCTTAAACAACTCCTGATGCGTTCCCGCATCAACACACAAACCCGCCTCGATCAAATAAATCGTATCCGCCTTCCGGATAGTATTTAACCTATGCGCAATCGCCAAAACACTGATGCCCTTCGACGCAACCTCCAAACCTTGCTGCAACAACTTCTCCGACTCCGCATCAAGCGCACTAGTCGGCTCGTCAAGTACCAGCAATCGAGGTTTCCGCACAAGTGCCCGGGCAATAGCCAGTCGCTGCTTCTGCCCACCAGACAATTTGCTGCCGTTTGCACCACACATCGTGTCATAGCCTGATGGCAGGTTGATGATTGTTTCGTGAATGTTGGCCAGTTTGCAGGCTTCTTCGATCTCGGCGTCAGATACTTCTGTTCCGGGGCGAGCGCCTAGAGATACGTTGAAGCGGACGCTGCCTTCGAATAGAACGCCTTCTTGGGGTACTAGGGCGATGTGGTCGCGGAAGGAGATGTCTTCCCGTTTTGTGATGTCTGTTCCGTCGACGAGGATCTCGCCTGAGGTTGGTAGATACATTCGTTCAACGAGGGAGATGATGGTCGATTTACCAGCCCCGGAAGGTCCGACCAGGGCACAGAACTGACCTGGGCGAACATGGACGTTCAGACCGCGGAGTACTGGGATGTGAGCGCGTGCTGGGTAGGAGAATTTGACGTCGCGGAACTCGACGTCAAGTCCACCTTCCGTGTTCGGCGCGATGGACTTTGTTGGCGCAGTGCCTTCAAGGTCCTTTTCGTTTGAAGTCTCAAGAGCTGTATACTTGGAGCCTGCGGATCCGAGTTCGAGGATTGCAAGGACCCGAGCCACGGCGGCGCGAGCGTTCGATACTTCTGGAGCCAGTGCGAACATTTGACTCCACAGCTGTGCACTGACAAGCAAGGCAAACATGACGATGATGAATTGGGTCTCGCTGTAGGTGCCGTTGAAAATCTGCTTTGATCCCCACCAGAATGCAAGGGCGTACGAGAGGTTACCCAAGAAGTAAGCAAGACCCAGCCAGAGATTGGCGTGCAGACTAACCATAGTAGTCTCTCGGCGTGGGCCGTTCAGCGTACGTCTGAACGCAGCCAATGTCTCTTCTTCCAGAGACAATGAGGCGATGGTCTTGATGGAGTTGATCGCCTCAACGCTAATACTCACGGACTGGTTGAATGCGTTCTCATGCCGCTCTTCAAATTGACCCAGGACGTGCAATTGAACGACACCAGTACCGAGTAGTAGCGGTACAACAGCAATGCACACTAAGGCTATCTTCCATGCGATGCACAGGGACAAAACCACAGCCACGACAAGATTGATACAGATCGAGAATATGGTTCCAATGACCGATCCGCTGAGTCCAGCAATCAAATTACCATCGTTGGTAATATAACCCAGAAGGCCTGTTGGATTGCGACCGGCGGATTGGTGCCATTGCAGGTCTTGCTCGAATAGAGATCGGAAGAGAAGCACGCGGACGTTATAGATGGATTTCTCAGACACCCATCCGAATCCAACCCAACTGACAATATTGGCGAAGAATTCAATAATTGCCAGAATAAAGAACATCAGACCAAAGAAGTTACCACGTGAGCGGATATATTCAGATGTTTCACAGGGTGTCAGGCTACCGACGGTATTACCGAAGATCACGGCTTCAGCAGAGAAGGCAGCGCCAACGATGCTAGCACCGACTAGGGCAATGAGGGCAATGAGCAGATAAGGACGCATGATCGGGAGCATTCCTTTGGTCAAATACCAAAGAGTCTTCTTGGCTGGGACTTCCGAGGAAGAGTCTGAGGGTTTCTCAGTGGTATCGATGACAATCTCCTTGCTCTTGATAACCTCAGGAACATTTGAACTCTCAATACCTTGCTCGCCATCAGTGATATCGGTTGAATCGCTTTCAGCATTTTGATCAGGTGGGTTGGAGTCGGTGTTGAGATTCTGGAGTTCGACAAGAGCAGCGTAAGCCCCTTGTTTGGCCATGAGCTCGGAATGATTGCCCTCTTCAACAACGCCTCCGTCGCGCATGACGATAACCTTGTCGGCCTTCTTGATTGTCGAAAGTCGATGGGCAATTGAAATCATAGTCCTCCCTTCCGAGCATCGTCCGACCGCTTCAAGAATCTCCTTCTCACTTCTCGAATCGAGAGACGCTGTAGCTTCGTCAAGGATCAACACCTTGGGGTCTTTGACAAGCGCACGCGCAACTGCAATTCGCTGCTTCTGACCCCCACTGAGCAAAGTGCCATTGGAGCCAACCATAGTTCCAAGGCCCTCGGAAAGCTGGCCGATGAACCGCGCAGCGTCCGCCAATTCAGCCGCGTGTTGGACCATTTCAATGATCTTCAGAACATCCGCACCATAGGCCTCAGCTGCCTTTACTTCATTCTGTCCCTCTCGGATTGCGCGAGCCACTTCACCGAGTTGTCCACCGATCAGTACCGAGTGAAGAGCTTCGTGCTCAGGGGATGCTGAATTGACAAGGCCATGGGCGATATTTTCCAAAATTGACCGATCGAGGAGTGTCGCTTCCTGTTGAACCATTCCAATACAACTGCGAAGCTGTCGGGTATTGAGATCGCGCACATCTTGACCATCCAATAGAACTGATCCCTCAATAGGATCATACAGTCTCAGCATCAAGCTAGCCACGGTGGATTTGCCACTTCCTGACAGTCCAATGATAGCAGTCTGTTTTCCTGCGGGGCATTCTAGAGAGACATTGCCGAGAACTTGTTGTTCTGGGCGGGAAGGGTATGTGAAGGAGACATTTCGCAGCTCAAAGTGCCCAGCCATAGAAGATGGCAAAGCTAGTCCTGTGTCAGACATTCCATTGATTGCGGATTGATGGTTCATGTCCCTTTGCAGTTTCGTGAAAGCAGCTGATGCAGCGCCAAAGATCTGCAAAAACGGAGCAACCTGACTCAAGACAAGGGTTGCTATTGAGTGTCAGCTAGTGATCCACAATACAGTCTTATAGTGTAGATACTCACCATCTACCAGGACGAAAATCACAGTGAAAATCGATCCCACAGATGCACCACCACCGCCACTCGCGACAGAGTTCGCAATGGTTCGGCTACCCTGCCAGAATGCGAGAGCATTCGCGGCATATGCAATGAAGTACATGAAGCCGGCCTGAACACCGGTAGCCAGAGCTTTCTTCAGACCCTCACTGCGCGCCATGCGCAAATGGCCTTCGAATTTTTCTTCCAAGCGTTGGTTGGCATTGAAGGCATGCACAACAGACACATTCGACAATCCTTCCGAGGCAACGGATGAAGCAGCAGCAAAACAATCCGACATGGTACCGGAATACTTCTCAATAAACCAGCCTCCAACAAGCGACATCAGGAAGTATGCCGGAACAAGCGAAACCAAAATCCCCGCCAACTTGGAATCTTTAATGAAAGCAACCACATAAGATGTCACAAAGAACGAAACACTCGAGATGCAAATTCCGACTTTCTCTGAAGTTCCAGAACGAATAGTGGAAATATCACCATTCAACCTTGAAGAAACCTCCCCAGAAGGCAAATCGTCAAAGAAAGAAGGTTCCTGGCGCAACATACTGCGGAAGTACTGTTCGCGCAGTCGTTGCGCTAGTCGCGCACCCCCCAGGGACCAACATACAAGTTGGATGTACATGAACCCAAACTGGGCGATGGCGAGATAGAGGACATAGAGAATTTTGCTGTTGACTTCAGACTGGTATGAAGCTTGAATTTCAGGGCTGTAGTCTGCTTTGGCGGTACAGCTTTCAGAGTTGAAATCATCGATCAGTTGACCGAAGATGATACCCAATAGGGGGAAGGGGACTCCGGATGCAATGGCGAAAATGAGTCCGGTGATGAGTAGTAGGATGTCGAATTTGGTTGGATTGACTTGGACATAGATTGCGAAGTATCCAAAGACTTTCTTGAGCTGTTCATATGTTATATTTAGCTTTAGATTTGGAAGGGAGGTCTAACGTGGCGTACCTTATTGACGAAGCTCGTTTTGGGGGGTGAGTCTTCAGCCATGCTGTCATATGTCTTGCAGCAAGGCCCTTCCCCAATCCAGTATGGCTGTATTGAGGTGTAGTTGTCTTGGAGCACTTTGCTGGTCTAACACAAGCTAACAGCTTTTGTTTAAACGGTTCAAGTCTCCGATACCGGGTTTTCCGCGTCACGGGAGAAATAAATCTGATAAGATCGGATGATTGATGAGTTTTTGTTCCGAAGAGCAGCACTGCCAAGCACGAGTATGGCAGTGCTCAAGTGGGTATTCGACAAAACTATTGAACATATTACGAGTACTCGTAGTATGGGTAATTTATACTGTAAAGAGTGTATCGGCTGTAATTAGATATACGGTTCTATATTGTCGATCATCTCTAAGCCTCCGCGAGGCCCCACAGGCCTCGTAAGTCTGGGCGAGGCTTGCTTCAAACAAGGCGATTCGATGCTTGGCAGGGCTCCTATCGTTGACATCACCGTATGAATAAAAGGCTACGACCAGGTTGCATTCAAAGAGCATTTTATTCAACTTGAATGTATTATAAGTACCTTGGGTAGCTGCACGAGTTTTCGCAGTGGAACGAGACCCCTGGAAAACCCGAGGAAGCAACCCGCTTTGAACTCAAAATTAGAAAATTATCAGATCAAGCCTTTGCGTCTTTTTGTCGTTTACAGCGGGATAGCAGTGGGTTCTTCTTGGGCACGTTTGATTAGCACCGCCGATCCAATTGCCTATCACTTCCAAGTACACCCGTACAGATACCCGTATGAGCGTGCAGGTATTTTCCAGTCCCCGAATATGTATCATACACAATGCGAGTAAACTCCGGAATTAGAGTCTTTACGGATCCTCTCCAGGCACCGGAGCGAGGACGGAGTACGGAGGAGTCCGTAACTGCAGGTACTACCTATGGTTAGTCAGGAATATCTAGATAGCTCCTCCCAATTCAGAACACCTCTCAACTCAAACACCAAAACTGCATCATGCCTGAATTTAAGCGTCAACCACCACCCCAAACCTATGGGGTGGTCTCATTCCCAGCACCACATGTGATGCTAGTAACATTCAACCGACCCAAAGCCCTCAACTCCATGACCAGCAGCGGACAATACGAGCTCGAATCTCTATTCGCATGGTACGACAACGAGCCCACACTGCGATGCGCAATCGTCACAGGCGCAGGGCGCGCCTTCTGCGCAGGCATGGATCTAAAAGAATGGAACGCCTCGAATGCCCGGCGTGCACGCGGTGAGCTCGAGCCCCCCATGATGCCGCGGTCAGGGTTCGGTGCATTATCGCGACGACACGGCAAAAAGCCCGTTATCGCAGCTGTGAATGGGCTGGCGTTTGGTGGGGGGATGGAAATTGTTGCGAATTTGGATTTGGTTGTTGCGGCGCGTGGGGCGAAGTTTGCGCTTCCTGAGGCCAAGAGGGGTGTTGTTGCTATGGCTGGTTCGTTGCCTAGGTTGGCGAGGACTATTGGACGGCCTCGTGCGACGGAATTGGCGCTTACGGGGAGGAGTATTACGGCTGATGAGGCTAGGGAGTGGGGGCTTATCAATGCTGTTACTGATGATGCTGTTGGGGATGTGGAGGTTTTGGAAAGGCCTGTTGTTAAGGCTGCCTTGGAATTGGCTGCTAGTATCGTGGATAATAGTCCCGATAGTGTGATTATCAGTCGGGCTGGAATTGTTGCTGGGTATGAGGATGGCAGTTCAGAAAATGCCAGCCGGCTGCTTAGTGAAAATTGGGGGTCTGCACTTGATGATGGTGAGAATTTGCATGAGGGTGTGCTTGCATTCGCTGAGAAGCGGTCACCGAGATGGGTTGACAGCAAGCTGTGATTAATTAACATGTATGTACTACTCCCTACGCATAATTGATACCGGATATTGAATGAGTATATTCGTAACTTTGGCATCCACAAGAGTAAGCTTGCATGCACGTTGACCTGCAGGTCCCAAATCTGACTCAAATTTAGGACATGCGACCCCTGCGTGGAATTTTGCAGCTCAAAGTATCCTGCTGAAATTATTCATACTGCTTTCAGTCCTCCCGTGAACCATACTCGTACCACATTTAGAACATTTGAGCATTGGCCACTTCAACGACACTGGGTTTCAAATTTTATCAGATCCGCAGAATGTGGGAATGAGAGTATATTACGAGCACGTTCACGCCGGTGACGCCTTTTTCCAGCGGGTGAGCCTACGGTGTCTTCGTACTCGTAATCCCGTCAGCTCCACTATGGAGGGTCCAATATGATATCTTCAATTACTTTCCAACACACCGATCGTCGAAGATCGGCGGCTGATTCAGCGGGATTGGTGTCCAGAAACCCCGAGAGAACATTCCAACGTTCTTCCACGATCCCTGAGTATGTCTCGATGAACTTGCTTGGCTTTTCAAATCAGACTATACTATTTTGTGCATCAACATATCATGATAGCTCCCTAGGAATAGCCTTGCCTTGCCAGAGTCGACAGTTCAAGTAACCTTAAGATTATTTAGCGTCCACACCTAAACAAACTTTGAAAAGCCCCACATGCACGGGCGTGGAACGCGGCGTGACAGAATGCTTCGTATCAAGTAATACCAATACCACATTCTTGTGTTACGGTAAATACCATATACGAGTATGTACATACTCCGTACAACCTGGAATATTATTCCGGATAGTAACGCATACGAATTCCACCTTGCTTGCTCCGTACTCGTACGAGTATACAAAGAAATGAGGATGCTCTACGAGTACTCCGTACAGAGTCATGGCTTAGCCGACTCTGTCCCGTGCTTTCGAAATAGGTAAAGGGGTGTGCAGTACAGTGGATATACCCCAGTAAACGCCGGGCACTTACTTACATACTGTTGTCATGTTGGATAATTGTATCTCCCTAAAAGAGCAGTAACAGCATGTTGTTCTTCTTCATGACTCTTTGCTTTGTCGTTCTTTTGTCTTTGATGGCCTTGTATAAGTTCTGTTAGTTGCCTTCGCTTACGCGCCGTAGATATCTCCCGTTGCCTTTGATACTCCACGGACCAACTACTTAAGTAGTAATCTTCCTCGCATCCTGTTGAATTTATCGGAGTCTTCATACAGAGCTGTTTTCAATCTGTTCCATATTGCTCGTTCGTCTTGTTTTGCACTGTTGATTATACCATGCTTATCAAAGACATATCAGAAAAAAGGTAACGGCGGTCTTGGCCCAGAGCATTGCTGAACCAGACGAACTTGGAACCTCCTACACCGTACTTCGTACTTCATCCTTCCTTCCACTTTACGCACGCCGACCACCCAGATGCTCTAGTACCCAGGGCGGGCTTCACGAGTTGCCAATGCAGATTGGCGTGCGGTGAAAGCCGCCTTCTTACATGCGTTCTCATTTAACGGCCTCGTCATCGACGAGTACACCTACGCAGGGAAAGAGGGCCAAGCCACCCTGCTAGGATTGAAAGCGCGCTCGAAGTGGATACTTTCAGGAACACCATTGCTCTCAGGTTCCTACGGAGGGAGAAGAAGCGGACGGGAAAGTTCTCGATTCGGGACTCTGGGGAGAGAGAGAAAAAAAGAAGTGAGATCTAGGGCCGCGAGCTCTCTGCAGGACTGGGGCAAATCAGCCCACACCAACTGCTCAACGAGTTTGCGGACATCAAAAGCAGGAGTATCAACACCTCACGCTTGAACAATCAGCCGTTGCTTTTTGGCGAAACCATCAGCCTCGGCTGTGACTAATCAACTCTATCCCGGTTCACGGATCATACAGCGAGCGAGCGTAGGTACAAAGTACATATTGATAGACTCATCTTTTTACTCCGTACTGACTTCCGATTTACCAGCGCAGCCAAAGTACCTTCACTGAGTGCGGGGTTGAAAACCAAGTAACTACCAACTCAAACCGCAAGATGTCCACCACCAACCCACCCAAGATTCTCTTCTTCGACACCTTCGGCACAGTCGTCGAGTGGCGTACATGTGTCACAAAAGAACTGAGCACAGCCGCCTTGCATGCCGCCCAGAACAAGGATCTCCCAGCCGAGCTGCAGGCCCGGGTTACAGCAACAACGTTTCACGACTGGCTAGCGATTGCCGAACAGTGGCGTCGATCATACAGCGTCTTTACTTCTACAAGTACATTCGACTCATCATCTGAGTTCGTATCCGTTGATCAGCATCATTTCCGCGCCATCACGGACCTCCTCCAGAAACACGGGCTGGGGGACCTGTTTACGGATGAAGAGCGATGGGAACTTTCTCTCAGTTGGCATCGTCTTAGTCCGTGGCCGGATAGTGTACGGGGACTTGCGATGCTCAATGAGCGATTTGAGACGTCGACGCTGTCCAATGGGAATCACGACCTGTTGCGGGATCTGAAGAGTTATGGTTCTTTGCCGTTTGCGCATTTGACCAGCGCCGAGGATTTCAGTGCTTATAAACCTTCGCCGTTGGTTTATAAGGGTGCGGCAAAGAAGTATGGCTTCGACCCTAGTCAATGTGCGATGGTTGCGGCTCATTTGAAGGACTTGAAGGGGGCCAAGGACTGCGGGTTTCAGACTATCTTTGTTGAGCGTTATTTGGAAGAGGCTTGGTCTCCGATTGATGTTGCCAAGGCAAAGGAGGAAGGATGGGTTGATATGTGGATTGATGCTGACTCGGGTGGTTTCGTGGAAGTTGCCAAACGATTTGGGATTGAGAAGGGGCACCCCAAGTTGTGAGAGTTGGTCTGGCACTCAAATTGATGCTCCTTCATAGCGAAATGCACACAATTTTACTCCGTACGTGATCCGAACCATGGGCGGCCTTCTGAGTCTTCAATACAAGAGTCACCCATCACCTTCTAGCCCGTAGGTACTTCATATCCTGGACTCCGATGTGTTATTCCAAAGACATTCTCGCTGGATCTTTCAGGGATACTTCGTGCCTCAAGTGAATATTCACAATCTCTGTGGCGATGTCTCAATTCAGCTTCAACTGGCGGAACAGGACACAACCCCGCAATGCTTCGATTGGCCGCCAAGCACAAAGCACTTCGTATAATTTTCTAAATATTTTAGTTTAGGTATTCTGTATGATCCGGCGAAAAGAGAAAATGCAGTGGGAAAAGAAAGCGCTTAACTGAACAATGTCCGAATGTTGTGCATTCCAAACGTTCAAAATGTTGGTTCCTCAGGAATCCACTCTCTCCCTCTCCCTCTTTCATCCAACCCGTTTGCTTTCTCTTCAGTTATGATTCCACCACTGATTTCTGCTCACTCAAGAATCACAGACACGCGAACCCTCCGTACTCCGAACCAACCGTCGTGAGGCGCGAGACTAGGCCCGCCACTAGTGCTGTCAGACCAAAAAGAAGAGAAACGGAAATGCCGCCACATTCGGACCTGTCAACGGACACAAGTACGAGCACTATGGATGGAGGAATCGGATTCGTCGTACAGTAACCCCCTGAGGGGTGGGGCCCGGCAATGGTTCGCGGAGACTGTTACTCCTTCGCGTGTCCCCCGTTAGCCCAATTTCCAATTGGACTGCAAACACGATAATTGAGCATTATTGCCAATCATTTCCCTGCAGCTGCCTTGCAGGTTATCCTTCCGATATACGACCGAGTCTGACAGACCGGCACAAAGGCACGGAGTACGGAGTACGCCGTACGAGTACAGTCGACGCGACTTCACACCAAAACAATGAGAGTTTGGTTCTCATTTCCGCCGAAGTGGGTGCGTGTTCGGGAAAAGCTCTCGGTGGAGAACTCGGATGGATCTCGCGAAGCTCCCCCCCTAATGCCCCTCCAGAATCCCACGACGTGAAATGTCTGGCATCACAAAGAGGCGCGCCGAGGAGGCGTTGCGCAAATAAGCACCTCACTGCTGCATCTGCAATTCTGAAACACAGACCACTGGCTCCCATGCAGCGAGATTGTCTGATCGCCCCGACGCGGTACGGAGTTACTACAGGCCAATGCCAACACAAGGGTTATTTTAATTCAATTCTCAAACACGCTAACCGATCCCCCAATTTATGACCTTGCTCACTGTCTCCCAGAGTGGACTTTTTTGTTCATTTTCATTGGCCCTGGCGCAGTCCGTTGTACTGCAACTGTCGTCCATTTGTTGCAGCTGCCAGCCTTCCTCCACAGGTGTACTTGACACAAGAATAGGGGGATCCTCCTTGCACAGCGTCACCCGTTCCGCGTAGTGGAACCCTGAGCATCCACGAACACCTTAAGGTCTAAGGATCTCGAGTCTGTTTCCTCTTATAGGCATTTCGCCTGGACGCGACACGATCAATAGCTCAATTTTGGAAATTACGTCGGCTCCAATTTAATTTATTTTAACCTTTGGGGGGTTTTTTGTTCAGAACGTGCCTGTTATCTCCACTCTCCACTGTCAATGGTCGCTCAATCGCCCTGCACGGCGTATTTTGTACTCGATACTCTGCACAGAGCACTTGGTACGAGTAAACTCGATCTGGCGAACAGACCATTTCCTCTTACACCCTTCGTTGGCCCTTTGAGACACGATCTGTCCATCAAATCACCGTGATTTCATCCTGGCAGCTATAGTGGATCCATCTTGGCTAATTGGGTGGGTTTTTGCTTCCCCATGCCCCTAACGAACACCCCTGACGCCTTTTTTTTGATGTGCAAAGGTCCTTCGAATCTCCTCGCATCCGGCGCACTTCCGATATGCGTGCCGCAAGGCTAATCTAATTCTCGAGGTCATCCTCGTCGTGTCAGATCTAGAACCTGCGATCGTCGCATCTTGGATAGATCTATCTTCTCCCGCTCCCTCTCTCGCCATCTGACTCGCCTCTCACACTCAATGTAAGCAGAATTAGCCTTCGTGCATATCCAAACCTCGGCATTGGGCCCTGAGCTACCACGTTGTATCGGTGGCTGACTTCTTTTCGTTCCACAAAGTTCCACCGGGTCTCAACGCTGCATACTCCCTTTTTCGCTGTCCCCATTCCCGAGACAATCATATTAGCGCCAACGGTGATCGGATGGTCGAACGTCTACTAACGGCCGGTGCGTGACGTGCTCTGGTTAGCACAAGAAGCCGCAAAGCCTGCGTGCTTTGAGGCGTGTACATGCGATATGGCCGACCTACACTCTCCGGCCACGGCGCCGTCGAAACACTCGAGACAATCAACAGAATTCAAGTCACATACCCCAAAAACTCGATCACGATCAAGGCCTTCCCGTCGACGGGACTCGTCGTCTGTCCCCTCGTCACCGCCTGGTCTCCCAACCCCCGCATTCTCCCCTGAAGGCCAGACGGACGGGCAGACGGACGATGACGACCTCGTCGAAGATACGCTATCGCCTTTTGATCCACGGAGGATCACACCCACGCTCCATGCCTCGCTGGTATCGGAAATTCTGTCGTTGCGACGCGAGATCGAAAATAAAACCAAGGCTATCGATGGACTAGAAGAGAGCTTGGATCAGTCAAGGACGGAGACAGAAACACTGTCCGCGAGTTTCACACAGGTTACTCGGGAAGGGCGGTCCTTAAAACACCAAATCCAACTACTGGAAGGTGGGGCATCATCTGCGATGAACGAGTTGGTTCGGGAGCGCGATGAAGCAGTCGAAAACATCGGTGAAGTCCGCAAGAAGCTTGACCAAGCGCAGAAGAAAACGCGCAGTCGAGATGAGGAACTCGAGCGCATTCAGGAGATGTGGAATCGAGACCAAGACTCCTGGGCCGATGAGCGACGTGCCTTGGAACGAAAAGTCCATATAGTAGAGGGTCGCTTGAAGACTGTCTTGGGTGAGTTCGCGGCCGCCCAGGAAGTCGCGACTATGAATTCGAATTCCCAGCGAAGCGAGAACTGGGATGGCGATAAGACCAAGGAAAGTGACTCTGCGAGCATCGCGTCCAGTAGCTTTGGCCGCCGGCGCACGAGTGTGACTACTGTCAGCTCGGACGACGGGGAATTAACATCCGGGTTCCATAATGTGCGATACTCTGTTATGAGTGTGGCTCCTGGAGCCAACAGCTCGGGGTTGAATCTGGCGGAGGAGCTCGACTTCGATGAGGAGGATGAGTTTGTTCCATCTGATGATGAGACCCCCGCATCTCCAGAGGCTCTCCCTGAGGAGCGCCCGATGTCTGTTCACTCCCAGGCATCGCATAGCGTCTCAATCAAAGCCAGGAAACTTCTTGGTCTGTCTATGCAGAGCGTGAACTCCCCCGTCGCTTCAGAGTTCCGTGTCCGGGATATCGATCCAGACAGCCCAACGAAGGAGACCAAGGTGGATGCGAGCTACTGTGATATTGGTATCCAGTACTCGCCCCCTCCATCTCCTAGGATCGCGCCCGTGACATTGGAGAAAGAGGAATTCAGACCTTTGGACGGCCCGGAGCCGACCAAGCAAGACGAGAGAATTGTACTTGAGACGAAAGATGCTACAACGCTAACGATTGCAACTGAAATGGTTTCGTCTGCATGCCAGACTGTCGGTGAACTCCCAAGTCCCCCCTGGACGCCCAAGGTGGAAGATTCCCCCCCTCCAGTTGAACTCCCACAACCGACGCAAATGACATCGGTATCTACACAGACGGATGTAGAACCTGAAGTCATGCAAAACGAGAAGCGCACCAGCTTGTCGCCGAACGATGTCCCACCCCAGATGGACATTCCAGTAATCACGATTCACGCACCTGGCTCAGAGCCATCTTCGCCCCGCAACAGCGTTGTACTACCACCCCAAACCAAGAATGTCGGGTGCCAGGTCAACTTCAGAGCGATTGCAGATTGCCAATCTGTCGCTATTCAAACGGAGGAGATTCGTATTGATCAACGGCCCGTGAAACTGCCCGCCAGCTTGCTTCCTTCCGCTATTCAGGATACACTCCCCCGCCCCGGATCTCAAGAGTCCACTCTCGAGTCCTATGCCGCACCGCCTGTCCCACCGCGTTCCGAAAAGCGAAAGCAGAGACGTGCAGCAACCGATCCTGTGAACCAGCCCAGTGAACCAAGCCTGGGTCATGTGCAGGCCTACCCAGGCAACAACGACAATGGCCCCTTGACAGATGGTGCATTGTCCAATATTCGGCGACCCCTGCGATCTAGCAGTCTTTTCGCTGGTTTCGAGCATAACAGCGATGATGAAGATCCCCACGGAGACCGCGATGTCTTCACTGATGACGAGCTTCTCAATCGGCCATTTGCTTCTTACACCGTCAGTCGTGGCAAGCTAGTGAATGCCAAGTCAAGACCCAGCCTAGACAGCATTCCCCTTCCCGAAATCGACGAGCAACTCTCGAGTCCCGACTCAATGCCACCCGTCATCGGCCGCTCTCGGCCATCTCAGAGATCCAGCACGGCCTCCTCGAGCATCCGTCAACCTGGCATGCGCAAGATGGCCATGATCTCTAGTGGAGCAGCCGCACATCAAAGGACCTTCGCTCGGACTTCGAGCGAACCTAGTCTGGACAGCGGCAGTGCAGGCTCGAGCATTGCGCCGCCATTCCCTGTTCCAATGCGACTGAGCTCTCGCAAGGTCCCGCTCAGCGGCAGCGAAGGCCCTCCAAGCCCGACGCGCGCAGGTGGTAGGAAGTTCTCGGATACGAGCGGACAATCGCTAGTGAGACGACCAACTCTCCGTCGCGTGCGATCTGCTGCAGCCATGTCCCAGTCTGAGCTCACCGAGCGACCTGAGACGCAGTCTTCACCATCACGATCGATTTCAACCTTCTCGCCGGGGTCACCCACATACCGACCGTATCGGCCACCGCCATTGCCGTTCGATGATATCACGGCACCGGGTGAGCGGCGGGTATCTCATAAACGCGCCTCGCACCGCGCGACCCCGTCTTATAGAAGCCAAAATCAGCGTGAACGCCAAGACTCCATTGGTGGTGTGCAGCCAACCAGTGTTGTTGATGCGATTGCGCAAACGATGGTGGGCGAGTGGATGTTCAAATACGTTCGTCGGCGCAAGTCCTTCGGAATGGGCGAGTCGAAGGATAACTGGGAAGGCAAGAACCCGGACGAGGTCTCCGCAAATATCACCAACAGCGGCGTGCGCCACAAACGGTGGGTGTGGCTGGCTCCATATGAAGGCTCCATTATGTGGAGTAGCAAACAGCCCACCAGCGGTCCAGCACTACTGGGCAAGAGTGGTCGAAAGTGTAAGATACACTTATCCCAGCCAAGAAGCCATCTGACTAACATGAATAGTCACTATACAATCCGTGCTCGACGTCAAAGATGACAATCCTCTACCCAAGGGCACCTCCCCAGCCCCATTCAACCGCTCCATCCTCGTTCTCACTCCGCAACGCGCCCTGAAATTCACCGCCCTATCAATCGAGCGCCACTACGTCTGGCTAACGGCCCTCTCCTTCCTAAGCCACTCGGCAATGGGCCTGCACGATCTCGCAGCCCTCCCCCCAATCCCAACCGAAGAGCCAGCCCAATCAAACAGCACACTACGCCGGAATCCAATCCGTGATTCCATCCGCGTCGCCAAAGGCCGACCCCGACCCCTCCCAGGCAAAAGATTCGCCAGCGCAGGACCCCCCTCCGTCCCCGAACTACCAAAAGAAAGCCTCGAGCTGGCCGCCGACCCACCCAACGTGCCCCGCTTCTCCCACAACCGCAAACGAAGCAACACAGCACCCCGTCCAGCCCTCCACGCCCTCCGCAGCTTCTCCAGCCAAGGCACCATCCCCTCCTCCCACAGCGGCACCATCTCCCCAGAACTCCATTTCCCAGCCATGGCCCCAATCCCCAGCATAAGTCGCCGGAGCAGTGTCCGACGTCCCTCAGAGGCCTCCGGCGCCCCCAGCGTCAGCAGTAACATGTTCGACATGGGCACCATGCGCATGGAAGCTTTCATCGACCACCACGCCGAACAAATGAATCGGCCCCGTCCCGCCCCGCGCGAGCGACACATCCGCAAAACCTCCAGCCAGTGGAGTGAGCGGAGGTACGAGTTCGATACGCCCTCCGTAGTCGATAGTGAAATATCCTACCGACCAGGCTCCGATCCCTTCCGCGGCTTCTAATTTGTCTTCCTTTATTTGTTGATACCACTTTGATTTTTTTGCATTCAGGCGGGAGGGGCGTCTTTTAGCGATTTTAATCTGTTAATAACATAGCTAGAACATAGCTGACCACATATTTCATTTGAACCTCACGGGTATCACATTACTACTCTTATATTCCAAGGTTCCTTATAATTCCATATATGCAAATCACAACTTCGCAGCATCCTTCACTTCCCCAACCTTCAGCTTGGGAGTGTACTTCTTCAACACGCCTTCATTGTGGTACTGTCGGGTCATTAGTTACCGAAGCGGGAATCTCAAATGCCGACTCTCGGCCGAATGTCCGAAGGAAATGTCTCACCTTCCAGAATTGCTTGGATGCGTCCTTTCCTGCTACGCGCTTCAGGATCTTTGCACCGCCGGGGTGTTCGTCGATGAAGTTGGTTACGTCGAAGACGTTGCTGTCGACGATGATGTAGAGGCCTTTGTCGGGGGTGTTGTGGGTGGCCACGTCGGCGGGGGTGAATGTTTGGGACATAATGTAGGTCTGGAGTTGGAGATAGAAGGAGAGGGTAGAGTTGAGGAGAGGAGAGGATAGAGGAGAAGAAGAGAGGAGAGGAAAGATGGGGAAAACAAGACTGACGTCGAATTCCGGGGGAAGCGGAGATCCCGAGGTTCATTTTGGCCGCGGTTGGTTTTAGGTGGGCGCTGATTGGTTGGATTTGTACTTGTGATTTTGTTCTTTATTACTGTACATGCAGCTGGACTATATGTCCTTTCAGAAAAGCCCGTCAAAGGATTGTCTATGTTTTATATCAATCCTTGATTATCGATCTACTAAAACAAATTCGTTAAAAGTCATAGTAACAATTGTCACAACTCTTAGATGTCTTGTTTAGCATAGTGACACTGTTGATTTCATACTACCTAACAGTATAACAGTATGAAAATCCTCCTCGGTCATGGGGTCGGCGTCGATAGTAAGACACCAATCTTCAAAAACACCCGAACCCGCCGCGTAATGGAAAAATCCAAGCACATTCCACGTAGCATCCCACGTCGCAGAGCCGCAAATTCCATCAGGAAGATCTCTCGCACTACCTGAGACAATACAACCTTGTCTCAGGGTAGTGCCATCGCGTGCGAAGCCATTTCTGCTCAGGCCCGTGGCAGAAGACCGGTAAAAGGGTTGTCCATGTAGATTTCATCGCCAATCTTTGGTCGTTGATCCACTGATGCGACTGGAGAAATCCATGGTTTTCCTCTCTTCCACGGTGTTCCTCGTCAGATCCTTCGTGAATTTTCATCTAACAATTGTGGATAGAGTCAATCTCTTCGAATTTCGCGTCTTTCGTTAAGTTCTCGCTTGACTAAACCGTGTTATCCGCGATCGCGCCAGCCTGGCCGCCGATCGAAACCACTTTTTGTACGAGAGGTGCGGAGGTATCGTCTTCCAGGAGCACCTGCCACAACTCGTCCTTGAAGAAATCGAGATCTGCAATGTTGGCAGTATTGCGCATGGCAGACAAGGTTTCATTCAAGGTGTGCAGATCAATAGGGATGGAAGGTACCAGAATCCCTGACAGTCGTGGGCGTTTTGGCCTTGGTTCCGGGCCTTGGTGGACTCCGAGTTCTTATGGCCGACCAAATCCCAGCCGGGCAAGTTGTATCCGTTGAGGTTCTCTGTTAAAAGTCCCTTGCCAGTGTCTCGGATATCATGTTCCCAGTGCCAATGGCGCTTGATTTGGACATTTGCGGTGAACGAATTATCCAATAAATCTCGTCAGCAATCCTGGGTCGTCGACCCAACGAAGCGACTGGAGGAATTCCATGATTTTCCTCTCTTCCACGGTGTTCCTCGTCAGATCCTTCGTGAATTTTCACCTAACAGTTGTGGAAAGAGCCAATCTCTTCGAATTTTGCGTCTTTCGTTCACTTCTCGCTTGACTAAACCGTGGTTGCTGCATAGATCATTTGACGAAGGCGGACATATGTCATCGGCATCGTCTGCTTTGTGATCCCCCGCCTGGCTGCCATGGACGCAAAGTCGGGCTGTTGAAGGGAACAAGTCAGATGGAGATGTTTGTAGAGCAAAGTGAACTCACGTCCATTTCACATCGCATGGAGACAGGATGAGACTTTGGCAGCGATGCCTCAGGGGATGGAATGATATGTCTTCTTCTGGGTACAAGCAACCTCAGAGGCGTCACCACCAGAACCTCCTGTGCTCCGATCGGACTCGACATGGTAACAGCCAAGTACAAACAGAGTGTAGGCCAAAGGACAGCTATCGAGGTCGATCATAGAAAAAGAGGTGAAAAAAGAGGTGAAAAAAGAGGTGAAAAAAGAGGTGAAAAAAGAGGTGAAAAAGAGGTGAAAAAAGAAGTGAAAAAGAAGTGAAAAAGAAGTGAAGAGAGAAGTGAAGAGAGAGGTGAAAGAGAGAGGTGAAAGAGAGAGAGGGAGAGGTGAAAGAGAAAGAGGGCAAAGAGAGGAAAGTGCAGAGGTGCAGGTAAACAGCTGAACTATATGGGTCATACCCTCAGGCCAGAGCTTAGAGACAAAATTCGCGAAACAGAAGGAACAGAGCACGAGGTCTGGCTAGTTGAATTGGTTGCATCTGAATTTCACTATTGCCCTAATGACCTCAATGGCGCGCAAAGATACCTAGACTTTGTAAATGGATCCCGGCACGTAGCTCAAGATGTCACACTACTTGTGCCAGCATGGGGACGAGAACCACGAATTCGATAGTATCCAAGAATCCTTTTGATACGGAAGATTAACCCTCCAGAAATTTCACTTTCCCTCTGTGCTCTGTCATTCTCGGTTGGGGGTGTGATCTTCTCGTGAACCGATAAAACGACCGGAGCCTTTGAACTGTCCATAGAAGTGGGCTGACCTGGGTCACTATGCTCGAGCATATCGATCTGGAAATATCCCCCAGAAGCGCTGTTTCCGTCATCTTGGACCCAGCTTCCTCGGATGAGATTTAACACCCGAGCATCATGGATCAATTTGGACTTCGTGATATAGGTGAAGTCACTTTGCGATACATGGAAAACGCAGTTATGCCACGGGGTTGGAATATGCAACAGGTCATGGGAAGGCTTTGCAATGCTTGACAAGTCATGCAAGTTATCAACCACGCGGGTCTTTGATCGATCAAACAATGAAATGCCGAATTTGGGACCGGAGTTGTCATGAGCGTGAATGGAAAGTCGAACATGTACGGGAAAAAACAATTCCACGAGGTTGGAATATGCCTGGTTCCGCAGCAGCATTTCGAAGGAAATCTTCTCTGCAATTTTCTTCCTCTGGGACCGTGAGATTGAATGTGAGGAAGGATGTAATGCAAGATCCTCCAACATGAAACGCGAAAACCCACGATATAGTGGCACGATCGCTGGATCTTGACCCTTGATCTGGGATCTCAAAGAGTCTCTCTCTGGTTGACAAGCCAATGTTAATGCCTGTCGGCAAAATTCAGTCTCATTTGAGATATTTGTGCCGAGGAAATGCTGAAGCGCGGGTAATTGTATTTGACGGGCGCGTGTTTCCCCCAGAACAGCTTCTGGTCGGGAATGGAATATATCTCTCAATGATTCAAATAAGATATCAGAGACCTGTCCCTCCTGAATACCTATCGCTTGGCTGAGAAGATGTAGTTGACGTCCGTATTCGTCCACTTGATCATCGTCCACTCCAACTGTCGATCATACTTAGCAAAACCTAGCAACACTCAATTTTTTCTCTTCCAGAGGGCTCACTCACTGCAATCACTGAAGACGTGTCCATCACTTACTATGCAAATCCTCATGCCAGGCTCATAGATGGTTTTCATTTTCCGCGAAACCGAATAGAGTCGTCGGAGGGCAAGCTCTTCGCCACGGTCCGGTAGTGCCCCGGCAACCTTGTCTGGATTTGAGGATTTGCATGGAAAAGCAGGCAAACACATCTCAATCGGCAGTCCCCGAGAGGTGAAGAAAGAGATTCTTTGCAACATATAGTCCCGGCCCCCAGACTCCCATTGAGATTTCGGTGGGTGAAACAGCAGCTCATCATTGCAAAAATCGACCACCTGTTCTGCAATTAAGAGATCCTCAACAACTTCTTTGCCTATCAAGGCTTCGGATACTCGCGCGATCCGGTGCAGCAGCAAAAAACAAAAGTACTCGTCAAAATCCAGCATTGAAAGCTCAATGCTAGCTGGACGTAGCACCATCCCCACCGTGATGGATGAATGAGGCAGGCGATATTCATGGATGTTGACGAGTTTGTGGGGAAAGGAGGGCTCATCGAAGACCAAGTTGGACAGTGTACGGTATGAGTTGAGCTCTTGTGGGACGAGTCGTTGTTGAATAACAGACCAATATGATCCCACTGTTTGGAATTCACCTCCGAAACACTGGATCAAGTCACCAAGTTGTGTTCGGCTGTATAACACAACCACTCGATCATAAGTACAACTTTCCATGCTTGTGATTGTCTTGATATTGCAGGTTGAGATGGAGGCTCCTGAACACCGAACCTTGGAAGAAACTCCCTTTGAACGGTTCGGACTTTCTCTTATAAGCAGGGAATATAGTCGGAAATAGGACAAGCCTCGAATTGGCTCAGCATTGCTGCTTTTCGGTCCCTATTACCAACGACGCCATCAATCATAATTACCTCAAGAATATCACAGACCCACTCGATGAGAAGAGTTTTAGAGCCGTACTTTATCCGGCAAATGAAGAAAGCTTTCGTGAATCGAAATGGTCTCACTAGACACATTGATATCCGAGTTTCACCAAAATATTCAATAATACCGTAAAGGACTTGGCGTATCTCATCAGCGTAGCCCGTCGCGAGGCAAATTGAGCACATATTTGTTGTCTCTCGTCGCCGACTGTAGTTTGGCTGCCATAAATAGAGCCAATTGGCGGGCTTGATGCTACCACCCATCTTATCCTAACAAATCCTTGCAACAGTCTCAAGTCCTTCATTTACTTGATCAGAATGAGTACCTTGATTGTGTTAGTGTCTGCCATATTGGTTATACCAGTTGTTATTCTTCTCACGCCACCACGACACCCTCGCCGTATTCCATCAGCTCCCTTTTGGATCACTCTGCTGCCCCTCTTCTTCGAAATTGATCAACAGCAGATATTCCGCCAATACATTGCTGAACCTTTGTTCAAACATGGAGCAATCAAAATCTTCTTTGCTGGGCAATGGAACGTAATAGTTCAACGACCGTCATATGTCTCGGAGGTGTTCAAGAAAGAGCAGATATTCAACAAAAGCGGCAACCAAAAGAAGATCCCACATAGTGTGCTAGCTGAGTTCCTTGGTAAGTAAATTATTTGCCCCACCTCAAAAAATACGGCTAAGGTAGAGAAATTTGTCTTTGGCTACAGGATCGAATATCATCTCCGCGCGAGATGAAGAGTGGCGTTGCTACCGCGCTGTCATCAAACCTGGACTACAAAGGCTCTTCCATGCAAAACCTATTGTTGAGAATGCAAAGAGATTAAGCAAAATCATCTGGCAGCAACAAAGACGATCTTCGGACAAAGGAATCGAGATACAGAACATTTTCCAGCGATATTCCAGTGCAAATCTTGTCAGCTGTATCTTTGACCGTTCAGACCTGAGTGTAAGTGGAAGCCCGGTCATGACTTTCCTTTTACTCTCCGACTTGCTAAGTCATTATGGAACCCTCAGTCTCAGATGATGTGCATGGAACACGAGGTTCCACTGCATAGCACTCAACTAACTTTGAAGCGATATCTTTTTCGCCCCATTTTCATGAGCTTCCCTGCACTAGATCGACTAGCGTCGGTAATACCATCTCGAACTAAGGCTCGCAAATTGATACGGCAGTTCTCAGACCTCCTTCAAAAGGAGATTCTAGATGATCTAGCTCAGCAGAACGAGAGAAACGGGGAAGGCGGTTACCTCGGAGATCGGCTTATTTCCGCATGGCACGATGGGACTTTGACCACACAGCAGGTTCGGGATAATCTTAACGTTCTCTACGTGGCCGGCCAAGAAAATCCACAATTGCTCATGATATCTTCTCTCTATCTACTGGGAAAGTATCCGGTGAGTCAAACAACCGATTCTGAAATTTGACGAGACCAAGTACTTGATATAACCTCCAAGTTCCAAGACTAATACCAAGAGCTAGGAAATACAAGAAAAGCTTCGACAAGAAATCAAAGCTTACAGCATAAGCGATGCACCAAGCATAGATTGGCAGGACCTCCCGTATCTTACTTCCACGATCCTGGAATGTCTCCGGCTGCTCCCACCCATCTCACAGCTCATAAACCGGCGCACAGCAGAGCCAGTCTGGCTCGGAGGTCACTACATCCCCGAGGGTACATACATTGGATACAACAGTTATGCCACCAACCGGGATCCAAGTTCATGGGGGCCAGATACGGATGAATTCCGACCTGAGCGATGGGGCGCTACAGATGAGCAGATTTCCATGAACTACCGGAGTGCCAAGGCACACGCTGAATTCATATCTTTTCATGGTGGGTCTCGGGCATGTCTGGGTGAGAAATTTGCTCTCTTGGAAATGAGAGTCACTCTATTTGTTCTCGTTAAGTCTCTCCGGTGGAAGTTGGATCCAGAATGGAAAGACCAAATGACTCCTGTATGTACCTTGACTTCTCCACTCTTGTTCGGCGCTTACCACAGGTTTGTAGGCTGGTCCCTTGCACCCACGAGGCGTTCGTCTTGTTTTTACCCAGGCTTAGAGTGATTTGGCCTACAGTTCTCCTCGGGTCAGATAATCTGGAAATTTTCTGTGGAATATAGTCTTGAGGCTCTTTTTCATCTACGCAAATGTGCGATTGCATGCCGTGGATGAATTTTGTCTGCACAGTCCTCGGATTCAGCATTTCATGACATCTCAATTGTAATATTTATTGGAAATTTTTGGACTAGAATGAATGGGTTTGAGTTCACTAACAGACATCAGACATGCGGGAATTCTTTGTCATTTCTTGGCTGGAATTCCTCAAATTAACTCAATTGAGTAAAAATCTGACTTGGGTATGTGCATTGCTTGGAGCTAGATCGAGGCTAGGGAATCCATCAACGAGTCAAATATGGAATAAACTGGAGTATCCCGCAAATAGCCTAACTCAATGAAGGCAATGTTTGATGTAGTATTGAAGGAGTGAAAATACAGGGATCACGAAATATTGGTTTCTCTGCTGGTACCATAGAAGTGATGCAACGGCTACGGGACTGATATTTTCAGCTAGTTGATAGTTATATTAAATTTTGCGTATGTCACTTCCAAGGAACAGACTCTCCTACATATCAAATTCAAATTTGAAATACAGGCTACATACATGATGATCTTAGTCTCCAGTCCTCGTCCAACGATGCTCGAGCTTCCCAACTCCCAATCCTTCCTGTTGATCTAATGCCCCAGAGGTACCTTTGCCTGCTCAATACCCTTAGAAATATCAACTTGAGAATAAAGCCCAAGTCCAACCAGCATCAGCAGAAGGTTTGGAATCATCGGAAAGCGTAGATTATGCGTCCGGTCCTGAATAATACCCATAACCAGGGGATTGATCCAACCAGTCGCAAGATCCAAGGTAATTTCCAAGCCAAAGAATTGTGCTTCCGAGTTTTCCGGGATCATGGACGAGTAAATTGCACGATTATATGCCCGCAGTGAACTGCTAGTCGACATGAACAAGACTTGTTCAACCCAGAATTCGGCTTGGTGCTTGTAACCAATTGTGATATTGTTGCTGACTCCGATGCAGCCCCAAAGCACACAAGAGATATTGACTAAGAGAAATGCATATGCATATGATTTCACGGGGAAGTGGAGGCGTGGGTAGAGATACATGAAACTCAAGCTTCCCATGCAGGCAAATATGACGCCGGTGAAGGACCAGACTGAATATACCCCGGAGCTTCGGGAAAATCCAGTGACCTGGAGAAAGAGCGCGCCCATTAGCTGCATGTGATTGGAATAGCCAGTGTTCCATAGAACCCATCCGATGCAGAACTTGAATGCTTCCGAGTACTTTGTTGCACTTTTCAGTAATTTCAGCCAGTTTTTGAAGGCCATTAGCAATGGGAACTTGTTTTTCGTACGATCAAGCTCTTTGCCGGGTATTGATGGAAGAAGGTACTGGCCTAGGAGAGCAAACAGAACTGGGGGAGTCAGCATGAGGGGACTCATAGTCTATACCAAAGTGCGACTTACTTGTGATGCACCCTCCAATTGTAATGGCCAGAAGGTAATTGAAATAACCAACCTGCACATAAGATCCCCGTCCATAAACAAGAATCACGCCGATAATCAGGGCAGTCAAGCCACCCAGGTTGCTTGAAACTAAGGCCAAAACGCTGATAGAGACACCTTTATGCCAAGTCGCTCTCTCGCCCTGGCTTGCTGCTACACGGGAATCACGGAACCATCCCGTCGATCGCATGAAGATTGGAATGTATGACCCCTCAATCACTGTATAGACGCCCCCAATGGTTGTCAAAAAGCAGTATAGGACAGACAATGCGGTTAGGTGACTGTATGTTTGACCCGTAAGTCCTGCAAAAGGCAAGGCCAATGCGCCAAACAGAAAAATCGACGCCATCATCATTGTCTTGCGGTAAGCTGGAGATATTTGAGTTAGCTCCGAATATCCAAAGAATCAACGGGGGTATACCAACAGGCGTAGTCGGCCATGCCAGCTGTGACGATCGACACTATGCCTTCCGTTGCTCGGCTGATTGATCGGAGGTATAGTCTTATGTTTCATCAGCCCAAGATACTCTGAGATCCAACAAAGCCACACTCACGTATAGCTGTTGAAATCGATCTCCCCTCCACCAAACCTCACTAGACAACTAATGTTTGTCCCACGGCGTGAGCACGGTTTGTCCGATCCGGCCTGGTGACCTAAGAGATTGGCCGCCGAGAGGATTGCCGCGGTCACATAATTCGAGACCATGGAAGATGTCGGGCCAGTCTGTGGTAAAATTCATATTTGTCAACAAGAAGATTTCAAGCAAAAGTAAAGATAAAAATCGCTTCATACCGAATAGCATAAGACCAAGAATGCCCACAGTGCTTTCTTCGAATTGAAAGCAGACTGCGGGCTGGCTTGCTCTGGATCATCTGTGTGAGTATTCATGTCGCTTTCTGTGGCCCGAAGCCTTTGCTTGTCCGTGTCGTCGTCTCTAAGGACGTTTTCATCCTGAGAATCCCGCACCGCGTTCATATTGCGATCCGGAATAACACCAGTGGCAAATAGAAAATCCAAATAAGTAGAGTCGCGGAAAAGACGCATTCAATCAGAAAAGTGGAAGTGGAAATATCATAGAAGATACATCAAGGGAGACAAAAGAGACCGAGATAAAAGAGAGCGATAAATTCTGGCTTCAATATCTAGCGCCACGTACTTTGACCGTAGCAAGAGCAAATAAGAGTACAATAGTAAGACATCCATGTCGACTACACCAAGAGAATACTGAATAGACCTACTCTTTGGAGTGAGTTAGTTTGAGCTAGTTTACTATGAATTGAGTGCAGTAGATACTTAAGTATGCAAGTGGGGGCGATCCTTGGCATTCATCCTTTCTTTTTCGCCAGTACGGAGTACTTGAGCACAAATAAGTCGAATATTTATTAATTTGATACGATTCTAGATCTCTTGTATTTTGCTTGTAATATGCTTGTATTCTGGTATATTCTTTGATCAAATGACATTGTCTTACATGGCGGGTATCAACTTTGGAAATTGAGCCTATTTTCCTAATTGGGATCGATTTTCGGGGACAGTCCGTGCAGTAAAGTATTATAATTCATGAATAATAGAGAACTTGGGATTATAGATTTCAGCCCAGGTGGTTAGATGCTTATTCTCTTCCTTTTACATCACCGAACATGTCGACCTCTCAAGCGGAATCCGGCAATGTGCGACTTTCTGAGCCACAATCTACTTCAGACCTCTCTCCCAAAGCACCAGTGCAAGAGGTATCTGAGCAACCGTCGCAACCAAAACCTCCGTACACAGCTCTTCCTCTATCCCGCCAACGATTGATTCTCGCAATCATTACCGTCGCTGGCATTTTTGGTCCCCTTGCGGGGAATATTTACCTGCCTGCGCTACCAGTTGTTGCCCGGGAGTTCCAGAGAACGGAGACAGAAATCAATATCACAGTGACGGTATTTATGATTGTATTTGCTTTCGGAGTGAGTCCTCCCCATCTTGAAGTATTCACCTGCATCTCCTAAACGAAGTTTTTCAGCCCTTGATCTGGTCAAGTGTCGCGGATTGGAAAGGGCGCAGACCACTCTATATCATCTCTGTTCTAGTCTATATTTTGGCAAATGTGCTGCTTGCAGCTGTTCCCACCAATTACGGAGCACTTATCGTTCTTCGAATCATTCAGGCATTTGGGTCATCGGCTGTTGTTTCATTGGGAGCCGGCACGGTGGCAGATGTAAGACTTTGAGCTTTCTTGAAACCCCTGAAATGCTAATATTCCTCTGTTGGCAGATCATAGAGCCAAAGAAACGAGCTCGAGCAATGTCGTACTTCCTCTTTGGGCCGCAGTGCGGTCCAATCCTAGGACCGTTGATCGGAGGTGCTTTGGCTGAAAAGGTGTCCTGGAGGTGGATATTTGGTTTCCTGGGTACGTATGATAGAAATCAAATCTCAACCCATCCTAACCTTTTCCTCGCCCAGCAATCTCGGGCGCAGTGCTATGGGTTGGCCTCGTGTTCGCGCTTCCTGAAACCCTACGTGCACGCGTGGGGAATGGGAGCACATACGTGGAAAAGAGCTGGCTGATTCTTCCTCCAACCTTCTCTTCTGTGATTGTCACTGAATCGGAACGAGGACCTCCCCCTCCTAAGCCCACCTTGAAAGGATACTGGAAGCTCTTCCGGTATCCCCCCATAGGCATCACATGCGTCAATACGGCGATCCTCTACTCTTCATATTTCTGCATCGCCATCCAACTACCATCTGCTCTGGGTGATGTTTATCACTGGTCAAGCAGCAAGGTTGGAGCTGGCTATGTTGTCGTAGGACTAGCCATGGTGATCGGGTCTATTCTGGGTGGCCGGTTCTCTGACTGGAGACGTAAGCGGGCAGTTCAAGCGCACGGTGAGACTAACGTTCACCCAGAGGCGCGTTTGAATGATCAAATCTGGGGGCTTTTCATAGCTTCGGCTGGGTTGATCATGTTTGGATTCTTCGTCCAGTACGCCCTCCACCCGGCTGCTACTTTGATTTCTACCTTTCTCGGTAACTATCGCCCTTGAATCCTCCAAAATTATCTTTTTTTTTGACCGTAGACACTTCTAGTCGGATTCGGGATGTCTTGGATGTTTGTTGCTTCCAATGCCTTTTTGACTCTGTGTCTTGCCCAGCAAGCTGCCGGGGCTTTTGCTCTGGGTAACATGTTGCGGAGTCCTGCCGCCGCTGTGGCGGCAGCCATCATCTCCCCTCTTGTGCAGAAAATGGGCTGGGGTTACTGTTTCCTCGGGCTCGGACTCCTCAATCTGTTTGGCATTGGGTCAATGCTGCTTGTTCTGCGCACACGGTCCGCCCAATGGGTAAGAAAGAGACTTGCTAGAGAGGCGAAAAGTGGACATCAGAATGGACCTCCAAAGACACACTGATGCGAGATGTGATCTGTCTGATTATACAATTTTGCTACACATTCATGAATAGCAATCGAGATATCAATGGGACCCCATAGTTTGCATCTTTTGTAACATACAAAGATAGTCACATGGTTACTGCCTAGCTTTACATAGTGTCTCTAGTGATCCGGACTACAGAGAATGAGATCTCATGTTTTGCCTCGCATGAACCTTCCAAAGTTGGACCCCTCGTTAAAGCGATTCTCAAAGAAGCCTTTCATTGATTTCGTGCGAGAGATTTGCGTGATAAAAGCCGCTGTCCTCAATTGCATAGCAGTCACTATAATCTTGTCGGTCCGTGATATTGACAGTCCTTAAATCACCATGCGCGAAAAGCAGCCCAATATCAGAAGATCGTCATTTGCCAGAAGATGGCAAAGGCAACCTAGGCGATAAATTACGCGGGTTGGCGTAAACAATGCGTGTGTTGTGGTCCTGTAGGAAAGGAGTTGGCTCAAAGCCGTTGAGCCTATGGAGGTTTGCTACCTGTGTAGCAAGATTTTCATCTTCTCTAGGCCATCTGACTAAAACCCAATTCTTTCTTCTCCCATGCTGTCGAAGCACGGAAACTGGGAGAATGGTCTTGTCCTCGTCTGCTGTCTCGAAATCATAATCATGTCGATTGATGTCGATGACAATGAAGGTACGCTCAGTCCACACGTCTATGACAATAATACGGATGCGAGTATCGGTTTCCAAGTCTGGGAAAATCTCGCTGACAACTCTTTTTGCTGAAGTGCGATAGTCTTGAGACTCCAAGCGTGCGGTTTTCAGTTTGAGGACAATTCGTTTTGCGGTGTCGTTTTCGAGAATCTCTCTTCGTATTTCAGATAGGTTGGCCATGGAAGTTATGCAATAGCCTGGCTTTCGGATTATATGGCTGTTGAATAAGGGGTCTTGTGAAAGTGTGGTAAACTTGATTATTACGTCTCATAAATGGCGGCAGCGATTCCTATTTATGACTAGAATATTTAATACTTGACCTGGCACAAAGGAAATAATACAGGAAACACCCCCTTTCCCTGCGGCTCTGTGAATCCCAGGCTCCAGTGATGCCCCTTGTTATACTAGGCAGCAATCATGTGACTATCTTTGTAAGATACACGAGTGCAAACTATGCAAACTATTGGGCCCACATTGTGTTGGTGCCTCAGGCGATATTAGTGCCTGAGGCCCCAACATGAATACATACTTACACCATTCCATACCTCTCTCCTCCCTCTTTCTCTTTTCCTTCTCAAGTTCTCTTACCAGGCATCACATCTTTGCACTCTGTGCTATGAGCGCTACCGTACTGATTTTCAGAATACTTGGACTTGGGCGCTTTACTAACACAGTTTCGGTTTAGTTAAGCGCTCGCCCACGGCGCAATCAGCACAGGATACATGCACCAGCGCTAGCACATCACTGAGCCCAGACACCTGTCTGCTCTTGGCAAGCTGTTCTTGGAAAAAAGAAAGGTGCATCGATGCAGGTGCAGGTCAGCTGATGATGGGGCTGAGAATTTCCCCTCGTTTTCTGAGGGCTGCGATCTTCACCAACACCAAGTACACACCGCCCCTTGACAATGAGTCGAACCTCGAATCGGGTCTCGTTTGGGGACGAGAGCTCGGGGCCTCAATTTGGGATCAACAACGGAACCATCTATGTTTCATCCGGTATGCTCTTTGAAGCCTTCCAAGCCGAGCTAAGCTAATTGAGTGCCTCTTTTTCGCCTAGACCGAACAGAGACTTCTCAACAGAGAGTTGATAACGGTGTGACTCACTCCGCATTCTTTGAAGAAAGTTTTGCTTACCCTGGTGGTAGAAATACTGAGGTCACTGGCATTTCCGCATATGCTAGACCGGAGAGAGAATGTCGAGCCGTGTCATATCAACACCTGCGAATGGATCTTGGACTTAGAAAAGTACCAATCCTGGAGAAACACATCCCGTGGTCTACTTTGGATTAAGGGCAAACCGGGTGCAGGAAAATCGACATTAATGTTATTCCTACACGGCAAACTCAGGAGTTCACAGAACGACAACCATGGCATTCAGCTTGACTTTTTCTTTACTGCCCGGGGTACAGAGATGCAACGTACACCACTCGGCATGTTTAGATCTTTACTGAACCAAATATTTGATCGCGATGCGACCGTACGCGCCCAAGTACGCGAGGCCTATGAACAACGGGACAGGCTGTTTGGACAGAGTGAGGGCAGGTGGGAATGGGCACAACCGATTTTAGAAGAGCTACTAGCGAGTGTCATTCTGGCAGCCGCTAGTCGACAACATGTGACCCTTTTTGTCGATGCTCTGGATGAGGCCGGAGCTGAGTCTGCTCAGCGACTCGCGGCTTATTTCCATCGACTGATTGACCGAGCAAAACAAAAGGACGTGACTGTTCAAATCTGCATTTCATGCCGACACTATCCCATCGTGGGAAGTGACCAGATTCTGGAGATATATGTTGAACAGCATAATCACCAAGACATCGCGGCATACATCACGGATACACTTGCCGGGGCAGATGTCGAAGAAAACCTCAGCAAAGAGACGAAAGCGACGCTGATGAAACAACTGATTCAGCAAGCCAATGGTATTTTCCAATGGGCTCGTCTCATAGTTCCTGTTGCCCAAAAAAGGATGTCTGAAGCGGAATCGTTTGATGAGATCTGTCGCTGGTTGCGCGAGGTCCCGGCCGACCTCGAAGGTGTGTATATGCACATTCTGAACGACGTGATAGAAGCGCGGAACCTGGAGCAATCATTCCTACTGTTTCAATGGGTATGCCTGGCGGAGCGTCCGCTGTCTGTGATTGAAATGCGGTATGCCTTGGCCGCTAAGAATGCTCACATCACCCGCACCACACAGAAATGGGAGAGGATCGATGACTTTATTGAAAGCGACAAGCGCATGAAGGGAAGAATCAAAGCCCTTTCTGGTGGATTAGCAGAAGTCATATTGAGCAAGGGTGCGAGTGAGACTGTTCAGGTGGTTCACCAGTCAGTCAATGATTTCCTACGCGAGAAAGGGCTAGCTGCTTTAAGTGATAAGATCACCGCCAGCAGTGAAGTCCTACAAACAGAAGAAATCCTTTCACGTTGTCAGGCAAATCTTTACCGATCTTGTCTTGTTTATCTGGCCTTACAGCGTGTACGTGGAGACATTCCAGTTGATTACGGGGAGGCGATACAAAGCCTTACCCAGGACCACCCATTACTTGATTACGCCACTACCAACCTCTTCATTCATGCGGAAAAGGCTGCTCATTCGCGAGTGCTTATTCTGCCTAACGAGCAAGATGTTCTTCACCAAATGATAGAACAATGGGTCCAAAATTACCAGACTCTCCACCATTACGAACTAACTTGCCCAGCCAGAGGCACTACAGTCATCCATATGGCGGCAGCAGCAAATCTTGTTGATATCATCGAGCGGTTGCCTTTGAACAGTGACGACGTGACGAGGAAAGACGAAGACGGAAATACACCTTTCCATCTGGCAGCGCGGTACGGTCAGATAAAAGCTGGAGGGTGTTTGCGTGAGAAAATGGACAATTCTGATGAGCCAAATGATGACGGAACAACGCCATTGATTGAAGCAGCTAGCTACGGGCATGCGGAATTTGTCGAATGGCTCCTGCTCGAAGGTGTAGAGCTTGAAGTTGAAATGGGCAAGGGCGAAAGCGCTCTGTATGGAGCTTCACGGGCAGGACATCAGAAAGTTGTTGGATTATTGATTGCAGCTGGCGCCGATGTCAATGCCCAAGGTGGTCAATACGGCAATGCCCTACAGGCTGCTTCATACGGTAAAAGCATTGAGATGGTGCAAATGCTGCTTGACGCCGGCGCCGATGTCAATATCCAGGGTGGTCAATACGGCAATGCCCTACAGGCTGCTGCTGCATCATCCTTCAAAAGCAGTGAGATTGTGACAATGCTGCTTGACGCAGGTGCCGATGTCAATGCACAAGGTGGTCAATACGGCAATGCCCTACAGGCTGCTGCCGCTAAATCCGACGAGACTGTGATAATGCTGCTTGACGCCGGCGCCGATGTCAATGCACAGGGTGGTCAATACGGCAATGCCCTACAGGCCGCTGCCGCTAAATCCGAAAACAACGAAACTATAAAAATGCTGCTTGACGCCGGCGCCGATGTCAATGCACAGGGTGGTCAATACGGCAATGCCCTACAGGCCGCTGCCGTTAAATCCGAATATAACGAGACTGTGAAAATGCTGTTTGATGTTGATGTCGATGTCAATGCACAGGGTGGTGAACACAGCAATATCCTACAGACTACTGCTGCATTTGATAAAAACAATAAGGCTGTAGTAATGCTGCTTGACGCCGGCGCTAATGTCAATGCACAGGGTGGTCAATACGGCAATGCTCTACAGGCTGCTGCTGCTATATCCGAAAACAACAAGACTGTGAAAATGCTGCTTGATGCCGGCGCCGATGTTAATGCACAAGGTGGTGAATACGGTAATGCTTTACAGGCCGCTGCCGCTAGATCCAAAAACAGCGAGACTGTGAAAATGCTGCTTGACGCCGGTGCCGATGTCAATGCACAAGGAGGTCTATGGGGTAATCCTCTACGGGCTGCTGCTGCATTCGATAAAAGCAACAAGACTGTAATAATGCTGCTTGACGCCGGTGCTGATGTCAATATACAAGGTGGTAAATACAGAAGTGTTTTACAGACTGCTATTGCTAAATCCGAAAGCAATGAGGTTGTGACAATACTGCTTAACGCCGGTGCCGATGTCAATGCACAAAGTGGTCCCTATGGTAATGCCTTACAAACTGCTGCTGCATTATTCTCCAAAAACAGTGAGACTGTGAAAATATTACTTGATGCCGGTGCCGATGTTAATGCACAAGGAGGACTATACAGCAATGCTCTACAGGCTGCTGCTGGTATGTCCGAAAACAGCGAGACTGTGAAAATATTGCTGGACGCCGGCGCCGATGTCAATGCACAAGGAGGTCTATTTGGCAATGCTCTACAAGCTGCTGCTAGATCCTACAAAAGCAATGAGGCTGTGACAATGCTGCTTGACGCCGGCGCCGATGTCAATGCACAAGGAGGTCACTTTGGCAATGCTCTACAGGCTGCTGCTGTTGCTGTAAGGATTGGAAGTAGGAAGACCGTGCAGACACTCATTAACGCTGGTGCCGATGTCAACGCTCGGGGTGGTAGATTTGGATCATGTCTCTTGGCAAGTGTCCATTACGGCCATGCTGATCAAGTTGAAATGCTTCTTCACGCCGGCGCAAATTTGTTGCTTGCAAATAAACTTGATCAGACTCCTCTCCATGTTGCCGCCTTGAATAATAGGCTTGGCCTTCTCCGTCGATTCCCAGGGCTCCTTTTGCCTATCAATAACCGGGACAAGCTTCATCGAACTCCCCTTCATCTGGCTGTTACCCTCGGTCATGTCGAACTTGCCACATATCTCTTTCAATTCGGTGCCGATCCTTCTCTCCTCGATGGTTATGGCAGAAATATCCTGGACTGGGTAGTTGGGAATGAAAGCCTAGTGCATCAAATCCGAGGCCACCACCCTTCAATCGTTTTGACGTCTGACACTACTCAAGAGCTCGCTGTTCGCCGATCAATCCGTCAGATCTCAGATACTCTTCTTCAATCTCAGCTAGACTACCCATGGCCACTTTTGGAGCAGTTGGGTCGCTATCTATTGTTTGTCAACGAATTAGACAATGCGCGGTGTCTATTTCAGCTGTATCTGTCCCAGATAGATGCCATTGACATGCCTATATACGAGATTGAGTGTGGCAAGTGTGAACTGCCTATTCATCGCTCTCGCTTTGTGTGCAGTATCTGCGCCCATATGGATCTATGCCCGTACTGCGAACGGAAGTATCGCTTCCACAGTCGATTACACCCAAATCAAGAGCATAAGACCATTGAAGTGCCAGATGTGGATGATCGAAAGTATCTGCTCTCTGCGTCAGCATCTAAGGAATTGAGAAGCATTGTTGATAAGTATTCTGTGCCAAAAACCCACGGAAGTGGTGAGAGGCCATCGCATGGTTCCATGTCTTGTCTGCCATCCGAATTCATCAATCCTGGATCGACAGCTGCAGTTCCAATGGCTTCACTACGCCCAATTTCAGTGTTCCGCCTTCTTATGCTTGGAATTGTACCACTTTTGCTCATTTACTTATATAGCTTGGTCTAATTCAAGTTTGTTGTTGGTGTACGATAGGGTCCACAGTAAGCAAATTCTGCTGGAAGGGACAGATAAAACCTCCTTTCTAAGGGCATATACCTTCTTCTCTCTATCATTATTGTAAATGGTGTGGGTATAGCTCTTTTTTTATATAGTATTTGACACTGGCCACTATATGACATTGCAAAATTCAGTTAGACAGGGTCTAATTGTAAGACCCGTCCTCCTGATATTTGAGAGCACCTGTCTGGAGCCAACGCGCAGAAACTTCTTTGTGCGGAACGAGAGAACCCTCGACACGCGGGATATAATCAGGATACCCTTTCACAATCTGCTGCAGAACTGCCCATGACATCTGGCCATCAACATCGTATGTCTGTGAGGTATTGAAAGTTGTCGTGTTTATACTGGCGTAAACGATCGGGTGCTCCTCAAAAGAAACACTAGCATTGATTTGAGCAATCATGTTACCCGAAGGTTCAAAAGCAGCAGCAAAACCAACAGCTGGCATCAATTCATATGAACCAGTCATGAATGCATAGTGTCGTGAAGCGGCGACTTCGACAGTAGCACCTTCCCAGGCCAAAGCCTCGGGGTCGCCATAGTCCGCCAGATAGGGGAATGGTCCAATATGGATATTTTCCATTTGGGCTTGCATGATAAAAGTCAAACTGGGGTAGCTGTGTCTGGAGATAATGTTAGCCTTCCTGGCCGTTGAAGGTGAGTAAAGCTTGGAATCTCCTTACTCTCCGCATTCCAACATTCCAATCCTTCCGCGCGCAGTAGTAACAACTTGAAGCTCGTCCATAGTACCATCACTAAAGAACGATCTTTCAGAACCTGATGGCCTTAGCTTGTGGCGATGGATAAGAATGTCTCCAAGGGGTGAGATTAAAGATTGCGCCATGTAGATATGATCATCCAGTCGCTCGGAAAAGGCGAGTCCCGCATAAATACCAGCCTTCTTGACTGCATCCACAAGCCTTTTCCAGTTCGCATCACCGACAACCAGGGAATTTTCGATATAGGACGGCAAGTGAGTTTGCGTCCAGTTGTTGACACTATTCCCTTTGGGGAACCTTCTTAGGGTTAGCATCGGCTCTTTGAATGAAGTATTGGACACTCACCCGGGGAACCACAGCTCTGGGAACACAATCATCCCAGCTCCATTGTTGGAGGCATCTTCAATCAAGTGAATGCCTTGGTCAACCGATTCATTAATGTTGATTTTAATCCCAGTCCAGTTGTAGCTCAAGAGCGGGAGGGGCCAGTTGGGAGGAGCACTTCGCACCAAGGCCACCGTCAAATTTTGGTTGTCATCGAGTGCATTCCCACATGATGGTAGAGCTTTTACGGCTTCAACGGCAGTAAAGAGAATGGCAGCCTTTGAGAGTTTCATTTCGACTGCTGTATCTTCAGTCTCTTGAGGTTGTACAGTTCATGATGCTCATCTTTCGGGAGATACATGCTACTTATATACCCGAAAAGCAATGTCCAACTTATCTAAGCCTCTGGATTGATTGAATTGTGCTTTCTCGTTGAGGTAATGACAATGCTATCAACGATGGATAATAAACTACTCAGTAATCAAACGTAGGTATCATATTCTACTTGCTCGGAGGATGAGATTGCATCGAGGAATCCTATAAGATAACAGCCAGTAACTCCTTTTTACGTATTTCCAAGGTGTGATGCGTTATCGTCTGATCCAATCTGTTCCTTCATCTCACCGGGGGCAATCCTCAGCGCAGGGGAAAGTGTGGAACTGACTTCAGGGGTGGGTTATCTTACTTTTATCAAACAAGGCTTGATCTGCCGTCTACGCACTTGATGCATTCTAGTAATGCATTTCAAGACCTCCATAAAGTCATGGCCGATGACACTCGTAGCCACCTAAAGCCTTAGTCTAAATAGTGATCACCTTGATGGCTTCCAATTGTGCCCATTGGATCCATTGTACTAGATAGGGTGGATATATTCTGGCTGAAAGATAAGTTCTACTCAAATCCCGCAATCAAGGATCAAGGTGTCTACCGGCATTTGGAAGACATGGCGTGGTTTGCTTATACTTTCATAGTGGGGCCGAGATCTTCCCATCAGGTACGGGGTCCTCCGTACCAAATCCCGATTTGGGGACTTTCGGGGTTTTGATAGAGCCCTCGATGCCGCGCGGATATGCCGAGGATCATAGTAGATCCAAGGGGGTGCAGTTTGACTAAATTCCAGGCCGTAGGGCTCCTGAAGTCGCTCTTACTGGCAGTGCTCTACATGTTCTAAAGTTGATACCTTGATGGGGAAACGGATTCAGCCGCTGTTTGGGTGGTGCATCTACAGATGTGGCCAGAATGGCTGAATGTACTTGCTGCTATCTCATGAGTCCCTAAGAACTGTCCTAGTAGCTTAAATGGTGGTAGTGATTCTAAAGTCATATGTAGACTCTAGAGTGGTACAACTACTACTATTATTCACAGAATGCTATTAAATCCAGTGAACAGCCTTGCGAAATAGATCCCGCTCCATGACGATTTCATACTTCATGAACCAATCGCTGGTATTGCCGTGTGTCAAGTAGCCAAAGCTTGCGGCAAATGAAACCTGATACTAGGAACATCCCATGTTCTCCCATACCCCAGGATCTCGTCAATGGGTCCATGGATGCCTTGATATCATTTTCCGGGGTAAGAGGGGTCCCATCTATGATGGCAACTGTATTCCTATCCCTTGCGCAGATGATAGGCCGTATTGTTGCTGGTGTTGGGAATAGGATGATCTATAAGATGGCGTGGAAAGGAGAAATCATTCGATCCAGGATGTATGCAAGTAGTGCGCAGAAGAATAAATGACCAGAAATTACTACATTCATATTCAATACATCATTTCTTTTCCCCAGCCAATCCCTGCCCCTTAGACTGTTTCCGATCCAACCCAAGACTCTCCAAATCCTTCTTCTTATAATAATGCGGTGCAACCTCAACCAGCCACTCTGCCTGCAAGGGCATATTACTCCGCATATACTCCTTGCTAGTAAGCACCAGTTCAAAGTAAATGACCCAACGGGGATTCACCTCCATCAGTGTACTAGAAGGATGAAGATAAACAGACTGGCCATTCTTGATAGTGCGATAACTATCACCACCACGCTGCAAACGCGCAGCATTAGGGAAGAAGCCAGCCGTGATGGCTTTCTGAATTGGCTGGATATTGGTAGCGCCGCAGGTACTGACTGCGACTTCGACGCGGTCGCAGAGTTTGGCCAGTTGATCGCGGACGTCACGGGCACGGGTAAGACTGCGTTGTTGGAGGAAGTTTTCTTTTGCCCAGATTGTGCTGAAGTCTGAGTCGACCCATTGGTTCCAGACGTTGAGGAGGGTGAGGTGGTCGCCTCCTTCTTTGATGGTGAAGCGGTTGCGGGCGCTGTCGGCGTGGATCTTTTTGTCTTTTGGTCTGAAGAAGAGGGCGCTGCCTTCGCCGAGCATGGAGACGATTGAGAGGACTTCTTCCACGCAGCCGTATTTGTCGGAGGCGAGGATGGCTTTGGCGAGCATGGGGTCTGTGGGGAATTCGGCCATTTGGCGACCGACTTTTGTGAGTTCGCCGCGGTCGTTGAGGGCACCTAGGGCGTAGAGTTGTTCGAGGGCGCGGATGATTGTCTCGGCGGGTGGGGGGTCCATGAAGTCGAAGTCGAGAAGTTGGTCGATGCCGAGGGATTTTAGCATGAGAATCACGCTGTTCAGGTTGGTTCGTTGGATCTCGGGTGTGGTGTTCTCTTCCAGTTCGTTGTAGTAGGCCCATTTGGTATACAAGCGGAAGCATTTTCCGGGCCCGACACGTCCTGCACGACCGGCGCGCTGGTTGGCGGAGGCTCGGGAGCACGGGGTCACGACAAGACTTTCCATGCCGGTGCGAGGGTTGAAGACATTTTCCTTGACGAAACCGGGGTCAATCACGTAGACAATACCATCGATGGTCAAACTGGTCTCGGCAATGTTGGTGGCAAGCACCACCTTTCGTGCCTTGGGAGGCGTAGGTTCGAAAATCTTCGTCTGCAGCTCGGAGGGTAGATTGGCGTAAATCGGAGCAATGATCATCTCCGGGATTTTGCTCCCAAGTTTTCGAGCCGTTTCTGCTAAACTCTGCTCTGCGGCCTCGATCTCTTCCTGACCGGTCAAGAACACCAGGATATCTCCAGGGCCTTGGGTAACGTGGATCTGGAAACACGTTGTGATAGCCGCAGCGAGGTAGTTGGCTTCAGGCTGCGAGGTGTAGTGCACATCGACGGGGTATCGGCGACCAGGAATATTGAAAATTGGCGCATCATCGAAGTACTTCTGGAACTTCTGCGCATCCATAGTCGCAGAAGAAATGAGCAGCTTCAAATCAGGCCGCGCCTTGGCAATATCTTTGAGAAGACCACAGGCGATATCAGTAGGCACTGTCCGTTCGTGGGCCTCGTCAATCATCAACGCCGAGTACTGGCTCAGATCGGGCTCGGTCAAGAGCTCTCGCAGCAACATTCCATCAGTCATGTACTTGAGAATAGTCTTGTCGCTGGTGTTGTCTTCGAATCGAATGGCGTAACCGACTTCGTTTCCGATCTTGGTGCCCATTTCTTCTGCCACACGCGCCGCAACACTCATGGCAGCAACTCGTCTTGGCTGTGTGCAGCCAACCTTGAGTCCATCCTTTGTGTACCCGGCCTCGTGGAGGTATTGCGGAATCTGAGTTGTCTTTCCAGAACCAGTCTCACCGACAATAATCAAGACTTGGTGGTCTGCGACAGCTTGAATGATCTGATCACGGAATTGGTAGATAGGAAGACTCTTTCGAGTCTCTTCCATGCTCATAGCCTTCTTCTCAGCTGCATCAACCTGTTCCTTGAACCGCAGCTGCTCCTGTGTCATAGGCTTCTGCGTACCAGCAAGCTTGGAGTCCATGACAAAGTTGATCTGCTGTGAATCGTCGAAGACATACTCATAATCCCCCTCATCAACAAACTCAGCCTTCTTGATCTGAGCCTTAGCCTTGGCAGCCTGCTCAAGCTCCCACTCCTCATGCTCAGTAACAAAGCGTTCCTGACCCAACTCATCACGATCCACATACCGCTTATACAAAGCATCCTCCTTCTTCTTGCGGTCAATCTTCCCCTTCTCAGTAATATAATCATCAGGCATCATATACCCATCCCGATGATCATCAATCCTCAATCTCTCCTCAGCAATCCTCAAAACCTCCCTATTCCTCGCAAACTCCTCCTTCTCCTTCCGAGACAAATTCGGATTCTCCCGTAACTCAGCTGCCTCCTCAACAACCTGCCTCCTCAACAAAGCCAACCTCTCCGTCTCCCTCTTCTTCAAATACTCCTGTCTGGACCGTTCTCGCAAATCAGGCATCATCTCAGCACGCGCCTTAGCATCATCAGCCAAAGCACGTCTTCGCGCAGCCTCACCATCCCGCGTCCGATCCTCAACTATCTTCTTCGACTTCCCATCATCTTTACTAGCCAATCGTTTGGCAAACTCGTCTCTCTCCCGTAAATCCTTCTGTCGATCAATTTCCTCCTGTGTCCTGGAATCAACAGGCTCATCAATCCGCGTCCGTTTCGAAGGCGACTCTTCAAATTCTTCCTCTTCCTCATATTCCTCTTCTGGAATTTCCTCATCACCCCACCGATCCTCAAAATCATCATCCCTTTTCCGCAACTTCTTCGTCCGTCGATCCCGCTCATCCCGACTGCGGTCGCGCTTCCGACTGTCTTCGCGCTCATGACGTGGTCGCTCTTTGGTATCTCTTGCGCGTCGTTCCCGTGCGCGCTCTGCCTCGACGTTCACAGGTCCAAGTGCTGAGTCTTCGCCCATGTCGACGAGTCGGTATCTTTTTTTGTCTGCGGGCGCTGTGGGCTTGGGTGCGGGAGCGCCCTTGCCCATGCGTGTGTGGAGATCATGGGCGAAGGAGGTGACATCTGTGGGATTGGCGTCGAGGAAGGATGTGAGTTTTTCGGTGAGGGATGTGGTGGATTTGGCGGTGCTGGCTGTTGCGAGAACGAAGTCGATGAGGGTTGAGTCTGATGACCCTGTTAGGCGGGTTAGGTTTTCGGAGATGAAGGTTTTGTCGTCCATGTTGGTGTGGATTAAGAGTAGTGGCGCATGGTATGGAGAGGTTCTGAACTTAGAAGTTTGTAGCTGGAGAGCTCCGAGGTGAAATGCGGAGGTCGGAGAAGTCTGCGTTGAACGCCAAGAAATTTCGTGGCGATGGATCTGAGATATATATTGAGACTACTTAGTAGTACAGTAGACAACACCTCAACTAAGGATACATTATTTATGAATTGATTTACAGTAAGATTACGAAATTGACTATAACATTGGAAGGAATCATTTAAAATTTGATTTTTGAAATTGATATACTTAAGTAGATCTACTAAGACTTCCAAGGTCTTACCCAGGACGTGATTACTGGCTCTGAAGCTAGGAAGGCCGCTTGCCAGTTGACCCGCGGACTTGACCAGTACAGTTCTCTACAAAATACTTGAGTACTACTACGGAGTACTCCTGCTACTTTTACGACTACAAGGACACAAATAGTTGAGAATCGTTCATCATAATTCCACAATGGCTATACAGAAATGGAACCCAGGCTTAAAACCAGACACCAACCCGCACAGATCGCTCAAAGTCATCACAGCCCACAGGGCACAGGTCATAAAAAAACAGATAGCAAGCAGAGGGCAAGACCAAAAGCCCAATGTTGGTACATTTGCATCTTGTAATGCTAGATCATACAAAAGAAAACAACAAGATTGGAAAAAAAAAAAGCAAATGGGGGAAACTCCTTCAAGGGTACCCTCGAACTCCACATGATATCGCAGATGAATCCGGAAAAACGAAGCCCAGTCCACGAGAACTTCAATTGAAGTTGGGAAAAGTCGTGAAAACATGGCATCAAAGATAGGTAAGAAACAGATACTCCGTGGCCGGACCAAAAGGGAGAAAAAAAAGTGACAAAGGAAAGAGAGGGGAAAACAAACAGGGAACGCCCTCCATATGCACATGGTAAAGGGATATTAAATTACACATCGATCATTTCGGCATCTTCGGCCAAGATCTCGTCAGCGGGGCCCCAGTTACCCTCAAAGACGGTGGCGCCAGCGCGGCGTCGTTGGTTGGTAAATTGGACACCATAGGTTTCCAGGATTTGGTCCGCGGTGGGACGGTGTTGAGGATCGGGAGAGATCATCCATCGGACGATCCCATCAAGCGATTGAGGGTGATAAGGGTCAGCCATGAAGGCAGGTGGATCAGTAAGCTCTCCGCTGCGAGCGATCGTCTGAGGCTTGGGAGTACTCAGGTTGCGACAAGTCACGAAATCGTCGTTGAATGCGCCACCACCCAAGTCTGAGGTACAAAGCTCCTCGAAAGAAGATTCCTTGGAGATTGGGTTGCCACTTGCATCGCGGGAGATATGGCTTTCGTGACTGAAGGTCAGACTGGGAACGTCGCTCATGTCACCATTGCGGAGCTTTTGCCAAGAGAGTCCGTTGTCCGGAAGCTCGACATTGCCGGCAATCTCGAAAATGATAAGACCGAGAGAGAAGATGTCGGCGGGTTTGTCATATTGGCCTTTGAGGATCTCCGGTCCAATGTATTCCCGGTCACCTTCACCTTCAATTCCGTGCTCTGCAGGCCAGCGGGTAGCCATGCCAAAGTCACCAAGCTTCAAGGTGCCTTCAAAAGTGACCAGAATGTTAGCAGGCTTGAGATCGAGATGGATGAAGCCCTCGTCGTGAATCTCTTTAAGACCCAATGACATTTCGAGCAAAATTTTCCAGATACGGAAATCATCAAGTCGGGCCTTCAGACCAGCTTGAGCCAAAAATCCATCCAAGCTACCTTCTTCGCAGAACTCGGTCTGAATGTAAAGGTGGCCTTGGTTTTCCCAGCTGTCCATCAAAGAAATAACATGATCGCAGTGGGTAAGGGTCTTCAAGATGTCGACCTCGCGAATACGGCGTTCCCGGTCCTTCAATCCAAGGTAAGGTTGCTTGCTCTTCTTGACAGCCCAAACTTGATGTGGGAGAGAACCCGGTGACTTGGGCTCGCTGGAAGGAAGGGAGAAGACCGAAGGGAAGGAGGAATCGTGAGGTTGTGCGACGCGGAAGACTTGGGAGAACTCTCCTGTGCCAATAAGCTCCACGCTATCGAAGCGGGAAGTTAGAGTTGGATCAACGTCCGGGGCGTGGTATCCACTGATCTGCAAGCTGGGCCTCCTAAATGAGGACCAAGAGTCGCGAGGTCCAGTGGGAGTAGCTGGAAGCTCGTGCTCTGCCTGCACAGACTGATCATGAGGCACAGAGATAGACAGACCACTGGGGTCGGGAGGGAAGTATTGATCACGGGGAGTGTGAGGTGAAGCCTGCAAAAATCGTTCGCGAAGAGGACTGGCTGTCTCAGACAACCGCTCTAAAGATGGGATTGAGCCGGCAGTAGGGGGATAGGTGCGAGATGGGAGGAAAGGTTGTTTGGTAGGAGTGGGAGGGAAGTCGTCATTGAGAGGCTGGCTGTCCTGTCGAGAGGAGGGAGACTGGGCGAGATTCAGATCATCGCCATCGAGACTAGCGAAGCTTCCACGGCGCGATACCTCGGGGCGGTTGAAGCTGCTACCAAAAATGCCCATGCCGCGGGCAAAGGGACTTGGCTTGGGGCGCGAAGTAGTAGGGGGGTTGAAAGGAGAGGCAGACGGAGCATCAGATTGCCGTGACTTGTCGAACAGTCTGTCGGTGGGATTTGGACCAGCAGTAAACATATTCACAGGTCGCTTGCAAGGCGTATCGGGCATGCTCTTGTTGAAAGTCGAGCCAGTCTCCTCCGCATTGCGGTTCTTCTTGGAGATGAGACCAGTGGACATGAATGCCGCTGGCAGAGGCTTGACCAACTTGTAGTTGTCAGGAGTCGCAAATTCACCTGAATCCTCTCGGGTGATTCTGCGCACAGGTGCTGGGCGGGTAGCTCCAGCGGGCAGGGACTTGGAAAAGTTGAACAGTGGTCGTCGCCCTTCGGGCTTGTGGACCGGTTCATGAGTGGGCGAGTCATCAAGACTTGACCCAGAAGAAGACTGAGTAATAGTGCGGGAGAGGGGATGAGCACCGGCACGAGATGGTTGGGTGGTGTTGACGGGAGGAGGATTGGCTGGGGAGTTGGAGAAAAGAGGGCTGGCGGAGGGTTTGGGTGAGAAAATGTTCTCACTACCAGGCTGGAACAGGCTGCTGTCAAAGGACATGCGGGGCCGAACACTTAAAGGTGTACCAGGTGGTGAGGTGCTTTCGTTCTCATCCATCGCTCTTGGCCGGCCAAAGAGAGGTCTTTCACCGCGCTGCTGCAAGGTGGATCGTCGCAATGATGACGAGCGTTTGGGGATCGTCGCGAAGGGACTATGTGGCTGAACAGGTGTGGGGAAAGAAGGAATCTCAGATGATGGAGAGCCTTCAGGCGTGGTATCATCAACCTCATTGTCGAAGATGCTGAATTCCGTTGGACAGTTAGGGTTGTGCACGCTGCGTCGCTTTGCTGAGGGGCTTCCCCGGGAAGCTTGGTCCAAGTTCATAATTCCATCACTTCGCTTCAACGGACTTCCACTGGCGAGTGTACTGAAAGTTCCACTGCGTCGCTTTTCGATGCGCGTTAGTGTTGTGCGTGGCGCGAAAGCTGATTCGGCCAGAGGGGTGTTGCTGGCACAAGGACTGTCGGGTGTTGTGCTCATCATGTTGGGGACAAGATCATCGAGAGTGAGATCATTCTCCTCCCCAGGTGGCAGAGCGATGGGTTGAGTGGGAGTCGCGTTTCCTCCATCAGTCGACACACTCAAGACGCGTTTGGCCGGACTGCGAGGTGACGTGCGTCGTCGCATCGCCGGCCGGGAAATCTTCGCGCTTGGAGGGTAAGGCACTGCGAGGGGAGATTGGTGAGATGGGAATAACACAAAGTTGTTTTGTGAGCTGCGTCGAGAGGGCGAAAGAGGAGATGAGATGTAGGCGGACTTCGAGGGAGACTGATTTCGGGGGTGGAGGAAGAAGTTGGAGCTTTTCGAAGGTGAACGCGATAATGAGCGTCGTAGTTGTCGGATGGCAGAGCTAGCATCAACGTGGTGGATCCCCGAGTGTGAGGCGAGATGCAGGGTGCCGCCGGAGTCCCGGTGCGGCGAGAAGGTAGCGACCATGATCGGGGGAATGTGTCAAGGTGCCGCGCAACGAGAGGAGAATGAAGAGCGCGTCACGATCCCAATCGCGTTCCAATCAGACCGAGAGGAAACCACAAAAAAAGAGAAGATCGCGGGCGAGATAAAAGGTCGAGATTCAATCCAAGCGTTGGGTTGTCGATGCGAGTGTCAACACAATCGCACACCACGAAACCTCCCACGGGGATCGAGGGTTGATGAGTCAAGGGTGGAAGGATGAAAGGCAGGAATGTTGGGAAGGTGCGAGTGGCAATGCAAAAAGGACGGAGTCACCCACTCGCATGGAATTCACCATGCGCCGACGCGGTTCACACGCGTGCGATGTTTTTAGATCCGATGCGCGAATGTCTCAGGACATCAACGCGATCACTCAAAATAGCCAATCCAGGGAGCCGTGTCTTAGACCGGGGGTTTTCCTCGAGAGCCAAAAAGTGCAAGGGATAGATCCGAGCACAGTTGGGCGATAGTGACCCACGAGGAGGGGTGGAATCCAGGTTAGGCCTCCAAGGGACCAAGGTGTGTATGGGTAGGGTTAGGCGTATTCGTAGTAGGATCGCAGGGCCACAGGACCAAAGGGGATTCAAGGATGAAAGAAGCCAAGTTGAGGAATGCGACAATATCAGAAGGTAAAAAGTAGAAGGCTGATTCGATTAACGCGAGTCGCGTTGTTATCGAAGATGCCCAAAGTGGGTTAGGGTGACGCGTGATAGACAACAATTATGTCAGCATAAACACAATCACGGGTCTGATCTATAACCCTTTCTTAGGTCGTTTATGCCCTTTAACAGTTGTTAAGCAGTTGAACTGTTTAGCTGTTTAGCTGCTGCTGTTTAGCTGCTGCTGTTTAGCTGCTGCTGTTTAGCTGAGAATAAAACAAAAACACAGCTGGATTTCATCTTAATATCATCACAAATCAAGAAAAAAAAAGAAAGCAGTCGCACGGCCCCTGCAGTACCTGACGCCACCCCCAATAAACAACACCAACTCGTCTACTTCCGCCATTGGCCTTTTGAATTTCATGTCATGAACTATTCCGTTGTATCCCTTGTTAGAAGAACTAGAAAGAAAATCTCCAGGACCACGCGAAATCGCCCTTGCTTTTGTAAGTGGAAAAAGGCCAAATATGACCCATCAGCCCATTGAAAAAAAGGAAAGAAAAAAGGCAACGCGACGCGGATCCGGTCCGAGTGGCGTAAAGTACCAAATTGCGGGACAATCTGCCCATACGACTCCATAGTTAGTCAACTCATTTATATGGAGTATCCCACTCCATAACTAGTACCCGACGGTCTCTACACCGCGATTCCCCTCAACTCATGTACAAGTACTTGAAATTAGCAGATCTGAAGATTTAAGATTATCATGTACCATGTACTCTGTACTCTGTACTCTGCCACTGTACAAGTAATGCAATGTAGCTGAAAATAGGAACTGCACAATTCTCTAAGAATTCGTAAAGACTGCTCGTACAGACGACTCCACGATCCCGAGATCGTGGGTCCCGCCGTCACTCATCAAATCATAAGTCTATCTCTAGTCACTCCGTAGTGAATGCAAAGACCAAACCCGACCACCAAATCTGATACATGGAACAAGGGCAGTGTACACGTCCAACTCCAGAAACCAAAAAAAAAAAAGCAAAATAGATCCCCTATGCACATGCACAGGGAGCCCCATAAATAGAAAAAAGAAAAGAAAATAGATTCCCCGCAAGAAAAACCAAGTATTTCCGATTCCGGACGGATATGGAGAAAAAGCATCCCTAGCATAGAGCTTCTACATGAATTCGAAGCCTGTCACTAGAGTATCCATCTCCCGCTTCATGGAGACGATTGCAGCATCCGCAATTTCCGGAGCAAGTCTGCAGGACGGAGCAAAGAGGCCGAAATCCAATCTGCCCTTGCGAACAGCTGCTTCGACGTCGATCGTAGGCTGTCAAGAGATTAGCATTAGCATATGCATTTGCATTAGTGCGGAAGGCTGATGTGCATGATCATACCAAGAAGGCCGTTGGGACGCTAAGATCCGCACCGGGTGGCGTAAGACCATTGCTTTTAAATCTTTGGTTGTCCGAGGGAATTGTCGCGCTAAGATTTTCCAACTCCTCGCGTTGAATGGATGTGAGTGAAAGCTTCTCGTTGCCAGGTGCCTGCTCAGGGAGTCGCAGGAAATTGACGCAGGTGTCGATTTGGAGGCCGGTCCACTCGGCAATTTCCAGGAGTGATACGCTGGAGTACTCTGGGAGGCTGATTTCGGTGATGTCTGCTTGAATCCGTCGGGCGGCGTCTAGGAGGGTGGTGGGGGAATCGCTGAGTTTGTCGTCCAACCGTAATGGGACGATGTTGACGGTCGGGATGACTGATTCGGCCAGTCCATCTAGAGAATGCGATCGATTGGCAAGGTACAGTCCGACAATTAACCGCCCGGGTGACCCTGCATATCCCGTTTCAGATGCAAAGTGTTGCATATGCACCCGGGCATAGATGGCCAGGAAGATGGTCTGAATGCTGAGACCCTGGCGCTTAGCGACCTTTTCGATGCTGGCCATGTTTGGCACCAAACCTGGCCTGTAGTGGTGCTGCACCACCCCGAAACCACCCTCGCTCTTAGGCGCCGTTGGAGTTGGGCCTAGATACTTTTGCCAGAATTGGCGTCGGACATGCACGGGCGAATGCACATGCTGGAATGCCACAAGTTGCGACAGACCAAGGTTGGAGTTGATGGTCGAGTGAGGGGATATCGCGTCCGCATGACAGTGCGAAACTAGTCTGTCTAGGATATGGGGCAGACTGATCCCATCGTACAGTGCGTGGTGGATTTGCAAGACAAGCGCCGTCCCCTTGGCCGTTTGACAAGCATGCAGTGCAGCTGGCACAGCCCCAAATTCTTGCTTGAGACTGCTTGAAACAAGATCTGGATCAAATCTGGAATGCCAGATCACTGGAATGTGCACCGCCTCAAGTTCCACCTGGATGTACGGCAAAAGCCGAGACTCTGTGCGGAGGAATGTGGTGCGGAGCATCGGGGTTTGATTCACCACCTGGGACCAGGCGTGGTCAAGTGTCTCGGGGCTTAGTTGCTCTGACAACATATAGTAGAACTCTGGATAGAACACTTCGGGGTTCACTGTATGCATCGCCAGGAAGTAAGTCTGTCCTGCAGTCGTAGGGAACGCCCTGACTACTTGCTGTGCGTCAACACCATGCGATTCAATCAGCTGCTGAACATCGATGTCACCCAGCGAATCCCGGAGGACGCTCGATATGTCAATAACTGAGAAGTCTGGCTGGCTGCTGTTGGCTACGGTGGCCATATTCTCGATTGAACCAGCGCGAAGCATGTCGCTGACGGCAAGCCTGACAGACTGTTTCTTCAGCAGTGCCGCAACCTTGATGGCACTGATACTGTCAAGACCAAGCTCGAAGATGGTAGAGCTCTTTCCAATGGAGTCTTCCGACACTCCGGAAGCGATGGAGAGAACATTGCGAATCTTGGACTCGATGGGCGACCATTCTGTTTGGTGAGTTTCTCGTGGCCCATCGGCCACGACGTCTTGTCCAGTTTCTTCCTTAAAGGGAGATCCTCCGCAAACCTTCACTCCATCATCGGTGAACTCCACCGTCTGTTCAGATGAATCGTGGATGATCGACGAAAGAATGTCTCCCATCTGATCCAAAAGAACAAGAGTATCCGCACCTCCAACAAAATTTCCACGACCGGCCACTCGGCCAACGAGCTTCTCCCCAACACCTTCAACCTCTGCACAGACAGGGTATTCAACGCTTGCTGAGCCACCGGTAGACTTGTACAAGGCAGATGACTCGCTCTGATTATCCACCGGTCGCTTCTGATACATGAACAAAGTATCAAACAAAGCCTGAGACCCGGTATCAGGCCTGGCACGCCGGAGCGGGAAATGCTGGTGCTCCGACATTGCAAGCAGAGCCTCTTGCACGTACTTGACAAGCTCGACACGCGTACCATGAAGTACAATGCGCATGGCTACCGTATTCATAGTTGGGAACATCACATTCTCGGAGTCGGCGACATTGCGCCCAGAAAGGACCAGTCCAAAGGCCACGTCCAGTCTTCTGACATGCGTGGCGAGAACAAGAGACCAGCAGCTGACGAGAAGAGCTTGCAGGGTAATTCCATGGCGTTTGCAGAAGGTCTCGGCGTTGGAGAGCGGGACGGAGAATGCCTTTTCTGCACGGTGGACAGCTGCTGATCCCTCTCTAGAGTGCTCCATAGGCAAGAAGGGCGCTGGATTGAAGTTCGCTAGGGTTGAGCGCCAGTACCGAAGTGCTTCGTCGCCCGAAGACGAGATGATTTGCTCGAGAATATCGTTGGAGGATGGACGGGCGCAGTTGTCGCCAGCATAGGACCTGGCAACATCCTCATGAAGCAAGTTGATTGACCAGCCATCGTAGAGAGCGTGTGCAATTGAAAGGACAAGGTAATGCTTATCTCCATCTACTGCAATAGTCACAGAGAGCAAGGGACCGCCGACTTGCCCATTGCGGGCCTTTGACACTTGAGTCTCGATAATGGATTCCACAGAAACACCATGCAAGTGCACAGTGTGGATGTCAATGTGGTCCTCACTATGAACAATCTGCGCATAAGAAACAGCAATCTCAGGATCCCAGACCTCAACAAATGAAGTCCGAAGAATAGGGTGAGCCCTGATGACCGCTCTCCAAGCTGCCTCCATTCTTCCGAGATCAACACCTGGCTCGAGTTCGAGAATCTCGTGATTATAGTAATGCTCATATCCAGAAGTAGTCATCTCTGCTACCATGGCTTCTTGAATGGGTGTAGCTGGTAGAACCCGAGTAGCATCCGTGGGAAGGGCGCCTTCGCTTTCCAGGTATTTGACCAGTGACTTCTCCAGTTTCTCGAGCAGGGAGGAATCGCCATTCTTAGCATGGCCATTTGCCATTGAGAGTTGTGCGCTCATGGCCTTCACTGTACGGTGGCGCATGATGGAACTCACTGGGAGTTTGGTTCCGGCTTTGCTGAGTCGAGATGAGATCTTGATTGCGTCGATGCTGTCAAGTCCGACCTCGAAGATAGATGTATTCTCGCCAATAGACTCGACTTCAACACCAGCAAGAGTTGAAATGACATTGCGAATAGTTAAAGCATGAGGAGTCCATTCGAATGATGAGCCGTTGATTTGGTCGCCATTGATGTGCTCGCCATTGACATGTCTCGGCTCATGAGCATCCACCCCATTCGTGATAGGCTGGTAATCACCATCAATCTTCGGCAACGCTCTGTCTGGATCTTGAGCGAACTGTGAGAGAATTGTCTCGAATTTCGAAAGCAGTTGTCGAGTCTCCTCCAAAGAGACCACATCGCCCTTGGCGGCAAGGGTGACAGTCAAAGATTGATTGCCATTGCGCACAACTTCAAAAGCAAGGGGGTACTCATGCTCGGCCTCTGAGCTGACAGTCCGCCAGAGATCCTTGGCCAAAGGCTCAGCATGGTCATCTTCCCTTTGGAAGACAAACAAAGTGTTGAAAAGTCGCTCGTCGGGACTCTTGCCGAGCCATTTCACAATTTCTCGTAGAGCAGTGTACTGGAAGGGGATCATGGATACATGATAGTCATGGCAGCGACGAGCGACATCGGCCCAGGACTCCAAGCCAAGGAGCTGGACATTGCTTGGGATCGTGTTGAAAAGAGGACCGATCACGTTTTCAACTCCTGGTACATCGATGGTCCTGCCCGAGGCAATGATACCAAGTGGTGGCACAAATGAGTATTGCTGCTGAAGGGCTAGGAGCCAGCATGTGTGGAGTACAGCTTGTTCGGTGACATTGAGAGAGCGGCGCAGGTGATCAACCGGGTCGGTACCTTTGATCTGAGCCTTGTGAAGGATCGGTGTATCCTCCGTGCCGTTCTCAGCGAACGGCCGGTCATGGCAACCTGCAAGATGTTCTTTCCAGAATTTCTCCGCCGCAGGGTCCTTGCAAAGAGGACCGAGGTGCAAAACATCAAGGAATTCGGGAGCTTTCTGCGCATCCTTGCTTTGGCCGAGATAGTTCCGAGCAACAGATTCAAGGAGAAGAACCAAGCTGTTTCCATCGTAAAGAGCATGGAATATGTTCAGACACATCACCGACTGGTCAGGGGAAGAGATAACACCAACTTCCCAGAGCTGGGCTGCGAGGCCATCGAGCTGAGAAGTCCATGCTTCATGCCGTTGTTTGCGCGCACCATCGATACCATGCTGGTTCTCTACCGTATCAAAGAACCAAGGAAGTGTATCTTGCTTTAGCACAGCTTGGGCATAGCCATCGGGAGATGGTGCGAATTTGGCGCGCAGCATTTGAACTTCTTTCTGAGTCTTCGCCCAGGCTCCCCGCAGAGTCTCAACGTCGATAGACTTGTCAAGTTCAAAGGTAAAAGACGAACAGTACAAAGGCGTGGTGCTGGACAGGAAGTGGTAAATGATACCCTCTTGAAGTGGCGTGCAAGGCGCAATTTTCTCAGCCTCGTTATCGGAAATGCCAATATGCTCAATGACAGCGTGAGAATTCTTATGAGCAAAGGCTACAATTCCCTGCTTGGCGTTTCGCTGAATTGCCTCCACAGACCCAGAAGTTGAACTCTGAAGAGCAGACGCCATTGCCACGATGGTGGGATGCTTCATGATGATAGAAGGCTGGGCCTGGGAGAAGCCAGCCTCTCTCAAACTCCGCGAGAAAGCGATAACGGAGATGGAATCAAGACCCAGCTCATAGATACTGGAAGACGGTGAAATCATCTCAGTCGATCCAATGAACTTGGTAAGAATATCCACGATTTTCTCTTCATGGGCACTGCCGGTGGGTTGGTCAACACTCAAGGCACCTAACTTCTGGATTTCATCCAGAGTGAGATCCTGATAAATGGCCTTCAAGACCTTCATATCAGCCTTGTTGTTTGCAGACAGCGGGAACCGAGTCATCGGTATGATGTGAGTAGGCACCATATACCCAGGAAGATGAGTTGAGCAAGCGGCCTTGATCTTCGACAACAGGAGACGGTCATCTTCAGAAGATCGAACAGCAACATCAGCACGGGACTTTTTATCTGCGACTGTCGTGAAGAAAGAAACAAGCTGATCCTTGGCTTGTTTAGGGTGAGTGATGACCAAGGTAGCGACCTCATTCAACTCCGGTGTCGCCTGCTTGATCACCTCATTGATCTCTCCAATTTCAAGACGCTGTCCACGAAGCTTGACCTGGTCATCGATGCGCCCAAGGAATTGGAAACTGCCATCATGCAGAATTCGAACAAGATCGCCAGTGCGATAGATCCGATCTTCGAGCTCGGGAAGGTCTTGGAATCGTTCTTTCGTGAGCTCCGCCCTGTTGAGGTATCCCTTTCCGACAAGCGGACCAGAAACACAGAGCTCACCGATTCCACCACGTAGCACGGGAATCGTCGTACCAGGACTGAACACGTAGGATCCCACATTATCGAATTGGGGCCCAATGTTTGAGGCTTTGTCATTGGCAGACATTCGCGGAAGCATAGTGCAGCCGATGGTGACCTCGGTCGGTCCATATCCATTGTAGATCACACCATGCTTGCCCCAAGCATCGAGAATCTCCTGCTTCAACGCCTCACCACCAGTGATGAAGACTCCACGACAGAGCGAAGGCACTTCATCTGGATGAACGAGTCTGGCCAGACTAGGCGTGAGATCGATGTGCGTAATCTGAAGCTTCTGGATCGTCCCCGGTAGATCCTCAAAGAGCAGATCCCGAGGACAAGAGGTCACGCAGATTCCAACACTCCAGCTCCAGTACTGCTCTAGAACACTGACGTCAAAATGGAAAGAAGCAAATTGGAGCCATCGCGACTCTTCGTCCCAGTGACCGGCGAATAGTCTCTGGAAAGCAAGCATTGCCTGCACGGCATTGTCATGTGTGATCTCACAGCCTTTGGGTGTTCCAGTCGTGCCAGAAGTATAGAGACAATAACAAGTGTCATCTGGGTTAATTGGTCTGGCAAGGGAGACATCGGTAGTTGGGACTTCATCGAACAGATTCGGTTGGTCAAGAGCTTGAACATCAATGCCCTCGAGTCTTTCTAACTCGTCCTTCTTGGACAGACTGGAAAGCAAAACCTTAGTCCCGGAGTCCTCCAACATGAACTGTTTGCGAGAGATAGGAGCCCCAGGATCAAGAGCCAAGTAAGCACAGCCAGCCTTCAGAATTCCCAAAATGGCCATCGAAGCTTCTGGGCACTTATCAAAACAGATAGCGACAATACCACCGGGAACTGCACCCTTCTTCTGAAGAAGATGCGCAATCTGATTACCAGATTCATTGAACTGGCGATAACTCCAAGTTCTCTTCTGGAGACTATCGGCAGTCTCACCGAAAGCAAACTCGAAAGCAATTTTGTCAGGAATCCTAAGAGCGTTGACTTCAACAAATTGATGAAGCAGATCCACAGGCGCGGGTATAGGTGCTTCTTTCGCTGGGGTCACTGAGAGCAAGCTGCTACCAACAGAGCCGTGGCTGGTTGCATCCGCGTCGGGGGAGAATATGGTATCCTGCAAAAACCTGTCATACTGATCCAGTAGAACACTAGCCTGCTCTACAGGGACGACATCGCTTCGGAAGCTCAGTGAGATTTGAAGATCGGTCGAGTGAGGGATCAACTCAATGGAGATGGGATACTGGGAACAGTTAGCCGAAACTCAGCAAAAAAAAAGCAATGAATTCACATCAATCTTTGTCTTCTCGTCAACGACATCCCAGCCGGTGGTATCGGAAGCAAATTTCTGGTACACGAAGAGCGTATCGAAGAGCGGCCCATCACTGCCCAACCAGCGCTGGATATTAGCAAGCGGTGAGAACTGATTCTTCACAAGGAAAGCATTTCTTTTCAGTGTGCGATCCAAAAGCTCTCGATTGGCACCCTCGACCCGCAGAGGTGTCGGCACAGTAACCAAACAAGGGAATACGGCATCTTGGGCTGCAGTGGAGAGATTTCTGCCGGAAAGGACAGTTCCAAAAGTCACACTTGACTCTCCAGTATACGCAGAAAGCAAACGGGCCCATGCGGTCTGGGCAGCTGCTTGCAAGGTGACACCAAGGTTGCGACATTCGTCTTCGAGGGACTTGCGGGACTGTGAGCAGCGAATAGAATGGCTGAGAAGTGTACGGTCGTCTGTGCGGGTGGGGTGCAGATCGGGGAACTTGGAAGGGTGGACTTCTGGGGCAAGATCTTTCCAGAAGTTGGCTGATTCACTCTGGCTCTTGCTTTCAATGAGGATGGGGCCGAGGGTTTCTGTTATCGGAGGCCGGGGAGCAAGGGGTTTTCCCTCGTATTTTGCTTTCACGTCTGCGAATATGGCGGACAGAGATTGAGCGTCGTAGATGGCATGTAAAGCAGAGAAATACAAGACGCTGGTCTCTTCACCGGCGTCGACCTCAATACTCCAAGGTGGCTGGTGAAGGTTTTCCAGGATAGTTTTTTCTTGGACAGGAGATCCAACAGAATTCTCATACCAGGGCAGCTCGATGGTGTCATAAGTGAGCATAGCGAAAGGATGTTGTTGATCGCGTAGCTGAACAAAGCCCGTTCGAAGCATCTCATGTTGAGCCACGACTTCCGACCACGCCTCTTTCAAGCGCGTGGAGTTCAGGGAGGTCGAAAATTTCAAGGCCATACGATTGAAGTAAACATCACCATTGGAATGGGTGAATGCAGCCAACATGCCGTTTTGCAAAGGCGTGCAGGGGTAGAGAGATTGTACACCAGAGACTCCAAGCTGCTCACAAATGAGTTGCAGATGTTGATTTTGGAAAGATTCAAAATCATAAACCACTTTCTCGTCCAACTTATCTAGGGAGTTGAGAAGAGATGCAATCTGGTCAATGGAAGCTGCCTCAAGAATATCCCCAGAGGAGATCTTGTACCCCAGTCCACGGAGCTTTGCCGAAATTTGAACAGCGTTGATACTGTCTAGTCCGAGCTGGAAAATTGTCGTGTCTTGGGATACATCTTCTGGCTGGACATCGGAGAATTTGCACAGAATATCACGAACAGCCTCTTCCTGGTATGACCAAGGTCGAGTCTGAAGTGATTTCGTAGTTCGGAAACTCACAGCTTTGCTCGCCACCTGCTCAAATACACCAGGAATCTGCGTCCCCAGAAGTGTCTTGTCAGAAGCTTGCGCAGAGGGGTATTGAGAGATATGTTCAACGAGAGTAACAAAGTCCCGCGCAACACTCTCAGCGGCGACATGTGAAATATGCGATTCCTGGAAATGCATACAGATCTGGACGGTGTTTGCTGCGTCATCTGGTACAATCTCACAGATCAGAGGGAATCCCATGTTTCCTTCGTCTTGAAGCAATTCCCAGATACTCGCATCAAGGCCTGTGTCTCTGTTTTGGAGAATAAGAAGTGTGTCGAAGAGTCTCGTGCCAGCTCCGACAATGCGTTGAATGCGTCTCAGGGAAGTGAGTTGGTGAGGTAAGATGTCGCTGTTGCCTTTTTGAGATGACTTCAGCAGATCGTGGTTCGTTGCCGTTGAAGAGAATTTGATTCGGATCGGGAGTGTATTGAAGCAAGGGCCAACGATCTGATCTGCGCCGTCTAGTGGGATTGTTCGGCAGCTGAATACATTGCCGAAGCAGACGTCTGGGGACTCAGTGTATAGTGAGAGAAGTCTGGCCCATGCAGCGTGGAACACGTTCAAGGGACTGACAGAGAGGTCTTTGCATTGCTGTTTGAATGATCCGAAAGAGGCTTTCAGGGAAGTGTGGATTTGCTGTGAGGCGTAGTTGGCTGCGTTGGCTGTAGGAAGGAGAGTTGGCGAGACACCAGTGAGGTATTGCTTCCAGTATTTGTCGGACCCGCTGTCATCCACCGAGGTCATGTAGTCAATGAACTGATGGAAGGGCGTGGTTGTTGGTAAATCACTGCCCGAAAGTGACAGCTGCAGCTCATGCAAAAGCTGGGATATACCCTCTCCGTCGTAAAGGGCGTGATGAATAGATAACAAGAGATGGGTTTTGTGTGCCGCAGAATCAGTGATCAGGGTCAGGGAGTATGGCAACTGGCCATTGACCGGTGAAATCCCCTCGAACTCTGACTTCTTCTCCTTAACTAATTCATCAAACTCATTTGAGGCGGCTTCGACTTGATTCCAAGGTAAGACAGAAGTGTCCAAGACAACCTGAGCATACGCGAATCGCTTGTCATTAGTTTGCATGAAACAAGTTCTCAGAATGCCGTGTCGTTGCATCATATGAGACCACGCAAGCCTCATAGCCTCAGCATCACTGTGCACAAGAAGCAAAAGATGATTGAAATAAGCAGACTGTCCACCAGACTCTGCCGCAAGCATCGCTTCTTGCAAGGGTGTACAAGGATAGACGTCCTGGACGGAGATGTCTTGGGCTTTGAAGTCGCATTCTACCTGGTGAATGAAATCCCTGTCAAAAGACACGGCAGGCTCACGAGACTCAGTTTCAACAGGTGCAATGTCGTGTCCGTTCTCGTTGGCGATTGGAGGAATGACAGAAGCAAGTTGGAAAACTGAGCTGTGACGCAAGATTGTTGACACTGCAAGTCTGCCACAGCCGGACTCCTGTAGCTTTCGGGAGAAGGAGATAGCAGATAGTGAGTCCAAGCCCAGTTTGTAGAAGGATGTGTGTTTGCCAATGTGGTTCTGGTCAGTACCAGTGATTGTCGATAAAGCTGCGATGACAATCCGTTCCACATCAGTGAGTTCATCATCTTTCTCACTAGTGCTGAGCCTCAGCGAGAAAGTAGCTCGTTCCTGGTCACTGAGTCTGCATAGTCGTTCCTTCAACATTGTATAATCAACCTTGTAAGACGAGGTGATATCAATATGGTCCACAGGAACCAGGAGAGAAGGAACAGAAGAAAGGGGCAAATTCTTCATGAGTTCAGCAAACAAGTCCTTCGTGACCTGTTCGAATTCCGAGTCGGCAGGCCTGCTAGCAGGAACCCAGACCACAGCAAGGTCTTGACCTGATTTTGAATCAAAAACCAGACTGGCAAAATCGTGAACTCCTTCCAAGGACGAAAGTACACGATCAACGGCATCAAGATCAATGCCTCTAAGACCAGAATCTCGCTCAAGAACAATCGTACCATCAGCAAGCAATCTGCCATAGTCACCAGTGCGACAGATATGACCATACTCAGCATGATCGACGAATCGCTCGGCTGGGATCTCCGAGCCAGGAAGATACCTGCCAATATGATCACCGCCAAAGCAAAGTTCACCAACAGCACCACGGGGAAGTAGAGATAAGGAGGTATCCAAAACCACGACAAAAGTGTCACCAAGCGGTCGGCCGACGTTCCGAATGGAGGTCGATTTTCCAATTTGCAAAATGGTGCCTGGGCCAGCGAGCTCTTGCGAGCTATAGGCTTGGTACAAGCCCCTTCCAGCCCAATTGCGATGGACTCGGTAATTCAATTGTTCGCCCGATGTGAGGAGATATTGCACTGTCGGGACGTCTTTGGGGTTGATGTGAGAGGCTAGGGTGGGTGTTAGATGGAGGTGCGTGATGCTTAGCTCTTGACAAGCTTGCTGGAGGTTATCTATCGTTCCGGCGCCCGAAACAGAACACAGTGTAGCTCCATTTTGCCAAGTGAGGAATATCTCGGGAATTGATTGAGGGTGTGATGAGAAGATCTTTGAGCCCGTCGGCGTCGGGTATTGAATTGAAAGTGCGTTGATGTTGCTCTGTAGGCTTTGCCGCGAGAAAAGAACTGTATTCGTGTGCCTGGCTTCCACAACGGCATAGGCAATGTGGGACCCCTTGTTATTATATGGGATGTTGAGGTCATGGTAGACATCGAGTGAATATGACAAGTGGATCCGTTGAACAAGCTTCAAAGGAGGGAGTCGGTGGCTCTTCTCTGCCAAAGAATCGACGATGCAGAATTTGGGTTTCGCCTTGGTGAACAAAGAGTGAATGTCGTCAGATCCCTGGGGGAGAATCAAAACAGCTGCACCAGCCTTGACAATCCCAAGCACAGAAACGTAGAAGTCAATTGACGAGGTGAGGAGAATGGGGATAAGATCGCTCTTGGAAACTCCGACATGGAGCAACAAGTGTGCAAGGCTATTAGCCCGGGAGTTCAGTTGTCCATATGTGATGCGCTCAACACATGGAGTTGTCTCTTTCCAACTGATCTCCTCAGCTGCTATCCGATGGGGATCCGTAGAAGCGAAAATCTCAACACCCGAAGCTAATGACCACTGGCATTGAACAGCAGGAGCAGCATGGTAAGACAAAGTTTCACGAGGAAGATGCGACCGAAGCTCTGCGATAGAGAGATCAACTCGCTCGATCAAAATCTGGGCCACAGCATCAATCTGTGCGAGCAGCAAGTCCGCCTGTTCAGACGACAAGATTGAATGCTGGAAAGTCGCCCGAGCGAAGATGTGCTTCTCCCTTGGTTCGAACTCAAGTAGCAGAGCGAACTCCAGGAATTCACCGGCATCGACCTCTCTAAACCCAGCATGCTCGTGGGCCCAGATACTCTCTTGCCACACGAGTGCCGTGTCAAAAAGATCCCGGGCCAGATCAATGCCAGAGGCTTTCTTGATATCTTGGAGAGGCAGGCTTCCATGCTCGAGAGACTTGTGGTTCATATTCTGGATAGCCAGGAGAAGATCGGAGACGTTCTGCATTTTCGCAATGTCCATGCGTGTGGGGAGAGTTCTGATACATGGACCGAGGATCGTTTCGATCCCTTTCAGTGGTAGTGTTCGGCCTGAGAACACAGTTCCAAAGGTAATGTCGCTAGTTCCGAGATAGGTAGACAGGATGTATGTGAAGGCCGCTTGGAAGATTGTTTGGCGGCTGACTCGGAGATCATGGCTTACGTCGCCGAGTCTTGAAATGGGTGTTTGAAGAATGCGAGTTGTGTTGGAGGTCTTGGGTTTGACGGTACTACCGTGGAAGGTTGGGAATGATGTCGGCGTTAGGCCTTGGAGTTGGTCGTGCCAATAGGATGTAGAGTCTGTAGATGATTTGCTGAGATTCTGCTCGATGAAGAAATTCGTGACAACGGCGTAGGATGGTCTGGATGACGGCTGTTCTCCGGACAAGATGTCACGGAGGTCTTGTAGCATAATCTGCCACGACCACCCATCATATAAAGAATGGTGGATGTGAACGAGGGCGCGGACACTGTTGGTCTCCTCCTTGATCTGAACTTTGAATGGATTCAAGATATCGTGACCCACAGTCATAGAAACATCATATTCCAATGCATCTACTTGGAACACCTGTGTCTCAAGGTTGGACCAAGTGAAGCGACCGTAGGAGTGATCCTTTAGACCAATTTCCACAAACCCAGATCGCAGGATCTCGTTATGCTCCAGGAGGTGGGAAAATGCAAATTTCAACTCCGTTGGAGTGGTTGAATCAAACTCCAGCTCGATCCAATTGCAATAAGCCCTGTCATGTCTGACAGTCTCCAAGAGCATAGCCTGCTGGATATGACTACAGGGCACAAGCTCTGAGACCGGACCCAGGTTCAAGGTCTCAAGCCGTGCCACGCCCGCATCTGCAACCAACTCCGAGATGGCCTGTAAAGCGGCTTGCGCGTCGCCAGTCAAATCATCGGTTTCCAAGCTAGCGAGCTGCCAGATTCCATCGATTGAATCGGCTTCTATTAAGGCTGCAACTCCAAGACGAATCCCCGCATCCAAGAGATGAGATGCCAGACGGATCGCGGCCAACGAGTCAAGACCAGCAGCAGCCAGACTCTCTGTAGGTGCCAGTCGACGGCCAAGCACATCGGCCACGCACAAGACAATAGCTTCTTCTTTGTCATCGCGAGACTCGAGGTGCACAGACTGCGCGTTATTTCGGTGTTGAATGAAATCGGCCTCTAGAGTCTTGCGATCGATCTTGCCAGAAGGTAATTGAGGGAATTGGTCGACGAGCACAAACTCGCCAGGAATCATAAAACGAGGTAGCAGCTGACGACAGACGTCACGTAAACTGCTATCTGTGACACCTTTGTCTGTAACAAGCACAAAAGCGACAAGATTTCCATCAATGACAAGCGTCACGGCACTGCGAACACCCGAGGCCCGGGTGATAACGTGCTCGATCTCACCGAGCTCGATCCGCTGGCCGCGGAGCTTGACTTGGCCACTGGAGATGCGGCCAAAGCATTCAATCTCGCCTGAAGGCAGCATGCGAGCTTTATCGCCTGTTCGGTAGAGTCGACCGTACAACGGGCTATCGATGAAAGCCTTGGCGTTCTCTTCCGGGCGATTGATATACCCATCCGCCAACTGAGGACCACCCACGACAAGTTCTCCAATCTGACCCAAGGAAAGGGTGCGGAGCTCATTTGACTCGTCAGGGAGGGACATTATGTAGGCCGAGACCGTAGTGAAGGCCGTTCCGATCATGTTGACACGGTCTTTTGATTTGAAATGAGTGGCTGCTGTGCAGTGGATTGCAGCCTCAGTAGGTCCGTACATGCCGTGCAGAATGCCGACCCCGGATTCAGACTGCCCGAATTCATCCACCACGTGCCTAGTGAGCATCTCACCGATTGTCAGAAGGACACGGAGAGAGGGTGCTGCAGCCCGCGTGCGTAGTAGCTCGCCTGCTACCGTGGGGGTCAACTCTGCAGCATCGACTTTCATTGTAGTCATCACATGTGAAATATCAAGGAGCATGTTCTCTCGCTCGGAACCGATCAGAGTGGCTCCTCGCATCATTGGGAAAAAGACTTCAAATACAGAAACATCAAAGGTTGGGGATGCAAATTGCAAAAATCGCTTGAATTGGGGTATCAAATCGTCATGAGCAAGGAGTGATTGGGTGGCAGCAAGGTGGGATACTCCGACGCCTTTGGGGCGGCCGGTCGATCCAGATGTGTACATCACATAGGCCAAATGGGGGGTGTGATCGATAGAGAACGGCTCTATGGGGGTTTTGTCGGTTTGAAGGTCGTCAACAGTAAGAATAGAGATGTGGTCCTTGGGTGGTATCCTCGAGGCAAGTGCCCCGTTGGTAATCACCACCGAAGCAGCCACATCTTGCAGAATAAACTCGATCCGGTCTGTCGGAGCATCGGTATTCAAAGGACAGAATGCAGCGCCAGATTTGAGAATTGCCAACCAGGCGATGTAGAGTTCCACCGACTGCGGAAGAAGCACCGGCACGACCCTCTGACCCGCATCTGTCGAAGCACGAGCTATTTCACTCGCGAGCTTCGAGGAGAGTCGATCCAAATCATGGTATGACAGGCAGAGCACGTCTCCATCCGCCGCGAGAAACTCAATTGCGTGGTTTGAATCATTGAACCCGCGCAGGGCCAAGTCATGAAGCAGCCCCGGGCCAGGCAGTATCGCAGGTTCTGGGTTGGCAATCGCCAAAGTCGGGACCTCCACGTCAGACAGCTCTATCTTGATATCCTTGAGAGCTGCCTGCTCCTGGACGATCTGCTTCAACTGTTTTCCCAGCTGGTACAAAAATGGAGCATCCATGCCTCCGGTCGCACACAAGGCTCCCGATTGCGAGGTGGGGTCCACTGTCCACCGAAGGGCGGGGGCATGTCTGCCATCGTCGAACAACGGATCTCCCAGCACCACGGCCGTGTGTTTGACGGAGAGATCCGCCACGGATGCCAAATCAGCTGGTTGAACTGTTTGGGTTGATAGATCTGCTTTGACGGGAGCCCCGTTCAACAAAAAGACCGGGTTTTCATCGGTTGTGAATGCACGTAGCAAGACTGCCCATGACAAGGCCAAGACCTCGGATGGGAGTTGGTGGTCGAGGTTCCAAGGAATGACATGGACGTCCTCGCCGTCGTCATTGACGGCCGGGAACTGTGTGAACCGATCCATGTTTGATTTTCTCTTTTTTCGCTCTCAGAATATAGTTACTGCATATTCGAGGCTTATAGATGGGTCTGCTTATGCGGATTTAATAGGTGCGCTGTGAGTGGCTGGTCTCGCAGGATGCAGGCAAGCGCGCGAAGAGAGGGTTCCCACACACCAGGGGATTTGCGAGTTAAAAAAAAGCAAAGAGGGGGAAAAATGAGACCTTGAGAACCACCGAGTTCATGAAGGATGATCTTTGGCGAGCCAAGCGCCGTAACCTAAGGGTAAGGTTGGAGGGGTTGAGTGGGTGCCTGAACCCGAAGCCTCTGCGCTGACTGGCGTCTTTACCCTTGACTTTTTTCCCGCAAAACTATAAACTGTCGTTTTTCGAGTATCTCAATGAATATCATCGGACTCGACCTGCCACTGTCATCTGACAGTTGAATCGAAGATCATACCATATCCCCCACTATGGTCGAATCATCGGTGACGTCTTGACCTGTAATGGGTAAATTACAGATACGAAGTACTTAAGTACGAAGTATATTATGGTGGATTCTCGGTATTCTATGTATTAGAAGTATTCCTTGGAAGGTAATCCTGGTATATTTTGTCAGATGGAATCTAAATTACCCGTACTTAACGTTTACTTAAGTAACAGGCCAATACATATTTCTCCGGAATACCCCGTAGAGTACAATGGACTTGTACTAGCAACTATACCGAGGTGTACGCGTACTAGTAGGGTTGCAGTGCTAACCTACTCGTATAAATTCCTAATACTCGAAATCCAAAAAGAAAACTAAACAAGAAACTAAACAATAAAACTAAAGAATACTCCGAATCATAAGCTGGTCAGGTCCATTGTGCGGAGGTATTTTCCTGATTAGCTGCATAACATTCTCCACTGCAAACGAGCTCAGTGCGTTGCCAAGAAACGTGTCGACACGCAGGAGGAGATGACCTGACGCTCTTCTACTCCTTCCGGACTGGTGCCGACTCTCTCAACCCATGATTTCCCGACATCGGCCTTTCCCAGTGCGCGGTTTAGAAATCCCCGACCTCTGGCTGGTGGAAGAAGGCGCATGAAGCGTGAAACCCTTTATTCTGCGACAGGATTTGAGCTATGGTGTACTAATATTTTAAAAAAAATAAAAAAATAAATGTTCATTTAGTGTTCTTTTGCATGATCGTGCATATCCAGACCTTTGGGGCTCGGAGAACATAAATACCGGGATCTCTTCAAGACGAATGGCGCCAGACAATTTAAAAAAAACACTGGAATAATCCCAAATTCCAAGGAAAAAAACGAAAAAGGCAAAACCTAAGACAAGTGGAGCAGACAAGACCATCGCTGATTGATAAAAAAAAATCAGACAAAACCTGGTAAATACAAGGTACACGCCTTGGCATCACCCAAGCGAGAGCTTTTGACGACCGTCGGTGGTATCCACTTGTCTTTTTTTTTATCTGATCCGCTGCGAAGTACATAAACCCTCCCCTCCCCAAGTTCTCTTGGTTCTCTGTTTAACTTTCAAGGTCTCGAATCATGGAGCCTATTACCCGCAAGTCAGAGCTTCCCTTCCTCGAGATGGTCCGTACTCCTCAAACGGGCCGGTCGCTACTGCGTCCCACCGGCTCCGACGAGATGCACGACCTGCTCTGCGTGGGTTTCGGACCAGCCTCACTGGCTATCGGAATTGCACTGAACGATGCCATGGATCCTGCCCTGGGTTCCAAGGCCAACTTCAAGCCTAAGGTGACCTTCCTGGAGAAGCAGAACCAATTCGCTTGGCACAGTGGTATGCTGGTGCCCGGCTCTCGCATGCAGATCTCTTTCATGAAGGACCTGGCCACCATGCGTGATCCCCGCAGCAGCTTCACCTTCCTCAACTACCTGCACCACAAGAACCGTCTGATCCACTTCACCAACCTGGGCACATTCCTGCCTGCGCGCATGGAGTTTGAGGATTATATGCGCTGGTGTGCCAACCGCTTTGAAAATGTCGTGAACTACGGCGAGGAGGTGGTGGAGGTTGTCCCTGGTCAGACAGATGCAAGTGGTGTGGTGGATTACTTCACAGTGGTGTCCCGCAACACTGGCACTGGCGAGATCTCCTCCCGCAATGCCCGCAAGGTCGTCATTGCTATCGGTGGAAAGGCCAAGATGCCCCCTGGTTTCCCCAATGACCCCCGCATCATGCACTCCTCCAAGTACTGCACCACTCTCCCTCAGATGCTGAACGATGATATGGCCCCCTACAACATTGCCGTTGTCGGTAGTGGCCAGAGTGCCGCTGAGATCTACCACGATCTCCACCGCCGGTACCCCAACTCACGCACGACTTTGATCCTCCGTGACACTGCTCTCCGTCCCAGTGATGACTCTCCCTTGTAAGATCCACCCCACACTCAAAAAAAAACCAAACTAACCACCCCCAGCGTCAACGAGATCTTCAACCCCGAACGCGTGGACAAATTCTACGAAATGTCCGCCGAAGAGCGCAAGCGCCGCATCGCCATCGAAAAAGCAACCAACTACAGCGTCGTACGCCTCGAACTCATCGAAGCAATTTACAACGACATGTACCTCCAAAGAGTCGAAAACCCCGACGAAACCACCTGGCAACAACGGATCCTCTCCGAATCCAAAGTCGCCCGCATCGAACACCACAACCCCTCCAGCCGCATGCGCATCCACGTCAAGTCCGTGAAAAACGAATCCGAAAAGGAAGTCCTGGATGTGGACGCCCTAATGGTCGCAACAGGCTACCTGCGCGATGCGCACGAGGAAATGCTCGACAACGTCCGTGGCCTGCAGCCTGCTGGTGCAGCTGGCTGGAACCCCGGCCGTGATTACCGGGTTACACTGGATGCGAACAAGGTCGCTGCTGATGCGGGCATTTGGCTGCAGGGTTGTAATGAGAAGACTCATGGATTGAGTGATTCGTTGCTTTCTGTTCTGGCTGTGCGTGGTGGGGAAATTGTTAACTCTGTTTTTGCGGATCAATTGGCTGGCGTGGTGCAGGACACCCGTGTGCGTGCCATGCTTTAAGCTAAAAATGTTTTTCTGGTGGTTTAGATATATTTTTTAGAATGCATTAATGAGCTATTTGCTATGCTATTCATTTCAATTCTGTTTCATGTGGTAATCCAGTGTTCCCATTGTCTTTCTCCAAGGTTTTTTTTTTCCTGCTCACTTTTTTTTTAAAAAAAAAAAAATGAAATCTCCACAAAATCAGCCCAATCCTCGGCCTTACTCCGACCTGAAACCAAGTAGGCAAATAGCTCCGACTGTCAAGCAGTGGAGATGGTAACAGAATAACAATACCGCATTACGCACTCCCGTCCCTTGGCGAAAAGAGAAATTCAAAGCCGAAAACGCCAACCGCCATAGCCGGGACAGATTGATGCCGATCACTATACCTGTTAAAGAGAGTCTAGATTTGCAGAGGATCAGGGTCTTCTAATTATCGTACCATCCTCCAACCTACTAAGTACTTGTACTTGTACTTCTAAAAATGTACTTGTACCCAAAAGCCCTCAGATCAAGATCAAATCAGATAACAGCAAGTGGGTCCTGCAGGATCAGATAACTTGAAGAGTTTTTATCAGATCAGATGCCTTGGCAGAGTACCACCACATTAACTACCTAAGTACGAACTAGACCATTATACCATTTAGTACATGGCTGAAACACGGTTCGCAATCAGGCCTGACCGTAAGTTGAGATGGATAATATGCCAATCACCTGCCTAAGTTAGCGTGGAGTTTGCTGTCTGTAACTGTGTGTACGCACTTGTAATGCAATTGTGTCCAGGGCTAGCCTATTGCGATGAATTGAACCAAGTGATACGAGTATATTTTGCCTTTCTGTTACCTCTACCCAATACGCCGCTTTAATTTCGGAATCACCCGTTCCGAGTCGCTTCTACTCGTAAAGCTTCTGGCCAATGTGGGAAGGTTAGTCAAATTTTTAATTAAAGAGTAAGCTGCATGTTTGCCCTGCATGTGAACTTTACTAGCTGTCTAGGCGGTACTTGGTACTTGGCACTTGGCACTTGGTACATGGGTACTTGGGTACATACTTCTAAGTTATGTACAAGTAGAAACTAGACAGGGCCTGCCACTTGAGCACACACCTAGATACCCCCAGCCTTGGACCGGCACCCGAGATAAGATCCATCTCGGCAGTGGCGATATCGGATGTCTCAAAGACGGCGGTCTATTCCGCCCACCCTCGGTTCCTCGGTTTGACTGTGGAGTTCTGCAATGGAATGGAGTCTGGAGTTGAGCTCGGGTTGACTAGCCCGGACTTCAGGTGTGGATCCTTGAGTATTGGGATGAGCTAGAGGGAAGCTGGGATTCATATACCATCCTCGGACAAGTACGAGTAAGCTTTTAGCTGGGATGTCAGGCCACACCCGGAAGGCCAAGAGTCCACAGCTGCAGGGCTCAGATCAAAAGTACATACAGCCTGTACGAGGCGACTGGTACAGGCTCGAACCTGTATTGTATGCGCTGGCAATGCAGGTACGAGTACCGGTGTACTCCGTATGAGGCCAATCGGCTGAATTGCAGAAATTCCAAGCTTTACCCAGGAAGGTATATTTCCAGAATTATCTTATCTGATCCGCTTTGAGAGAGATGGTTTCATTAACTGTACATCTAAATGCAAACATTCCCACATGCCCAATGCAACACCGCGCTGATCAGGCGGAAAAACAAAAAAATACAGTGGTAATTTAAACCACGTGCTCGGGATCATCGCCTGCAATGCTGCGATAGCCGGGTCCTTCGCTTCTCCCGGTGTGCATGCGCATCGGGGTTTCGTACATATCGTGATAATTAACGATCTCGCCGCCCAGCATGGCGGAGCCGTTGTTCCGCTTGCCGAAGAGGGGTGCAGGGTCGCACCAGAAGTCGCGGCAGTTAGTGACCACGCCGCGGGAGAAGGGGTTGCGGGGACGAGCTGCTTGGGGACCGTCGCGGAGACCGTCTTTGGCAGTGGTCCAGAAGGCATCCACGCCTAGGAGGGAGGACCATTGTGCGATGCAGCCGTGCTTGCGGCGGGGTGGGGGTGGGCCGCGGAGGGCTGGGTTGGGGCCTTGGCCGGCGGCGGTGAAGCCGGCGGCGTCCATGGAGGTGGTTCCGGCGGTCATGGCAGATGCAAAGGCTTGGGAGCTGGGGTAGGAGCGGTCAATGTGGTGGCCGCGCATGTTCTCGTAGGTGGTTTGGTTGCGGGAGATCTGGATGAGTTGGACGGCGCACAGCATCGTGACCCAGACGAGCTGGAGGGTGATCCAGATATTAAGGACTAAGGTGAAGGTGTCGCGAGAGGCGTAGTCGCACAGGACGTCGTTGATCACATTACACGTAGCGTTGCTGGGGGCAGGGAGGGAGTTGATATCTGCTTCGTTAGCACTTCTTCGTGTTACCGGGGGACAGATCTACTCACAGGCGAAGGTCAACTGTACAAACAGGATAATGCCGACCTGGAGAGAGACAATGTAAAGAACAAAGTGTCGAAGGTTGTTTGACCCCACACAGTTATCAATCCATGGGCAGTGGCTGTCAATGGTTAGTAACTTGGTCAAGAAAAGCCATCGAACAAACATACTGATCATGCTTTGCAACACAACGTCCACAGCGACGACAGTGCTTACTGCGGAGTGGCTTTCTCGTCATGCAAGGAATACAGAAGTTCTCCTCGTCAAACTTCCATTGCTCGAACAGTTCCTTGACAATCTCTCTCTGGTGGTTCCGGCTGTTCGATTTCGGGACATAGCCGGGGTCCTGGACCATAGCGAAAGTGTAGAAATACGCGGTGGTGCAGAAAAACACCGCAAAGAAAATGTTCAGTATCGGGTTCGAGGCGTATGTCGCCGGCAGGACCTTGAAAACGTAGCGGAAACCAACCCAGAACAAAGTTCCAGCAAAAACACCGGCTAGATACGGCGTCTTCTGCAAAATGCGGTATTCCGGCGGGCCCTTGTTTGCAAGTTGCTGTGCAACATACTGCATGCCAAACACAGTCACCAACACGAGAGGAACCGACATGAAAATCGCCAGATGGCTGAGCATCCACAGCGCAACCAAAATTGTCAACCAAGGCCACAGGAAGAAGAACTTGGCCATAATGCTCTTGTTGCGGACGAAGCTTGACAGCCCCATGGGCACCACCTTTTGCGAACCATCAGCCTCGTACCCGCGCTCACTGAGGCAGCGGTACCACACACGCGAGGTGTTCATTTCTTGCGCGACAGTCGCGGGAGACTTTCCGTCGCGAGTCTTTGCAAAGCGATCGGTGCCATATTCCAGCAGCTTGAGGACACAAGGCATCGAGCCCTTGACCAGCGCCCAGTGGAGTGGCGTCAGGCCACCTTCATCCACGGCGTTCGCATTGGCGCCCCAGCGCAAGAACAAGTCCACACACACCGGGTATCCCTTGTATGCAGCCCACATCAGTCCAGTGTGTCCTTGTTGGTCGACCACGTCCACGGGGATTTCCTGGTGCAGGAGTAGCACAAGCAAGAACGCATTGCCGTCGATAGTCGCCAAGTGGAGGATATTGTACCCTTGAACGTCGGTCAGGAGGGGGTCACCACCGCTCTGGAGCAGGAGGTTCACGATGTAGTAGTGACAGCGCTGCGCGGCCCACATGGCAGGAGTCGCAACTGATTCTCCTCCCTTGGCATTGACGTCGGCTCCGGAATCGATGAGGAATTTACACATCGCATATTGGTTGTTGATGGCGGCCCACTAGAACGAGAGTAGAGTGTCAGTGATGATCTGTGGCACGGGTTGCGGCGAGAACGAACGTGCAAAGGTGTGATGCCCTCCTCGTCGCGATGGTTCGCGGTGAACCGCTTCGCTGTGAATAGGTTCTGCATGGCGCCAATTTCTCCCATGCGGGCCAATTGCATCACATCCTCGCCCAGGGGAATTGAGCCCTTGGGGGGATCGGGGCGTAGGCTCTTCATCTCCACCTCATTCGGAGTGTCGTTTCCGCCCGCCGCGGACGGAGATCCAGAGGTCTGACCCGGGCTTTCGCCTCGGGATTCTGTTATAGAGGGTTTGGCAGACATGTTATGTGTCGATGTCGAGAATGGAATAGGGGACTTGGTTCGGAGATTCGGGGTTGGTTTCACAGAGAGATCTCCAGGGACATCGCGGTACCTCGTAGGTGCAAAATCGTTCAAGTCGTCAGAGAAAGTCCAGAGCTCCGGTCCACAGAGATGAGGAAAGTTGAAGGTCGACGGTCCAAAGTCGAGTCGAAAGTCGAAAGTCGACAGGGCGGACTTTTTGCGGTAACGATTTGCGGCGCTAACGACACGTCGACTCTCGGGATTAACCAAAGTCGAACTGGTACTCAAAGATATTCGTAAACTCGTAAACAATTCAAAATCGCAAAACTCCAAAAATCCGTAATCCGCCTGATTACTCAGCACAGGCAGCCGCATTCGAGCCTTTCCTGCTTCTCGGATACTCGGTAGTATGGACTATCGTGTATAATCCAAGGTTATAACCTTGAATCGTCAGAAAAGGATTGTGGCTGCCGCGTATTGGCAAATGGAGTACTATCGGTATATATGACCCACGTACTCCGGGGCCGTACTCCATACTCGTAGGGCTGAAGTCCTGCATCTTGCATGTCCAACATCTTAGTGACTGATCTGATGTCTTCAATTCCGAGAAAATTCCCATTGGTAATGGTCGAGGGGGTACTGTTTCTCGGTGCCCTGTGAAGGGATGTTTTAATTTCTTCACACGCTTGCTGCCTCCCCGACAAGGAGAATTCGAACAGGATTGCCTTCATGACCATATCTGTCCACCATTTTCTGGCATCTGTCATGTACTTAAGTATTTTTGGTCTAGGGAGTTGTAATGAGAAGAGTCAGATTGTGCTCCAGGGCTACAATTCCAAGGTTACGGTGGCCATCGGTTAAAGTGGGAAGAACAAAGAAACGATGAAATCAGGCAGCGGGATACATGGTTCAATTAGTCCCATTGAGGAAGACTTCGAGCTCTTGAAATAATAGAACACTTGAGCATCTATGAATATTACGATTCCCGGGCTTCATGGAAAGACTCCCCCCTGGCCATCTTATAGGTAGGATGTAGCTGATGCAAATCTGGATGATGATACTCTTGCAGATTCACGCTATACTCAATTTCTAGTTTACTGGGATGGGACACGATTTATAAATTACTCGATCACTCGATCATACATTCTGATTCAAGATGGACAAACTCACATTAAGAAGAAAGGACTAATATCAAGGGTTGTTCTGCTTAATATCACATTCACTTAGCCTTGGAGGGCAACATGAACCTCAGGACAACTTACGTTCCAAATTGCACAGTCCAGACTCCGAGAGATGGCGGCTGAGCATCTACTTGCGCTTGGTATCGCTGTCACTGTCCTTAAGAGCAGTCAGTTCACAAGCCCACGCGGGGATAGTCCAAGCCGGCGCCGACTTTCGATACTTAGCCTCGATCTCCTCTTCAGACCCCGGCAGTCCATCTCTAGTGGCGATATCGCTCCATGTAACTTCGCGGATCTGTCTTGTCATCCGGTCAATCATGCTCAACACAAAGGCATGGGGTACCTTGCCATCACCCCCAATGAGGCCAGCCACGTCCCTGATGACACCTGACAGGAAAGCGCACTTCTCTGGCCAACACACGCCGATAAGTTCATTGTTCTTGGTAGGACGGGCCCAATCTTCTACGCTCTTGCTAGCCTGGAGCAGGCTTTGGGCAATTGCGGATTTCTTTTTGCCGTTCATATAGTCAGAACCTACCTGCTGGAGTTGAGCGAGTAGTTGCTTTCGCTCCTCGGCGAAAGATCGGCGGGCGGCCTTCTGTTCGATTGAGTGCATGATGTAGATTGGTTTGTGTTGGAAAGTGGTTTCTGATATGTTTAGTAGAATAGATGATTGCTTGTGTTGATGCTCTCTATACTTGGTGGAAGGAGTCGACCTTTATAGTCGAGGACAGCCCTCGAGAGATTTGATCACTCTTGTGGACTTCAATGCTCCTTTGATGATTGTACCAACGCCTTTGTCCATAAATAAAGACAATTGATCGAATTATGCCCGTACAAAGGCGACAAAGCAGCCCAAAAACCCACCAATGGCTCTTTCAGGTCTATACTTATCACTCCATAGCGAAAACCGGGGCCAGGAACTGTGGGGTTGCAATATAGCCAGATCCTTGCTTCTTAGCAATCAATTTAAGACGAGCTAAGCCTTATAACCGACCAATTGGCCAATTACACGGTGGATATAACAGTGGTCTGATATAGAGATCCATCACAGTGCTAAGCAGACGAACGCCAAGCTCCACTTCCGACTTCCTGTATCTCCGCATCAACACAACAATGATGAAAACCCCCGTCCTATCGATTCTCAAGGATCGAGACATTCCACACAAACGGGATGTGATTTTATCTGCCTTTGAAGATCCCCGGAATGCGGAGTGGGCCTCCACGTATCTCCGCCCGGAGACGTTGCTCTCCAAGGACGAGCTCGCGCTGTAAGCATCGACAGTCCTCAATTGCAGGCACTCACTGATCTCCGATCCAGTTACACCAAGCTGCACAGCTCGGGTGCACTCCAGCCCATCCTGAATGACCCAGATCTTGGCGCGACACGGCCGATCCTCGAAGACGACCTCCGACACGCGATCGAGTCCCTCGAAGCTTCGACGGCAACAGTTCAGAAACAAACCGAGACACTGAAGCGGCAATGTGAGACTCTCAATAAACAGATGGTTCGGGAGCAGAATTTGGGGCAGCAGCGAAGTAAGGATATTGCTCGGTTGCGAAAGAAACATGAAGCCGGCAGACAAAACACAACAATAGAGGTAAGGAATGTTCGCTACCACAAAACGTCGCCTCTTGCTGATTTGCTGTAGGCAGCTGCGCTGTCTGATGAGCTCGAGGCAGACTTTCGGGCCGCGACGGATAAGTCAGGGGCAGAAAGTAAGAGCATCCTCGCTGCTCTATCTACCAGGTTGAAGCAGGACGACAAGACTCTGGCGAATCTCGAGGCTCTCATGTCGGGCATCAAGGTGCGGGGAAACAATGCATCTACGGTGAAGCGCACGAATCATCTGAGTACAATGCTATCAGGCTACGTCGCAGAGGAGATCCACTACCGGCTTGACCGTCTGTATTTGGAGAATATTCACGCGGACATCGCCTGCAACACCCTAGACGAGACAACTAGCACTGCGCTCGAAGAGGAACTCGAGTCTCTGTATCCGGAAATTGAACTATTAGCCGAGATGTCAACCAGGCAGCAATTCCATGAGCCCATTCTTCGAGAGCTGCGGAACGAGCATGGGCACCTGCGGGAAGCTTCGCAAGAGAAGTTAGAACAGGTACACAGCCCCCGCGGAACCGGGTGATAGAGAGCTAATGCGCATCAGGCACTCGACATGTTGATCGAAATGACACTATCAAAACAAGATCTCGCAAAGCAACTCGAAGTCCGCGAGTCATCTTCAGAGCTGCTGGAGCAATTGGCTGCCCTGTATCAGGCGGAAGCAGGCATTGAGGCGCCTCAACCGTCATCACGACGAGAATCCCTGCGCCGACGCTCTTTACAGACGGGTCTTCTTCTTGCCCCGCGTGCCCCGGCAGCCCCTGTACAGGCCCAACCGGCTTTGGAAACTCTATTGAGGCGCGTTGGCATCGCGCCCGAGTCCGTTCGCGGAGAGCGGGCAATTCATGACCTCCATGAGAAGCGCCGTGATATGTCCCAGTCAATTAATCGCCAAAATATAGCGGTGGACACGCCTCTGTTGACTCATTTGGATCCTTTGGATCACGCCTCTCAGCTGCTGGGCACTGCTTTGCACACGGATTCCCACTATGAAACATCATTGCGAGATCCATTGGAGGAGAAAGCACTCTCATGCCTGGAGGGGGGATTAGTCAGGCTTCAGAATGGGGTCCAAAAACTAAATATGGATGTTCTTCATCAACGTGATGGCAAACAGGATAGGTTCCTTGAGCGGTGGGGATAGATTCGTGGCTTGTTTTCTTGCTGCCCGAAAATTGAATCTAGCATATTCTTTCTCACATGGCATCTGCATTAGTCTGTGGGAGCGGCTGTCCTGAAGTTGTAGATGGTTGGCTTGTAGTCGCCGTTGGGATGTTAGAGCCAACATCCGCGCTGCAGCCATGATTCGTCGATCGAGTGGCTAGTGTGTGGCTGGTAGGCTGCACCCCTCGATTTGGCACTTCGAATCAGCCCGCGACAATAAACGGGTGTTGCGCAGCGAACCTGCATTAATGGGATGTCGACCCCTGCTGGTTCCGTTGGTTGTGAGCTCACGGCAGTTGGTGATCGTTAATTCAACAGCCGCTTCAGGCGCTACATACTCATCACCAACACTCGCCTCGTTTTCACGATGCTTGCAGAAGAACAATAGCATTCATAATATAGCCTCCGTGCTCCTGATGGATTTCGCCTGAGTCGTCTCTACCCGTGAGGATAATGTTTCCCGTCACCTGTGTGGTTGACCTCCGGTGACATCTATTGAGCCCCTTGTGACCAAGTTGACCTAGTGCGGATATGAGCCACACTGTGATATCAAAATACAAAAACAAAAATACATATTAACATCCTTCAACTATACACACAATATCGCCCTTTGCAAGGTGCTGCCTGTCAACTCATGGAAATGGAAATGGAAATCCATGGGAGTTAGGATAGTCTACTATGCCCGTGTGTCCTTTGAACTATAAGTAGCCAGCCTTTGAATATCAAAATCACTTCTTTGTCAAAATCAGCTGCTCAAAGCCCAGTGACTTCGCAATCCGCATGCCTTTCTCATCTCGCACTTTCGAGGTTCGTCAGCGTTCTTTGTCTCATTGTGTCATTGTTGCCTTTGTCTTGCTATTCTCGTCTCAAAGTTCAAATGCATTGTCTTTATCTCCTTTCCTTATTTATTGCCGTTTCACCCCTCATACTCGACTTCTATCGAGTTTCTGTTTCAGCGTGCCAACAAACTGATACGACATAGCAATCCTACAATATCCCAGGAAACACGCACTACTCTTTTGTTACAAGCTCTTCAAACGGAAGAACCCACACCAAAACCACATTTACAAAGACCTACAAACCCGCAGACATGCGATATTTCACCTCGTGGTTTACAGGCAGATCAGAGCCGATCTATTATACAACACATTCCAGCCGTCCTACAAACCCTGGAACCACCAGGTACGCCCGCGAGCCTCGGTACCTACCACAAACACCAATATTTACTAAATATACTTGTCACAGAACCGAGTATGTGACTCGGGAACCTCGAAATGACCGAAGAGGTGAACGCCATGTTCACTTCGACCATAGCCCCAACTATTCTCGGGGCTACAGCTACACAAACGACTACGGCCGGACGAGGCCATCATCCCCCGTCTCCGAGCGGCGGACCCAACCAGGCCGCCGCTACGAAACCCGGGTACCTCAGGGTGAACGCTTGCCAACTGCCTCTTTTGAAAGGCAGCGGGCAGCATATGCCTACACCCCGGCCCGAGATGAGGGTCCTCGGCGTGAACCTCCTCGGCGTGAATCTCCCCGGCGTGAATCTCCCAGGCGTGAATCTCCCAGGCGTCAACCTCCCAGGCGTGAACCTCCCCCTCCTCCACGTCCTAACATTGAGGTCCGTGAGCCCCGAGTCGTCTACGACGGTTTGAGGGGTATATCGAGGGCTGCTGGGGAAGCTCTGAGACGAGGTCGACCTCTTAGAGCCTTCTACTTCTGAATGTCTCTGCGCTAAATTCTGAGGGCGTTTGCTTCAGAATGAACGTTCTTGCTCCGTGGTCAGCTTTGGTTCTTTTGGATCGTTTATGTTCACAATGATACCCCCCAAGACGGTTTGTTATCTTTTTTTTGTCTTTCTATTTTTATATTCCTTTTGGTCTTTTCTTGATCTCCTTGGTCTTCTATGTCTCTCTTATGTTTCATGCTCTTTTCTTATCTTTCTTTGTTATGAATCATGATACTTGAGGACGGTCTCATCTCGGGCCGGGGTGTAGGTATATGCTGCTCGCTGCCTTTCAAAAGAGGCAGTTGGTAACCGCTCGCCTTGCGGTACCCGCATTTCATAGCGGTGGCCTGGTTCGGTGTGCCTCTCGGAAACCGGGGTACCTCAGGGTGAACGGTTGCCAACTGCCTCTTTTGAAAGGCAGCGAGCAGCATATAACTACAACCCGGCCCGAGATGAGACCGTCCTTAAGTAATAGAGTATGGTTTTGGGTTGATTTCTTCTTATTTCTCTTTTTCTCTTCTTATTTTCAAGACATTTCCTTTGTATTATGATCAACGAGAATGAATCCATGATGTTATGAATCAACTTGAGTGCGCTGGTAGTTGTAAGATGAAAATATCGCCTGATTTGACAGGCAGAAATACATGAGGGTCGGAGTCAGCTGATCAAAATTACGTAATCCGATATCAAGAACTCGCAGCACCCGAGCGAGCTCAAGCTTCACGACTGTAAAAGGACCTCACGCCTTTACTCACCTCCCCATAGTAGAGAGACTTGCTCTATCTACTGTTTTCTACTTTTTGGTCACTCAAGTCGCATCCGTGCGCGCTCCTCAGCCACCATGGCCACCAACAAGATGGTAAGTTTCTCATTCTCATTTACGCTGCGGTCAATGTCTGTCGCTAACTTCTCTCGTCCAGCAAAACCTCGTGAGTCTTTCTCTCTCGGATTGATATGCTCAATTGCATTATCTGACTTATCTTGCAGATCAACTACCGGATGCGCGTAACCTTGAACGATGGTCGCCAAATGACCGGCTCGATGCTGGCATTCGATAAGGTACCCAATCCTCCCGCAGCAGTTGATGCGCTCAGCTAATCTTTTTTTCGCTCTCTAGCACATGAACCTCGTTCTCGCAGACACAGAAGAGTTCCGTCGCATCAAGCGGAAGTCCAAGACCACCGGTCCCACAAATGCCCCGCTGGTCGAAGCGGAAGAGAAGCGAACTCTCGGTCTGACTATTGTTCGCGGAACTCAAGTCGTCTCATGCTCTGTTGATGGTCCTCCCCCCGCAGACCCCTCTGCCCGACTTGGCACTGCCGGTCCCGGTGCCTCTGCCACTCTCGCTGCTGGCCCCGGTATCAGCAAGCCCGCAGGCCGTGGCCTGCCCGTTGGCCTCGGAGGCCCTGCTGCCGGAGTCGGTGGCCCCCCTCCCCCTGGTGGCTTCGGTTTCCCTCCTGGTGGTTTCCCTGGTGCTCCTCCTCCTGGCTTTGCCGGTCGTGGTGGTCCCCCCACTGGACCTCGTAAGTACCCCAATGGATAAACCCAACTGTGCTAGAGCATTTACTCACTGTCCATCTCTAGCCGGCTTTGCCCCTCCCCCTGGATTCGCTCCTCAGGGTGGTCCTCGTAAGTGCTATTCAACAATCTCCCGCTCCAGACATGCATTCTAACTGTCAATCCACAGCTACCGGCTTCCAGCCTCCTCCTGGCTTCCAACCCCCTGGTCAGGGACGCGGATTCCCTCCCCCCGGCTTCCCCGGACGTTAAATTTGAGATGTGAACAGAGGAAGATTCTACGCTTCATATCATCGGCGATCTGTTATAACCTGGAACCTTGGGCGGTTGGGCGCAGAAGAGAAGCCGCTTTCGATGCCTTGGCGAAAAACGATACACGAACAGGCTAGATCAACCCATATTCTACTGGGCAAGGCGTTACGGCGCAGGATGGAGGTCGTGTCGAGGACGGAGACAAGACCGAAATCCTTTTGAATTCGCATTAGGTCAAAAATAATGTTAGCTTTGGTGCACGCGACTTTTTCCCCCCAATTCATGACATTGATATCCTACCATCTCGCTTTTGGTGTGCTGTGCGGCCTTTACGGCCTCTTGTGTAGTGGGCCTTTACGCTGACTTTGTCGAGAATAAGCCTATGCCAGTATGTTTGCTGTCAGGGACTTTGTCTCACTGTCACTTTCAATAACACCTGCAACACTCGTTTGTATGGTTGTTGGTATACTCCCAAGTCCCTGGTCCATACTTGAGTAGTTCATCGATTCCCATAGGAATTGGCCGATTTATGTCTTTTCGAGGTCATTATATATAGCTAGCGGTAGACTGTTGAGCGTGCGCTGTATTTTGCGCTCAATTCCGCTAAAACAATGGAAATTACAGTTCCACGAAGGCTACCTGACCGCTTAATTCCTTTAATTTTAACATCAACCAGACATCTGGAGAATTGAATACTCCGTAACTATAAGACCAGTACGAAGTAGGGAGCCACGTGACGCGGCCGACGCCGGGAGCATTCTTCAGATAACAACCTCACCTTCCCCGACCCCAATTGTGATACCCTGCAACTTCGTCATGGCTGCTGTTATCAAGGCTATCAACGCTAAGATCCGCTCCAACTCGGTGCTGGACTATGTCTGCTCAACCCGTACGTACCCTCGAACTTCCCCGAATCGCTTCCCGCACCGAGATCGGCCAACGGCGAATGAGACGGAAGGAGAATAAGCAACAACCAAGCTGTTCTTGAGCAGGCGATAGACAAGACAAACTCGCAGATCTATGCAGAATGCTAACAGCCAATCACTCTAGACTTCTGGGGCCCCGTCTCCAACTTCGGTATCCCCATCGCTGCTGTGATGGATACCCAGAAGGACGCTGAGATGTACGTTTGGATGACAGAGGGAGCTTAAGATCTCACTCTTCTCCAATTCAGTTTGAATTGGAAGCAATGTACTGATAGCTTGCTTTTTAGTATTTCCGGCCCCATGACTGGTGCTCTTGTCGTCTATGCCGCTACTTTCATGCGCTACTCCCTTGCCGTTACACCCAAGAACTACCTCCTCTTCGCCTGCCATCTCACCAACTTCGGCGCCCAGACTACCCAGGCATACCGTTATTTGAACTACTGGAAGTATGTTTCCCCAGGTTACACGCGAGCTCTCTCTAGCTTCAATCACCATACATCACCTTCACAAGTTGCACATACTGACATATTTCTCACAGCTGGGGAGGTCGCGAGAAGCAGCTCGCTGATAAGGCCGCCAAGGGTTCCGCCGCCGCCGAGGGTGGTGCTTAAATATCTTCTCTGAGCAGAGGTCGACAATTCTTGCTCCGATGGGACTTGAGTTGATCTTCTGTGGTATCGCATTTCCTTCCATATGATCGGGAGGACTTGTTGAGGCAGGAAAGCCTGAGCGAATGAGAGGCATATAGAGAGATTTGCGGAGAAGTCCACTTAGCTATCGAAGCTGGGCAGCAGTCCGGTTGTTGGTAGTCACTGTACATAGACTCGTTGGTGCACTTGAATGATATTCCGTTCTGGAATGAGTTGACTCCTGGGTCACATCTATGCAAGATACTCCATGGATGACTTGTAAGGTTGTGAGGCTTTTTTACTTAAGTATATACGGATGTACGGGCAGATGTATAAGATCCGATGATCAACAATTGACAAGAGGAGGAAACCGGAATGTATGTGTACAAAGGGTTGCTCGACCCCGTAAATACGCTAACTATACTGACAATTTTCCCAATTTTGTAAAGTGACAAGGCTGCTCTCCGCACGTGCGCCAAAGCAGAAAATGTAATCCCAATAAAATGCCAGTCTAGGATCAGATAACAAACAAATGCAAGGTCTCAAGGGCTAGCCACGCTCTAGAACGAAAGATAGCAAAGAATGAAGACCCTAAGGCGAGTCACAGTATCCGGGGCTTTGCGGGGCCGTGGGACCCATCCAGCTCGCAACGGTCAAAGAGGTTGTGTATATGCAACAGATCGCGCCGAAAACAGCGAGTGTCACATCGGCAATGGCTTGGCGTTTGGAACGAGCACAAGCGCGAAGGTGGAGGAGGGGCTAGAATAAGATATGTTAGCGATGTTATGTTGAGGATAAGAGGGATGCATACCGGGTAGACGTAGATCAATGGAACACAGGCAAAGCTTCCGACCAGCGAAACGAACTTGTCGAGATCATCCGCACCACACCAGGCAATGATGGCACAAACCATGACTAGGAAGAAACGGAAACCGTTCTTCTTCCACTTGATGTATGGGTTGTACTTTCCACTGCGTGTGAACAGCTCGTTCTCCATGATACGGATTGCGGGGAAGAGTTGGAGCGGAGTGCTAAGCAAAATAGCAAGCGAGTAAAGGAACTGAACCACATTGACAAACTTGTCATCCTGAGGAAGGTTGAGGAGAATGACAGTCTTGGTGGCCGATCCGTAGGCGGCGTAACTCAACGCACCCGCAGAAAGGAAGATGAAAGTGATGACGACCATGACACCAGCTAGCACTCCAGGGAATCTGGTAGGCTTCTTCATGGATTCTTGAATCGGAATGATCAGGCCGATACCCTCATAGGTGAAGATCGCGGTACCAATGAACATGGACCAGGTGGTGGGGTTGAAGGACTTGACATCTGAAATGCCGCCCTGGCTAACCAAAGTACTAACGTCGTAGTAGTAGATGTAAAGCAAGCCCAGAAGAATGAAAACATCAGCAATCAATGCTGTGAAACCAAGTTTGCTGATATCCCGAATCAAGGACAAAGGCAAGAAGATGATCAACTGCAACAGGACCATGTACTTGATATCGATGAAAGTGGCACACTTGCTCACGGCCAGCACGAATGCCTGCAGATTTTGCGAAACGAAGACGATATATGCTGCCACAAAGCCAAGCTGACTGAGGACAATGGACCCAAGGATGATACGTCGCATATGCTTTCCATACAGAATGCCACCAATGTCACCAAAAGAACCCTCGATCTTCATGCGAGTGTTGACCAAAAGGATGAAAGCGTAGTAACTGAGGATCGAGACTCCCAGCAATACCATGCTACTGAAAAGCATGCCGCCGTTCAAGAAAGCACGGGGCAAGAACAGGATACCGGTACCTACAAAGGACTTGAGCAGCAGAAGCACGGCGCCTGTTGTAGTTGTTGTTCCGCCCGGTGAGCGCTGCTTGTGCTTTCTCTTCTTGCGACCTGGGGTCTCGCCCTGCAACAGGGCTGCGTCTTCTCCGGACTCCCTGCCCTCTTCTGGCTCGTCCCAAGCATCGGACGAGAAGTACTCATCCGGACCCAAGACTTCGTCGTCTTCCTCTAGCTCTTCACCGGCAAAATGACCGTAGAGAGTCAAGAACTCCAAGAAGCTGGTTGTTGGCAGCTGAGGGGGAGCATGTCCATTGGGTCCTCCTCGAACAGACCCCTGAGCACTTCCACGCACAGGGCTTCCAGCTGCTCTGCGGAGATAGTCTCTGCGGAATCCTCCCGGAACCCGAATGCTATCAATGTCTTCCGTCTCAACTTCTGGTCTAGGCCGACTCACGCTGAAACTCTTGCTGCGCAGGAAACGCCCTGCAGCTTCAGCCTCAGCGTCCTCCGCCCAACGATATACTTGACGTGTAATATCACCACCCTGTAGCTGTAAGCTCGAGAAGTGGTCATCACCACCAAAGCTAGTGGCGATCTCAGACTGGTTGTCTCCGTGATCCATGACTAAATGTCTCTTGATGACCTCGGGGTCTTCATTCGGCCCCATGCCAGGCACCTCTGATCCATTTTTAGTATCGAACGAGCCATACTGAGAGGCAACCGGTCGGTTGTCGAAGATCGGATTCGGGGCAGGTGACCCCGTGTATCGCGAGGGAGTTCCAAATCGCGGCGGTGAACGACCAAGGCTTTCTTGGATCTGTGAGGCCAGCATAGAGTGCCCAGGACCAGGAAGCGATGCTTGGTTGTTGTATGACTTCGAAAATTCCTGCTCAGCAGTGTTCATCACAGGTCGCATGGCTGGGATTCCTTGTCGGGATGACAAGGATGTCCCCAAAGAAGGGGAAGGCACCGGTGAGGCGAGGCGAGCCATGGATGCCTGTCTATTTCCTACATCAGGACCGGGCGACCTCGAGCGCACGGAGGACGAGGCTATGGGCATAGAACGGGACGGGGTGAGGGACGATCCCTCTCCGTTATCTGCCATTGTGACGGTGGCTTATAGGGGGTCAAGTTAGCTGACAGGTAGCCAGTGTTCACACTCGACAAATGGTCATGGAATGACCCGGAATATGCCAACAAAGTTGGCTGGTACAAAGTGCTCGAGGAAGAGAATGGTGACACGGATTGTGATCGAGGAGTTGAGACAGACTAGCAACGCCAAGCGGCGAAGTGATCAGCGGTGACATCGTTTGCATCGTTTGCACACCAACGTCATATTGGCAATGTAGGTTGTTTTCTTTTCTCGACCTTGTGTCTACTCAGGGTAGTCTTAAGACTATTGGAATTGTCTTCATATCGAGTCTTTACCTTGCTAATGACCCCATGCTCACTCTCTAGACATTTCTATTGAGATGACGACCGATCGAGTCGGCGAGTCCTCCGACTCCCTGTCTCGGCGGCGCCCTAATTTCTCGACACGAACCGCCCAGGAGGATGTCTCTCGTCTGGCACCTGGCGACTCGGCCCATTCCACTGCAGATGAACGGACAAGATTGCTACCATGGCCACCTACTCGATGGGCCCGCCCCTATGAGCCCATGAACTCGACGGAACGAAGCGAGAATCCACAGAGTTCCTCAACATCGGATTATTTCCACGGGATTTCGAAGTGGTGGAATAAACGGGCGAGCGATGACCCAGAGGGCGGAAACAATGGAGACTCGACTTCTCAACATCTGTCTCTGTCTGCGGGCCCGCTTCGTGATTCCAGCGCCGATAAGAAGGACAAGAATGCGCACCGCTCAAGATCATTCGATGAACCGAAGAAGCTTGGAACATTCTCGGGTGTCTTTGTACCTACGACCCTGAATGTACTGAGTATTCTCATGTTCCTTCGTTTCGGTTTCATCTTGGGACAGGCTGGTGTGCTGGGCATTCTAGGTAGGCAGACCTTCTTGCTGCTCGTGTCTCAGGTCTAATTGGTTGCAGGTCTTCTTGGTGTCTCATATACAATCAACCTTGTAACTACCATGTCTCTGTCGGCAATTGCAACAAACGGGACAGTTCGAGGTGGCGGTGCCTACTACCTAATCTCCAGATCTCTAGGCCCGGAGTTTGGTGGCTCAATCGGAATCGTGTTCTACTTGGGCTATGTATTCAACACTGGCATGAACGCTGTTGGTTTGGTGGATTGTTTCACCCAGAACTTTGGCTCGAAGTCCGGCGATTGGGCCAACTTCCTCCAAGAAGGCTTTTGGTGGCAGTACCTGTGGGGAACTGTGATCTTGGTGCTTTGTACGGCTATCTGCTTAGCAGGAAGCTCGATATTTGCCAGGGCAAGCAACGGACTTCTGGTCATACTGTTGGTGGCTACTTTCAGCATTCCACTTTCAGCGATATTTTTGAAGCCTTTCCCAGTTCCTCGCCAAGGCGTCGAGTTTACAGGACTTCGATTGAAAACTTTGATGGGTAATCTTAAACCTCACCTGACCAAAGGAGCTGCTGGAAGTCAACTGAAAGGAAGAGAGACCTTCCAAGATCTTTTTGGCATCCTCTTTCCGGCCACGGGTGGCATTTTTGCGTAAGTAACATACATTCTCTTTATACTTCATATAGAATTGGCTAATGCGATAGCAGCGGTGCAAGTATGTCCGGTGACCTCAAAAACCCAAGCAAGGCCATCCCGAAGGGTACCCTTTCAGGCTTGGCCTTGACGTTTGTCTCCTATGGGCTCGTTATTCTTGCCCTGGCGGCCTCGGTCACCCGGGAATCTTTCTACAACAATGTGAATGTCATTCAAGTCGTAAGTCAATAGCCACCGGCGGATAAAAGTCATATTCTGACACACCTAGGTCAACGCTTCTGATAGCGTGATCCTTCTTGGAGAATTCGCAACAAGTTTCTTCTCGGCGTTGATGGGAGTTATTGGATCTGCCAAGCTCCTGCAAGCTATCGCACGGGACAGTCTTCTCCCTGGAATAGGGATGTTCGCACAGGGCACGAGGAAGACTGACGACCCAGTCTATGCGATCATTGTGACATTTGTGTTCGCTCAAGTCACGATGCTCTTTGATATCAATCGCATTGCGTCCTTTGTCACAATGACCTACTTGATGACATTCTTGGTCACCAACCTGGCCTGTTTCCTGTTGAAGATTGGCTCTGCGCCGAACTTCCGTCCCTCGTTCCACTACTTCAACTGGCAGACTGCAGCAGCAGGGACATTAGTTAGCGGCGTCAGCATGTTCTTTGTTGATGGTCTCTATGCCACAGGATGTGTGGGAATCCTGGTAATTCTGTTCCTACTGATCCATTATAGTTCTCCGCCCAAGCCATGGGGCGATGTCAGTCAGAGCTTGATCTACCATCAAGTCCGGAAGTATTTACTTCGTTTGCGCCAGGAGCATGTCAAATTTTGGCGTCCGCAAATCTTGCTGTTTGTCAGCGATTTGGACAAGCAGTACAAGATGGTCTCCTTCTGCAACTCGCTGAAGAAAGGAGCACTTTTTGTACTCGCCCACGTCCTGGTGACCGATGATTTCTCTGCAGCTGTTCCCGAAGCACGTCGTCAACAAACAGCTTGGACGAAGTTTATCGAGTATTCCAAGATCAAAGCCTTTGTCAATATCTCTGTCTCCCCCGCAGCGGAATGGGGGATGCGGAACATTGTACTCAACTCTGGATTGGGAGGTATGCGGCCGAACATCGTCGTGATCGACCAATTCCGAGAGGACCAGTCGCTTGTTGAGACAGTGTCTGCACATAGCGGTCGCAGGGATTCCAAGAATAGACGCGCAAGTACACGCACTGAAGAACAGCAGACTGGATCGCAAAACCCACCCATGAGCGGGCAAAGCTATGTCACGATCCTTGAAGATTTATTGTTCAAGCTGCGGATCAATGTCGCCGTGGCCAAAGGATTCGAGGACTTGGAGCTCCCCGATCCTCACGGTCGCCACACCAAGAAATACATTGACTTATGGCCTATTCAAATGTCTGCCGAGCTTGGAGCCGACCATGAAAGCAAGCAAAACGTCTTGACCACTAACTTTGACACCTACACTTTGATCCTTCAACTTGGCTGTATCCTCAATACTGTTCCTTCGTGGAAGAAGACATACAAGATTCGAGTTGCAGTCTTTGTGGAATACGAGACCGATGTCGAAGACGAACGAGGACGAGTTGAAGCCCTCCTGGACAAGCTACGTATCGAGGCCGAGGTCCTGGTATTCTGGCTTGCATGTGGTGACATCCAGTCCTACCGAATTATCGTCAATGGTGACACATCCGCAGCGTCACCTGCTGCAGAGGAGAAAGTCCGGTCTACCTTACAAGGAGAGGAGTGGTGGCAGGGAGTGCTCCGAGCTCGTGGTCAATTAGACGATTCACAAGATTCCGACCGTGCAAGTGAGAGCTTGCAGCTGGACAGGTCGTACACCTGGCAAGGACCATCGAGCCAAGACAGTGGTGCTAAAGCTTTACACCACCGAGTCAGTGGGCTGAGAAAGTTGATCCAATCTACTCGTCGCAGGCGATCCGTCTCCAGCTTCCGGGCGCTCGGAGGAGTGAACCTTGGCATGCAGACACATCGCCTGTTAGATGCATTTGTCGACTATGAGAGCTCGGACAGCTCGAATGAAAGTGACGATAGCGACTTGGAAGCCTACAGCAGCGACCCGGAGCCCGAGGATGGCGGTGACGATCTCTTTGCCCGCAATGAGCCATTACCGGTTTCCGGCTCTTCCAGACTGCTTGGAAGGGCTAAGACCGATGACTGCAGCCCTAGCGCCGATTCTCCCAGCACGCCGGTGCTCACGAGCTCTGAGGCGGCAGAGATCGACTCTCACCGGCCCATTCCCTCGATCATTGAGACTGGTGACGATGCTTCCCCCAAGACTCAATTCACAGCTCGTCGGCCTCCCATCAACCGCTCCCCCTCTAGTAATCGATTTAGTTCTGCTCCCATCCCGGAAGCCAAAGTCAACCCCGAGGCGGAGGAAAACAATGGACCCTCCATCATGTTCGCTGCCCAGAACTCGCCCCCACGGTTCACAAACAAGCTTGATTCCATCTATGCCCGTCGTCCATCTGCTGTGTCTCCTACCTCTCCCGGCACCCACAGCGGCTCACATCTGCATGCAGCCGGACCAGCCACGGGATACCCCGGTGTGGCATCCGTCCCGCTGTCCTTCAACGATCTCCCGAGTCGGGCGCAACATTTGATTTTAAACGAGCTGATGGCACAGCAGAGCGGTGATACTGCGGTGATTTTCACCACTCTGCCCTCTCCCGTGGAGGGCACCTCGCTTAGTGCGGAGGACAGTGCATCCTTCCTAAGTGACTTGGACGTCTTGTGGCAAGATCTTCCTCCTTGCCTGCTGGTCCACAGTAACAGCATGACTGTGACGATGAACCTATGATTTCATGACTCTCTTTATTTTATACTGTACATTGCGTTAGAATCGAGATAGACGGCAGGATGCACCTGAATCACCCTTGGGCACCTATACTTGTACACCCCTTACGTTTCCGTGTCCACATCAATGAATTTTCGGTCATTTTTTCAATTTTTGACTCCTCGCCGGTGACAATTCTGTATCTTTGGCATTCCGAGTACACAGTGTTCCTAGATAAATTATGTAGTAAAGACCAAAAGCATAGAGATGATCATCCCGGCGCTACTGCACGCCACGAAATCTCTGCACGGGGGATTGTTTCTGGCAGATGGAGCTCAGGAATGGAGAATCCAGTAGAGCAAATTAAAAAAAGAACGGAAAACTCCAAAAGAACAGGAAGAGGCGAAAAGAGAATGGAGTATAAGCTGATTAATTCGACTTACTGAGATTGTGATTGGACATGCCCCTTAGACCTCCCCGTACTGTGTACTCTCAGGCACCCCCTCGATCTCCAGATTCTCTTTTCTTCCCCTTGGACTTGCATTTCTTTGTATTTTCGACTATGCTGAGTTGGGATTTATAGGATTTCTGTTTTCTTTATATCACTCGACATTATTCCCCTTTGTCAATGCCTCCCATGATGACCGACCAATTCACCGAGGCCCTCCCGCGCCGGCGAACTGTTGATTTCCTGGACCCCGTGAACGCTTTCCCGGCGCATTCCAATGGTATCAATGGAAACGGACCTGTGGACGATATCTCCGACTGCGCCTCCTCCGTCTCTGCAGAATCACAAGCGGAAAAGCCCAAGCGACCGACAATGACGCGCAAGGCCTCTTCGCCGATGGCGCCTACCTTCATGGTGTCGGCACCGGGCAAGGTCATTGTGTTTGGTGAACACGCCGTTGTCCATGGCAAGGCGGCCATGGCGGCCGCCATCTCCCTCCGCTCCTACCTCCTCGTCACCACCCTCTCCAAATCACAACGCACAATCACCTTGAACTTCCGAGACCTGGGACTCAGTCACACCTGGAACATTGATACCTTACCATGGGAGAAATTCCACCAGCCCTCCAAAAAGAAGTTTTACTACAGTCTCGTCACCGAGCTCGACCCTGAGCTGGTGGAGGCAATCGAACCACACCTCCAGGACGTCTCTAAGGGTCTCGGTCTCCCTGAAGAGCAACGCAAAATCCACATCCGCTCCGCCTCCTCATTCCTCTACCTCTTCCTCTCCCTCGGTTCCCCTGAAAGCCCCGGCGCTATATATACACTCCGATCAACCATCCCAACCGGCGCGGGCCTAGGCAGCAGCGCCAGTGTCTGCGTCTGCCTCAGTGCAGCCCTCCTTCTTCAAATCCGCACCCTTTCCGGCCCTCACCCCGACCAGCCCCCCGAGGAGGCCGAAACACAAATCGAGCGCATCAACCGTTGGGCGTTTGTGGGAGAACTTTGCATCCATGGCAACCCCAGTGGTGTGGATAACACGGTGGCCGCAGGCGGCAAGGCCGTGATCTTCCGCCGCGACGACTACACAAAGCCTCCGACGGTCCTTCCTTTGACCACTTTCCCCGAGCTACCCCTCCTCCTCGTGAACACCCAACAAGCGCGATCAACAAAGACCGAAGTGGAGAAAGTCGCCAAGCTTCGAACGGCCCACCCCATCGTGACCGAGTCCATTCTGAATGCCATCGACGAAGTGACTTGCTCTGCCCAGCGCCTGATCCAAGATCCCGACTTCCAGGGTATCTCCGAAGCTACACTGGGCCATTTTGGCGACCTTATCCGCATCAATCACGGTTTCCTCGTCTCACTCGGCGTTTCACACCCTCGTCTCGAACGTATCCGGGAACTCGTCGATTACGCGGATATTGGCTGGACCAAGTTGACTGGAGCAGGAGGTGGTGGATGCGCAATCACGCTTCTCCGCCCCAACGGCAATTCCAGCGTCAAGCGGGACCTCGAAGAAAAATTCGACGAGGAAGGTTTCACCAAGTACGAGGTCACTCTTGGTGGTGATGGTGTCGGTGTCCTGTGGCCTGCTATTGTTCGTAATGGCACGGACGAAGAGGGCGGCGAGGAGATCGATCAGCAGAAGTTCGAAGAAGCCGAGGGCCCTGAGGGCATCGAACGCCTTGTTGGAGTCGGCCTTGAAGAAAGGAGAGAAGGTTGGAAGTTTTGGAAGCGAGCCACTTCGCCTTGAGGCTTTTGGTATCACGACCCCCCTCTTTCCCTCTTGACCGTGTGACATCCTGGGGTCCTTGTACCATCCTGGGTGATCCTCATCTGCCCATCTAGGCAGTTTGTCCTCGGTGCATACCATGTTTGCTCATTTTCTACGATTGCCCCCTTTGACTTCTCCATTGTCTTCTTCTCTGTACACTTTTTGGACCATATGCATCTTACGCCCCCTTCATACCTTGGACTATATTGTTAATTCTTTCATCTCATTCTTCTCTTCTCATGCCCTTTCTGGCACCTTTCCCAATATTGGTTCTTTAACTTTCGGGCTTTTTTTCTTTCTTTTTGCATGGAACAGGTTGATGTTGATACTACAAAAGGCCTTGCCTAATGAATGGACTCGTGTTTGATAACTGTCTACTTTCCCCTACATGTCCCTCGTACCTAATCCCACTGCTATTCCCCATCCACCTCAATCACAATCTTCCGAGCAGAAACCCCCTTCTTCAAAAGATCCACCCCCTCCTGCACACTCTCCAGTCCTTTAAGGACAAATGGATCAGGCTTAGCCACAAACGACCCATTCGCCAAAGCCTCCGGCAAATACTTCCGCCAAACAGCATCCCCAACATCCAAATTAATCAATCCAGGCGCCAACCCATTAACTGCACCAGTCAGTCCATTCCAAACACAATTCAAAAAAAGAGAAACATACCAAAAACCCCCTCCACCCCCTCCGGCAACCCAACCGACGGAACAGGCGAAGTCGTCAAAAGCACACCCCCAATCCTCCCCACAATCTCCCCACAAGCACCCTGCGTCTCAGGAGTACTAATAGCATCAAAAACCAAATCCCCCTCCTCCAGCACCTCCAACAACCTCCCCACAACACCCCCATCAGCATAATCAAATACCCTCCCCCCAAGCCTTTCCACATATTCAAAGTTCCTCAAACTGACAGTAGCAAGAACATCCAAGCCCGCCGCACGCGCAAGCTGAATAGCCGAACTCCCAACCGCCGAACTCCCACCCCAGATCAGGATCCTCTTACCCAGAGAAACAGGCTGGATAGCCGGATACGGTAAACCAAGGTAATGGAATAGCGCAGCTGATGCAGTCGAATAGGCTAGTGGGAGAACAGCCGCGTTAGAAAGAGGGATATCCTCCGGGACTGGTGAGACGAGGATCTCGCGCGTAGTGGCATATTCCTGGAATGCATTGTTTGTTTTCTTCTGTGTGAGCAGGCCGTCACAGTGGCTGGGCATGTTATTGGTATTGCTTTTTGAATGGGATATTTGGATGAATGACTTACGCTAGGACTCGTTGTCCGAGGTGGAATCGGGTTACGTTGTTTCCCAGCTGAGTGATTGTTCCGGCTACGTCGGTGCCGAAGATGTATGGGTAGGGTAGGTCGAAGGGGGTTTCTTGGAGCTGGGATTGTTAGATGGTTATGGGATTGGTGATGATGCTTTTTACCTTCCAGTCGACTGGGTTGACTGCGGCGTAGGCGACTTTGATGACCACTTCGTTCTCGCTTGGGTTTGGGACTGGGCCTGAGGCGATAGTGAAGGTTTTGGAGTCTGGGGCTACTTGCCAGGCTGCTTTGTTGGTCATTTTGTCGTGAGCTTGCGATGTGTATTTCTGATGTTTTAGGGCTGTGGGATACTTGGTTTACTTAAGTACTGCACAGTAGATAGATCTATACTAGAGGCATGAGCTTAGCCTTTTCGATATCAATTGCAACACTAGAAATCGATTGGTAAATTTTGAAATGGATTATGAATCCTTAGAAATCTACAAGACAAAATGTAGATTTGATTTCAAAGATGAGAGTTTGATTTCTAAGCTTATGTGCTTGGGGGCCAATATCGTGAGTTGGGAGCATTGAGACCATGCAAAAAACAATCACGCCATGAACTCCAGTAAATGCTAATCAGTTTCGCAAGCTTGAGCGGCCCTGCACTAATGTCTCCGTAACATCCTCCAAACATCCAGCAGCAGCAGCGAAGAAACCAAGAATGGTCTTGCTTGGCTGTAACACGCGGCTCAGATATTCGGGATTGAACTGCACGCCGACGAACCAAGGGTGTGAACGATGCTCAAGGATCGCCATTCGACGACTAACCGAATCCACGGCAATGCAGGGAAAGCCCCAGTCCGCAACAACCTCAACTGAATGCTGGTGCACGAAGTGTGTGTGCCGATGACGCTCTTGAGTCGACGACACTGAAGTCCCATAGAGAGCCCGCACCTTCGACCACCCAATGTCGGGATGGAACTGGAATTCATGATTCCCCAGTAGCATGTCAGAGGTACCGGTGAGGTTGTCGACATCAGGTTGAGGGTACACGAAATTGCACAAATTGTATTGCCAATCCGAAAAGTTCTCGCTATTATGTTCGCGTGCAGGCTCATTGAAATGCATGAACTCACTAAAAGCAAGATGCATACCCAAACCAATCCCCAGGAAGGGTATGTTATTTTCCCTCGCCCAGTTTATGGCCTTGACCATTCCCATCCCAGGGTGTGTTTCAGGTCCACCGGGCATGATGACGCCCTCTGCTGACAGAAGGTCATACCAAGATTTGTGCCACTTATCTGGCGAAGTGAACATTTTCGCCGGGTCGAGGTCGTTCGCGTTAACCCAGATTATTTCAACCTTCTTATGGCAGAACATGGCTGCATGCTCAAGAGCCTTGGTGATACTCAGGTAAGCGTCCTTACGGGAAACGTATTCTCCGACGAGCGCAATTGGGATTGTTTCGCGAGCGGTTTCTGAACTCTGGACTAGGTCCACCCACTGTTTCCACATGGTGGTGCCCTGAGGTGATGCCGCAGAAGGGAGGTCGAGGTACTTGCTAATGGCGCGGAGGAAGCCTTGACGTTCAAGAAGAATGGGTACATGGTATGTCGTTGATACATCATGGACGCTGAATACCTGCTCGGGCTCCACTGAGCACATGTTGGAAAGCTTGTGGATGAGAGCTGGGCTCAATGGTGTTGCGGAGCGGCAAACGATCTTTATAAGGCATTTGGAGTCAGCGGAAATCAAATACAGAGCATTTTAGTGTGAGATAAGTCATACCAATTCAGGATCCAGGCCAGAACCTCGAATGTCCCGCAGAGCTCGTTGAGTGGGCTTGGTTTTCTGTTCACTTTCGGTTCCTGGACTACATTCGTTTGTCAGAAAACACCGTAACCCGAAATACCGAGCTGAAGGTCGAAGGGGACAAAAGAGAGCTTAAATTGCCACCGGAACATAACTGACATGAACATGGACGAAGTTCTGTTTGCCGACTTTCTTGCGCAACTGGGCCAGAGCGTAAATGAATGGAGAACTTTCGATGTCCCCAATGGTACCGCCAAGCTCGATAATGCATACAGCAGGCTCAGTAGCGGAATCGTTGACGGTAACCCGAGCCACTCGCTCAATCCACGCCGAGATGGCATCAGTGACGTGGGGAACCACCTGGACAGTCTTGCCGAGGTATTCTCCGACACGTTCGGCATTGATGACTTGTTGGTACACCTTGCCGGTGGTGATATGATGATCTTGGCCCAGCGTGATTGAAAGGTACCGTTCGTAGTTTCCGAGGTCCATGTTCACCTGCCCACCATCATCCGTCACGTAAATCTCGCCATGTCTGTTGTGGTCAGCATGGAATCTATACATGACAACTATGCTCGCTAGAGCAAGAAGCACCTGGAGTATATCAGTAAGATTCAAAAACCATGACGAGAGAATAACCTACCAGCACAGTTTCAGTCGAGCTAATACACTTGCCAGACTTGCAGACATGACTGAAACAATCATCAACACTTACTCGCGAGGGCTCGTGGTCGCGGCATCAAGGTTGATGTAAGGGTCTATCTTGATGCAAGTCACAGGAAGACCTTTGCTCTGGATGAGCAGTCCGGCACTCGAGGCGACAATTCCCTTGCCCACCCCGGAGATCACACCTGTAGATGTCAGTCGTATTCATACTCATCCTAATACTCGGAGAGGAAATATGGGGACTGCCCCGCTTTTCTCCGAGTGTCGATCCCCCAACTTACCTCCCGATACCACAAGATACTTCATCTTTTTGTAGAAGCACCTCTGTCGGCGAAGGGAATCAGCAATAGATAGAGGAAAGACAAGAAGAGAAGGCAAGTTTGCTCAAGAAGTAAAGAACACAACAACTGGAATACCAAGTACGCTAACCGTTTTGGGATAAAGGCGCGTTACCCCTTTGGGCGATGTTGATGGCCACGCCGCCCTTGGCAGTATCACGACACTTTCAATGTTCACAGTGTCGCAATTGTCTTGTCTCATGCCTCAGCTGTGGGTGTGATGTCTTTTGAATCTGCTTTGGCTCTTCCTGCTCAGCTCCATGACTAGAAAGACCCCCAAACCCAGGAAAATTGCCTTTCGACAATGTTTGCCTTGCTGGAGGTGCGAAAAGGGGACCATGGAGCACAAAATCGGTAATAGCAAACGAATACTATATTCTTTCATTGAAAACACAGATACAGCTTTGGGAACATATAGACTAAGACCCAAAAGATCATCTAAGAACCGCCCGTGAGGCCTGAAAGAATAGACAGTTTAAAAGATGAGGGTGTGAGTACCCGACGTCATGACTTCAATTGCATGCAACCTCCAGATGAACCAAACCTTCCAACAAGCTACGTGCCTGAAAATTGCCCATTCATTGGATCTCAATCTCTTCTTCAAGTGTTGGTGGACCCGAATTTTGTTAACAACAGGGTGCCTGACCAGGGTCCATGATATAACCAGACCATAATGGCTGGTTCCAAGGTTTGCTCCAGGTTATATCTGCCCTGAAGAGATGGATCCTTTTTTATTCTTCTTCAACCAGTATCTAGGTGACTGAGCCTATCATTCGGACACATTAAATCGCAATGAGATCAAAACCCGCAGCACATCCCAGTCTGGGTTCTGCACTTTGCGTCATTTTGGTCTTCTGTCTTACAAGTTCTAGGGCCCATGCTAACAGTTCAGGGAACTCAATCAGCCTGACTGTTCAAAATGAGGTTGGCAACAAGTCGAGCCCACTGCTATATGGAATCATGTTCGAAGTGAGTATCAAAACCCTTCAACCAAGATACGAGTCCTTACCATTTGTACTTTAGGAGATGGATCATTCCGGTAAGATAGCTAGAGTCAGTTCAAAGCCATCAAAAATGCTCATTCTATCCAAGGCGATGGCGGAATTCATGGACAATTGCTCCAAAATAATGGATTCCAAGGCACCAGTCTAAACATCACATCCTACGCAGCGGTGGGCAACGCGACAATATCTCAGGACTCGACAAAGCCAGTCAGCAAAGCAATCAAGTCTTCTTTGAGAGTCGAAGTACCCAAAGGCATAAGGGACTACGTTGGATTCGCAAATACCGGCTACAATGGAATCCCCGTGACAGGAGCCACCTACACCAGCTCATTCTGGATGATGGGCGAATACTCGGGAACCATCAACCTGCAGCTTGTGGGATCGAAAAGCGGCATCAAATACGCTGACCACAACTTGACTGTCAAGAGTACGAAATCGAAGTTCACCGAGTTCAAGACCAGATTCAATACTACGTACTCCCTAGACGGATACAACGAGTGGCATCTAACTTTCGACGCCTCAAAGGTGGATGGGGGCTCACTGAACTTTGGATATATCCAGCTATTCCCACCGACATTCAAAGGGCGCGAAAATGGATTGCGGGATGATCTTGCTTCCTTTTTGGACGAGATCCACCCTGCATTTCTCCGGTTTCCTGGTGGAAACAATCTCGAAGGATTGCAAGTCGATAGCCGCTGGAAGTGGAATACCACAATTGGCCCGGTTGTTGATAGACCTGGAAGAGAAAGCGACTGGTTCTATCCCAATACGGACGCGATTGGTCTAGATGAGTATCTGTGGTGGTGCGAAGACATGGGCATGGCGCCTCTCCTAGCTGTTTGGGCCGGAAAGTCCTACGGTGATATCATATCCGGACCAGATCTCAAGCCTTTCATTAAAGATATCATGAACGAGATGGAATATCTACTCGGAGACACCACGACGCATTATGGAAGAATGCGAGCTCGAAACGGCCGTAAAAAGCCATGGAAAGTCGACTTGATTGAGATCGGCAATGAGGACGACCTCACCCGTGGCTGTGAAACCTATCCTGATCGTTTCAATCAGATCTATAAAGCTATTCACCACAAGTACCCGCACATCACGATCGTTGCCTCGAACGGGGACTCCAAGTGTCTGCCATCACCGCTGCCCAAGGATGTCATCATTGATCTACATCTCTACCGAAAGCCAGATGACTTCGTCAAGTTGTTCAACCAGTTTGATAACCAGCCACGAAACCAATCTGTGATGGTCGGTGAATTTGGATGTCGGAATAGCTCCAGTGCGGAAGGCGAATATTGGCCATACATGCAGGGAAGCTGCAGCGAAGCTGTTTACATGATTGGGATGGAGCGCAACAGCGACATTGTCAAGATGGCATCGTACGCACCCATGCTGCAGCATTTTGATTTTGTCTCTTGGTCGGTAAGTCTGCGTCGAGAAATCTAAAGTTGGCGAAGGACATTTGCTAATAATCTGCATCCTGATATCAGCCCACTCTATACGGATTCAACAACACCCCTGACTCAATCACACCCTCGACATCATACTTCGTCCAGAAGATGTTCATGACTAACAAAGGCGATACGATTCTCCCAGTTCACTCATCCGCTGATTTTGGCCCGCTCTATTGGGTAGCGTCGAGGACACATTCCAAGTATTATTTGAAACTAGCAAACTACGGCACTGACCCGCAGACCGTAAAAGTGAGCATACCAGGAACCAAGTCTGGGCGACTGGAGATGCTCGCTGGTCCTCAATACCAGGGTGATACGCCTTACCACGCACAAATTCAGACTGTCACCACCGGCGTCTTCAATCCACAGGGCAATTACTCGATACACATGGAGCCTTGGGCTATCGCTGTTTTGGCAGTCTCTTGAGACAAGATATCACGTTTTTGTATATTTAATGGCTACATTTAGAGTACGTACTCTTGGACAGGTGTTCTTCTTGAACCTTTAATACTATTTTGAGTTTTCTTCAGCTTATGTCTAACATGAATGCTCATTTTAGGTGGTCTTCGGATCCAGGCCGAGCGGAGAGATTTGTGATAATTTTCAATTGTTCCCTGAAGGAATACGAGTCAAAATGTGACAGTCCTGCATCGTGCATGAGCTGAGCCACTTGAGGCGGGGTAGACCGGGGGCGATGAGGCCCAACTCAACTCTCAACTCACCACCTTATTGACCATTATGTTACAACGATGACTGCCAATATTCAACAAAATGGAACCAACGATGGAACTCAAATAGGTGTGAATGAAGGGATCGTCATCATCGGTAAGTGAAAAATGGTCAATCCGATAGAAATCTTACTGAATTGGGGGCCACAGGAGGAGGAGGATCAGCCCTTGATCCATTAGATCAAGCGTGTCTACAGGACTTGAGAATAACTGATCCGCGAGATGACAAGGAGCGTCTAAAAAGCACGAGCGGCGGGCTCCTGGAAGCCTCGTACCAGTGGATTCGCGACAACGAGGCATTCAAGCAATGGCAACATGACCAGAGCGGCAGTAAACCTGTCGTCTGGATAAGGGGTAATCCCGGAAAAGGCAAGACAATGCTTCTCTGTGGGATTATCGAAGACCTGGCAAAATCACACGAGAATGCGGCCGTATCTTTCTTCTTTTGTCAAGCAACCGATTCGCGCATCAACAGTGCCAAGTCTGTCCTGCGTGGATTGATTTATTTGCTTGTTGAACAAAATCGATCTCTTCTCCGCCACGTACGAGCTCGATATGATTCTGCGCGCGAGAGAATGTTCAAAGATGTCAATGCATGGCATGCGCTCGTCTCAATATTCACGCAAATTCTCGAAGACTCGGCTTTGAAAAGCGTCTATCTTGGGATTGATGCGCTGGATGAGTGTGGAGATGGCCGTGACCTCCTTTTGGACCTGATTATTGAAACCGCGAAAACCAATTCAAAGATCAAATGGATTGTTTCTAGCCGAAACGAACGTGAAATTACTGAACTTTTCGACCATGCTGCCCAGGTAGCCCCAATATCATTGGAGATGAGTGAAGCATTTGTGTCTGAGGCGATCAATGCATTCATTGAGCACAAGGTGGCCGACCTCGCGCAGAAAAAGCGCTACAAACCCGAAGTCAGACGCAAGGTCCATCGCCATTTGGTCTTGAACACAAGAGGCACTTTCTTATGGGTTTCATTGGTCCTGAAAAACCTTGCCCGAACACAATCAAGACATGTGAATGAGAAACTAAAAACGTTCCCGCCTGGCTTAGATGCTCTCTATCACCGGATGATGGATCAGGTTCGCAAGTCAGATGATGCAGATTTCTGCAAGCAGATCCTTGGTACTATATTGACCGTCTATCGCCCTGTCACGCTTAGTGAGCTCGGCTCTCTTCTCGCGGGGCGAATGGATAGCCTCGATGATATTGATACCATCTCTGAGGTGATCGAATCTTGTGGTTCATTCTTAACAGTACAAGAAGATACTGTCACTCTGGTTCACCAGTCTGCAAAAGACTTCCTGGACCAGGAGGTACAAACTGAGGTTCTTCCTAAGGGCGTCGAGAATGAACACCACGCGATCTTTTCCCAATGTCTGAGTGCTCTTATAAAAACACTGCGGCGGGATATGTTTGGTCTCAGACTACCCGGGACTACCAAAGCTCAAATCAGAGCGCCTAGCCCAAATCCACTTGCATCTGCTGAGTACGCATGTGTTTATTGGGTGGACCATCTCGATGATTGTCAAAGCAACGAAGCATACAGACTGAGCTTGAAGAACAGGGAGATGGTTGATGCATTTTTGCGGCGGAAATACCTCAACTGGCTCGAGGCTTTGAGTTTACTCGGAAAGGTTTCGGACGGCATAGGGGCTATGAGAAAATTGGAGAATATACTTGAGGTAAGTTTTGAACCCCATCTATAGATGTGAGAGATATTCGTTCCCAAGGGTTCTGACAAAATCTGGGTCCTAGGAGGAGGGCGAGTCTGATCACCTGGCAGAGCAGGTTCGAGACGCGACTAGGTTCATTCAACATTCTCGAGCTGGGATTGAGATCAGCCCTCTACAAGCGTATTGCTCATCCCTTATTTTCAGCCCCTTAAAGAGCCTCACTCGAGTATCTCATGAAAGATTACGAGACAATTGGATTTTAAATGATCCCGTGATGGAGAAAGATTGGAGTGCCAGTATTCACACATTAGAGCACCGAAATGGCTCAGTGGACTGGGTTGCATGGTCACCAGATGGAAGAAAACTTGCAGTTGGGTTTGAGATGGACGATACAATCCATGTCTGGGATCCAACCAAGGGCCAGAGAATTTCAACCCTCGAAGGGCAAAATCATGGGATTCGGCTTCACACTCCTTTCAATATCTCAATTTCTCGGTCAAAAGCCTGGTCTCCTGATGGAACCCGACTTGCGATAACATCAAGATTTGAAACAGTCCGCATTTGGAATCCGGCCACGAACCATATTGTGATTCTGCTTATGGTCGCTACAGACCACACATACTCCGTTTCATGGTCGCCAGATGGGAGCCAGCTTTTCTCAGGGTCGGCTGATGGCTTGATCCGTATCTGGGATCCGACTACCGGGCAAAACGTGTCCACTCTCAAGGGACATGGCGAGGTGGTAACTTCAATTGCCTGGTCACCAGACGGAGGCCGACTTGCATCAGCGTCTTATGATGGTACAATCAAAATCTGGGATCATACGACCTACCAGGAAGTGCTATCCTTAGATGAACAAGATACTGCGGTCAGTTTGATTGTCTGGTCACCAGATGGAAGCCAACTTGCAATAGGATCCTTCAAAAGCACACTTTTAGTCTGGGATCTAGCCACAAATCAGATTGTATTCACTCTGAAGGGTGAATATCTTCATTGGAGGCATAGTGGTTTCTTCCCAGTTACCTGGTCACCAGACGGAAGCTACCTTGCGTTCTGTTGGTCTGAATTGGAAGTTCAAATATGGCACCGAGCCACGAATCAAAACGAATCTACATCAATGAGATCCCCCGGTCACATTCAGTCAATTGCCTGGTCACCAGATGGAAGCCAACTTGCATCAGGATCGTTCAATCGGGCAGTTCAAATCTGGGATCAACCTACCAAACAGATTATATCAACCCTTGAGGGACATGTTGATCATGTTCGCTCAGTTGCCTGGTCACCGGATGGAACTCTACTTTCATCAGGCTCAAACGACGGGACAGTCCGTATCTGGGATCCAACTATTATCCACAGTCCTTCTTCTGTTGATAAACACAGAGATCCAATTGGGGCAATCAAATGGTCACCAGACGGAAGCCAGCTTGCGTCAAGTTCAGAGGACAGAACAGTGCGGATCTGGGATCCAGCCACTGGCCAGAGTATATTCACTTCTGCGGAGCATGAAGGCTCGGTCAGTGCAATTGCCTGGTCCCCAGATGGAACCCGACTAGCTTCAGGGTCTTATTCTGGGAAAATTCAGATTTGGAATATGGTTACTGACCAGTGCGTGTTCACTGTCGATAAAATTTCAGAACCGCCACGCTTAATGGTCTGGTCCCCAGATGGAAGTAAACTTGCTTCTCATACCACCGGAGAAGAAATTCAGATATATAATTCATTCAGTGGTCAAAATATGTCTACACTCAAGCTTTCTACTAAGGTGCGTTCCAGCATTGTGTGGTCGATTTCCTGGTCACCAGCTGGAAGCCAACTCGCATCGGGCGTTGTCATGGGCGTGGTACGAATTTGGGACCTGAACACCGGCGAGTGTCAATTTACCCTTTCTGGCCATGATGGCGCTATCGTATCAATTGCCTGGTCGGAAAATGGAACCCGACTTGCGTCAGGGTCAGAGGACAACACAATCCGCATCTGGAATCCAGCCACTGGCCACAACTTGTTTACTCTACCTGTCGGCATCAGCACATTTCTCGAATTCGATAAATCTGATTCGAATCACCTGCATACCAGCGCTGGTATTTTCGATATAGGCTCCATGCCTCTTGCCACTGACCTCATGACCGAGAATCTCATTGACACACTCCAGCCCTCTGGATACGGCTTGAGCAACGACCGTTCCTGGATAACTTACAATGGGCTCAATCTCTTATGGTTACCGTTGGAATATCGCCCTTTGAGACAATCCCATTTTGCTATTTATGGAGCCACAGTGGCTATTGCCTGTTCATCGGGCTATGTCATCTTTCTGGAACTTTCAAAAGAATTTTCTGGAACTTTCGAAAGAAATTTCTGTATCTGGCCTTTAATCGAGCTTATACCATAGAGTGGTACATTGAATTCACGTGTTGCCTACTTGAGTGAAATGCAGCATACTTGACTGATACTTCACATTTCGGAGTACAGAACGAGTCGTATTCTAGTTTGAAAAGAAGGAAGGCTGATATCTGCGAAGGGCTTGAAGTCCTTAGTGTCCTACTATCATAATTATGGAAAGGAATAATATTCTTCCAGGAGGCTCTGGCCTGGAAGGAAGATGAAAAAGCCATGCTGGCATTACACGGGCTTCATGCGAATGGGATTGACAGTCCGTGTATCTCGCATGTCCTTCAAGTCTCAGCACCGTACCGATCCATGAGCGCCTTGAATGAAGGATCTTGCAAAAGTTGCTTGGCGGTTAGCCGCTTTTCGATGTCATACATAAAAACTTTCGACATGATATCTTCCACGAGTTCTCGCTCGACCACGTCCGAATCGGGGCAAAAGTGTGCAATTCTCGCAGCAAGAGTACGCCCCGGAACAGGAACCCTTGACTGATCATACAATGTATCAAATCCATCGTGATAGGGGTAAGAATCTTTCCACTGCTCAGGGAGTGGGCCTAGGCACTCGACCATACCTCTCAAGACGCCGCCGTTCGAAAAGGTGTGGAATGGAGGGAATGTAAGGTAGAGCATAGAGAAAACAGTCATGTAGCTCCACATATCGCAGGCGAAACTCGGCTTGTGTTTATGAAGTCGGTCAGGAGAGCAATAATACGACTGTGGGTGACCGGTTTGAGTAGCTTGGTCGTCGATCTTCTTTGCTAAACCGAAATCACAGAGATAGAATTCATCCGTGCGAAGATCGTCGGGAAACTCGACAGGGCTCACGAGCTCGCCTCTTTTCCAGAGTTCGACGAATGGTATTGTTTGTTTCACAGGCCGATCGAGTAGCTCATACTTGGCGCTCCTGCTGAGATTGTCAATAGGAGTGATTCCCCACATACAGTTCCATGGGGTTATATCTGGAATTTGTCAGTATACACGAGTCGGTATACAAGAATGGGAAACGAGTAGGATCAGCTGACCGCGATGTAAGATGCCAGCTTCATGTAAGTTTGCCAAGGCCACCAATAATTGTCGAGCGGCAGACATACGAGCGGCCATGGGAGTTCTCTTCAAGGATCGTGTGCAGATGGATGGTCCTTTCAGAGGGAGGACCATGACCCTGTGGTAACGTCCATCATCTCGGAGTAAAAGAAAAGTCTCAGTGTAGATGACCAGGCCGGATGTGTCCTGTACTTGTTGAATGATCTCATCTTGAATTTGAATTTCATTGTCGGCCCATTTGCCTGGGGCCATGACTTTGAGAGCGACATTTTTCTTGTCTCGTAGGTCAAATGCCATCCAGACAATTGAGCCCCCGCCATAGCCCAGTTTATGCTCAACCAGGTACCTTTCGTTGAGCACTTCCACAAGGAAGATGGGATAGAAGATAGTCGAGTCATCCTTTGTTTTGTACGTATGCCATGGCTCAACAACTATTGAGAGATCGACCTCTTCATCTGAGTCCTCCACAAAGCGACCGAAATCTTCTGTATCTTCGGGGCCAGCATCCTTAGACGCAGTAGCTTCAGGCGTAGCAGCTTCGGGCACGGTGGCTTCGGGGAGGGTGTCTGTGAAGACAGCATTTTCAAGCACAGAAGGCTCAGACGCAGTAGCTTCAGACGCAGTAGCTTCAGACGCAGCAGCTTCGGGCACGGTGGCTTCGGGGACAGTGCCTTCGGGAAGAGTGTCTCTGAAGACAGCATTTTCAAGCGCAGAAGCCTCAGGCGCAGCAGGCTCAGGTACGTTGTCTTCGGGGACATTATCTTCGGGCACGGTGCCTCTGAGGGCGGCGTCTTTGGGGGCAGCATCTTCGAGCGCAGAAGGCTCAGACGCAGTAGCTTTGGGCACGGTGGCTTCGGGGACAGTATCTTCGGGGACGGTGTCTCTGAGGGCAGCGTCTTCAGGCGCAGCAGCTTCGGGAACGGTCCCTTCGGGGAGAGTGTCTTCAAGTGAGGTGTCTCTGAAGGTAGCGTCTTTGGGGGTAGCACCTTTGGGGGTGGCGTCTTCGTCGGCGGCGTCTTTGGGTACAGCGTCCCCGAGGGCAAAATCCCCAGGGGCCGTGTTTTTTGGGAATACTTGAACGTTTTCCATTTTAGGCGGGTATGGATAGAAGTTCAAGTTCGAAGCCCAGACCGACCCAAGTTCGACTTGAAAGCCCAGATCGACCCTAGCAATTTGCCATCATACCACTTTCACTGCGTGTGCCGCTTTAGACCGCCTCCTATAGTGTGATATTGAAACAGGTCCATATACTCTGTACACCGAAGTTTTGCCGGCACTATCTGTTTGTCACGATCAATTTTCAGCCAACTCTATGAGATCCAACAAAGCCAAGGCCACTTTCCTTTCTACTTAACTGTAACATAGATAATATTCTACAGATAGGAGAGGTCTAAAATGTGAGGGTTTGCTCTCAGCATGTTTGCTTCTATGCGTTTGCTTGTGAAACCTCCAAGCGCACATGCTTGAGGACAGCCCTAACGTTTACTCCCTTTTCAGTTCATGTGTGATAATCCTTACTTTACTGACACCTACTGGATCAACATGAGATATCGCTTCAAAGCAAGTATATTCAGTTCATAGGCAGGAAGTAGCGGGGAGCTCTTTGACTGCATAGTGGTGCTGAGGCAATCCTTGAATTCCTGCCAGATGCTCAGGTGAACTTGGTGGCTATACTTTGAAAGTTATTGTCAATAGCACAGAACGCAATGAACAGTATGTATTGCTTCTACCAAACTGAGACGGAGGAGAAGTAACAGGAGAGTGAGAGAGAGGGCAGACACGCATCCATCTACACCTGTCGGTCTGAACCTTAGGATGGATTCATCTCAACAATTAGGTATTTACCTATAGACTTAGGAGATCTTGTGAGACAAACATCCTGCACCACTCTTCGTCGTCTGTCTTTACATGTTCTCTTCGTCGTCTGTTTCTACACGTACAAAAGACAAGTCTTTCTTGAAAATGAGCGCCGAGGACCACAAGACCATCATAGATGGCGTCCAGGTCATCTGGACACCAAACGCAATCGAAAATCTGAAAGAGCTGATCGAGTCCACAGAAGTACAACAGCTCAACTTCCAAGAGATGAAGTTGTTGACAGAGCGGTTTGCTATCGCATCTGCTCGAAGACTACGAAGACATACTGTGAAGATACTGTATGAGACCCTATTTATTTCGCCCAGATATTTGACTAACTGTTTGACAGTGGATCTTGCCATTCCCATACAACGGATCGCAGAACGAGTTAAACACGTACAGACCCCTGCCACATCACATTCGCGGATCATTCAGGGTTTCCAACTATTTCGCACTCTTTCCACGAGAGCACAATCGATACGGTGACTGGGGAGAGGAAAGCGGATCAATGCCACGCCAGTATCACACTGGAGCCCGGAAGTCTCAAAGTACACATTTATGTGAACGACTTACGAGAGACTCATCCCATCGAAAACCTCCAGGTACTGGGGGAGAGCGTAATTGTTCACAACCGCGGGAAGCGAAAAGAGCCAGACACTCGACTATCATGGGGCTGGTTTCCCCCTTTTTGATGGGCACAAGACTCAGCCTTTGGATCTTGTCAGGTCTGCTTGGTCAGCGGACCCTGTTTGGGATGACAGGGCTTGTTTGATAGAGTAGATAGAGGCTTCTTTCTCTCTCTCCTTCCTTTTTCCCAGTCCGCTCTTGATGAGAGAATACTATCTACATCATCATTCTTCTTCCTGTAGACGTATTCTCTATCAGATCTTGAATATTTGTGATGAAAGCGGGCTGGAAAAAGTGGTGCAATAAGGCGACCTGGATCTGAATTGAAGGGCGTTCTTGCCTTGGGGGAAAGAGGGGTGATTGAAACGTGTGTTGTGAGGGTTAGTTCGCCTTAGTATCAAGACTCACATCTATCCATGGAGAGATGATGTGTATTGCCAGTATTGGGTCCCATTTCACAGGAAAATAGCTTTTGAGATGTAGCCGGTAGGAAATGGCAGAATGGTGTTGCTGCCCACTAGTCCCGATTCGGCCACAACCTCACATTCTGGCCAATCATATGCCCCAAAACACTTAAAGAAAAGGAAGGTGCACTAAGCGCTACGCTCTGCAACTGCTATTTGGGGACCAAAGGTCTCCAAGTCCCTTGCACTTACTACATCACGCACTATTGATCGTGCAATCCCACTGGAATAGCAAAAGGAGCTGTTGACGAAGAAGCCCTCGCTATGGGATGCATAAACCCCCTGCCGAGTGACGTGTCAAATCGGGGAGGGGTTCCTCAAGTCAGCTGATGAGGAGCATTTGGAGACCTTTCATCCTCTATTCTCTCCTTCGTTCTCAATGAGCCCTAACCCCCCGCGGTACCACTGTTTGTTGAGAAGGCACAGCGAGAGAAAAGGCGGACGAAGAACCGATTGAATTGTGCGGGGAGAGAAGAGAGAGAAGAGGGAGAAGCTAAGGCTGCGAGCTATTGATCTACACTTGGGGTTGGGCCGAATATCCTACACAACACTATTCCATTATGGCAGACCCCAAAGCGTACGCCATCGGCTGGATATGTGCCATCATAACGGAATATACTGCTGCAAAGCAGTTTCTCGACGAGGTACACGAAGAACCAGAATCACTATCAGCCAATGACAACAACGCCTACACGCTTGGCAAGATTGGCAAGCACAATGTGGTTATTGCTGTTTTGCCCGATGGGGAGTACGGACTATCCTCCGCAGCACGAGTCGCAGGAAGTCTGCTACACAGTTTCCCCAATGTCAAAATCGGGTTGATGGTCGGAATCGGCGGTGGAGCTCCCAGTGCGAAGCGTGACATTCGCTTGGGTGATGTTGTGGTCAGTTCGCCCCGAGATGGTAAAGGTGGTGTGTTTCAGTATGATTTCGGAAAAAGTTTGCAGGAAAAATCCTTTCAACAGACAGGGTTTCTGAACCAGCCACCAGAAGCGCTGCGGGCGGCAGTGATCCAGCTCCGAAGCCAATATGAGAGCGACGGCCATGAGTTTGAACAAACCATCAACGCTATTCTGGAGAAGAAAAAGAAGCTTCGAAAGAACTACAAACGTCCTAGTCCAAGCAATGATAGACTATATCAAAGCATGTTCGTTCATAAGGCCGATGGGGAGAATTGCTCAGTAGCCTGTGGTGATGCAGTGTCCCACTTGGTGCCAAGGCAGCAACGCGACGAAGATGAGGATGATCCCGCAATTCATTATGGCCTGATCGCTTCGGCAAATACATTGATGAAAGATGCTTCAATCCGAGACAAACTAAGTGCTGAAATGGGTGTGCTGTGCTTTGAGATGGAAGCAGCCGGGCTGATGAATCACTTCCCCTGCTTGGTTATTCGTGGTATATGCGATTATGCGGATTCCCACAAGAACAAGGAATGGCAGGGATATGCAGCAATGACTGCTACTTGCTATGCCAAAGATCTTCTCAGCAGGCTCACTGTGGCCAATGTTCAGAAGGAGAAGAAAATCATTGAATTACTCTCAGATAGTTAGTTATCACCAGCGTTGAAACACGACTTTGAAATGAGTTTATTGACTGACAGCCTGTATAGTTGGCGCAAATACATCCAAGACCGAATCTGATGTTTCAAACTTGAAGTCAACATTAACTAGCTGGGGAGACCGTCAAATGCTTGATTGGCTGACGAAATTCGATTATGGCCCTCAACAGAGCGATCACCTTAGCCGAAGGCAACCTGGGACCGGCACATGGTTCCTCGAATCAACTCAATACAAGAATTGGCGAGATTCTGATGGGCAGATACTTTTCTGTCCCGGAATGCCTGGAGCTGGGAAGACAATCTTGACTTCTATCGTGATTGAGGACCTTACTGCTCGATGCTCGATTGACCCTGCTGTTGGCCTTGCATATGTCTTCTGCAACTTCCGACTGAAGGATCAACAGAGTGCTGAGCACATGCTAGCAAGTATTCTCAAGCAACTTGCTCAGCGCCAATCCCCGTTGCCTGAAAGCGTCAAATCACTATACGAATGCCATGAGCCAGCACGAACTAGACCCTCCCTTGAGGAACTTTCAAAGTGCGTTCAATCTGTAATGGCAACTTACCGAACGGTATTCCTGGTTATAGATGCGCTCGACGAATGCCAGAAGTTGAATGACTGTCAAAACATATTCATAGGTCATCTTGTTGAAATTCAGAGGACCAGCCACTCCAAGATGCTGGTTACTTCTCGACCTATCCCAGAAATTGCGGAGAGATTTCGTGGTGAGGAGTTAAAGATCCGCGCTCGGGAGAGTGATGTGGAAAGTTATTTATACGGCCGCATTTCCCAAGCAGGATCTGAAATCCTCAAATTGCACAAACAAGAAATTGCGACCAAAATAACTGAATGTGTTGATGGAATGTATGCTTCCTTCATTCTTTTCAAACGACAGGATAAGATCTGACCTCTCTAGGTTTCTGCTAGCGCAACTCCATTTTGACACCATCAAATCCAAACTGACGCCCAGGGCAGTCAAGGATTCTTTGAGTACTCTTCGCTCAGGAATTGAGGCATATACCCAGGCATATGACGATGCCATGGAGCGAATCAAGGCTCAAAATCGAGATGCCTCAAACCTCGCAATGGAAATTTTGAAATGGATCACTCATGCTAAGAGACAACTAAACATTCGAGAACTCTGTGAGGCCCTTGCAGTGAAGCTGGGCTCACGAGAACTGGATCGGGACAATATTCCAGTGATCAAAGACATGGTATCCGTTTGTGCGGGTCTAGTGACGGTAGACATGGAAAGCGACAGCATTCACCTGGTTCACTACACCACACAGGACTATTTTGAAACGAATCAGGGCTCGTGGTTCACCGATGCTGAACTGATGTTGGCAAAAACCTGTCTTACATATCTGTGTTTCGATGTCTTTGACAGTGGTGTCTGTCGAAGTTACACGGAACTTCGAGACCGGCGGCTACACCACGCACTCTATACTTACTCAGCAAAGAATTGGGGACTTCATGCCCGCGGCACGGAGATCGAATTAGCAAGACTTATCCATGAATTTCTCGGCAATACTCGAAAAGTGTCTGCCTCTGCTCAAGCTTTACCAAAACTCCGTTGGCCTCGGTCATACGGTAACCCTTGGTCATATAGAAGGCTCAATAGATCTTCCTCCTTCTCCCACTGGGCCTCCGAGAGTGATGAGAGTGGGGTTGAAGTCACCGCCGTTTCGCTCGGTTTATCGGATGATGGAACCGATTGGACCCATTTCGATGGTACCCCCGGAGAACCCGGTTCTCTGAATGGCGTTTCTCTCCCTGACAGGCTCCCGCATGATGCAGTTTCCGACATTTCCAGCCAGACCACATCATTCAATCCCAGAGCAATTAGAGGTCTTCATCTCGCAGCTCACTTTGGATTGAGCGAGACAGTTGATCATCTTCTTGAGTCCGAGCAGAGTCCAGATGTGACAGACTCTGACGGCTACACACCTCTTCACTGGGCTTTCGGTGCGCATCAAATTATAGTTGCTCAGAAGCTACTTGATAAAGGGGCGAACTGGGAATGCAGAGACCCCGAAGAAAATCGAACCCCACTTTCATTGGCTGCCGAAGATGGCTTTGTGGATATTATTGAACTACTACTCAACAACGGGGCCGACGTGGAATCGCGAGATGAAACAGGGCGAACACCACTTTCCTGGGCCGTCGAGAATGGCCATCTGAATGTAACGGAACTACTTCTTGAAAACGGAGCCAACACAGAATCACAAGATAAAACGGGTCGAATAATACTTTCCTGGGCTGTCAAAGGTGGCTTTGTGGATATTATTGAGTTACTAATCAAGAACGGAACCAAATTGGAATCGCGAGACCAATCAGGCCGAACATCATTTTCCTGGGCTGTCGAGAATCGCTTTCTGGATACTATTCAACTACTACTCAACAACGGGGCCGAGTTGGAATCGCGAGATGAAACAGGGCGAACACCACTTTTCCGGGCCGCCGAGAATGGCCATCTGGATGTAATGGAACTACTTTTTGAAAACGGAGCCAACACAGAATCACAAGATAAAACGGGTCGAATAATACTTTCCTGGGCTGTCAAAGGTGGCTTT